GGGGGGGGGGGGGTCCAGGAGGGGCATCTTGGCTGATCTTCCTTCAGCCTTGCGGGTAAGTGAAGCGGCTCTTGCCTATCCTAAGCCCGTCATGTAGGGCTAAGAGACGACTTGATTGGTTCTTCAATCAGCCACAACTATGCTTACTGATCCCGCCTTGTGCAGCCTCTGCACGTCTTCTGCATACAGCTGAGTTGCTAAAAAACATGGTCACATGTTACAATTGGGTCGGTCCAGTAGGGTGTTCCAAAACAAGCCACCTCTTTTACTCATCTCATGCTGTGCTTATCTTCATGTGTATCCTCACATCTTCCAAAACTTTCAGCTGGCTTATTCCCTCATGCATAGCTGCAGCACGCAATCCAGTTCCACGATACTCTGTGGTTGCCTGGTGCCACGTCATGAGGCAGCCGGGTAATGATGCTGCTGAAAGCATGCTGAACGTCCAAAGAGACGCCACTGGAGTGCTGCTGCACACAAGCCTTGTCCCCGAGCTCCAGGCAGTATCCTTGGCATCCCGCGTTTCCCTACTCCCTGATGAGGCTCAAACGCAAATCACGGTGAAATACCACCCACATGGAGCCTGTTGCAGCCAATGAAATCACCAATGGGGAACGTACGATCTGGGACGTCCGAATTAAACCTTTGCTTTCCACTTTCCATCCTTGGCTACCTACAGAACGCCATACATGCCATGCCCACTATCTAGCGACGCCCAGTAAAGTACATGTAAGAACAGGAGTGAAGAGAGGAGAGATGGGCACCATATACAAAAAGCGGTGTTTTAACACTCCAGAGGTAGGGAGTAAGCAGGCGGAGCGTAGCCAATCATGACGGCTGTGGATCCACGGCTCGTCATTGGGGTATTTATTTTCGTTGGGCCGCCAAGCGTTTACTCAATGATGCGAGTGACCAGGCCGGTGGCGACGGTACGGCCACCCTCCCGAACGTTGAAGCGCTGACCGGCCTCAAGCGGGGCGGGGTGGTGGATCTCGCAGACCATCTCGACGTTGTCACCCGGCATGACCATCTTGTCCGGGTCCTCAGCCGCCTCGGGCCAAGTGAGAGAAGCAGCTTCGTCTAAAAGATAATCAGCAGCTGCAATGGAATTCAACGACGTAGAGGTGCTGTGCACTTACCGGCTGTGCGGATGAAGACTTGGGGACGGTAGTTGTTGTGGAAGCCAGTGTGACGGCCACCCTCCTCCTTGGTCAGGACATACAGGGAGCACAGGAACTTCTTGTGTGCCTTCTGGCTGCCAGGGGCGGCAATGACCATACCACGCCTGACATCCTCACGCTTGATACCACGGAGAAGCAGGCCAGAGTTGTCACCAGCGCGGGACTCGTCGCAGGACTTCTTGAAGGTCTCAATGTCGGTGACCTTGGTCTTGATGGGAGTGGCGTTCTTGCCAACAAGCTCGACTTCCGTGTCCTTCTTCAGGACACCACGCTCGACACGACCGGACGCGACAGTGCCACGACCAGCGATGGAGAAGACATCCTCAACGGACATGAGGAAGGGCTTGTCGAGAGTACGCTCGGGGGTGGGGATCCAAGTGTCGACGGCCTCGAGCAGTTTGTCAATGGCCTGGACACCGATCTCAGGCTCACGGTTCTCGAGCGCGCAGAGGGCGGAACCCATGATGATGGGAGTTTCATCACCCTCGAACTGGTAGGAGGTGAGCAGCTCACGCATCTCCATCTCGACGAGCTCCAGCATCTCCTTGTCATCGACGGCATCGACCTTGTTGACGAAGACGACAATCTTCTGGACACCGACCTGGCGGGCGAGCAGAAGATGTTCACGGGTCTGGGGCCTGGTGCGCGTCAGTCTCCGCGTTCGGCCGGGCATTGGCGGGGTGCGACTACGTACATCTGACCATCAGAGGCGGCGACAACAATGATGGCACCGTCCATGTTGGCAGCACCAGTAATCATGTTCTTGATGTAATCGGCGTGACCGGGACAGTCGACGTGGGCATAGTGGCGGCTGTCGGTCTGGTACTCGATGTGGGCGGTCGAGATGGTGATACCACGCTTGCGCTCCTCGGGAGCCTTGTCAATGGCGCCGTACTCGAGGAAGTTGGCAAAGCCCTTCTCGGCCTGGCGCTTGGTGATGGCAGCGGTCAAGGTAGTCTGCAGCCGTCAGCGATGGAGAGGCCAATTGTGGCGCAATGGGGATGTACCTTGCCGTGATCGACGTGACCAATGGTACCTGTTGGAAGTAAGCATCGCTGGCGGGCAGGCGTAGCGGGGCGCGACAGTGGCCATACCGATGTTGACGTGCGGCTTGGTACGCTCAAAGGCGGCGGCGTAGTTGCGCACGTGGCCCATGTACTGCTGGGTGCCATTGAGGCCCAGAGTGGTGGTGAGCGGGTTGGCGCCAGAGCGCTGGCGCAGAGCCACACGCGAAGTGCGCAGAAGGGCGCGGGAGATGGCAGACATGGCTTCAAGCGACACCCGGGGGCCCGAGAGAACTGCAATTGAGTGGCGAGGGTGCGATGGAGCGCGGGCTGGCGATGGCGGAGAAGATGGACGCTGCAGCTCTGCGGACGCGGCGAACTGGAAGCTCGAACAATTTCTTAGCGCGTTGGATCGCCGCACGTGACGCTCGGGGGAGCTGCGGGCACCGGCTTCCGTGCGGAGCTGGAGTCTGCTTTCTTGCGCCGCGAATTGCCCACCAGCACAAGCAGCACAAGCAGCAGCACCACCTCGACGCGTCTGCATCCTTCCCTGCGGAGCTCTTGACTGACGCTTCGTTCCCAATTCTCCTCTCTCGTCCTCCCGCCGCGCTCTCTCCGCCCGTCCACCGTCCACCGCCTCGAGCGCGCCGCCCTGCTCCGTCCGGTTACCCGAGGCTCGGCTTAGCCTGTCGTCACCTCCGCATCTGCGTACAAGTACCATAGTACTCCCGCGCCCATGTTTCTACGCACCTGTTCACGACGCGTTGCCAACCCGTCGAGTTGGACTTCGCGCCCGCTCTCGTCTTCTCTCGCCATGCCTCTCCGCGCCAAAATAATGCCTTCGATAAGGCAGGTTCGTTTAGTCGTTGCCGCCATGCTCCCCACCCGCTGCTAATGTCCGCCCGCAGTTCTCCGCCGATTCCCCGTCTGGGGTCCAGCTCAGGCCTCAACCGAACGATGATCCCGATGACGTCCTGTTTGACAAGATCTACGGCGTGCGCACTATCGAGCTGAACCGGCCAAAGAAGCTCAACTCGCTCAACGGATCTATGGCCCGCAAGATCATACCCAGGCTGCACGAGTGGTCACAGTCCCAGCTGGCCAATGTCATCATCATCAAGGGCAACGGCCGCGCTTTCTGTGCCGGTGGAGATGTCGCTGCGCTCGCTGAGGCAAACAGCCAGGGCGAGAAAGGCCAGAAGGAGTCCAGCGATTACTTTGCCCTGGAATACAAGCTGGACCACCTCATTGCTACTTACTCCAAACCCTACGTCGCTTTTATGGATGGTATCACAATGGGAGGCGGTGTTGGTTTGAGCGTGCATGCTCCCTTCAGGATAGCCACCGAGAACACTGTCTTCGCTATGCCTGAGACCACCATTGGTTTCTTTCCCGATGTTGGCGCGAGCTTCTTCCTGCCTCGGATGGATGGTCAGATGGGCACCTACCTTGCTCTGACTAGTGAGCAACTGAAGGGTGCCGACGTCTTGTAAGAACCCTGTTGCTTGCAAAATGCCCTCTAGCTAACTCATAGGCAGCTACCACGGCATCGCAACCCACTACATCCACTCCTCTTCTCTTCCCGACCTTGAGGCTCGTCTCGCCGAGCTGACGTTCAAGGACTATGCCTCGCTTCAAGAGCGTCACGGTATCATCAATGCCACCATTGAAGAATTTGTCACTGGCCTTCCCGCCCCCCGTGCCCATATTTCGGGTCAGCTGCGCATTGCCGTCGACGAGTGCTTCAAACGGGAAACCATATTCGACATCATTGAAGCCCTCACCACTCTCAAGGAGTCCAAGAATGAGCAACTCAGCACGTGGGCCGCCAAGACCATCAATACGATGGAGCAGCGCTCGCCCACCTCGGTGCTCGTCACCCTCAAGCAGATGCGTGCATCTCAGCGCTGGGGCATCTCAGATACCTTCCGCCACGAACACCACATCGCTTCCCGCTTCATGGCCCACCCGGACTTCGTTGAGGGCGTTCAGGCCCGCCTGGTACGCCGCCAGAAGGATCGCCCCAACTGGCAGCCGGCCACATTCAAGGACGTCAGCAAGAGCGACGTCGACGCCTTTTTTACCAGGGAGCCAACGCTGGAATTGCTCGAAAGCGACCCCAACGCCAACTATAGGGAGTACCCGCACGCCTGGCTGGGTTTGCCGAGGGAGAGCGCCATCCTCGACGCAGCGAGGGGACTGCCTGACGACCGCGCTGTCGTGCGGCAGTTTTTGCAGGAGTACAATGGCAAGGCTGGTGTGAAGGAGAAGGTCGAGGAGGTCTTGGAGAGGAGTCGAATGTAAACGGATGCCAGTCTCGATTGTCGTCTAGTTGTGGCCGCAGCTTCGTGGAGGGCGGTCTAAGCTATGTACTTTAATGTAGAGCTATGCCATATTACATGTGGTATGAAAGGTGTCGACTAGAGGAGAAATATAAACAAAAAAATTAACCAGATCACTTGAACCAGGGCCTCTTGATGGTTTCTCGATGTAGTTCTCGAGTCTGTTCCCCTCCGGTCACTTTGCTGTTCTGATTTCTCGATTTCCCTGCCAATATTTGTGTCTCCTGAATGTACAAGGAACTCTGTCTCAATCACAAAGAGACATGTAGTTCGTAAATCAATCTTACGATATAGTCAGCCATAGTAAACATGGAAAACCGAGACCAAATGTGACCTCTGCCGTGCCTTCCCCTAGATACTGAATTCTCATTTCCCGAAAATTCGAGAGAGCCTACCCGCCCACATGAAGGTCAAAAAAAAAAACGATTGATCAATGAACGAAGTGATGGAAAACACCTGATGTTGAATGTTTTGATGCTGCCAAACAACCGAAAATGCTGCCCCCTTGTCCATTGGTGAATGCCTTGCTTTTTCAGATTCCTTTTTTCCATGTAAAATGCACCCTTTTGCATGTTGCCATGCTACAATGCTTATTCCGCCGTAATCCAAGATTGCAAAAGTGAAAACGGCAAGGACGGTAGCCGCGAAGAAGGCGCCAAAGTCCACGCTTTGTTCACAGTGACATGCATGTAGGATATGAGAAGATTGATGAAGGCTCGATGACGTGAAGACGAACAAGGAGCAGAAACCAGATTCACTACCCCAATAGAAATAATTGTAATAAAAAAAATGGAAAAAAGGGGATGGGGACATACCATTGAGCTTCTTAAATCTCTTGCGCCATCCCCATTGCCATGAAAGACGATGGCCGTCGCTACAGCCACAACACTTCTCGTCCTACTGCTCAAAACTCTGAATCAGACTGCGAGTACGGAGACGCAGATGCAAAATTCGGGTTCCATCCTTTCGGCCGCGGCGGCCTCTTCAGAAGGCTCGGCGGTGGTTGCTCAAGCGGCAACAGTGGTGGTTGTAACACCGCTGGAGGGGCAACGGCATCATCACCTTCCGCCGGGATGGTCTCAGCCAGCTGATCGAAGAACAACATGGAATAGGGGGAGCCCGGCGAATAGTCCGCTGTCGGAGGGCATGTAACAGCCGCGTCGTCGTCGTCCGTCAACGCCGTCGACGCCGTTGCCGCTGTGTTCGCGGACGACGAGCTGGCGCTGTGGGTGGGGGAAGACAAGGATAGGACTGGTGAGCTCGGGAAGCCATCGCCATTGCTACCACCGCCACCGCCGCCGGCTAGGTCATCGAGCCGGTCGTAGTCGGACACGAAGACCGAAGTGTTGGATAGGGCGGGCGAGTCGGCGGCGAGAACCGCGGTAGCCGCGATTCCGAATATGAGGCTATCGAAGTAGGCCGACTCGTTCTCCTCTTTCTCTACTTTCTTCTCTTCCTCAACCTCGAGTTTGCCATGGAGATGTTCGGCACGATCTTCACTCCGGTCCGCTTCATCTCGGTCATTTTCCTCCCCAGCAAATTCATTGTCGTGGCTCGATCGCCGTAGTGGCGATGGCGGCGATGGCGCGTAGTAGTTGTACCTGAAATTCGGGCTTTCTACGACGCGTTTGGCAGCCGCCCTCGTTGTCATCGTCGCCGCCGCTGCGACAGGAGTAACAGTCCCACCAAACGACGAGGCGTGCTGTTGCTGCTGTTGCTGATGCGTGTACGGAAGTGGAAAATCGACTGGCCTCGTGCTATTCACGGTAGCTAGGCTGCCGCGCAACCGTGCAAGCCTTGCCATCTCGACGCCCTTGCGCCGTAGTAACATGTCGAGCTCTGCGGGTATTATATTCGGGGACTGGCCCACCCGTTGTTCGACGCTGCGGCGTGTGGCGCGGTTCAAGGTTGCGGCTTTCCGCAACAATGCTCGCCCCCATGGGGCCTTTTTTTGCTGCTTGGCCCAAGCAGCAATGCGCGAAGGCCCGCGGCCAGCGATATGGGTAGCTGGAACGGCGAAAGGTTGCGAGAGTCGAGAGGTGATGAGCGTCAGTCGCAATCGCCGCTTCTTGCGAATCGGGCCTGCGCTTGCTGCGTCATTGTCGGTGCGTTTGCGCTTCTTCTTGAGCCGGATACCGGCGCCGTCATTGTCGTCGTTGGGGCAATTGGAGGAGTGAAAATGGCAGGGCGAGGTATCGCAGCTTGTAGTGTGAGCGTGGCGTGAGAAGTTCAGCGGAGCAGAAGGGACGGCGGCATAGAAAGTGAACTTGGAGGACGACTGGGCGGAAGCGGCATTGGGGCCATTTTTGAGAAAGGCGCGGTCGCTTGATCGTAAGAAGTCAGGCTTTAGGCCCATGATTTTGGCCTGCATGTTGGAGTGAGGAAGCGTGGGAAGAGCATGCCGTGTAGCGCGCGGACGCACTCAAAGAGAGAATTGGACGAGGATCGCGGCGGGAGGAGGCTGGTACGTAGCGCAGGAGAGGTAAGAGGAAGTGCATGGTGGCGGAGGAGCCGGCGCGGGAGTGAGATGGAGCGGCTCGTCAGTCAGGCGAGCAGCCACCAGCGGCGCAAGTGATTTTCGGCCGGGGTGCAGGGTTGACCTGCACCCAGAATGCGGGGAAGACAAATTGTGACAGGCTTAATTTGTCCATCCTACGTGACCCTTCCTTGCTCAATCAGCAGCGCGTCGCCGTGGACCAAACGCTGGTGCTGCACAAAGGTTCGCGGCCCGCCCACACATCTGCGAGGCCCCCAGTCGCATGTTCGTTCGGAGATGCATCCCGACCTGTGCGGCTGTGCCCAGCCAACCGAATCCTGGCGGCGTCGCTCCTGGTTGCTGCGATTGAGCGGCTGCACGCGGAATGTGTAGCCTGCTGACGTGCACGAACAACGCAGTCACTAATGCCCAAGCTGTCGCTTTGCTGGACCCGAGGCGCTGGTAACAGATCACTGCTCTCCTGTCCAATTGCGTCTGGTCAGCTCTAGCCCTGAGTAGCTGTTTTCCCCCCAGGTCCGCGCTGAGATAAGCAAGTCATGAAGGGTAATTGCCGTGAGCCTCGCAGCCAATTGAACGAGGCATGCAATTGGTGAAGTAAGGACGTGCGCCAGCACTGGTTGACAATTTGTAGTCGCGTATAATGGCATACCCGCCCATTGTTGCAAGGACAGCTTCAGAACGTGCATGATGTCTCTGTTTTTCGTCAATAGGCATGCAGGCCACCCCCGGGCAAGTTTCAACAAGAATGTAGGAAAAGACGACTTAAATAATTTGAGATATCTGAAGTGTCGTTTCTAATCAGAAGTACTTACGTCGCGTGCAGGCCCGCCTCATCAAGACTGGCAAGATACATCGCTGTCTCTATCGCCAACAAATAGTCTTGTTTCTTTTCGCCTGAACGCCATGCATTCTATCCGTGGCACGGTATTTACAGTCCGATAAAGTATCATGATGTTACACCTTAAATCTCCTCGGTCTTAAGGAAGTAGCGGTTCTCAACCTTCCGCATGAGCTTGTTGGTCTGTTCCGCTAAGCTGAGAGTGAGGATCTAGGCTATGTTAGCAAGATGCACACCAAAGTTTCGTTGAAAATGCAGCAAATGTATAGGCTGCGGAGACAGGAGCCGACACACACAGGTTTGGCTGTGCTGCAATGCTTCATCTCCGCATAACCAGGTGCTCCTTTACTGCAACTCTTGGTGAATCAGGGATGGACTCACAGTATGGGGCAATATCCTTGCCAAGTGAGCAAAGAAGCCCTTGTAGACTGCCAGGAAGCCCTCAGTCTTGACAGTACGGAACAAGCAGTCAAATGCGCTGTTGTACAGGTTGCCGGTCTGGTTGTACATGCGGCTCATGACCGTGTCGGGAGGATGCATAACGCAGCAAACGACGAATCCTGACGCGGTGCTGCTGGCCAAATGCAAAGCCGGACCTTCTTCCATGCCCAAATGCTTGACAAGCCGCCTCTTCGCGAAAAAGTACGTGGGAAGCTGGACTGAACTGCCGAAACCGGTGCGGACCATGGCAGGGCCCACGCCGCGGTAGAGGCCCTTCACGCCCTCACCCGTGTAGATTTGTCTCATACCATCCCACGCGTTCTTATAGTGGTGCTGGGTTCCGACCGGAAGAAAAGGTGAGAAGGACTGAAGACGAGTCTTGACGAGGAAGAAAGGCGAACCGGCGGCAGCGCCCAAGATGCCGGAAGTAGCGCCGGAGAAGATGTTGAGGCCAAATGACTGAACATTTGCATCGTGGTAGAGGAGCTTGGTCAGAGTGCCGCGGATGGGTTCGTAGAAACCGAGACGGCAACCGTTAAGGGTCATTTGGTAGATGTACTGTGCGGAACCGAGTCAGCTTTCGCAGTAACGCTCTTCCTGACGCGACAAACTCACGGCGCATGAGAGACCGCGGAACAAGCCTTTGGGACCCTCGTTCTTCAGGATTGTCGCAACGCCGTGCAAGACGCCGCGATACAGCTTCGGCGCATCTTTTCTTGCCTGCAGTTCGCCCTGTAACTGTAACCTGGGCCGGAAGTCAGCGACGGTTGGGCGGGCGAGGGGGTCGACTTGGCGGCGTACCGGATCTTTACGGTCTCGAAGCTATGAGTAACGGTGACGGCGCCGCATGCTGCGATACCGCCTGCTATAAACGAGCTGGACAACGGTCAGCGTAGGTGTTGCTTGGGCGCGTAGTATTGGCGACTCTTACCCCAGAGTAGTGGACATGGCTGGTTGCGCCCTGTGCTTGCTTTCGCTCTCTACGCCGGAGAACCGGGTGAAGCTGGAATGGCAAACGTCAAGCTGTCCTCCGGCGAGAGTGCGCGTGCAATTGAGGCGGGTTTGAGAGGAGAGATTGGTCGCCAAGGGTGGTGATGAGCTGTGGTGCTTACGTAGTACGAAATATTCGGCGGCTTACTTGGTAGACGCCCTGCGTGCCCCGGCATCGGAGCCCAGAGCTCGGCCCAGTGATCGTCCCCGCGGTCCGTGCGCCTCTGAATTGCTTCATCGCGCTTCGAGCTTCTCAGGAACACCGGGACAGCCGCACTCACCACGCCACCACACCAGCCCAACCTCGCGCCCGCTCCGAAAGCGGTGCAGCCATCAGCAGCCCGCCGCGCGATGCGCTGAGCTCCACATTCCTCTCCACCATCTGCCATGGCCGCCGGCGCAACCCCCACCAGCGGCGGAGCTCCGCAGACCCAGAAGGTCAGCGAAATCGTCGCTGGCTTCCGTCCGACCCGCTGCTTCCGCGCCGAGAGCAAGGAAACATCGGTAACATCGCTCGACTTTGATGACTCGGGCGAGCTGGCTATCGTCGCGCGCGACGACGACACGCTGCAAATATACAACTGCAAAGAAGGGAAGCATGCGAAAGAGCTCAAGAGTCAGAAGTACGGCGTGCACCTAGCCCGCTTTACCCATCACGCGCAGAGCATCATCTATGCCAGCACCAAGGTCGATGATGGTATCCGCTACCTGTCAACACACGACAATTCGTACATCCGCTACTTCAAGGGTCACACCGATACCGTGACCTGCCTGGCTCTAAATCCCTCCAACGACACCTTTGTCTCGTGCTCCCAGGACAACACTGTACGGCTGTGGTCTCTCAACTCCCCCAACACTCAGGGCATGCTCAAGCTGCACGCTCCGTACCTTGCTGCCTATGACCCCTCTGCCAGCGTCATCGCTATCGCCTCGCCCCCGACCCAGACCATCCTCCTGTACGACGTGCGTAATTTTGACAAGCCACCGTTTGCAACATTCGACCTGCATGAGATGGAGCAGCAGTACACGCCCGGATCTGTAGGTCGCACCTGGTCGAAGCTGGAATTCTCAAACGACGGAAAACATCTTGTCCTTGGCACTACTGGCGGTGGACACTTCGCGTTGGATGCTTTCGAGGGAAGTCTCAAGCATTTTTGCCTAAGAGAGCTAGGTACTTCTGGGCGTCGCGCTGCGGGTGAATACGCTGCGCCCGGGACAGTGGCAGGGCAAGGTGATACTTGCCTTTCCCCAGACGGCCAGTATTTGATCGGAGGCTCAGGCGGCAATGGCTTGCTTGCGTGGAATTTGCATACCCAATCGTCTTCTGACCGCATTCTCCAGCCGTTTACCGATCTTCCCGGGCCTGGGAAAGCGGCCGTGGTGGGGTACAACCAGCGGATGAACCTGGTGTGCACTGCTGATAAGGACTTCATGATCTGGCTGCCAGATCCAGAAATCATCTAAAGCAGACAACGTTATTACTTCTCCATGGATTAGCATTTGCGGCATTAGCTCTAGCATGGTGGGCGTATGGACAAAGGTTATCAGGAGGCAAGTCAATCGGAATTAGAGGCGTACGAATACCCGAAAAATGTAACATTATGATTCTTCAAGCCAGACAAGCAGTGAGCCCCACGCCTGGGGCGGTGATGCGAGCGGCGTACTTCTGGCCGGACTGGAAAGACGTGGCCAGCAACGGCGGGGCGCAAGCACCACGCGCGCAGCGGAGCTTCCCCGAGCACACCGCGCACCCACGTCAACCCCACGATGGTCTCCCTTGCCCAACGATGAGCGCCTCACAATCCTACAAAACAGCCCAAGATGCGGCATCACACCAGCAGCAGCGCTCCATCACCCCGGGGCTACGCTACCCATCGAACCGCAAGACCATCTACGACCGCAACCTGGGCCGCAGCAAGAATGCCGAGCTCAGTCGCGCCGCCTTCGCCTACCTCTTCGTGGAGATGATCACCTACGCCCAGAGGAAGGTCACCGGCGTCGCCGACCTAGAAAAGAGGTACGCCAGGCGCCGATTGCCCCCTCCCCTCCGTCCCCACACACGACGGCTCACGCAAAACCACGCGATTTTCCCCCGAACCTCAGGCTCAACAGCCAGGGCTACCCGCTCGGCCTCAAGCTGCTCGACCTCCTCTCGGCGCGCTCGCCGGTCGCGGGCGCGCTGACGGCGAACCCGAACCCGACGCGGCCGACGCGCGTGCTGGCGCTGCTGCAGTTCATCACGACGACGCTGTGGAAGCACCTGTTCAACCGGCCGGCCGACGCGCTCGAGCGCTCCGCCCAGGCCGCCACCGACTACATGATCACGGACAACGCGCCGCTCGTCGTCGAGTACGTCAGCACCCCGCGCGAGATGAGCTCGCTCAACGTCGCCGCCTTCGTCGCCGGCGTCGTCGAGGGCGTGTGCGACGGCGCCGGCTTCCCGACGAAGGGCGTCACCGCGCATTGGGTCGACGATGGCGCGGGGAATGCGGCGCAGGCGGCGGGTGGCGGTGCGGACGGCGAGGCGGGCGCGGGGAGGGAGATGTGGCCGAGCAAGACGATTTTCTTGATCAAGTTCGATGAGAGGGTTATCGAGAGGGAGGAGATATTGGAGCCGCCCAAGTAGACGCGATGAGTGGGAAACCTTGGGCGTGGTGCGGACAATGGGTGCGGTGCGAATCGGGGGGGTCAGATACCCAGAAAGAGCCAACGATACTTCTCTCTGGCATGGCTTGGGCGTTTTGTGTGTGAGACACAGGGCGGCGTTTTTGGAGCAATATTACCGAAACGAGGGTTAAACATGGGTTTGGTTTCTCTACGTCTAAAGTAGAATGAAATGTACTGATAGACTCATGCAGGGACATTCCACATGGTGCGTTGCGCGTGTCAGATGGGCCTCGAAAGAAATTGTGCGCATCTGAAAGATTCAGACATGATAATGTTCGTTGTCGCTTTACACCTTTGCGCCGGCTGTTCTCTTCGAAGCCAGCCAATATCTAAATCAAGCACAATGCAAGAAGTCATTTTTAATTGCCAATTGAAAAAGCGTCTCTCCCAGCGAATCAGAGCGAGAAAAGTCTATGGCTAGCACGCGTATGTCAAGATAGCTAATTTTCATTTTCACGGTAGAAGCTGAAGCTAAAATACAATGGCAGCACAAAGAACAACAAATTGACTTTGAGGTGTATCGACACCAAAAATGAGTCAATTCTAACCGCTGACAACCCGATCAACCAGCATACCAGCATCGCCACCAAAGAGCCCTTCTAGAACAATGGCATCATCATCTCAGATATCTCAGACCACCACTTCATCTACCCGGATCAAGCTTTTCACTGCATCTAAACTCCCGGCCCAATCAGCGCTCCATGTTTTTGTTTAACTCATCAGTCTCACATATTCTAGTCGCGACGGCTTCCCAGAGCCGCGCTTCTTCCCTCATGCCGATCCTCTTAAGGGCCTCGGCGAACGGAGTATCTACACTGTGCTATTCGAGCAAAGTACGGACGAGCCGATCGCCTTGGACGACAGAGTCGGTAAGACAAAAAGAAAAAAATCAAAGAAAGGAAGAAGAGACAACATTCGCCGTCTTAATACCTCCTCCAACCAAAAGAACAAGGAGTCAACAGACCCTCACACACTTCGAGATTGTCGTCTTCGCCGCGTTAGCCTTGCACCACGGCAAATGTTTCGCAAACCAGTGTATCCGGGCAGCCGAGCACCCCAACGGCACATACTGGACCAAGCGCGGCTTTCAGCTCATAGACGCGTGTGTCAAGCCCAGAGGCATGTGGGGCGTGGAGCGGGATTTTGTGTTGTTGACGATGAAGAGACGGCGGTGGCGGTGGCGGGGTGTGTGTGTTGGGGGTGGTTGACCATCCCATCCTGGCACACTTGGTTATTCCGAGAAAGTCATGTGTGACAAGTGAAACGGACATATCATAAGATAATAATCAAGCTTACAGATTTCCTTATATACGAGTCGTCTCGTCCATATATCGAAGAGGAACCATTGCGCCAACTCCGTTCCGATGAGCTGCTTGGTAGCAGTATCAGCCATTTCCAGACAGGCATATAGTACATCAGAGACTAGCACTTAAATCAGCCACCGATTATGTCTAATCAACAGATCTGCCTAAAATACACCATTCACTAAGAAGTTCGCAATATCAACTTTCCCGCTAGACCCAGCACGACGAGAGCCAGTCAGCCAGCCAGAACCAGCACCGTCGTGTTCAACTGATGCAGTCATAACGCATACGCTAAGATCAAGGTGCGACGATTAAGAGATCGCCAAGCTTGGGCAAAACGACGCACAGCCTACTTTGGGGCTCTTGTAAAGGACAATGCCTGCTGCTGATCCCCGAATTGTAAACACGACGTGCGGTGGACAAGCCTCGCCTTTATGAGCAACAATTCAATCATAATAGACACTTTCCGTCTCTCAAACTCTCATGAAGAAAAGATAAGGAGATCGTGATTGTCTTTTTAAGTATTTCCAATAATCTAAGGGCCGTCTACTTCCAGCGAGCACTTCTCTTCATACCAAACCCGTAAGCTCTCCCCTCCATCTCCGATTCTAAACATAGCTCATTAACCACCACCACCCAAAAGTCAAATTCAGCAGCAGAGACCTAAGCCGGTAAAGCATACTTCAACCAAACAGGATTACTCGCCAGCGCCTCCGACGACCTCCCCTCCTCCATGGCCATCAAAACCTCGACGCCGTCCTTGCCATCGACGCCCGTCCCCCTCGGTACAGGCGGCAAGATCATCTGAACGCCATTCAGCACGCCCTCCGAAACCGTGCGCACGCGCTCGCAGTAACCGCCACCACCAACACCACTTCCGTTCTTCTCCCCATTCACCTGGCTGCTGCCGCTGCCGTTAAACGCCACACCCCAGTCCGCATCGTAAAACGGAAAGTCGTTCCACTTTGAAATGAAAACGCTATTCTTCCCCAGCCCGGCCCACGAGACGGGCGCCAGCCGCTGGTAATCGGGCATGCTGGGCGACTGCAGCGTGTTGACGAGCGTGGCGACGCGATGGGCGGTGACGCTGTCGATCTCGGCCTTGACCGTGGTCGCGAGCATCTGCAGGATGGCGGCCTCGCGGTCGTCGTCGTCGCCGCTGACGTTGAGGATGTCGCCGAGGGGCACGACGGCGGATGCGTAGACGAGGGGGCAGCCCATGTAGTCGGGCGCCAGGTGCGGGAAGGTGCGGGAGCGGCTGGGGACGGCGAGGGTGGCGATCGAGTCTTGTGGCAGAGGCGCGTCGCTGGGGATCTGGGCGGCGACGGTGCAGCGCCAGAGCAGCGCCGAAACCGCTTCTTCCATGCTGACCCGTCGCTGGCCTGGGGCGGTGGCGTCGGCGCGCAGCCGCGCGATGGCGTCGGGCGTGAAGTGCCAGATGCGTGCGCGGAAGCGGCGCTGGATCGAGGGTATGCGTTCGGTCTGCGGCAGCGGCGTGTCGTTGAGGACGAGCTCCGGATGGTGTTTTATGTCGCATTTGTTCGGGTCCGACAGGTGGCCGTACAACAGCGGCGCGCGGTCGAAGGCGGATGAGGAGAGGAAGACGGTGTCGCCGCTGCCGCCGTCGGAGCTCGTGTGCACCTTGCGGCAGTTCTGCGCCCAGAGCTGGAGGTACTTTGCTATCGAGAAGCCGTCGGCAACGAGGTGGTAGCTGCAGATGCTGAGGAGCAAGCCGCCCTCGATGAAGTTGGCTTGAGCCGCGAAGACGGGGACGCGATCCCCCGGGGTGGGGAAGATGGGCAGAGGGCTGAAGACGTCCTGCAGCAGGAGGTCGATTGGGAAGTTCTTCGCTCGGAACTCGTCGTAGGTGAGGGGGAACTCGGTCTTGTCTAGTCTTTTGACGCGCAGCTCGCCTAAATCGGCAGTTTCTTGTAGCCCGAGGCAGCCCTTCTGATCGGCCTCGGGGTCGTCGTCGGGCACCACCTCTGCCGCGAGGTAGGGCACCTGCTCTTTGGTCATGGACAGGCCTTCTTGCAGGATCCGAACGACCTCATCTTGGACGTAACTCGGGTTGAGGGCAAAGCAAAGGATTGGCCTCGCGTATCCTCGGTGGCCGGCTTGCTCGAGTGGGGAGAGGATGAGTGGATCGTTGGTGCGTCCGAACATGGCGAATATTGATCAACTTATCGATATGGTATTGGGAGACCAAACGCGGCAGTGGTCGAGCCTGGACGAGCCCGTAAATATATACAGCGGTCGTACTTCCGGGCTCGATGCGACGCGGTGAGGCGAGAAATGTGGAGATGGCCGGGGAAGGGCACCAAATGTGCCGCTATTGGCCAACGGGGCCAATACGACGCTTTCCATTAGTGGCAAAAGAGACAGAAGTCCGAAGGCCCGAGTCATCAGAATGGTGATGGCGGGGCATAGTCGAATCATGCAGCTCGGCGTGGTTTACCATGGAGGAAAAGGAGGCTGAAGGGCGAGGCGAAAAAGAGCCGTGGTGGTACGCACGGACAGGGCGGATAGAGGACCAATAGATGTCTCCCTAGGAAAGCTTAGCCATGTTGTTGGAGATAGCTACGCTGATCAGTTGCGGAATGTGGCGGCATGAAACTGCTGATAAAGCTCTGGTCTTCCCCTGCAGCGAAGTCAATACACTGGTGTAAGCATTTGCGGCACAGTGTCGTGGTCCGTCCATAGACTGTTGCAATGGCAGGCGGACGAGATTGAAGTGAAAGCCTCACTTTGGCGATTGAGATGCGATGACGATGAAATCTGACGAGTGCTTGATCAATGCACGGCAAAGACGTTGGCTACGTCGCACAAAGTCAAACGAAGAGACTCCAAAGAGTTGGGGTGCGTCCGTGCTACGGTGGATCTCGGTAGGGGAGCGGGTGTTCAGTTCCCCGCGTCTAGACCAGGCCAGCGGAGGGGCTAGTGCTATCGTGCCTGCACTGCGGGTGGCCTAAACTGCCTCATTGGTGCTTCTCCTTCGGACCAGAGGCAGACCGAAATCCGGCGTTCCGGGTCGTGGGTCTTTTAAAAAGCCGACGAGAAGAGTGGACTGTGTGGGGGCAGATCTGCCGACTTTTGTTGGAAAAGTAGAGGCTCCTTCAAACACGACAATAGAGAAGGGTCAAGGGTGAGCTGGAGGCTATAAGCCTACCGGTCGATATAGACGGTGCATTCTTCTGTACTCCATCAGTGTTGAGCGGTTGCTGTTCTTTGGAAGCGGTACGGTCGCAGCGCATCGAGTGAGCACCTGGTTTCTGCGAAGAGACGAAGGCTAATCACATCAAAGACCAAGCTTGCAGTCAGAGAGCGGCTGTCGGGGTTCGGAACAGGACAGCGACATCGGTGGTGTTGGAAGCAATCGGCGGACATGTGCATTAGCCGACGAACCAGGGCGTTGGCGAGCCCCAAGCGAATACGCAAGCTGGCAGCCATGATGCTCGCATTGAGTGCTGATTTCTCGCGTCGTCGCGGCGCTCTCGTGGATGCATGAAAAGGATCCAACTGGAAGATGGGAGTTGCGTGACGGAGTTGGCCAAGCACGTCAGCGGAGAATGGGAAAGCGCGGCGACGACGCGTGAGAAAAGACACGGCCGCACTTGGCTGGAAGGAGAAGCACGGCTCAAAGCCGGCAATCGTCGTCTCCACCCACCAATGCTACAACCCACCCTTCGACCTCCTCCTGTCCAAGTCTCAGCAATTGACTCGGCCACAAAGGCCCGGCTACCCGCCTCGCTGCCGCCAGTCTTGTCCCGTTTTCCCCACGCCCCACGCCTCAATCGCCCACCATGGCTGCCACCTCGACCAAACGGCCGAACATCCTGTTCATCATGGCCGATGATCATGCTGCCAAGGCAATTGGCTGCTACGGTGCCGGCATCAACCAGACCCCCAACCTGGACCGACTGGCGAGGGACGGCATGAAATTCAACCACTGTTATGTCACAAACTCCATCTGCACTCCCAGCCGTGCCACCATTCTGACCGGCACCCACAACCACGTCAACGCCGTCATGACCCTGGACAGCAAAATCAACAACCATCTGCCCAATGTTGCAAAGCAATTGCGGGCGGGCGGCTACCAAACAGCCATGATTGGCAAGTGGCATCTGGGAGAGGGCACTCCACACCAGCCCACCGGCTTCGACTACTGGTCCGTTCTGCCCGGTCAGGGCGCCTATCATGACCCGGAAATGATCGAGATGGGCGAGTCCGTCGTCGAGCGGGGCTATGCCACCGAGATCATCACGAACAAAACCCTCGACTGGATCCAGAAGCGGGACAAGGACCGACCCTTTTTCGCCATGTGCCACCACAAGGCACCGCACCGGTCGTGGGAGTGCCATCCCAAGTACAAGTCCTGGTACGACGAGGACATCAAGATTCCTGACACCTTCACCGACGACTACAAGAACCGCGCCAAGGCGGCGAAGGTGGCCAAGATGCGTGTAGCCGACGACCTCACCTACAATGATCTGGGCTTGGTCCAGCCCGACGGTGGCTTGGGCGTCGGAGCCCCGCTCTTCAATGGCTCCCGGGAGCGCAAAATCCCCAACCCAGACGACGTAACCCGCCTGTGCCTGATCGACAAGGAGTCAGGCACCAGCTACTCGTTCCAGACAAAGGCCGAGCTGGCCGAGTTCAAGTTCCAGCGCTACATGAAGCGCTACCTCCGCACCATTCAGTCCATCGACGACAGCGTGGGCGAGCTGCTGGACTTTGTCGACGCCGACGCGGAGCTCAAGGAGAACACGCTCATCATCTACACGTCGGATCAAGGCTTCTTCCTGGGCGAGCACGGCTGGTTCGACAAGCGCTTCATGTACGAGGAGTCGTTCCAGATGCCGTTCCTGGCCCGCTTCCCGCGCGAAATCGCCGCCGGCAGCGTGTGCGACGACATCATCTCCAACGTCGACTTCGCCGCCACCTGGCTCGATCTCGCCGGCGTCCGTCTCCCCACGTACATGCAGGGCGTCTCGTTCCGGCCGCTACTGCAGGGCCGCACGCCCGCGGGCTGGCACCAGGTGGCCTACCACCGGTACTGGATGCACGCCGACCCCATCCACGACGCATACGCGCACTACGGCGTGCGCGACCAGCGATACAAGCTCATCTACTGGTACAACGAAGGGCTCGGCCTGGGCGGCACCGGCGCGGGCGGACAGGAGCGGGAGTGGGAGCTGTTCGACTGCGAAAAGGATCCGCTGGAGCTGTTCAACGTGTACGGCGACGCCGAGTACCAGGACGTCGTGGGCCGGATGACGCGGCTGCTGGATGAGAAGATGGCCGAGATTGGCGACGAGCCGTTGCACAGGACGCTGCTGGCGGGCGCAAAGGACGGGCTGAGTCGGTTTGATGATGCAAAGGCCGGGGTGCGGAATCATTGATTAAAATCTTGGGCGAAAGTCAAGAACTTGCGCGGGTGGGGCCCGGCGTGCGGAGATGTCGCATTTGGACGCTGGGTTCTTTTGCGAATTAGGGAATTCTTTTGCGCGTATCGTCGGGAGAGTAGAGCGTCGGGCCGCTTCGCATGCTCCGACCCGGACTCATTTTGAGAGGAACAACTGAAGGGACTCTCTCAACATGCTCAATGGGCTCTGCTAGCCCACTGCTTCTGTCAGCACGCAGCCTTTCCGCAGCCGGCACTTCCGCGACATGCAATCGTCCCCGCACCAGAAGCCCAGCCGTTCGGAAGCCCAGCCGTAAGAAAGCCCATCCTTGGCCGATGTGGAGAACAGGCACCGCGGGGTAGCTCCCAAACCAGCCTAGTCGCCTCTGCGCGGCCGACATGATTGGTCTCGTCGTCTCAGCATGCGGGGCTGGAGCTCAGAAGCAAAGAGTCGATCAGACTGTGGTCGGAGGGGTTTCGCTTGCACTATCGCGCCAATGGATGTGTAGATGACGGGAGGAGAAGAGAAGCCGGGTCGGGGGACTGGAGCAGGCTGAGATATATAACGGCTCCCCGCAGGTCTGTCCATCAAGGTGTGAACTTCTCCATCCACGTCTTGGAACCGACCGGCTACACTACAACCGTACAGACCAATCACAATGGCGGACCGTTTGCAGAGTCTCAAGAACCACTTTAGCGCTAGCAGCGTCACCAAGGGCAGCTGCATGTGCGGTTCCATCAACTACGAGTTCAAAGGTGTGTTTGCTGTAGGCGTCACTGTCTCCACTGCTTCGGCTAACTAGTAATTCTTCTACTCCCAGGCGAGCCCAATGCCACCGCTCTATGCCATTGCGTCGATTGCCACAAGTGGGTACGTCAGACAGCCAAACCAAATCTCCCTCGTCATGTCCATTGTCAAGACCTTCCTTCACTCCCACACCGACATTCAACATCTCATTTCACTTTTCACCCCCCGCTTAGAAGTGAACATCTTATCCCACATCCACTGTCCGGTTCAAAAGGCCACACACCTAATCCTCTCCCTCTCCCCTCCCCTTCGACCTACCACAACAATCCCAACCCCACCACCTCCCTGCTGACGAAAAACCCCAACCCCCACAGACCGGCGGCGCATACACCTCCAACGTAATTGTCAACCGATGGAACTTCAAAGTCACCAAGGGGACACCGTTCACATACGACGCCAAGGGGGCATCCGGCAAGATCAACCGGCACTTCTTCTGCGGCAACTGCGGGTCGGGCCTGTACGCCGAGCTGGAGATCATGCCGGACGTGACCATCATCAAGAGCGGCGGGCTCGACGGCGGCGCCAAGGACCACGCCATCGGCGTCGAGTTCTACTGCAAGGACAGGCTCAGCTACGTCAAGCCCGTGGATGGGGCGACGCAGGAGAAGGCGTTTGGGGGGTAGATTATGGGATGGTTGGAATGTGTGTTGAGGGAGGGGGGTGGGAGACGGATTTCAGGTTTGTTATTTCTATCGCTGGTTACCTGACTACAATATGCTATGAGCCGTGGACAGTCTAATGACATCCGATCAAACAAATGCAGCGAAACATGTCTATATGGACCCTTAAGCCCTGGGAAATTTCCTAATTCGTCCGGTGAAGGGTATCATATTCCCTTGATAAAGATGTTATTAACGCAGCTCATTGTGTATAAGGTGTGATCTCTAAACAATTCGGAGACTTGCTATTTCCTTGGACTTTACACTTTATACCGTCCTTGGCCCCCTGAATACCTCAGCAGTAATAACTTCTAACCCACTAAATAAATCTCCAGCTCCCGGAATGCAGAAGGTAAACTCATGTTTCATCCGTTACAGCCTATAGCTTGCACAAAATCCCACTGGAAGAAAGGACTGAAAGGTGGGATTTGTTAATCTCATTGACTGACCGGCATCTGATTCTCCACGTTAGAGAAGCGTTGTCTCGCTCCAGAAGAGGAGGGTGATCTTACCCGGCGAGCGCCATCGTAATCTTGAACTCGTTCAGCAGGATCTTGATACCCAACTCCACGCCTTCTTGACCCTTGTACTGTTCTAGAGGTCAGTTGCTGGAACCCATTGTTAGGACATGGGCATGAGTGCAGTACTGACCGAAAGCCCCCACAATGCTATTCTCCCCGCGAAGCAGTAGTCGGCTCCGAGCGCCAGCGCCTTGAAGATGTCGGAGCCCCTGCGAATTCCGCCGTCTATTGCAATCGCCATCTTTCCCTTTGCCGCGGGTGCGCACTCTCGCAGCGCATCGAGCGTCGCGGGCACGCCGTCAAGCTGGCGCCCGCCGTGGTTGGAAACGACGACGCCATCGAGGCCGTGCCGGATGGCGAGTACGACATCATCGGCCGTGTTGACTGCTCAAGCCGGTCAGTTTCCGGCCACCATACGGACTCTGAATATCCGGTCGACGACGTACCGCCTTTCAGCCAGACCTGCATCTTGGTGTTTTCCCTCAGCCACGGGATTGCCGTCTCCCACTCCAAGGTCGCATCTGCAGAGATGTGCAGTCAGTCCAGGATCGTAACACGTCCCCGTGTCGGGACTTGACCCCTTTTCCGTACCGTAGTCATGCCTTCCTCCCAGATCATCTTTGCCTGCAGACAAGATGTTCGGGTATGCCAAACCGCTGGGCAGCACGAACTTGTTCCTGAACTCGTTGAGGCGCAGGCCGAGCACGGGACAATCCACAGAGAGGAACAGCGCCTTGTAGCCCGCGGCTGCAACAAAAAGGTGAGTCAGCAAACGTGCCGCCGGCGCAGATCGCTCAATCGGCGTTGTTTTGGTGATGGGGCCGGAGGGAGAGAGTCAAGCTTACCTTCCGCCCTCCTGAGCAGCTGCTTCGTGATCTCCTTGTCCTTTAGCACGCACGTCTGCATGACGTACGGGTTGCCCGCGCCCTGGGCGGCGACGTTTTCGAGAGTCTCGGTCGCGTACGACGACAGGCCCATGCAGATGTACTGCTGGGCGGCGGCGCGCGACGTCGCGAGCTCGCCGTCCGGATGCGCCAGCCGGTGCATGGCCGTCGGGCTGAGGCCGAGGGGGAACGAGACCTGGGAGCCGTTTATATCATAGTCAGTTCCGTGTCGTCCCCACCTATCACTCATTTCCCCCTGGCAAGGAATGCAAACGCACTTTTGTCCCAAATATGTGTGTTGAGGTGTCGACGGTTTCGACATTTACAAGGACGCGGGGTCGGATCTTGTAGCGGTTGTAGGCGTCTTCGTTCTCGCGCAGACTTTTGTTTGGCGGTAACGGGTCAGACTCGTGGCATATGGCAGTGCGTGGCAGCACGTGTCTCTACCTTATCATGTCCATTGCGCCTTCGTTGAAGTAGTCTGTTGCTCATCCAGTCAGTGGTCAGAAATTCGTCATTTTGGGGTTGTGCCGTTTACATCAGAACACAACATACCTCTGTACATCTTTGGCAGCTTACTGCTGCCCAACTCCTTGAGGTCGTTGATAGTGAAGACATGGGGATCAAGTGCAAGGCCGCGATTCGCCATTTTGGCCGAGTGGATCGAATAGGACTGACAATGTGAGCAAGGGAAGAGGAAGGATAAGAAAAGAAGAAAGAAAAGAAGAAAGCAATGCGCACCCCCTCAAAAGTTCGCCGTTATCATTATATACATGGCCAACCCCTAGGGCATGTCTACCACAATCGTAGGACGTCGCGGTAGCTTGCCAGGCGCGCAACCGCGTTGATAGCGTTACCCCGGACCCCGCGGCTAGGCGGTGGGTCGGCTCGGGCTCGCTTTCCTCATCCTGCTCTCCCCCATCCGGACTCGGCCCGTCTCCAGTCGTCAGCGTACAATCACAGAGGCGGCGTTTGTTAAACGGTGTCCAGAAACTCCCACACAGATCCACAGATGCACAGCGTAGGATGGGTGGTGAAACCCATATCGCGGCTTCGCAACGTCGAACCCGAGTGCTCGGTTTCTATTCCCTTTCCTTATCAGCTCTGCCCCTCAAATATGTGAACACTTTCACATGCTCCTTTGCCTCGCAATGAGTGGGGCCATGATTGATGGCAACAAAAGGATTGGGTCGTCTTTCCGGCGTCGCCAGTGTAAACTCCCCTATCGGAACCTGGAGATTGGCCCACAAGCCCACTCAGTAAGCTTGCCATTCGTTTGGTCCCTTCACCGAGCCATTCTGGCTTCACGTCGGAAAGTCAGTTAATACTCAGCCGCGTTCGAAAACAGGGGAGGGGATATCGCAACAATGATAACAGTCTCACACCATTGTCAGTCTATGCTAGGCTCAATTGGAAAGGTTTAGGAAGCTTGTATATAAAAGTAAAACAAAAAATAGGAGAAACGCCAAATAACAGAACGGCTCAGAAATGCCAACGCCGTTCATCCAGATCGTCCAGTAACCCTGCTCAACGCAAACGCCATTCCGCTTTTCAAGGAAAAAAAAAAAAAACACGAAACAACTCAAACCCCCAGCCCTCATCCATCCAACCTTCCTTTACCACCCACCCACCTACGGCAAAATCAAAAAACTCTTCTTCAGCAACACCCTCTCCGGCCACGCCAACCCCCTCCCCCCACCCTCCACCCCCATCCTCGCCGCCCACACATCCGCCGCCACATCCGCCGCGCGATCAAAGCTCCTCAACCCGCAGCGCCCCGCACACGCGCGCATCCACGCGCACAGCGCCGCAAAGTCGTCGTGGTCGAGCGCCTCGACGGCGGCGATGAAGGCGGGCCACAGCACGCTGGCCGAGACCGAGGCCGAGGCCGAGGCCGGGGCCGGGGCCGTCGACGCCGATGGCTCGCCTCCTGCCTGCTGGCCGGGCTGGTGCTGGGCGGCCGACGACGGTGTCGTCTTGCGGCTGCGGCTGCGGCTGCGGCGGCGGCTGCGCTGCGCCTCGAGCGCGAAGAGGTGGCGGCGGACCTGCTTGACGAGGTGCTGCAGCGGGAAGCGGTGCGTGTCGCGGACTTCGCGGTAGAAGAAGATGACGAGGGCGGCGTGGAAGGCGGAGGCGGCGTGGTCTTCTGGTTCTGAGGGTGATGATGGGGATGGGGAGGAGGAGGAGGGGGAGGGGGAGGAAGAGGGGGAGGAAGGGGATGTCGTGTTGGCTTCGTGAGGGGGTGGATGCTGTTGCTGTTGTTGCTGTTGCTGTTGCTGCTGCTGATGCTCTTTGATCGACCAGCCGCACAGCAGATCCTCGACGGCCTTGCAGCGCTTCGCATAGTCCTCGCCGAAGCCGGGCCACGGGTGGTGGCCGCCCCGGGCGCGGACCTGGCGCATCTCGCAGCCCAGGTAGGTGATGTGCGACATGAGCACGACGAGGCTCTCGGGCACGCCGTAGGTGCGCGCGAACAGCGGGCGCAGCGCCGGGCCGGAGCGCTCGAAGAAGTCGTCCAGCTCGCCGAAGTCTGCGGGCACGCCGTCCTCGACGCTCGCGCTGAACCACCGGTGCGCCGCCAGGGACGGGTATCGCGCGGAGCTGGGGTGCGCCGCGTTGGGCGGCAGCTGGTTCTGGAAGAAGTCGCTTTGGCCCGAGATGGGGTAGACGAAGGTGGCCTCCTCCATGATGCGGAGGTAGAGGAACATGGCGTGCAGCATCTGCACTTTTCGCGACGGGTTACTTTTGGAGATGCCGCGCACGTGGATCAGGCGCTGGGCGTCGAGGAGGTGTTTCCGGCCGTCGACGAGTTTTCCGTTCGTGATCTTTCTGCGTCAGCATCATATGTCGGCTTGAAGCGAGTCAGCGGTGGCTTACGCAGGCTGTCACCAGGATGAGGAGGGCCATCAATAGGACCTTGTACTTCGCCCTTTTGGGGCCGACGACCTCATGGCGCAAGCTCAGCTGTATGTGGGCCATGGCTTTGGTCTGGTAGGTTTCCGCAATCTTCCACCAGTAACCCTGGCCCGCTTCAGCCCCAGATAGCCTGTCGAGGTGGAATGCGCTGATGGCCATGAGCGAGTAGAGCAGTGACAGGCTTGCTGCGCTGGGATCGATCCGCAGAGTGAGCTGGCCGAGTGTCTTCAAAGCTTCTGGGAAATAGAGAGTCTGCCATGGAGATTTCCCATCCAAGGTTGGAGAGGCTACTTTGACAAAATCGGACATGAAATGCGAGAGCAGGAGGTGTTCTTCGGCCGAGAGTGGAGAATTCGAGCTTGCAGGGAGGGTCAATGCCTGAGGAGATAGCGGAGACAGTGAGAAATTCATGAAGTCTGTTCTGTCCTGAGTGCCAGGAAAGTGGTGCAGCTGGTCGAGAAACGCATCATGGTTTTCGGGCGGAAATAGAAATGACAAGGAGGCGAAATCGTCATGTTGTGCATCCTCAAAGGCTCCAGTGGCGTCAAATGCAGATATACTGTGCCGCACAGACGACAAAGAAAGCGGTGACGGGTCGTTTGGTGACTCCTGCAGCAACAGAACTTCCGGGTCGACCTCGAACGGCTGCATCTCGGTGAGAGGGTCGTCCATCAAGCTAGGTAGGGTGTCCAGCTGCAACTCCAACGCTCCATCGGGATGAGGGGAAGTGTCCAGTTGAAAGACGGTGAAAGGCCCCTCGATGACCACATCCTCTCCGGCTACGGCCCGCTCTTCCATTTGGAGGAAGTTGGATTTGTAGTCCACACTGGTGCTGTTGACAAGCTCTCTGCACATTGCTTTTCGCTCGGAATCTGCCGAGGCTGGTCAGTTCCACCTCGGAATGACGGATTAGGGTGGCAGATTACCAGAGAAGAGCAGTCTTCTACACTGCCGTGAGTCTTCAGGCTCGCGCGGCATGGGTTCTTCGGCGAAGAATGAACTGGCCAGGCCGAGAGGCTGGGTCCATTGGATGAGCGATTCGTAACCCTCACAGTCCAGGCTCAACCGCTCGCAGCCGCGGCAGCGGGGCCGTTTCTGATCACATTTTACGTGGCGGCGGCGACAGGTTCGACAGCCACCAAAGCTTCTCGTGCGCCGGGGTTGGCAGCTCGATTTCGACATTTGGCGACGCTTTTGGGAGGATGCGGTAGTCGGGGAGGGAACGGATAGATAGATGTACATACCTAGGTACAGTCCCGCCATTCGCGCGTGTCCCTGCGCCCTATTGATAAGACGCTCCGACCTCGGGCCGCGTGGGAAACTAGCCGTAAACAGCTAATCTGGCCCAAGTTCCACTCAATCGGGTTCCTCCCATGCTTGCTTCCCCACCGCCCGGTCCACATGAGAAGCTTCTTGGACCAAAACACTTCTTAAGCCGGCACAAAGTACTCCAGATTTCGAGAGGGAAAACTGGAAATCCTCTGCATATGAATGTCAAGAGCGCACTGGCAATTTGATTGTTTTGTCCAAATCACCAAATAGTTCCCCTCCCACTTCTCCCCATACATATAAGACCATTCTACTCAAAAAACAACAAGCCCATGCGACTGGTTGCCATATTTCGCAAACCACTATCCCCAAGTCATCTATCTCAACAGCGCCTTACCCATGACCCTCGCCCGGAAGGAAAGTCCAAGCCCAATCCAAATCAAACCCCAACGTCTCATCTGCCAGCCAAGGCATCTACCTGCCTTCCAACCGACCCACACTCGAACGCCTCCCTCCCCTTCCTTCAAACAGCTCTCTCAGGCGACAGCGTCCGTTCCTCCTTCCCCTCTTCTGCCTCCCACGCCCGCACCCTTACCCGCCTCGACCGTCGACGCCATCGAAAACGGCCTACTTCCCATGTCCACATCATCGTCATCATTCCCGCCCCTCTTCTTGCCCTCGCCACCACCACCTTCACCCACCAAAAACCATCCGGGATGCACAACGTTGAACACCACAACCGCACACGCCATCATCGCCCCGTCCAGCACAACAAAGTACACCTCCCTCGTGATGAGGTACCCATGCCACCCTTGCAGCAGCTCGACCGTCCTGTAGATGCTCCTCACATATATGAATGCAATCGACACCGACGTCGCCACGATGAGGATCATCACACGCCTGCTACTCTGACCACCACCACCACCAGCTTTCCCCCTCCTCATCGCCGCCGTCCGCTTCAAAAACACGCCAAAAAACGCACAAAACACCGTGATGGCGGCCATCTGAAACACGATGCCCGCCACCATGATGTTCGTGCCGGGCGCCGTGTCGCGGGCGGGGTTGGCGGTGGCGGCCACCGAAGCCATGCCGCCGCCGATGGCCTGGAGGACGAGCGAGACGACGTCGGCGCCGCAGAATAGGATGAGGTAGGTGCGCGGGGGGAGCGGGGAGGACGAAGGGCCGGAGAGGGTGATGAGGCGGCCGAGGATGACGTACAGGGCGGCCGTCCAGAACGTTGGGGCTGTGGATTTTGAGATGATTGTTAGGGACGCTGGCTTTCCCTTTCGTATTCAGGATGCGATGAGGGGTGAAGGAGAAGAGGGATGGAATGAGCGTACGTACCGAGGATGAGCGTTGTGATTTGCATCAGAAAGGCGTCGGTGTTGTAGGGGCACTTCGCCGACCATAGTCGTCCCGCCCACCCAATCACCTCCGCTATCAGAACATCCCTTTCAGCATCGTGGATACGTTGAGAGAGGTAGAGTCCGTTGCTGAGACTTACTTATTCCGCCAATAAAGAACAAGACGGTCCACCAGTGTCTGCTCCATAGCGTCTGTCCGAGGTGGAGCAGCGACGAGACGCCGAAGAGGACGACAAAGGCGATGCCAGCCGCTTCGGATGGGACGTAGCCATAGGAGGTCTTGTGTCCTGGTACATAGGCATGGCAGCCAGTCCGTAACGAGGCGTTGTTCATGGGGTATGACCGTTCGTGGACGAGAGTATAGTCCAACTTTCAAGAAAATATGCGGCGGAATGAATGTGTATTGCCTCACAGAAGCAAAACAAGCTATTATGAAGCATGTAGTTGGAAGCCGCAGTCATAGTTATGAGCTCTGGGCTCAACAGAAGACGTCAGGCATCTCCCTGTGGGCCCACCCATCTTCTCTTTCCGCTAGATCCATGGCGCAAAAAGCCACTGGACGGTGCAAAGACGACGCGTCTTGAAGCCTCTCGGCTTACATGTTCGTACGACAATGGTAGACTCGCGTTGATTGCCAAACCAGGAAAGCTCAGGGATTTGGCGGACAACAGCAGGATTCGCCCTGATTACCAAATCGGGAAAGTTGAGCGATTTGTCGGACTCCGATTGTGCCGACTGTGAATGGCCGTGATAGGCTGAGTGTGGCCAAGGGGCGCAGTACGAGTCCGCAAAAGCGAGAAAGAATCGAAGCTCGGCCATAGGGTAGGTGGAGCGGACTCTTCTCATAGCCAGCAGAGGCCTCGGCGCTATACCGCATGCGGCAAAATTGTCGCGAGAGACGCGCTTAACCGTGTGCCTCCGAACAAACTGCGGCCACCCGGCCCAGGGGTTCGGCCGTCAACGCCGAATCTCCTTTCGCAGATATTCGAGTCTTGTGCATCGAGCAGCACCCAATTTGACGGAGAGAAGATGCGGACAAGACAGTGCATGTTGCATCAACACTTTCTCAGCACTTCGGCTCGCAGCTTGCCGCCTTCCCCGTCCATGCAGTCTGCAGGTCCGACTCGAAGGTGGCGGCGATGTCGAAGCCCTTGTTCTTGATGACCGACAGGAAGTCCAACACCCGCTTGCGCTCCTCGACTGCCTTCATCTCCAGCCCGACCAGGTGCGTGATGGGCATGTACATGATGGCTTCCAGTTCGACTCTGCTCAGCCGTCCCTCGGCGTAGTCTAGCGCTGCGATGGCTTGTTTGCGAATCATCTCATCGTCCATGACCGGAAGCTCGCACTTGAGCGCCGACCACGCCGGGTGCAGGAACAGTCGGGAGAGGCCGGTGAGCCCCCAGTGGTAGTAAGGGATGGTTGTGAGCGTCCCGGCATCCAGATCTTGCGGGTCTTGGTCTGCAAAAGACAGTATCGATGTGATGATCTCGCGCTGTAGCCGCGATGCTTGACAGATTATCTCGATGCCTATTGTTGCGTGCTGGGACGAAACACACCCATTGCTTTGTGTTGCAAGAGCTTGTGTCTCCAGCCTATCGACATCGTCGATCGATGGGAACCCGTGTCCTTCGGCCTCGACAGCCCACGAAAGCGCCCTGAAGTCGTCAGTAATCCGTGGCCGAGTCGACAAAGTGATGGGTGTATACCTGAATTGGAGTATGGCCCATCTCTCTAGAATGTCAAGCAGAGCATCCCAGCGTCGCTCTGGAGACAGAGAGACGTCTTTGCTGGGCTCGACTTGTAAGGTGAAGATGGGACGGGAGGTGGGCAGCGCTACGTTTTCACACATTAAGATGGCGCCCAGGGCATCGCTCGCGCGCAGGAACCTGGTCAGAGCCGACTCGAATTCGCCCTGGGTCTCGCGTGATCTGCCGTTCTGGCGCACGTACTCGCCCGTCTCTCGGATTAGTGCTCGCCACGTCTTCCCTGTCTTGTCGGAAAGCAGCTGCTTCAGTGTTAGTAATCTGATGAAGATGGCGAGGACTGGGAGGGCTCTGACCTCATTGAAGCCGGATAAAGAGGCACACAGCAGCACGGCATTGTACTGGTTACTGCGGGTGCCTCGCATTTGCTCCTCAACGGTCCTCTTCAGGGCCAGATAGGCCTTCTGGATGTCACGTTTCTCGGCAGCGTTCAGAGCGAGCAAATTAGAGTTGCGGCTGGCGTACATGCCGCCAACAACCGAGACGGTCCTGCTGACAAGCTCATTGCCATGCGAGAGGCCGCCGATGGAGTCAAAGGAGAAGACGGACATGATGGGCGAGGCGGACATGCCGATGGCCTGGAAGAAGGCGCTGGTGTAGCGCCAGGAGTCCTGGACCAGGGCCTTCTGAAGCTGGGTGGTGGGGCGGCGGGCGGGCTTCTTGTTTGCGTATTCTATAATGGTGATATCACTGGCGGAAGGCGGCGGGGAGATGCAATTGATGCCGCGGGCGCTGCAGTATGAGCAGGGCCGGTGGCCGTCACACTGAGGCTGTTAACTCGGCGGTAATGATGGGCGGGGCGTGGGGGACGGTGGGGGCAGACCTTCACATGGTCTTTCTGGCAACGCATGCAGCGGTGACCTGAGCGGCGCTTGTCGCGGGCGCCGCACGGCATGGCGACTATGAGAGGGCAGGGAGCCGGTCGGGGTCGGATCGGTGCAAGCGAGAGGTGGAGAGGGGCAGTTGCTACTTCTGGTGCATGCAAAGGGTAAGGACTCCGCGACCAAGAGCGGGAAGCACACAGAGCAGTTATAGGCGGCTTGGTCTCGGGGCGGCGACAGTGCGGATCGCGTATCCATAGGGGCTTAACCTTGTTGCCCGGCCTGACTCGTGGCGGGCTGTGCGCGTGTTGCCGGCCTCGTCCCGACGGCAACGGCCCGTGGCGCGGAGATATATGTGCGGATTGCTGCAGCCTAGCGGCGGTCCTGGATGGCGCTCGATGGATGGCGGGAGACGACGAGGGAAAAGAGAGAGGGGTCAAGGCGAGCCAATCCCAGATTCGCCAAGCGAGCTACGTAAGACCGTAGTAAGCAGTCCGCCAACCGCTTCAGGCAGTCGCGGCTAGGTCCCTCGCTGTTCCCCGCACAAAAATCACAAGCCCATCCCAGATCCGCCCGCCGTTCCGCATCTGCCCGACTGGTCCACTGCCCTGCTGCATCATCGTCGAATCTTTGCAAAAAAACAAAGTCGTTTACCTACTTGGCTCGCGCCGTTGCTGACCGCGTTCTTGGCGCTAAACTTCCTTCGGCATGTCACCCCACCACACGCAGTGCGCCATCTCCTTTCATACGAGATGCTCCCTAATTGTTTCCGTTTGATCTGTACTCTGCTCAACATTGCAGGCAGCCATTGCCTTTTGCTTTCATAATGACCAAACAGTGAATGCTACGCTGTGAAAAACATTGCATGCTCATGCTTCTAATGATGTGATTTCACACAATCGTTTCCATTGACAGCTGTGGAATATTTTACCTGAATAGAACCTTTAATCTTGAAAAAAAATATCTGGTCCTCTTTTACTTTCTTTTCTGATCTTTTCTTTTCTTGGCAAAGACGAGCATAATTCCAGACCAGCGGATTGCAGTCCCTATGACATAGAAGAGAGAGAGAGAGAGATAGAGAGAGAGAGAAAAGCAGGAAATGAAATCACCCGCACCAACCCACCTCCATGATCAAACAGAATCGTAATCGTAACAACAACCGCCCCATCGTCTCTTTCACCAGCTCAGTCACCTCAACAGACTCAGTACGGCCACCTCCAGGCCGTCAAATCCGCCGGATCCACACCCTCATGGAAGGCGTAGTTCCGAGCGCCAATCTGCTGGTTGAGCAGAGACTCGCGCGCGGCTGAGCCCTTGTTGCCGAGGTGCGGCATGCGGTCGATGGCGTCGATGGCGAGGCTGAAGCGGTCGGTGCCGTTGCGGATCGCCAGTTCGAGCGGCGTGTCGATGTTGCCCTTCTCGCGGTAGCCGACGACGCGCAGGTTGCGCTGCCCCTTGCGCTTGTACGTCAGGCGGTGGATCAGCCACGGGTAGCTGTGGAAGTTGAAGATGACGGGCTTGTCGTCGGTGAAGATGGCCTTGAACTCGGCGTCCGTGCAGCCGTGCGGGTGCTCCGCCGCCGGGATCAGCTTGAACAGGTCCACCACGTTGACGAACCGGATCTTGATGCCCGGCAGGTGCTCGCGGAGGAGCGCCGTGGCCGCGAGCGACTCGTGCGTGGGGACGTCGCCGCAGCAGGCCATGACGACGTCGGGCTCCTCGCCGGCATCTAGTGGATCTGTTAGTGTCTGTGACAGTTGCAGCATCATCAATCGTCACTTACCGGTCGAGGCCCAATCCCAGATACCGAGACCCTTTGTGCAATGGGCAATGGCAGCCTCCATATCCAAGTATTGGAGATGGTTCTGCTTGTCGGCAACGATGACGTTGACGTAGTTCGATGACCGGAGGCAGTGGTCTCCCACGCTCAGCAAACAGTTGGCATCCGGGGGCAAGTAGATCCTCACGACCTCGGGACTCTTGTTTGCCACGACATCCAGGAATCCAGGATCCTGGTGAGTAAAGCCGTTGTGGTCTTGGCGCCACACAGTAGCTGTCAAGAGAATGTTGAGCGAGGCGATCTTCTGGCGCCACGCAACCTCGCTGGCTTTCTCAATCCACTTGCAGTGCTGGTTGACCATGGAGTCGATGATGTGGATGAACGGCTCGTAGCTGTTGATCAGGCCATGACGACCAGACAGGATATAGCCTTCCAACCAGCCTTCGACCGTGTGCTCACTGAGCATCTCCATGACCCTGCCGTTGAACGTCAGGTTGCCACCATCGGCGTCCTCTTCAAAGTAGTCGCCGAGCCAGACCTTCTTTCCAGCCTCATAAACAGCATCCAGCTTGTTTGACTGTGTCTCGTCTGGACCGAAGATCCTGAAGCGATCCATGTTGTTCCGTACAACCTCACGCAGGAATGTGCCGAAGCGGTTCATCGAGCCATCCTCAGACACGCCCGCCTTGAGAACGTCGAATTTGAAGGCACGGAAGTCAGGAACCTTGAGCTTATGTTTCAAAAGTCCACCATTGGCGACAGGGTTGGCACACATGCGCCTGTTGCCCTGTGGAGCAAGCTCTCTCAGCTCCTCAATCAGTCTGCCCTCTTTGTCAAAAAGCTCATCCGGTTTGTAGCTCCGCATCCACTCCTCGAGCTTGGCGAGGCTCTCGGGCTTTGCGTGCACATCAGTGATGGGAACCTGGTGAGAGCGCCAGAAGCCTTCGAGGAAGTGGTCACCGAGCTTGCGCGGACCCGTCCAGCCCTTGGGAGTGCGCAGGACGATCATGGGCCAGCGAGGGCGGAATGCCTCGCCGCTGTCACGTGCTTTCTTCTGATATTCACGGATCTTGCCCACGCAGGTTTCAAGGGTGGAGGCCATCGCTTGGTGCATGGATTCCAGGTCGCTACCCTCGACAAAATACGGCTCCCAGCCATAGCCCCGGAAGAGTGCCTCGAGCTCGTCGTGGCTGATACGAGCGAGAATGGTGGGGTTGTTGATCTTGTAGCCGTTCAAGTGCAGGACTGGAAGAACAGCACCGTCGTTGATGGGGTTCAGGAACTTGGTGCTGTGCCAGCTGGTTGCGAGAGGACCGGTTTCAGCCTCGCCATCGCCAACCATGGTGAGTGCAATGAGGTCGGGGTGGTCGAAGACGGCGCCGAAGGCATGGGAGATGGCGTAGCCGAGCTCTCCACCCTCGTGGATACTGCCGGGGGTCTCGGGAGTGGCGTGGCTGCCAATACCGCCGGGGAAGGAAAATTGCTTGAAGAAGCGGCGCATGCCCTCGACGTCTTCGGTGATATCCGGGTACGTCTCGGTGTAAGTGCCCTCCAAGTAAGCATTGGATAGTACAGCCGGCGCACCATGGCCGGGGCCGGAGATGAAGATGGTGTCCAGATCATACTTCTTGATCAAGCGGTTGAAGTGGATGTAGGTGAAGCTCTGACCGGCATCGGAGCCCCAATGCCCCAAAAGACGTGCCTAGGCAAGAATCACATGTCAGTGATGTGTCGAGATGTGTGGGATTTATGTACCTTGATGTGCGACAGTTTTAGTGGCTCACGTAGAAGCGGGTTCTCCCTCAGGTAGATCATGCCCAGACAGAGGTACATGGAAGCCTTGAAGTAGGCATCATATTTGCGGATTTCATCCTCAGAGAGCGGCTTCTCGTTGACCGTCGCCCTGGCGACGCCGAAGGGAGACAGGCTCGCCGAGACGGTGCCGTTGGGTGCCATGGCAGAGGAATGGTGTAAAGCGAGGATTAGAGAGGAAGGAGGAGCAGAGGAGAGGAGGGGAGTGACTTCACCGGCGCCCTTTTTAAATCAGAGCCACGCTGGTGAAGCAATCGATGATGGCATAGCGCTGATGCAGCGAGCAGGATAGAGGCTGGAGGACCCTTGCCTCCTCACCCCATCGTCCCACAGTGCCCACGGGGAGCCCGCACTGGGGTTGATGCGGGACGTCAGACCACCTGCCCGGATCGAGTCGCGGCGCTGGCCGGCTCAGGATTGCCGGGGGCCGCAGCTGGGCTGGGAGCAGCTGCGGATTGGCGGCTCGCATGATGCACCACGACTGTGGCATGGACGACAATCAGTGGAGGGGAGCAGCGTTGCCCCGCTACCTACCCGGTAGCGTCCCAGGTCAGTTCGCTGCATGGCTCGCTGCACTCGACTTCCCGCGCCATCCCGAGCCGGGTCCCGGCGTCGATCGCCTTATGGCCAGGGCCCGGCCAGCTTATATGGGCATTTCGTCAGCCAGGCCGGCTATTTCCAGCGGAGCTTGCGGCGAAGCATTGGTGCAACACGAGCTTTATCGACCGATCAGACTGTTTCTCGACCCTGTGGTTGTGCCTGCCATCCAGCCCGGAGCCGTCCGCCCGCGCGTCTTTACCGCCAGCAATGTATAGATCGGCAAGGATACGATGTTGGGTCTGGTCGGGTTTTGGCTGGTTGCACGGCGACTGGCCGTTGTCGCGGAGCCCCGAGTCAGGCAGGAATCCTGTCGCTTCCGTCTGCGGAGCCGTTGTACGTTCCGCAATTCCTCGCGAGCAGCTACTGCAGCCTCGTCCAAGAATGTGCACATTTCCAGGCACCTTTCGCTTGTCGGGAGGAGAAAACAGGCGGGATAACCGAGGCATTGCGTGGAATCCTACCGCGTGTCCGGAGACTCCGTGCTTGGCTCAGCGGCTGGAGACGAATGTTGAGAGCTCTCATGATGAGGCTGCTGGGCGCTGAGGAAAAAGCCTGAAAGAACTTGTGACGATGGAAAGCGGAAGCCGGTGATCGTCGGGTGACCATCCAGAGGCTTTCCTGCCCGCCACGCTTCGCTCGGCCCGGCGCGGCGTAAGCAGCATCACCCAGTTGCTCGACTGATCCACTTCGTCCTCCTCATGTGGACGTCGATGATATGGCAGCCCATGTGGCGTGTCAGCCGGCCATCTTCCCGCCGTCTCTCTCTCTAAACATCTGCGCATCCGTTGCTCTGCTATTTCGCCTTCACCAGTCCAATACACTTACTTCCCTTGTCCTCTACAATTGTTCGTCCCTGATCCATAGGCTCAACTTGATTGTCGCTGATTCTATCATACTCCAACACGAACTACGGTTCTAGTCCAGGGGCAGCTGAGAAACCTTTTGTCGGCTCAAAAGTCCACAGTAGGCAAATGGGGCCTGGGAGGGCTCCAATTCCATAGGGCATAGTCGTAAGTCGCAAGCTTGCCTTTGGAGTGCTCACTTTCCAGTCAAGCGGGAGACATGAAGTTGAGAAAAGGTACACTGCACGTCTCCGCATTGTCAAAGCTGACCCCTGACGCCCTGCAGGGCTCGCGTCCGTTTGGCTGGATACCTACCCTCCACAATTCGTGGTAGGTGCGCCAGGGGAAACACGTTTGCTGGGTCGCTTTAGCGCCAGAACCTTTGTCTGGAGATCATGAGATTCTTGCATAAAACCTCGGGAAATCCGTGCGGGGAATCGTTATGTAGAGCAATTGGAACTTCTCGCTGTATCGTAACGCCGGCTGTTGCCGGTCTTCTGCATTACTGGGCGGTATTCTGTTTTGAATGACCCCCAAGGCGTAATGAGTGCGAAAGTCTGCCCACATATGCTAGCAAAACCCGCAGCATGCGTCTACCATTTACTGAACGGGGTATAACACTCCTTTTCGTATCATGAGCTTCCTGCAAAGATGACGGTATGGAAATCCAGCCATACAGGTGGGCTGAAAGCGGAGTCTGCCACGCTTACTTCTCTCCCGCCCTGAAAAAACCAGTTCTTCCCCCCAAGTAACAGCCGGAACGCCGTGTATGTGCACAGAGGTCGGCCCCATGGCGCCACGGCGGCGGCGCCAGGTGACTCCAGATGAGGCGGCCCTGCCCGCTTCCTTCACTCCGCCACATCGAGATCTTCGTCTGCAGCTTCCCCGCCGTCCTGGTGCACGGAGCTGAAGGGGCTCGCAGGCTTCCGGCCAACAGCCGCGATGGTTTCGGCATTGACGCTAGCCAGGCTCTCAGATCCTTTCGGCGCGGGTTCCATGCTCACATCGTCCTCCCGGTTGTCCTGCAAAGAGGCAAAGACATTCTTAACCTTGGCATCACCGTTCAGAGCCTCCCACTCCTTTCTCCTTTCTTGGACCTTGCGACCCCTCCTCTTGCTCTCCTCGACCTTCCTTTCATGCTTGTCGTAATTGGCGTCGGCCCTCTCCATGGCTCGCTCTTGGCGCACGCGCTGCTGGTGGGTCAGGCGCTTTTGCTTCTGCTTCTTCGAGATGCCGGCATCGTGGGCGGCGAGTGCTGAGGCAGCAAGCTTGGATTTCGGCTTGGGGAGCGCTGAGGCGTCTGTGAGGGTCTGAAGCGACTTGTCAACGGGCTCCTCGGCGCGGCGAGCGGCGCGGGAGTGCAGCGATGGCTCTGCGCAGAGTCAGCATGGGTGGGCCGGCACAGAGAGCTGCAGACGACATACGCTTGGTCTTGGATTTTGCCATTTCGTAGTGTAGGTTGGCACCGTAGCGTCCGGGCGAGCTTCGAACTTTTTTGGTGGAGCGCGATCGCCAGCCGGTGGCAGCGAGCGCGCCCCTCGGCCGTTGTTCCGCACCGTCCGTGCGCGGGCGTGTGCAATCTCCAGGTGCCGCCCTTCATCTCGCGACAACTTCTCCATCCTTCTACAAACACCACGCCTTCTCCCGCCACCCAAGCGCGCTCACTTCCTCCGCCGCCTGCTCCAGCCTGCTCGATGCGGCACCCGCGGGAGCGTCCTCCCAGTTTTGTCCGCCACATTCATCGTCTTCGCCCCAGCTGATTCGAGACCACCGGCCTGCTCGCCTTCCACTTTCAATCATGAGCAACTTCCGCCCCCCTCCCCAGCAGAAGGCCCATGACGACTTCGCTGTGTGGCACGACGCCTACTACGAAGATCCTCGCACCACTCCCGCCTCGATCCTCGTGCTTGTTGTGCTCGGCTTCATCGCACTACACCGCGTTCTCGGCCGTTACGAGATCCCTCTCCGCGCCATTCCCGAGCTCTTCTGGAACTGCTTCGTCTACGCCATGCCCGCAGCACTCGTTTTCGCCATGGGCCGACCCTCGCTCGACCTTGCCGACAACGCCGACACAAGCTCGTCCGAGGACAAGGAGAGGAAGAATGCGAACCTCTTTGCGGCCAAGAACGAAGTGTTGCGACGCACCTTCGGTCTCGATGGCAACGGCTTGCTGAAGGCCTTCTCAGGCGATCGGGCGTTGCGCGCTGCTGGTGCACTGGCTGGTGGGATGAGGAATGCCGCGCCGCCTGGCTTGGGCAACTGGGACAATTCATGCTATCAGAATAGCGTGATCCAAGGCCTCGCATCCCTGCCTAGCCTCGAAAGCTTCCTCACCGAAGCCATCGGCATGTTTGATGGCCTCACCTCCGATTCTACGAATGGCACTCTTCTCGACACCGTTCTGAAACTCAATAACCCCGATAACAATGGTCGACAGCTTTGGACCCCGGCAAAACTGAAGAGCATGAGCAGCTGGCAACAGCAGGATGCGCAGGAATACTTTTCGAAGGTGTTGGACGAAATTGACAAGGAAATCTTGAAGGCTGTGAAGCAAAGCCGGAAGATCGCTGGCTTCGAGGAAGTGCCTTCGGTCGAGGAGGAGCGCAAAGCCGAACCAGTAAAATACCCCGAGTCACTGCGAAACCCTCTTGAAGGTCTACTGGCGCAAAGGGTTGGGTGTATGAACTGCGGCTTTACTGAGGGACTCTCTATGATTCCTTTCAACTGCCTCACCGTTCCTCTGCAAAGTTCCTTTGGTTACGCCTGCGACATCCGCGAATGCTTGAACGAGTACACGAAGTTGGAGCCTATCGAAGGGGTCGAGTGCGCAAAGTGCACTCTTCTGAGAACGCGGGATGCACTAGAACGAGTTCTCCAGGACCGAGACGAGACGGTACCTACTGAAGCTACCAAGGCTATGGAGGCACGACTGAAGCTTGTCCGGGAAACTCTAGAAGACGAGGAACTTGTGGACAGTACTATCATCAAGAAGTGCTCCATTCCACGCAAGAACTGGGTGTCTAGTACCAAGTCCAGACAAGCGGTCGTCGGACGTCCTCCCAAGTCGCTCGTCATCCACGTAAACAGAAGCGTGTTCGATGAGCTCACGGGCGCCCAGCGGAAGAACCACGCCAGTGTTTCATTCCCGGAGCACTTGGACCTTGGTCCTTGGGCTCTTGGTTCGTCCAAATACGACAGCAAGGACTTCTCGATTGCACCCGAATCTTGGTCTACCAACCCAGCAGAATCCATGATCAGCCCGCAAAAGACTCTCGGAATTCAAGCATTGCCCTACGAATTGCGGGCTGTGGTGGCGCATTATGGAAGGCACGAAAACGGTCATTACATTTGCTATCGGAAGCATCCTTTCACTGCCGACCAGGTCGATGGTGCAAATACTGAGCAGAAGGAAAGCGAAGGATCCAAAGAGGAGACAGAAGGCGAAACATTCAAAGAGGAGACGGAAGACGAAGAATCCAAAGAGAAGCCGGAAGTATGGTGGAGGTTAAGCGACGAGGACGTTTCCCAGGTGTCGAAAGAGACTGTCTTGGCTCAAGGCGGCGTTTTCATGTTGTTTTATGAGGCCAAGGAACTTCCATCTCCACCGAGTCCGAGCCAGAGTCCACTGATGAGGCGTAGCTCTACTGCAACGATCCGTGCAGTAGCTCCGATGTCGACGACGGTGGAAACATATGAGCCTGTTCAGGAGCAAGAAGATGAGGGCTCGGTTGAGGAGATGGAAGTCGCAGATGAGAAGTCGGCCCATAGAGAATTCTTCCCGATCGGCGAAAGCCACTTTGACGGAGAAGCCATTCCACCCCGCACTTCATACCACCGTCCCACTGAGTCCATGGAAACCACTCCACCGAAATCAGACAGCGAGAGCGATTACGAGCCAATTTCGCCCGCGTCCTACAACTCAGGGCTGGAAGATACCGTCGTTCTCCCGTTCAAAAAGCACAACCGAGACCGGAATTCTACAATCTCCAATGCTTCATCAGCAAGCTTCAACTATCCGCCGACACCCCTGTCGCCTCTTTCCTTGTCGCCTACGATCTCTGAGCAACCCACTCCCTTTGCTGAGCATCGTCCGGCTTTCCCTAATCCCATCTTCACCCGCCAAGATATGGACAGCGACTCCGAGTTGCAACCTCTCGCTTCCCCTGCCCTCTTCTCGCCACACAGCCTTGCGACGCCAACATCGCAGAGCCCCAATCTCGATCCTATCACGCGCGCTGCGATCGAGGCATCAGTCCAGGAGGAGGAGGACGAGCCGCGGTGGACGACGAGCCGTAGCGACTACGCCCCTTCGACCGTTGGCGGCACGGACAGCGAATACGCACCCAGCGCTGGCGGCTATCCCAGTGATGTAGAGGGGTCGGCATATGGCTCGGAGGCCGGTGACGGTCCCTTCAGCGAGAAGGAACCGTCAGTGTCAGGGTCGCCTGTGCGCATGAAGAAAGAGCCACAGCCTCATCCCCATCGCCAGAGCTTGACAATGAGGACAGCACAAGCTCAGAAAGCAGAAGGTGAGAGTGAAGAACAGGTAGGTTTGGAGCAAAACAAGCAGAACCTGAGGATGGTGGCCGCTTCCTGAGCTTGTGTTAACTCGCCAACACAACGCCTGCGAATATCGATTTATATCATCCGTTAGCATCTCGAGGGGGATTCTGCCTCATCGAGGCGTGCGGAGCAGCATTCTTTCAGGTTGGCATTGAAAAGAAATCACATTGGTATCATCAGGCTCATTGGGCCTGGGAGCATAGCGTAGGCGTTTGATCTGGTCTTATTACTTGTATTCTCAACTGGGCTCTCGATGGAGCTGATGGTGCGAGCAACTGTATTCTTTCCCTTATCTGTAGTGGTTTTCTTTGCGTTACTTCTCACTCTCTCGAGACCGGAATTTCTTTTCTTTCCATGTTCTACAGGACGCATGACTGTCCTGAGAAGCATAGTCACCAGGGCGTTAAATGATGAGGCTGAAAGTCAATTTTCCATCTTATCCAGACTCATTGAGCTCCGCTGTTTTGACAGCAATAATGTCTTGATTTTCCTTAATTCGTTTTCTCATGCCTTCCCACAATAGCGCCTCTCATATTATCCCTGATCCATCAATTACGCAAAAGGGCAAGATACCCAAAATTGGGCACGCGTGCCCGCACGGACACTCCCTTATTCTCGTTCTCTCCCCGCTTTTTCCCCTCTTTGGAGAAGGAAAAAGTGTGGATCAGTACCGGCAGCAGCTAAGATGATGGCGATGGTATCAGAGAGGCCCGAGGGAAAATTGCACCTTACTTCCGCACGATCCTAGCCGTGGTCGGGGCGCTTGTGGCGTTGATTAAGGCTATGGTTCACTAAAACTACTTCATAAGAAAGGCAGAAGTGGAAAACTTGAGTCAGGTTGCCGAATGATGCTAATTTGGTACCGCTGCATTTCGAAATTGCACCGAGTGACCTATTGATAGGAACGGTGTGTACAAAAACCGTGGAACGGGCTTATGAGAAAGCCCATGTTCTTAGTAGGCGAATGTGTAGTGACTAGCGCACACTCAAGACCAACAACTTGCACCGGGCCGCCCAATTTCCGGTCTGATTAGGTTTGGATCAAGCCAGGTTTTTGATCATCAAGTCGCGTGTGAAATTTGGACCAATTCGTAAAGAGGAGGATATATGCGATTAACTTGCATACATACATGAACACTTCGCGGACCGCTTTCATGGCCCAAAATCAAGACCACTTCCCCCACAACGATGTCTTGATCATGGAGAATGACATCCATAATCAATCTAAGCCGTACATATTGTTCTGATAAAAAAAATAGAAGAATGCAACAACTTTTTGCAGATGTGCGTCGTGATTACATAAGCAAACTGGGAGGTATGATTGTCGCTAAATCGTGGTGATGGCTGGGTAACTATCTCTAGAGGATTGGTTCGGATTTGGAATGCGAAACAGAGCACGTACGATTGCAAGGAGGCGTACAAAGCTTGTGTGGCAAAGGAAGGTTGCTCAAATGGAACACGGGGTGGTTGGCCCCCAGATTTGCACAGCCTGCTGATAAGGCTGAGGCTTACCCACCAATGGCCTTGCCAAGTAGTCCACGCGTCATCTTTCCGAGAAAGTACTTAAAGGAAGATGGTACCCATACCATCATGGACGAGAACATGGCTGACCCACTTCACGGTGGCCGACCGTTGCCACCATGCATCCGCACACATTCAGCACCAACGATGCGTTTCTTCTTCGTGGCATCTCTTGGAAAGCCATGCTTATTTCCATCTTCACATTATTAGCGAACGTAGTAGTTTTTTCACTTTCCGCATCGCCAGACTACTACCCCACACTCTTTCCAAATGAAATCAGAGCAGAAAGATACCTTGGCGAGGACATCAGCCTTGAAACCCCCACACAACGATGTATCGAAAACAACTACAGTTCATATCGGAGACTGGACCCATCTCAAGGTGAAATACGGTTGGTCGAGGTAGCCCCTGGCAGACCAGGAGAAGAAATATTCATCAGGCTCGGTAAATACGGGGGTCCTTGGACGAAAGGCGAACTTGACTACACAGCCGTGTCGTATTGCTGGGGTGATCTCCAGCAGACGCGTGAAATCACCATGCTGCAAGTCGACATCACCCCCGACGGTAAGCCCGCGCCGTTCGCCCGAGCCGACATCGTACGCTTCAATGTCACAACCAACCTTTACGAGTTGCTCGAGCGCGTACGACATAACCCTGATGAATGCCAAGATTCCGGTTTCTGGTCGGAGCGCCTTTGGATCGACGCGCTGTCCATCAATCAGAATGACATTCAAGAGCGCAGTGAGCAGGTGGCGCTCATCGGGGACAGGTACTCCGAGGCCAAAGACGTACAGATATTCCTCAACTCGGGACATGTCCCGACCTACCTCGGCCCATTCATCTCTGGCATAGCCAACGAAGTTCGCCCAAGGATCCAAGCCGATACCGACTTTTCCGGCCACGTCCACGAAGTGTGCGAGCTCCTGGGACGCATTAGCTTGTCTTCCATCGAGACGGGGAAGACTGTCGAAGAAGATGAGATCCTAGAGGCTCTCGCGAACTTGTTCGACAGTCCCTGGTTCCGGCGCGTCTGGGTGCTGCAAGAGGTTCTCAAAGCCCCGAAGGGCGCTGTGCACGCCCGCCTGTCGCACGACACGTCAGCGCGCTGGGAAGACCTCATGCTTGCCTACAATTACTACTGGCGGGCTTCTACTTCTCGAAGGAAAGATAATGGCCCCCAGCCATATTCGCACATCCCTCGGCTCTGGGGCGAGGCATTGGCTATACGGGAAAGAAAACACGGCGCCGAAGGCGGAATGACCAAGCTCGACAGCGGCGGGTACATGTCCATCCTGGAGCTCTTCAGAAGAACAACAACCCATTTCCACTCCACGGACCCCCGAGACAAGCTGTACGCCATCCTCAGCCTATCCGACCTGGCATCCGCCTCAGAGCCTCCGATCACCCCGGACTACAGCCTCTCCACCAGCCAAGTGTACGCTCGCTTCACAAAAGCCTGCATCCGGTACTACGGCAACCTCGACGCGCTCAGCCTCCTCCACGAGACCACCACCTCCCCGCACCTCTCGTGCAACTGCCCGCACTGCAGCAAGATCCACGGCCGCGGCGCCCTCGTCGACGGCAGCGACACCATCCACCCTTCATGGGCCATATGGCCGCAGTCGAAAAAGTACTGGATATCCAGCAGCCTCCTCGCGCACGACAGCACCTTCCGCGCCGCCGGCGACACCGTCATCGACGACCAGCTGTTCGAACCACCACATCACTCCGCCTCCGGCTCCTCCTCCGCCAGTGCCACCGCCACCAACACATTCCTCCTCCCCCTCCGCGGCGTGCCCCTCGAACCCATCGACCTCGTCTTCAGCAGCCCCGTCATCGGCGGCGACCGCATCAACGGCACGTGGACCGTCTGCGGGCTCGACGCCGCGCGGTCGACGGACGCGAAGAGCGCGCTGAAGCTGAGCGAGCTGTGGACGGCGGTGCGGACGCAATACCGCGCGCGGGCTGCGCACCACGGGACGGCGTGCGCTGGCGTCGAGTCTTCTTGCCGGTTCGACCGCGCCAGCGCCGACGAGGATCTGTTCGAGGCGTTTGTCGAGACGATGTTGTGTCGTCGTGCTGCTGGGCGCGAGCGGGCGGCTGGTTCTCCTGGCTGGGCTGCGGAGGAGGAAGGAGAAGAAGAAGAAGAGTCCGCTGGGGGATCAGCTGCGTCGCCGGCCAGGATCTGGCAGCATCCCGACGTCGCGGACAAGCTGGCTGCGCACTGGGTTCACACGGGCGGGGATCCGGAGATGGAGACCTTGCCCGGCGCGGTGCGCGAGGAATTGGAGTATCTGCCCGTTCTGCAGCGGCAATCGAAGCGTGAGGTCGAAGGGTTGGCGGAGGAGTTTGCTAAGATGGTGGAGCCGGCGAGCGGGCGGACGCTGTTCATCACCAGACGCGGCGCTCTCGGGCTCTGTCCGATTGGCACCAGGCCTGGAGATAGGCCTGTCATTCTGTTGGGGGGGAAGGTGCCTTTCATTCTCAGGAAGATGGAGACAGTAACGAGTGAGGATGCGATGGGAGGCAGTGTGGACGAGTGGAAGTTGATTGGAGAATGTTACATTCATGGAGCAATGGACGGCTCCCGATTTGAGGAGACAATAAAAGATGGCACGGAGTCGACGGTATTTTACTTGAAATAATAATACATTGTTTATACGCAAACAGTGCGCCATTTGCAAGCCTTCGCGAAGTCTATTTCCAGAAACAGCCATCTGAACGACGAACTGAAAATTGCAGCTCATGTTCCCTCACCTTTGAATTTCCGACCCAAAGCAGGTTCTTATTTCTGCTATCTTTTCATGTCATTCATTTTTATGCATCACCTATCCACTTTTGAATACCGTGCCTTTTTTTCCCTTATCCGTTTTTCAGAAACCCTCTCCCAACCACGTCCACCGCAAATCCAAATCAACACCACGCACTCCAACCCGAGTACAATACCGCCAGGTTGCGCTCATCCGTCGCCTGCTGGATAAGCTCCGCCACAGCCGCAGCGCTGCTCAATCCCTTGCTCAACTTCCTCTCGACAACGCTTAGCGCGCGGCCAGCTTCACCCTGCACCTCCTCGTCCTCCTTCCTCTTCATCGGGATCTCCAGCAGGAATCGCTGCTCCCCCCCGTCTCCAGCGCCGCTCGGATCCTCCGACACGGCGGCACGACCCACTCCATTGTTCTCCCCGTGCTTACCGCCGCCTTCGGTCTTGTTGTTGCCCTCAGCCTCCTTCTGCGCCTCCTCCTGCATTTTCTTTGCTTTGAGCGGCGACACGCTCCACGAGTAGAGCGGATCGTAGCGCAGGACGTTGAGGATGGTCATGATGGAGCCGCGCTCGTCGCGCAGCGTGTCGAGAGTGAACTCGCAGCAGCGGCGGAACACGCCCTCGACGCCCGAGTAGCCCATGGCGTCGACGATGTCCCTCGTCAGCCGGAAGGGGACGACCTCGGGCACGGGCAGCACGCGGCCGGCCTCGAACGCGACGCCGAGGTCGATGTGGACCGTGTCGCCCGACTGCTGGTCGAGCAGGATGTTGTGGCAGTGGCGGTCGCCCAGGCCCAGCACGTGGCCCAGGATGCTGATGGCCGCCGTGCTGCGCGTGTATGCCAGCCGCTTCTCGAACCAGTCGTCCGGGTCCCCGAACCGCTCGAGGAAGAAGTAGCGTAGCACCGGGTTGAAGTTGCGGCACACCTCGCGGTACACCTTCAGGCGCTCCTCGTGCGTGTGCGAGGAGATTTCGGTAATCTTTCTGCGGCACTGGTTATGGTCCCAGTCTTTTGGGTAGTAGGTTTGGTGCGCGCCGTCGAGGAAGTTCATAAGCGGTATCGTGTTCTGGACGAACTCGATCACACCGGAACGGTGAGTGAGCGGTACGACCTTGTAGGTCCTGATGTTGAGGTTTCGCAAACGGGTTGCCATGTGATTTCGCAGAAGCTGACTGACGTGCTCGAAGACCTGCTCCATGATTGCGTCCTGTCTTAGATCGTCGTTGCCGGATTTATACTATCAAATTTGTCAGCGCAGTTCCAATCACCATTTCATTCTGCACTTACCAGCTGCTTGTAGGCCTGGCCGTTATCGGCTATGGCGGTCACGATCTTTGGCTGGCTGAGGCCGTTGGCGATTCCCATTGTCGACTTGAACCTGTGAATCTTTGGGACTTCTTTGTAGTATGCGCTGCTTTGCACTGGGATATGCATGGTTATTGGCGGCACCTTGAGACTTGGAATCGAAGTCGTGAGCTTCTTGGAGATGGGATATCTCTGCAACTCATAGTCCCTTCCCACCTTGAACATAGTCGTGTCGACAAACATTGCTAGGTCGTTGTAGATGGTGTTTGCTTTGCTGATGCGCTCCCACATCTCATGACTGGTCTTGTCGGCCTTCAGCTGCCTGCCAATGTTCTTCGTAGCCTCGTAACGTGATTTAACCGTTTGGTCCTTTGTCATCTTCTCGGTGTACGAGCCAGCGTAGATGTGGTTCATGCCGTGATATGGATGGTCCTTGCAGATTCTCAAAACCAGAGAGGACAGTATCTGCTGGAAGTCTGAGCTTTCGTCCTGCAGGCGCGAGGAAAGCTGATTCATGAGGACCACGAATTTGCTGCTCGGAACGGGCTGAATGTACTTGGACACAGCGTGGTTGGCTAGTGAAAGGTGTGAATACTCGAGCCAGAGAGCAAACATCCGGAAGACGTCGTTGTCGTAGTCATTGCAGGCTTGGAGTGCCAGCAGATAGTTCTCCAGACTCTGCCGTAGGAAAGCGACCCGACTGTCTCCCAACTTTTGCGCTTCCTGCATGTCCATGTTGAACCACTTCCGCGCTCGCCTCGCTTGCCCCCTGTAGTGATCTCGGGAGCTCTTGGATCTCTGTGCACTCGCCATCCTCTCATACTCCAAGGCGTCGGCCTCCTTCCTCTCCGCTAACAGCCTCATCCGGTTTTGATCTTCAAGCAATTCAGGACTCTGGAGTTGTTGATCACAGAAGCTTGCAAACGCGTGATAGGCCTGGCCAGCCACTTGGGTTTTTGTGTTGGATTTGAGCTCCCGGATTGCTGGCTCCATGTATTGTTTCATGATTTCCTCGGGCTTCTTGAGACGAGCTTCGGCGGTGTATTGGCCCTAAACTTGTTAACCGACTGGGATAGAATGTGGTGGCCTATGTTGACTTACCAACTTTGTTAACAGTATGGTGCGGGCAACGGTTGGATCCTTCCTGCTTTTGGTCTGAGCTTCCAATTGTTGTAACATCCTGATGGACGTGTTCTTCTCCCCTTGGTCCCAAAGCACTCTGGCAACTTGGTACTTGGCACCATTCTCGATGTCATACCCGACCTCCCGGCAGCTCGGGACAATGTCTGCGAGGTAAGTGGCGCTGGCTAGGAGTTCTTGTAGAGCATGGTGTTTTCGGTAGACATCTGAGCCGTTGATTAGGGCATCTGCTTCACGCTCGCGAAGCTGTCTTGGATCTGTATGTATGATCGCTTGCAGGCTGGGAGTCTTGCTCAGCATGCTCCATAGCGTCTCGCGCGCAGCTAGAATCGGTCGTATATCCTCCATACTTCTGAGAGTTAATAACAGGTTGCCATCGGGCAATCTCTAGGCGATGATCGAACTTACCGAGCTTCTTTCATCCAAATCGTACGCCACTTGATCTCCCGCCAGGTTCCCCTTAACTCTTCGGCATGGCTAACGGTCATGATTTCGTCGATTTCGTTAAGCACCGCAAGCGACCGAAGGGAAGATTGTAGCGTTCTGGCGGAAGCGTTCGGTTCGATGCACGTCTCAATGATTTCCAAGAAACTGTGGTTCAAGTTCTTGCGCACCGAAGCCAGGTCTGTGGACATACTCATGCCTTGGAACGCTTTGTAGACAGCCGCCGCTTCACATTTCTTGAAATGGGGTGCCCTGATGTCCCACTGCTCCAGCTTCTGGGCCACTTCAAGGGTGTGGTTAAGGTTGTCTCTACTATCTCGGATGTCCTCATTCGAGGAGATGGCGTGGGTCAGGCTGTTGAGATTCAGCATTGCAAGATCTCTGACAACACCTGTTGAGTCAGATGGGGAGACTTTTTTGTTACGGCGCATCTCGCTGTCCATTTTTGCGCTGTGAAAAAGCAGTCCCTTGAACCCGTCAGCCTCGTAGTCAAGGCGGTTCAGAACCGACTCCAAACTCGGCTCTTGTTCCGCTCCATAAAACGAGTCTGGTTCATCAAGGTTGGTGTAAATTGACAATTGAAGCTCCAAGGGGATCGATTGTTGTTGCGGGAGAACGGAGGAACGTCGTGATGTCTTGGCAGGCTGCGATGCATGAGTTTCTGCCAGCAGAAGTGCTGCTCGGTGCATTCCACATCTGGATGCTGCCTTGGATGCGTTGAGATAGTCGATATTCAACCAATGAGTGCGGTCTGAAATGTTGTTTTCGCTTGGAATCTGTTGTGTTCGGATGTACAATACCGATCGGAGCAGAGCCTTGAGATAAGGCACATGTTCATCCGTTTCTTGCTCGAACCACTTGCGGTAAGCTTCCGATACAGTACGTTTGAGTGCCTCGCCACTTTTGACATCTCGCTCCAATGCCAAGTGAAGGATATAAGGGAAGAGCTGTTCGCTGAGAGAGGGGATTTCTGAGAGACATCTTGGCAAGGCTGAGACGACTCTGTCTTTGGGCGTAGACTTTGCCAGAGAGATGCATAGGTCTGAGATCCATGTAGACAACTTCTTGGAGCTCTGAGGGAAGAGAGTCGTCTCGACACCTTTGTTGGAAATTGGCTGAAGAAGAGGAATCTTGAAGGCGCCGTTCATCGTCAACCCCGCCACAAGAGCAGAAGGAAGTACTTGCTTGATCTCCTCGAGCTGCTCAACAACCGCTGGTTGCTCATGATCTGCAGATAAAATCTCCCGCAGAGTTCGCTCGGCAAGACTTGCTTTGCTAGGATCGTCGCCCTGCAATAGATCCGCAAGATTCTCGACAATCAACATGCGTGAGGTTCTAGATTTCCGCCCACGTATGTTCACCCCGTTTTTCTCACGAAGTGCCTTTCGCAGATTCTCGTGTAGCTCTCCGGTGGCGCCATAGCTTCGTCCCAGAACTCGTGCTGCCCACAAGAGATACTGCTTGCTGTTGTTCGCTCTCTGGCTTGATTTCCAAACTTGCGTGGCATACTGAGCAGCAAGCTCAGCTTTCCCAAGAAGATCTTCCCGGAAAGATGTCGGGAGTTGAAACTCTTGACAGAGCAAGCTATAAGCCAATTCCTGCGAAGGGCCATTGAGCAATCGCTTCTCGTTTGCCTCGTCCCTCAGCAAGGACATGAGAAGAGTACTTTCAGGAGTGCCCTCCACCGCATTACCGGCTGCACGAACGTCCCTAGCAGCACGAACCATGGACTGGAAGAGCTCCAAAGATGCTTTGGTGCTTCGGCTGCTTGTTGAACTAAGAAGATCTTGCACGTAGGATTCGAGAAAGCCGCTGAACCAATTGTCGAATTCCTGTGCTTTCTGCACGGCTGCAACGTGTTGGCTCTCTTGGGTGGTGTTGTCTTGGGAAGAAGAAAAGAAAAGCCGGAGGGAGATCAGAATGGATATCGAGTTACCTGCGACGAAGGAAAGTTGATCCTTAAGACGGTGTTTTCCGTGCTGTAGCAAATAGCGCACGATTCCAAGCGTGTCTTCGGCACAATGAGCATCCGTTAAGAATGGTCGAAGCGAGCTAAGCGCCATTTGGAGAGGGTAAGTCTCGAATGCGGTCTTTCCAGCAAGAGCCACAAGGAAGCGGATCTTTCGGACTATGGAACAGGCGTACAAAGAGCCGAGTGCTGGGTGAATTTTGTCAAGGAGACACCGCATGATGTACACAAGACAGTCAGGCGTCCAAAAGTTGACGTGGTCATACCCAGTGCGACGACATAGACGCTTGATCTCTTCGAATATGTGCTTAGCCTGGAAAACTGGCTGCTGGTCCGCGGGTAATAAGAGGCTGGAAGAGCTGAAATTTTGCATCTCAGCCATGGCATCTTCTACCTTTTGAAACTCGGGATGTTTGTGAATAGACTTCCCAACCAAGTCTGTTTCTTCCATAGTCGAAATGAGCACAGCCAAGACGCAGGGAAATTGCTGCGCCAAAAGATTTTTGTAGGTGTTATCACCCAGGAGCGCCCGAAGGGCCATTTCGTTATTCTGGGCAGCGTTGTCGCGTTGAGATCCACGGCCGCGACACTGATCCCAGGCGATAGCGTAACCGGCAGCCTTGGAAAAGTTTCGCTCCGCGAGATCCTTTTGAGTGACTTTGAGAGCTTCAAGGACAACTGGTACCTCCTCTTCGTTATTACGCATGATCAGTTGGCCGTATGCTTCATCTTGCGAATCTTCCAATAGAGCAGCCAGGCTCTCGTATCCGAAAATGGAATAGGGAATGTCTTCGAGTCTTTGGTTTGCGCCCATCCAGGTGTAGAACATCTGAGGCGCAAATAGCTCGAACACAGACTTTGAGCTCTCAAGGTTCAATGAGCTCGAGATTGTCTGGATGCAACGGGCGGCGTGACCGGCTGATTCTTTCACAAGACCGGCCGCTTCGAATATGTGGTACACGCTTCGTCGTAACAGAGTATGCCAGGCTGCACCCATGCGCGCCAACCCCAAAAGTCGTAGGGCCATTTCCTCCATGGAGTTCTGGTCACTTGGAAGATTTGCGTGTACATCATCGAACACTGCGTCGTGTTTGCTCAGTACGAAATAGTCGAAAATTCCTGACAAGAGCTCGATGACATGGAACTTGACGGATATGCCCCCGTTCTGGAGTATTGAAAACAAACTGGTTCGCACAGACGGCAGGCGCATACCGGGGCCCTGTGTATAGTCCGGCTGAATCTGCAAGAGCTTCTGAAGGAGATCCGCCATCTTGATTTGCACTGCAGCCGATGCAACTCTTTGTTCCAGTGCCTTCATTAACCATTCATATATGTCGGCCCCGACGTTGCATGCCTGCGCTTCACGATCTGTCCAAGCCAGTGCGGTGCCGTTCATGAGTTCGACGCAGAATCCGATAGCAACCTCGCTGTGTGCGTGTTCATAGGAGAACAACAACTTCGTGGCCACGGCTTGGAGAAGTGCATTGACGTCATCGTTGGTCAGCAGCAACGGAGAGGCCAGAATGTCCGCTATCAGTCGTTTACACATCAAGAAATCGCTAGCAGGCAAAGCAACCAAGTGGCGTTGAAAAGCTTCTGGAATTCGAGAATATGAAGTTTCGTGATCCAATGGGTCGTCTTCATCTTCATGCAGTGTATCGATTGCCGACGCAAGTAGGATCAGGGTAGCCGATAAGGTTGTACGTGAAGCGTTGGCGCTCAGAGATGCAACAATGTCCTCTCTTGGAAGATCCGATGCCTCGCACTTGGTGATGCGGTTGCTGGTCTGCGAGTCAAAATCATCAATCTCCATTGATTCGATTGAATCCTTCTGTCTTTGACAGTTTTCAAGAGCCTCCGAAAAGAAAGAGATGAGAGGGTTGATGCCGAGACTTTTGAACAGGTCAGACCCAAGAGAATTGAGCGAAACGATCTTGGGTAAACTCGGGGCGACCACTTCAAGAACGGCATCTACATGCAGCGGATCGCAGTCGGGGCGCGATATGAAGCTGGCTAGAGCTCTGACCAGGGCTATTGTATTTCTCTCGAGCTCTTTGCAGCGGTCAGAGGGGATACCATTGATGCTCGTGGACAGTTGACAACACACCACACAAAGTATCGAGATTGTGCGGATCATGTCAGTATTGAAGCTTTGTGCCCGTTCATCTGCTGTATCCGTGAACTGTTTGGACGTTCGCTCCATTTCAGAGCTGCAGAAGTCCAGGATGACGTTATCCGCCGGTACGGATCGGTTGTGGTGGACATTGGAGATGGTTCCGGAAACAAATCGAGGTTGAGCGATAAAGGCTTCTTCACGGGGCGACAGAAGAAGGTAGCTGGCTAGCTGAGAGTACTGACCGGCTCGAATGAAGGCCAGCGCAAGTGGTCCGAGGCTACAAAATGGTCTCCCCAAATGTGGTGGGGGAAGCCTATCTGTAGCCATAAACAGCATGCGAATGATGTCCCAAGCGTCATAATGGTGAGATCGTTGTGTGGAGTGAGCTCTGTCGTGAAAGTTGCCTGGACCTTCGGTTAGGGCAACCATGCTGGAAGCCGTCGTGCCAAATCTGCCCCACTTACTAGGTGTCCATTTTGAGAATAGCCAGCGTAGCATGTGCTCAATGGTAATGAGTGAGCTATGCGGACTTTCGGAACTCCTGACATCGAACATGGTCAGCCACAGGGAGCAACAGCTCTCGGACAGAACAACGGGACCACGGAGCTCAACGGAGCTGATCATGGCTTCTACTGTCTCAGCAACGGCACTGAAGTCGACAAGGCCGAGGCGAAGAATAACATCCATAGAATGAGCTGCTGCTCTGCTCGTAGAGCTAGTGGTGACGTTGCGAGAGCACAATTGCCAGACGGTCGTCCAGTGTTCTCGGAGTTCTGGAGAGGATGACGCGAGCTGGACTGCACAACTGTAGCGGGGGATTATCATCAGCAAAACTTGTTCAAGTTCGGGGAGCAGCCATACCTGGCGGTTCCAAGCATCGCCCAACTTGATATTGCAGAATGTCCATCCGAGAGTCTGGATGTCAGTTTCTCCAGGACCATGCGAACGTCCTCCGAGGTCAGACGGACTTGTTGTGATATGAATGTGATGATCTGAAGAGCAAAGAGCTTCTCGGAAAGCTGCGGGCTTGCAAGCTCGCGGAGATAGTCCTGTAGATAGTTTGACGTACGCCGTCTTTTGCTAGGCGTCGCTTGCACTCCTCCTTGATCAGTCGACCGATCTGCTGAGGAGCGACTCGATTGAAGAGCATTGGCCAAGTCAACCACGAGGAAGAGAACAGTCCAGTTGTACTCAGACCGAGTATTTCCCGGCTTTAATCGGAATACTGGCAGAGAAAACGGCGTTTCGTCGTGGGGATACTCGCTCGCGCAGCGTAGTCGAACGTCTTCGAGCTGTAGCTGCTCGCGCTCCACACGTCTGACATAGTCTGTGTGCATTGCCTGAATGAAGTTCTCCAGGTCAACGCGGAGATCTCCAACGTCATTCTGTGCCTCTCTCAACATCCGATGGATGTGCGCCCTGCACAACACCAGAGTGGTAAGCATCTCATCTTTCAGAGAAGTTAGCTTCGAAGGCCAGTAAAGCCTCAGGACGGGTAGCAATCCGCAAATTGCCTGCTGCGTAGTAGAAATAGAGTCAAGGCAAGTCTTGGACAGCACGGCGTTGATGGCAACGAAAGCATCAACGTGGGCAAGCCCAACGCCTCGAGATGAGTTCAGCCACGCAGTCAGCGTTAGAAGAATGGCCGGCGCGTGGTCGAGTACAGGAGAGTTCGGGGCCGTGGTAAGGTATCTAATACAGGCCACGAGATCGTCTACAGCGACGTGCGAGCTAGAAGAGTGGCGCTCACTGGAGTGTCCTGCAGACGCTTCGCCAGAAGGCTCCGGAGTCAGCCGCGGAGTGCCAAGACGATTTGTGCCGGGTGGAGGTTGTGAATCAGGAGCAAGGAAAGAGACTGCTTTGAGGCAGAATACTATGATAGTGCCCGACTCCTTGCTCAAGTGTTCGACGTGGGGAGGATATTCTAGGATTTGGCGCAGACATTTCGTGTAGCCAGCAAGGAGCGGCCCAATATAGCCCTCAGACGGTGCTGGCAGAGTCTCTATGATGTGGCGGATGACGAATTTCGCGGTCTTGTAGCGGATGGTAAGTACACCCGCCTCGATGACGAAACGCATACAGGTAGCACAAGCCGGCAACATGCGCTTCGTTTTGCCTATCGCGCCTCTGCTCGAGTTCTGGAGCTGCTGGGGCGTTGCCCGCACGAATTGAGTTCGGAAATCCACAACGTGGTCGATAAGGCGCTTGAGCACAGCCCAATAGCCCTTGTCGGTGAGGGACTGAGACGTGCGACCAGGACTCGGCTTGGTGCATCTTGTTAGCACGCGTCTGAACTTTTCTTGGCTGTCATCGGTGTCTCCGATTCTAGTGGTAACGGTCATGTTTTCTATTCGACACGTCAGCGGGGTGCGAATGATTCGTGTTTGCTACGGCATCCTACCTAGAGCTTGGATCAGCTCCGCCGCCAGCGGGTCGGCGCCGAACATGATGGGTGGTGTCCGGGTACGACGTGGCTGAGGTCACAACGACGGAAGCGGAAGGGTTGGTTCGCGCATGCGCATGTCCAGCGGCGGGGTGACTCGAAGCGTGTCGGTTAGTGCTCAATGGCATGGCCGGTGCTCGTCATGGCACGCGCAGCACGTGGAAGGTGAGGCAACGGAGGTGCGGCGGTGCGGCGGCGAGAGAGAGAGAGAGCGGACAAGCTGCAGGCAGAGGGTCCGAGCGCCGGGCTGTTTTGTCGAGCTCCAGCCGGCCCATCACCACCAAAACACCGCGTCTGCTGGACCCGCCCCCGCCGCCCCTCCGCCACGTTCTGCGATGCCGCGCAGCTAGTCTCCATGGCCGATACCGACAGCCTCGAGGCCCTCCAGGGCCTGCACCGCGACTTGCTGGCCCTCTCCGAGTCGCGCCTGCCGAACATCGACCGCCTGTTCGCCGAGCTGCTTGCGCGTGTCGATGAGTTCAAAAAGCTTCTGGACAAGCCCCGCAAGAATGACAGGAGTCGCGAGGCCCTCAGGAACGGTGCGTTGCCTGCTGCCTCACCATTGGCCCACGCTAACCTTCCCGCAATCCAGACACGCTCGAATTCGACGGCGAGAAGTACCAGGTCAACGATGAGTTCAAACAGGACGTCGTTCGCGCTGCCGACTTCATAGACCTCGATGAAATCGAAGCTGCCAAGCTGTGCCTCGCCGCTCAAGACGATGCTGTCGAGCTCGATCGTTCGCTCTACGCCGCCGCTATTATCCGCTTCCACAAGCGCCGCCAGTTCCTTCTCGAATCTCTGCGCCTCGTGCTGAAACAGTCCCACGACCCGGAGGGTAACGAAGAGTTCGCCACTCTCTTCGGCGAGTATGTGCGCAAGGTCTTGGGTATCGACGAGCAGATGCGCTTGGAAAACGGCCATGCCTACTGGCAGAAGTGCCTGGCCAGCATGGGCGATATTGAGCGGTGGCTGCAGGGTTTGGCCGATCTAATGCTCGCTGGCAATATGGTTGGCAAGCCCGCTGAAGAGATGGAGATGATCGACTTCCAGCGCACCAGCCTGACGCGCCAGCACGAGTCCCTGGCCGCCATCTGCACCCATCTGATCAAGGCCGGCTACACCAGCATTGACAACTTCCGTGGCCTCATCAGCACCCTCAAGACATTGAGCAAACACGACCTAGTCCTTGTCCACTACGTCCCTATCGTCACCTCGTCCATCAGCCAGCTCGTTTCTTCGGAGCGTTCGTCATCACTGGAAGATGCGCGCGCTCTCCACAAGGTCGTCATCGCAGGAAAGGAGGGTGATGGCTGGAAGCTTCGCAATTTCCACTCTGCCGTCATTGTGTGGTGGCTTGTTGAATACAGCAGCAGATACGTCGATCCTGCTCCTTTGAACGGAGTCGACCTGGATGTTGAAGCTGAAGAGCGAACACAGCTGTTTCTGGACTCCATGAGAGATGGGGCTTTCCACTTCATGCTCTCGGTCAGCCAGGATGTCCGACCGAACAGATGGTATGATCCAGCAAAGGCTCGATTGCTGTCCTTCGTCCTGCAGGATGCACCCTCATTACCCGCCGACTCGACGCCTATTTCGGACTTCTTCCAGGTCGTCTTCACCGAACAAATGCAGCTCTTTGTTGATGCTTTCATCACCAACATGCCCGACACGCTACGGAAACTCAAAGTCGAGGAGGACGACAAGCGTCGAATGATCCATTCGCGATTCCAGCCCGGCCCCGTTGAGCAAGAGCTACATCTCGAACGCTTCTTCCTCATCATTTCATATGCCTTTGCTGAAAGCCCTGATGCCGCTCAGAACTTTTGGTCAGACACAGACGGCAATCTCTATGGCTTCTTGCAATGGGCAGCCAAACGGCAAACCACACCGCGAGCCGCTGCATTCTGTGAGATGCTGAAGTCTCTGACCGAGGGCGAGGATTGCGCTGCTGCTGCGCACAGGTTTCTACAGGAGGAAGGTGTTGTTGCTTCCGGCAAGCTGCGCCGAACCACTTCTTTGAGCTACCAGCACATCTTGAGTGAGTTGCACTTTTACGCAACAAGCATCAAGGAAAAGCCCAACCCTTCTCCTACGATGCGCTACCAACGATCTGCTCAAGATTCCGATGACTATCTCGTCGAGCCTGAAACCGGCTTGATGCTCGAATGTCACTTGAGATTACTTACTCACTTGTGCAGGGAAAGCTCTGAGGCGCGCAGCTGGATCTTGAACAATCCCAATTTCCCTGTTGTGGACATGCTTCTTCAGCTTTCAACCATTCCCATGGAGAGCCGGCTGAGGGCCAACGTCTTCAGCGTGCTCAGTTCCCTACTCGTCGCCAAGACCGCTGCAGTCGGAGACAGCATATGGACGCAACTGGATTCCTGGATCACTCACAACTCTGTACCGCATGCCATAACTTCACGCACTACCAACTCCATCAGTGCAGAGAAGATTCTCTTTGACACGGTTGCAACTGACTACGATGAAGCAACGGCCTTCATGAGCCTTTTGACGGCTCTGGTTGCGCCCTACGCTGACGATACCGGACTGCACGACACTCTTCCATTCCCCGAGACGCTTGGTTCCAGCTACCGCATGCCAGGGATTGACAAGTACGTCGATTTCGCGCTCGAGCGTGTCTTCGGCCAGCTGTGCAAGAAGGTAGAGGATCCACTGCAACTGCGTGTCCTGCGCTGGCATTGCCTCAACTTCATCTCGGTCTGCCTATCCACCTTCAACGAAGATCTTGTCGTCTTCGCTAACTCATCAAATCTGCCCGTGGACACTGCAATGCACTCTTCCTCGTTACTTGCCTATGTGCAACTCCATCCTTTCGCTCGAGTCATGGAATGGCTCTTCAACGACAATGTAATCTCTTCCCTTTTCGCCGCTGCACATCAAGATGTTGCAGAAGTCAACGACTCGACACCTGATTCCCCTCTGCTTCTGTCTTTGGTCAAGAGCATCGAGGTGCTCGATTTGGTCATGACCCTCCAAAACACGTTCTTGGATGTTGAAAGGGGCGGACATCGATCGAAGAATGCCACACAGAAAAGAAAGGTTGCGAATACGGCTCTAGCATCGTTCGAGGATGCAGTTCTCAACCACCTCTACGTTGTCGTAGACCTCGGGCTATATTGTGGTACAGGACAGCAGGATTTGACTCTTTGCTCCATCCATCTGCTTGAAAAGCTCACTTCGTCACGCAAGCTCGTCGTGTCACCCATGGCAGGCTTCGGACAACGGTCTGACCGGAGTAAAGTGATTGGCATCATGGAGAAAGACAACGACTCAGAGCGAATTGCGAAGGCTTTGACTTCGGAGATGGGCCTTGATCAAAGAGAATTCGAACAAGGCCCAGAAGCACCAGGTTATCTTATCAAAATGGGAATCTTGGACTTCTTGAACAGCTGTCTCGAGGCCATCCCTAACCGACCTACCGTCGCGCATCTCCTGCTTGGCTTCAGCTGTGGAGTGAGCACGCTGGACATCCCAGAAGATGGTCTGTTTGTGACTGGACATTCCTTGTTCCATTCCGTCTTGCGCCTTGCAGTCGAATATCCAGAAATGATCAGCGAGTCTTTCACCCCATGGTCCAGCGGGATTAAGCAAAAGTGCATCAACATCCTGATGAAACTCTGGAGATCGCCTCTGTCATCGGCATTTGTCATGACTGAGCTGCGAGCAAGCGAGTATTTCCAAAGCCAGATGCTGCGGCAACACCTCGTAGATAACAACACCTTGTTCTCCGGCAGTAACATTACCGACCCCGACTTCATCTTCAACCCCTCTGCCATTGCTCTTGAGAAATTTCTCCAGCAGAGGACAGCCTTTTTCGAGTACACCGCCAGAGAACTTCGCCTGGTTGGGGGTTTGCCAACTCTCCGAGCGCGAATGCAGACAACTCTACTCGGGGTAACCGTGCTTCCGGATGGTGAGCAGATGGGCAACCCGAGCGTCTTTGATTTGTTCGATTTCATGGAGCTCGAGGTGGTGGACGATTACGGTCTCCCTGAGCTGCCGTTGCTGGGCTCCATGGACTTCAAAGTATGCTTATCCTCTGCCGGTCAGAAATACGATATGCGGCACGTGGCGGAGTTGATCACCATCAGGTCAAACGAGCTGCGCAAGGCGGGTAGAATCCTTTCGGCTGTGGAGGAGCAGCAGATGTACGCAGATGGCCAGCTCGTTTTGGGCTACCTCGTCGGCGTCAACCAGCGGAAAGATATCGCACGTGCTCGGGGCGAGGTCCTGAAAGCCTGGACTCAACTGATGATGGTCCTTTTGGAGAAGGGCGAGTTCGATGACAGCACGAAAACTTCGTTCATTCTTCAGGCCCTTCAAGTGATCCTACCAAAGCTCGAAAAGGCTTATGTCGAAGACGTCAGCCCTGCGATAGACCTCGCCGATCTCGCCCGCAGGTTGTTGGCAAATGTCAACTTCAAGTCGAAGTCTATTGAGGAGAAGGGAAGGACAAGCGATCTTGCTAAAGACAGACTATTACAGCTCTTCCGGGTGGCTCTGAGTGGAATCTTCTGCTTGGTGTCCAATGCGGAGTTGCGCGAGATCTGCTACCAGATTTGCTACCGCTACCTCCGTGGTACCTCGGACCATGCGGGTAAACCTGCAAGTGCAGGTGGCTTTGGCCGCTCTTTCAGCGCAACTGCAACCCTGAATGCATCGGCATTGGTCAAAAGCTCACAACAACCATCGACTCTCACTTCTCAGACCATGCGCACTGTCAGGTCGGCGGGAAGTAAAATGATCGATGTGGTCTGCGACGACTCTTATGCCGGTCAAGGGACATGCAGGATTTCTGCGCTTCTCTTCCTCGATGCTCTTGTGGCACTCAGCGCTCGTGAAGATGATAGATATATCATCGACTCTCTCGTACGACTCAACTTCATTGACGTGCTCGTAGACAGTATCAAACTCATCCCGACGGAGCTACGCAACACCGGCGCGGGCGGTAGGAACATTCCAGTTCAGTTTCAATTCATGTCGTTCGAGCTGACAGGATGCAGATATACCACTCTTACTATCCTTCATCGACGCCTACCTAGCTCTCCTCCTTCGCATCTCCCAGACCAGAGCCGGTGCCGCACAAGTCCTAAACGCCGGGCTTTTCTCCTCGGTCCGCGAATCACAAATCTTCTCAACAGACCCAGATTTCGGCTTCGGTACGAGAACAGCGACCTTGACAACAATGCACACCCTCCCCCTGCACCAACAATCAGCATCACAACAAGCACGTCATCAAGACAGCAGCAGCACCTCCAGCAACCCACCCCCCCTACCCTGGGAAGCACCAACTCCATCTCCATCAGCATCATCATCACCAAACCACAACAAAAAAAGAAGCACAGCTAACGCACCGGGCCCCCTCCGCGGGCCGCCGCCCCCTCCAGAAATCGACAACCCGCACGCGCTGCGCAAGTTCTTCGACCTCATGCTCGCCGTCCTGCGCGTCGTCAACGCCGTCGTCGTCGTGCGCGGCCCGCAGAACGCCCAGTGCCGCGCCCAGGCCCGCGACTTCGTCGCCGACAACCGCGCCAGCGTCGTCGCCGTCTTCAAGCGCGCCGCCCGCACCGGCACGGGCGAGCAGGCCACCGGCGCCGAGCTCGAGGAGCTCGTCGACAACCTGTGTCTGTTGATGACGGCGGTCGGGTTCTTGGAGGTGAGTGCAGCTGCTGCGGCGGTTCCCTTTTTTTGATGATGGTTTTTTCTTTTTTTTTTTTTGCTTTCCTTTTCTTTTCGTTTCGAAAAGGGTTTGAGTGGTCGTAGGCTGATGTCGGTGTCGTGTTTGATTTCGTTGCAGTACGAGGACCAACAGTCGCAGAGGCCGGGGATGCTGGCGTCGTTCTCGTGAAGCGGTGTTGTTGTTGAAGAGAGGTGGTTTCCTTTGGAGGTGGGAGGGTAAGTGGGTTGGTGAGAGAGACGATAGGGGAGGAGCCGTGTGTGGAAGGGTAGCTTGGGTAAGGGATTTTGCATATCAAGAAATTCAGCAGAGGATCGGGATGGAGGGAACCTGTAAAAAAAGGGAAGAACTTGTTTGACATGATTGATATGCTGGATTAATTAGGGAGACGAGGTTAGGTGGTGACAGTTCTTTCCTTGCAATGGAAAAAAGCCATGGATAAGTTTCAGCAATTTGGGGGGGTCGTTTGGTTCGGTTCGAATCACGTGTGTGAGACGTGAAGCATCATCCATCTATTTCTCTTTCTTTCATCTTGATCTCATTACTTTATTTTTTTCATCTTGCACTATGCAGCAACCGCAACGGCTGGCCGTTGCTCCTCCTGCTGCTCCTGCATCTCCTCCTTGGGAGCATCGTCCTTTTGCTCCCTATCCTCCCGCACCGTGCCATCCTCGTTCAGCCCCAGCTTGGCCAAATCGGCCGCCAGCGGATCCGACTCGACCGTGGCCTCGGTGGGGCCCTCGTAGCCGGCAGGCGGCAGCGCCCAGCCCGGCAGCTCCGTCTCGTAGCTCCAGCGGCCCTCCTCGCACGCATACCGCCGAGCGTGGAGATAGATGCCGAGCTCGTGCTCGCCGGGGTCGGTGTAGAGCGGGGTGTTGCAGACGTCGCAGGCCTTGCCCGAGAGCTTCTCGGCCTTGCGCTTGTTGTAGTCGTCGACCATCTCGTCGTGGTAGGCGACGGCCTGGGCGACCTCCTCCTTGCCCATCTTACCGAGCCGGGTGACGATGTCGTCGTCGTCGTCGGAGCGGTCGTCGGCGCGGGCGAGGGCGGGGCCGAAGACGCGCTGGTTGGCGTAGATGGGATCGTTGGCGATGGGGTGGCCGAGGAACTGCAGGTGCACGCGGATCTGGTGCGTGCGGCCCGTCAGCGGCATGCAGCGCACGATGCTGTAGCCGCGGAGAGACTTCCACGGCTTGCCTTCGCGCTCGGCCTGCTCGCGGCGCTGCTGCTCGTCGGCGGCGGCTCGGCCCTCCTCCTGCTGCTCGCGGGGAGGGTAGTAGGCCAGGCGGCGGAAGACGGTGCGGGCGTCCTTGCCGTTGGCGCGCACGCGGTTGAGGCCCAGCTTGGGCGAAATCTGCAGGATGGGCTTCTCGCACACGACGTCGCCGTCGGGGAACTCGCCGACGACGCGGGCGACGTACTCCTTCTTGACGGTGCGGGCCTTGATCTGCACGCTCAGCTCGTCGGCGGCGGCGCGGTTCTTGCCGATGAACATGACGCCGCTGGTCAGGCGGTCGAGGCGGTTGCACGGCGACGGGTTGAAGGCGTAGCCGCGCTGGGCGCGCAGGATCTCGACCACGCTGTTGTAGTTGTAGCGGCCGGCGGGGTGGACGGGCACGCCGGCGGGCTTGTTGATCACGATGATGTCGTCGTCCTCGTGCACGATGCCGATGGGGGTCGCTGTCACCGGGGGCTCGTGCCGGTGCATCGTGTGCGATATGATGTCGCCGTTTTTGACGAGATGGTGGACTGACGAGGCCTTCTTGCCGTTCACCACGATGGAGCCGGTTTCGATGCCTTCTTTCTAGGAGGAATGATCGCGTCGTCAGCTGGACGGGCCCTTTTGCTCCGCTACATCGAACACCCGGTTCTCTTTTGTCCTGAGTAGTTCCACGCTCTTGACCGGGCAGACTCTACAAGCTCTCCACTCCGACTCATATGCCCAAGGAGGTACAACGCACATAGTATTCGGCAGGGCGGTCCCTGAACTCGTCGGTAAAGATGTCCAGCAGTTCGCGCCCGCGCCATCGCTCCTTGCAGTAGGTGTTGTAGGTGAAATGGTAAGGCTCGACGCGCCGCAGCCCGTTCTCGAGGTAATATGGGCGCGGCCACATGTCACCCACGGGCGTGGTTATCACGGCAGGTGGCTCCTCAAACGTCTCCGGCTCGGTGTCATGCTTCTCCTCACGCAGGAACGAGTTCCTGGGCTCCACCGGCGTCAGCGCCATGGTCGTGCGTCCTGGAATGCGCCCGCGACGGAGGAGGTATTCGAAGACGCGGGGAGAGGGCGCCACGGTTGGCGGATGGCCGAGAGGTGGGGGCGAGGTGCCGCAGTGGGTATCGCGAAGAGGCAGTGGTAAATTGGGATGCGGCGCGGTGGATGTGCTGGGGACTTTTTTGGGTGGTGGATAGGTAGGCAGAAAATCAATCTTATCTTATCCATGACCGCCCGCACACCCCGGTCGCTGGGAGCGTACAGTTCGGCCTACCAAACCCCTTATATCCGAGCTTAGGGGTGGTTCGGCAAAACATAAAATACGACCGAGGAGGTAATCGATACTAATTCGATTCGAATTCGATATCTATTCGAACCCGAATCGAATACTCTTAAACTCTTACCCTAATCTAAACTAAATTATATTCTAAGACTAACCCTAATCTTCTAACCCTAATCTAACTAACTAACTAACTAATACGTTTATCTTAGCGAAAGAATTCTAAAGAATTCTACTATTATAAGTTATATTAATACGGTATCGAATAGAATTCGAATAGTAATCGAATTAGAATCAAATATATTAGGGGGGGGGGTATTTAGGAGGGGGTTTGGGTAATGCACGGACCCATCCTTATCGTCCTTATCGCCGATGGTAGGCCGAACTGCATCCTCGTCGCTGGCCTGTTCCAGCTGAACCTCGGCCGCTTTCCGCTTTCCGCTGCCCGCCTTCGCTACTTCCTGTTCCTCGTTCCCCGGCAGCCAACGCCATGTAGACAACCCGTCGTGCGAGGTGCCTGCGCATCCCCAGCTATCAGAGCTTACATACACTCTTGTTTTTGCCTTGACACGCGCCAATCACCACCATGGCGCAAGCAGAGCTCAAGTCGCGTCGCCGCAGCGACTACAAGTTCCACCTCGAGTACCGCACGCGATGGTAGAGATGCCCATAAATTCATCGGTCCCTATCAGGTTGATTCTAACCACCCATTAGGAGTGACAACGACATGTACGACCACATGAACAACAGCGTCTATTACTACCTCTTTGACTCGGTCGTCAACACCTACCTGGTCGAGCATTGTGCGCTGCACCCGCCCTCGTCGTCCCAGATCGGTCTCGTCGTCCACTCGCATTGCGACTATTTTGCGCCCCTCGGCTTTCCCGCCGTCGCCGACTTGGCACTTAGAGTCAATAAGCTGGGGAGGAGTTCTGTGACGTACGAGATCGGCGTATTTGAGAGGGGCATTGAGGAGGTCAGGGCCGTCGGCGAGTTCGTACACGTATTTGTGGATAGGGAGTCGCGAAAGCCGGGGACGAATGGGATGGATCAAGATCTGAGGAAGGGATTAGAAACGATTGTCGCAAATCAGAGCCACAAGGCAAAACTGTAGGTGGTGGGAAGCGTCTACTGCTCGTCAGGTGCTTGACCTGATTTTGGAAGCGCTCAGATACCCAATCAGTGAGCTTCAGCCGTCATGGTAATTTATGTTCATGTAACGAAATCTAAACGGAATCAGACCATGTTTTGGTATTCGATTTTCTGAGTGATTCTCTAATTATTCACTGATAGATATATCATTGTAACGTCGAAAATGAACAGTGCTGATCATTTTCCCGCCCCAAGTTCGTAGGTCATAGCATCATAAAATAGACAGCGAAGCATTGAAAAAACGGAACGAAGCCGGAAACATTGCAAGTGCTCACCACTTTCCTCCGCCTCCGTAGTTGTTGTTGTTGTTATTGTGGCGACCCTCCTTGAACTTATCCTCAAGCTTGCTACCACCGATAGCGCCAATGATGCCACCGATGATGCTGTGTCCGCCAAACCTGCTGCCACCATAAGCGCCAGCGGCACCGCCAGCAAGGGCGCCCATCAGGCCGCGATCACCCTCGCCGGCCTGCGCCGGGTCGGTGGTACCGTACTGGCCGGGCTGTCCGTACGCGTGCTGCGGCGCGTTGGGGTCAGCCGGATACGGATTGGAGTTGTAGGCGCCCTGTTGGGGGAACTGTTGAGAGGGAGTCTGTTGATCGTAGGTGCGGTTCGGATCTTGGTAACCACTATCGCATGAGGTCAGCAAGGGCACTTTTTTGGGGACCAAGGTATGGAGGAAAACTCACTATTGCTGTTGCTGCTGGCCATACTGGTCGGGCGCCTGCTGGCCATTCTGGAAGCCACCGTGTGCTGGCGGGCCATATGCGCCGTAGGCCTGGTTCTGCTGATAGGCCTGCTGGTTATACTGCTGGGGATCTTGGCCGGGCTGGCCCCATTGTTGCTGAGGGGCTCCGTAGGCGTTCTGCTGCTGATGGGGGCTCGAGGACTGCGGCGGATAGCCTTGGGGCGCTCCGTAGCCCTGTTGCGGCGCGCCGTACTGGCCCTGAGGGTACTGCTGACCGTACTGGTTGTAGGGGTCGGACATGGCGATTTGGGAGAACAGATGTTGAGTAAAGCTGAGGTTGCGGAGGGAGCTGATCCAAGAGGCTCGGACGGAAGCGCGGTACACTAATATATGATGCGGGGCGTTTCAAGGATACGGCTGTACGTAAGACGAAGGATGTAACTCTGAGCGAATGCAACCAGAATCGATATTGATGCGATGAAGCAAATCGGTTGAACAGGTGCAGACGGCGCCTTTTAGATGTCTTTCGCCCATAACATAGAAGCTTACGAAACAGCCTGAGCCACCATGAAGGCAAACGGAGACGGCTGCGGGCGGAATGCGCAGCCAGGCTTACCAAGGCTGAGCACTGGGAACTCAGCCCCAGCGCCACGACTGCAGCAGGCGGACTTTACACCCCGAGGGCCGGGCTTCAGGCAGCACGAAGGCTCTCCGAGGGCCTGTTGCCAGCCCAGACGCTTCTGGCGGCATCGCTTTGCTGTTTCGAGTTTGGAGGACGGATCCGGACGGCAACGACTGGGCGGCCGAGTGGTGATGACGATGCCGAATCCCGAGCGACGAGAGAGTGCGACTCCCGCTAGCCGCTGATGCCTGATGCCTGATGCCTGACCCTATGACCAACCACATCAAGGCCGCTTTCGCATCGTCCAGCTCATCTCCTGATCCGTCGCCGTGGAGAGGCCCAGATGGCCGCACGTGCAGCTCTTGCTTTTTGCGTCTCATGATGTCCCTCCGCCACCATGTTGCGTGTAGCCTCTTTCCCGTCACACAATAGCCACTTCGGCCACGTCGCCCCCCACAGCATCGACCATCTCCCCGTGCATGAAGCCGTGGACATATGTCTCCCCAAGCAGCTGCATCGCCTGCAGCTCTCGACACTTGCGCAGCACGAACGGTACTCTAGCTCCACGAATAAGCCACACAGCATCGCCCTCTTCCATGGAGCCAGGCCCGATTCCTAGACACCCACCAGCCGTCACATACAGTCGACGGGACCCACCAGTCGCACCGAGCCGTGAACCGTATGGCATGGCTGCTCCGTCGCCTTTCGTCACAAAATCCAGGAGCTCCTCGTCGATCTGAATCGTTTCCAACGCCGTGCTGATCTTATTCGCTTTCTTGACGACTTGGTCCTTGGTCGGGAGTAGTTCTTCTTCGGCTCGCGAAAATTTGTCCAGGATCGATAGCTCGTCCAGGTATGGTCCCGGGTTTTGGTCATTTGAGCTGCGTGTATGAAGGCCCAGGGCGAGAACAATCGATGCCCAGTCTCGAAAGTTGGATGCTGCCTCGGGTGGTGCAGGATGTCTGCCTTCAAACTCGTCCGCAATGAGTGTTCTCCAAAGCGCTTCGATACGGCCTTGGCCAGTATATGCGTACCTCTCGGGCAACATCTCACAAATCCTCAGACAAGACTGTATCCAGTGCGTGGTTACCATCAGTCCTACCGGTTCCGAAACCGAAGCAATGATATCCAAAGGAGAACCCTGCAAATAAAGAGTGGCGCCTCGCATCGTCCACGGTCGGCCCTGTACAGTTTCGACTCTTGAGGCATTGTAGATGGGCATATCGCTTACCTGAGCCCAAGAAAGGTGGCCATGGTTTGAACCGGGCACGCTCCAGTCAGGCACCCAGGAAGGGAGGTTCGAGAAACTCCTTTCCGTCTGGTCTTCCGCCAGAGCAAGAAATCCCAAATTTGGCAGACGGTCTAGGATCAACCTAGCCACATCGGCGAACATATCCGCCGTCTGCAGGTCCTGAGAATAGTCCGGTCGGATTGGTGATGGTATCCCCGTTGGTAGGAATTTTGATGTCATTCCCAGGATGCAGTATACTTTGTCTCTTGGATTTGTCGCCAGTTGGCCGCGAACATTGTCCAACACCCGAAGCAGATACCAGTACCAGAATTCCGAATCCGTTTGAGCCCCGCTCAGATGTTGCTGAGTCTGCCGGAATCCGAGCGACCATGGCCCTCCGGAGCGAAAGTCCATCTGCATGGACCAAATGGTATTCAGCTCGTTGATACCGGCGAATTTGAGCTTTTGCTCGATTGGGGCGAGCACCTGTACCCATCCGCTATACAAGATGAACCTACCGAGCGAGATGAATGCCTCCCACGGAATTACCTTGTCACCGCAGCGGACCTGGACCTCTCTTGCCAGCACCACCTCCTGAACAATCCAAGCCCTGAAGAACCAGCGCCTAGTGCGGAAGAAGTGAAAATACGCCCGCCATATGCGAAACCATTCATCCAGCTGTATGTCCAGCCCGAGAGCTCCGAGAAATGCAGTATCCTGCGGCGAACTCTTGAAAGCGACCTCGGCGCCCCGATCGTCTATGAACCGATCCAACGCGTTCGCAACCGTGGTATGGATGTACGCCACCTCATCCACATACGAGCCGTCAGCACCGAGCCACACGATGACGCGGCTGGCGGCCGCATAGATCTCACCCATCAGCGCGACCTGCTCTGTCTTTTCTTCGTCATCCGTCTGATTGATGCACAACGCATCTACCCACAGCAGCCTCTCCCCATCGCCGGACCTGCTCCGTGCGAGCAGCGCATCGTACAAGCTGTCCATCACCATCCACGACGTGCCGTTGACCTCGATCTCGTACCAGAAGTCCTGCCCTTGTGGTCCGCCATTCTCTTCTTCATCCTCGTCGATCACGGCACCGCTCCAGCAGTACGACAGAGCATCGAAAGGCGGCCGCAGGCCTTCCGCCAGCGGACAGGTGTATACCCAGCAGCGTATCCGGGGATCAGTCGGGTTGTACTTCTCAACCTGTAGGAGACGAATGCTTGGTGGCCTGGGGAGCGGCGTGTAACGGAAGCGCTCGGGCAAGGCCGGTGCCCAGGAAAGACTCCGGATGACCATTCTGCGTGCTTGTTCGGACGTAAAGTGCAGCCACTTTATTCTGATGCCTCGGCTCTTGGGAACAGCAAGCTCCAATAAAGTACCTCGGAACGGCACGAAGCAGACGGCAGTGACGTAGGCAAAGGGAAAGTAACAGACACGGGCTCAGAAAAAAAAAAAGAGAGACGTTGCAAGGGGAAAAAAGAGAAGAGGAAAGGAAGAGAGGGCGCATATTCAGCTGAAGAAAGCTGGCGCCTATATTATTCACGGTTTCCCCACTTCTACGCCGCACAGCAATGGCCAAGTTCGCCTAGAAAAAATCACGACATTCCGCGCCGCACAAGGGTTGTTGTTACTGCTGCGCCGCTCAGCCCGTCCCGGCGGGTATCTAGACGAGGGTCGGATCGACCTGCGCGGCAACTCGCTGGACGTGATTGGCCATAATTCCGTCACCAACACTTCACCGCTGAGGAAACGTCCGTGTCTCAGATCGATGATGTGCTGCAAATCATTGGGCCTGGGTTACAGCCTGCTTGGAAAGAGCGGTCATTGGAATTGCTGCTGGGTCCCTCTGTGGTGGTGAGTCCCACCTATTTGCATGTCTTTGTGGCACGGATGAAGCATGCGGCGACTCGCGGATCATGATAACTCATGGATTCGCTTCGTAGAAAGCTCCAATATAAGGTATACATTCAATCATTCACATTAGCGGTCATCTAAACAGCCAGCTCATTTCAAATAGTTGGCAGTCACACTGGAAGACAGTAATTTACTAAATGTATACATGACTCATTTCTCATCTAAATAATTTGCAACAAACGATTACCTTCGTCTACACGGATATCAAACATCATTCTACCTCGCTGCACCGCGCTCGCCCCACTACCACAGCGCATCCCAAGCCCTGACGAGCGGGTTCCTCGCCTTCGGCTTCGGCGGCGCATCCTCCCAGACCTTGCACTCAGCATCCACCTCGGCCTTGCCGCTCCACACGTCGGCCTCGGCCGGCTTCACGAACTTCGTCTTCTTCACGACCTTCCAGACGGCGAAGGCGACGGCGGCGAAGGCGACGCCGAAGTAGCTGGTGATGAAGCCCTGGACGGAGAAGGGGGCGAAGACGTCGAAGCCGACGAAGACGAGGATGGTGAGGCCGGTGGCGATGGCGAGGTAGGCGCCGTAGGGCATGAAGGGGGCCTTCCAGGGGAGCGAGTCGCGCGAGATGCCCTGGGCGCGGAGCGCGCGGTTCCAGCCGACCCAGGTGACGACCATGCTGGTGTAGGCGATGTCGAAGGAGCAGATGGTGAGGTCGATGAACCAGCCAAAGACCTCGGTGGCCGACGACGACGCGACCATGAAGGTGATGCAGCCGATGACGCCGACGATGCTGACGCAGTAGATGGGGATGCCCGACTTGGTGCACTTGAGCAGGAAGCGCGGCGCCTGGCCGTCGAGCGCGAGCGAGTAGAGGGTGCGCGAGGCCGAGTACATGTAGGCGTTGCCGCAGGACCAGCCCGAGAGCATGATGAGGAAGTTGATGAGCGAGGGCAGCCCGGTGATGCCGAGGTTCTGGATGCCGATGACCCAGGGCGAGGCGGCGGCGCCGGCCTCGCCGCTGTCGATGGCGCCGAGCAGGCGCGGGTCGCGCGACGAGCAGATGATGCCGACGCAGAGGGCGCCGAGCACGTAGAAGACGAAGACGCGCAGGAAGATGTTGCGGGCCACGCGCGGGATGTTCTTGCGCGGGTCCTCGATCTCGCCCGCCGCCATGGCCACCAGGTCGGGCCCGCCGAGCGAGAAGGCCGCGTACAGCACGCAGCTCCACCAGCCCAGGAAGCGGCCCGTCGAGCCCTCGGCGTAGTACTCGTGCATGGCGTTGCCGCCCGTCCAGTTGCGGAAGCCGTAGGCGTCGTGCTTGGGATTGCCGCCCACCATGGTGATGAAGGTCAGGACGATGAGGCCGAGGATGAGCAGGATCTTGGTGCAGGAGAAGATGAATTCACTTTCACCGTACCATCTGAGGGAGGAGGCATGCGGTTAGCTTTGGGGCATTCGGACCAATTCGAAAGCGGCTTACTTGACAGCAAAGACGTTCAGACCGTAGCAGACCACCAGCGCCATGGCGATCCACACAGCAGGATTCACGTCGCTCCAGTACTGCATGACCGTGGCCACGGCGCTCAACTCGGCGCAAAACAGCATGCTCGCGGCGTAGAAGTAGGTCCAGCCAAGCATGAAGCCGAAAGCCGGGTCGACGAAGCGGGTGGCGAACTCGTAGATGCTGCCGCGGATGGGCAGGTATGCCGACATCTCGGCGACGCAGAGGTAGCAGGGGAAGACGAAGACGATGGGGTAGATGATGAAGGCGAGCAGCACGTTGAGCGGGCCGGCTGAGCGTAGATGGGAGCCAATGGCGACGAAGAGGCCAGTGCCAACAGCGCCTCCGATCGAGATGAGTTGGACATGGCGTCCGCTGAGGCCACGCTTGGTCGTGCCGTATTTCTCCTCGATGCCGGCGCGGTGCGACGCGATGGGGAAGGTCTCGCCTTTCTGCGACTCGGCAGGCGAGGGCGACGTCTCGACGACGACGTCCTCGGGATCGGGTTTGCCCATGGTGTTGAGTGAATGGGGGCTGGGGACGGGGGCGAGGTTGAAGCAGACGCGGATGGTGGGCAAAGACTGCCACCAGGGCTGGGGGCGTTGGGTTTTTATCTGCGTCCATCGTTACCTGGTGTAGATATCTCTGCCAAGCTCATGCATCGGTGTTTGTTCTGGAAGCGCCATCAGTCTGTGCGGCGGCGGCGATTGCCCTCGGAGTCATCCTAGAAGAGATACTGCGATAGGTGCGGGGGAACCATCAGCACGAGGGCGGCATAGGGCAAGAGTCTGGGGAGGGTAGTGAGTGGCACTTGTGGGTCCGTCCGCCGGTAGCCATTGCCGATAAGATAGGTCCGGCTCCGCTGCGATGCAGCCGCGTGGCCGGGTGCAGAGCATCAGCTGCGGGCTGAGGGCTGTCGATCAGCGCTGATGACGCCCGGCACCCTCGCCGAGCGTTATCGCTGTCTGGCGGGGCTTGGCGGGCGCTTGGGAGGGACTGCCAAGAGCGCCGCCGGTGGATAGGGCGGCAGACGAACGCTTTATCACTGTATTCTCGTTATGGTGCCCGGTATAGGGCAGCGTGGGCGTTGCAATCAGTCCGGAATCTCCCAGGCTCTTGGATCTGGATCAGGCGAGAGGCGCCGCAAGCTTCAGCTCTCGACAATCTCTCAGAAAATTGACACGAGATAGTATTTGGTCGAAGGTCAAGGCGCCTGCCAGCGCTGATAAAGGATTCCGAAAGGGGGTCCGCCCGTCCGCTCACGCCAAACCGCCAAGCAACTCTTGAGCGGGCGGAAGCTTGGTTGGAATGCTTGCCCCCACACCAACGTAATAAAGTGTTCAATCTGCCGTGCCGTTCTGGCCGCTGGTTCCCTGAAACGTTCCATAATCGCCGGCTTTCTTTGCTCCCCGAGGCTCTCTGATCATGCAATACAGCATGATAGCGTCTCCGTCATCGTCGCACTCCATCTCCTTTTTCAGCTCAAACCCAAATTTCTCGTAGATGGGCACGTTTGGATCCTTCCTCGAGCTTTCTAGGTATGCAGGAATGCCCTGCTCGTCGGCCATCTGCAGCACTTCCTCCATCAGCGCCCTACCGATACCCTTTCCTTGGCACTCTGGAAGAATGGTGACGATATTGCAGAAGTAGTAACCCTTCTCGCTAGTCCAGAGACTTGCTTGTGCCTTGGCTTGTGCGTCCTTCCAGATCCAGTAGCGGTGCGCCCTAAGGCCGCCGCGGCCAAATCGGAGGTTCATCAGCCCTTGTTGGAACCAGAGCATCCAGTTACTATAGCAAAGGGACCAGGACTCGGCTTGGTCGGGCGGTGTCGGAGGCAACCACATGGCTGTGCCAAGGACTTTGTCAGGTTCGGACGAGCTCGGGTCTTTGGCAACGTGAAAGATTCCATGCTTGATGCCCCAGTGGCAGCGGAGAGTAAGAGATTGGTGGTTCCGCGCGGGATTGAACTAATAACATCTTCTTAGCTGCGCTCGCTACCCTCCGTTCAGACGTATGTCTATTTTGATCCAATTCAAATGCGAGATCCTGTATGCTCAATGATACCACAGAAGGGAATACTTAAAATCAAGAAAGGGGTATGGCGTACACGTGCAAAATGTAGAATGAAAAGTCATACCTGAGACTTGTCAAACACCCAGTTTGAGTAAGGGTCATCCGCAAAGGCCTGTTGAATGGTCGCGATGGCGCCATCTATATCGGCAGGCGTCATGCGAGTGATTCTGATCGCCATTGTTTTTGCTTTTGTTTTTTTTATTTTCTCGGTATTTCGAGACGTCACTGATACCCTGCCCGATCTAGCCTGGATGGTCGCGTTTTGTAGGTACTTTGTCGCTCAAGTTCCCCAGACTTTCCATCCAAGAAGAGTGTGTAGAGGGTCTGTTTGACGGGACAAGACGTTGCGTGTCTTGCAATTAGGTATGAGAAATGTTCGCAGAGAGGGTCGGCAATCTCCGAGCGGATTCCCTTATCGTCGGCGGAGGTGAAGCGTGCGCAAGACTAAGATGAATTGAACATGAATGGCCCAATCCTGATGGCGCAGGGCGTAGCAGGGCGCAATAGTAAACGTAGTCAGCAACGGAGGATAAGGGAGCTTTGGACGGTGAGAAGAAAAAGAAGAGAAGAGCATTTGACGGAGAATTTGTAGGCCGGTTGCATTGCTCGCCGCTACCCGGCTTGTTTTTGCGAGAGTGGGGCAAGCTCCAATCTGCCCACCTACCCGCTTGCTCACTAACCCTATGGGGAAACTCGACGCGGAACGCTACTGTCCGCCGAGTCCACCACAAAATCTCCATCACTCTACACCGAAGACTTGGAGAAAGCGATGGGCCAGACCGCCGCTGCTTACAATCTGGACTCACTGACGAAACATCCCCTGCGCCACGCTACACGTTTCTTGCATTCATGTAGCTCGCTAGGCCGCAACTTTCGTTTCACCAAGGCCCCCATCTTCCGCCGTCTTCCGCAAAAACATCATTGTTCGCTCAATATCCGAGTAAGTCCATTTTGTTGTCGTATCTCCCCAAATATGTGGGTCAGCTTGCTATAACACAATAGGTATCAAGTAGGTATCAAGGTATCAAAAATCCAAAAAGCAAAGACCAAAGTCCACACGCGTTGTATATGCATCCACGCCAATCCTTTTTCGCCAGCCAGCAGCTCAAGACGATATAACGCGTGAATATAGCACAGCCCCGCATGATTCCGGGAGGGGAACTTGCGCCTTCGACCCTCTTTCCCAGCAGACGATACCGTGTCCGCCCTCGCACTGCCATTCCGAGACCTATCCAGCCGAATCCCCTTCGTTTCCCATCTGCTTACCTGAAATATTGACTTTCAAACCCGAATATCAGACGGCTCTCAAAGAAAGAGGTGCACGTGTAGAAGGGTTCCCTAGTTCCAGCCAGTGGGGCAGTCCAGCCAAAAAAAATCCAAAACAACGCAGCGTCGATTAACATCCCAACTTCAACCCACATGTGTGACCGATGGCATCTTATATCTTTCTCTTTCCACATACTCGTGCACAAAAGGCCGTCGATATTACTAAGACATTTTCTTTCTCCTTTTTTAAAGCGCAGAACGAACCACATGTGCATCCAACACCTCACTCGGCACCAAGCTTCCTCTCGGAATCTTGACTTCCTCCCCCGGATGCTGGCGGAACACCGTGGCATCGCTGTACGCCGTGTTCTGGCGCTGGTGGTAGGCCCCGCCCGGCTGGTACTGGCGAGGCACCGCGGGGACGTCGGGCACACTGACGGGGACGGGGACGGGTTCCGGCTGCCAGCCGGCCTGCCCTTCGTCGACCTGGCCCAGGCCGCCGTTGGTGCTCGTGCTCTGGCGGTACGACATGTGCGGCTGGGCGCGCATCTGCGTCGAGGGGATGCGGCCCGTCTGGTTGCCGACCCACGAGTCGACGGTGCGGAAGCGGGCCACGCTGCTCCTCTCCGTCGGCGCTAGGCTGGAGCGAGCGATGGTGCCTGGTGTTTGGGGCTCGATGGGGGTCGGGGGCGCTTGCGACGACTGCGTCCAGCTGAAGTGGCTTTCGTAGTTGGGTTGGTTCCTGTTGGTGGTCAAGCGCCGGCTTGTCGTGAAGTTTTGGTACGTCGGACCGGGCGCCTCGGGCGGGACGATGTCGTCATGCTCTGCGCTATAGCGGCTCTGTTGCTGACTGCTCTTGTACGATGCGGACCTCTGAATGGGTAGCGACGGCGGTGAGGCGTCGTAGCTGTCTTGGCTCTGCAGAGGCAGCAGGGTTGGCGAGCTTGAGTTACGGGAATGGGCATTGGAAGCAGCCCTCGAAAGAGTTCGAGGTGGTGAAGCGTCGTGCAGGAAACTGCGATGATTGTTCGATGGAGGTGTGCTAGGTCGAAGACCAAGAGAGCCGCTAGTTTGATTCGAGTTAGCTTCAGGCACGGGTTGAAACGACGGGCATGGTGGTTGATCGAAACACTTCAGCACCCACGACCAAGTTCGCTCTACTTACCCGAGAAAATCACGCTGGCCACCACCGGATGAAAAGCTGTCGAATCTCTGGAGGGAGACCTGTGGTGGCGGTTGGGGAAGAGGCATGTGCTCCTTGTCATCCGACATGTAGGCTGGCATGCGGTGGATGGTAGGCTTCGCAATCTCATAGGTACGGTCTGGTCGATCACGATTCCGACGGGACATCTGTACCAGATCGCGGAAAGTAAGGCCTTTCTTGCGCATCGTGTACACGCCCCAGATTATCAACACCAGTAGCAGTGTCGCACCTGATTGGGATTAGAGTTGGCAACGTCTACTACGGGCAGGGAAACACGCACCAATGGATCCGGCGGCGATTAGCGTATGCTCTGTCGTTTGCGAGATGCCCGGGGGCGGCCGTGGATGATGTCCGGACATGATGGAAACGTCGCCAGACTGAGGGGGACCATCCGGCGCGGAAAGTGAGGGAAAGGCAGTGCCGGATGATGGCTCGGCGGCAGCACTGGCAGAAGCAGAAGCAGAAGCACCGGTGGGCAATGGTTCGGAATCGTCAGGTTCTTCGTCGCTATCGCTGTCGTCTTCTCCTTTGCTAGTGGGAGCGAAGGTGGCGTCGGGCGCAGAGAGCAGGCTAGTTGACAAGGTTGACGAGAGTTTGGCAGGTGCACTGGTCGTGGGAGCGGCGGCGGTTGGCGAGGGCACGGGAGAGGAGGCGGGGGACGAGGCTTCTGACGAACTGGCGGAGCTTTCGTCGCCTTCGGCTTCATCGTCCGACGAGGATTCTTCCTCCCCTAATTCTCCGGGCGCCGCGTCGGGAACTGGCTCTTCTTGCTGGGGGCCCCGCTGCGCAATGGCGTGCAATTTGGTGGCGAGGGCTTCGCGCAGGTCCAGCGCCGGGACAGGGTCACTGAATTGCGATCTACGGATCGGGCCGGTGCGCCGTTGACGGAGGAAGGGCATTGCGATGTGATTGATGATGGCGTGTGATGTGGTTGAGGTTGCTCGCAGCTGGCCACACTCGTCGCTACCGTGGACCCGGTCTTCCCAACACCATGAAGAAAGCCTAAAGATGGACAGACGCCGGGCGTTGGGTCGCGGCGCCGAGGGGAAATTAGAGATACGGAATTAAGGGAAGCGCAGACCGGCTGCTCTACTCGCGGCAAGGAACGAAGAACGAAGACGGGCGAAAGAAAGTAAGTAATGAGAGAAGTCGAAGGTAGAGGCTCGGCGCGAAAGCGTCAGCGGGCGCAAGAGAGGGTGCAAGGTTGGTGGGCGGGTAGAGGATTAAGAGTGGCTGCACGGGACACTGGCTGGCGACGAGAGGTGTTTGGGCCCCTTCGGCCCCAGGATGGACTGCCATGCGCAACATCACGGCGATCCAAGGCGACGCCCTTGCCCAGACTGGCAGTGTCGCGGGCGGCCCCTGGGCGGAGCACGACGTGTTTCAGATGCGGGTTGAGGCGCCTTTCGGCAGTCTCAGGAGCCTGGACCGCCGGGGGGCCATCTCCACCACCCAACCCACGCTCCTCACGTGCATGCGAGAGCCTCGGACGTCCGAGCCTCATCTCGGCTGTGCCCGATGCACGCGCCGGCTCCGGCTGGCCTTGCAACACGCTTCCCTTTTCGGCCAGAACTGCCCTGGCTCGCTCGCCTCCGCACCTGTTTCACGGCGCCTCGCAGAAGATGCTCGACGTCGCTACTCGCCCACGACCAAGTCTGCTAGCCGCCCGTCTGCGAATCTTGCACCCATGCGTCTCAAATAGACAGGCCAGGGAAGCCAATTTCGCGCGTTGTGGAGGACGGTGCCGAAGTTTGAGCAGCTTCTCGGCTCTTGGCCACTAGCGAACCCCAGAGCTCGGCAAGCGAGACGAATTGAGTTGCTTGATTTCCCTCCTGCCCTCCAACTGGCTCGCTGCCACCTACCCGGCAATTCGTCCGACCCCTAGTCCGCGAAAGCCGGCGTGCCGGAGGGTCCGCCGCCTTAATTTCCGGCATATAGGTGCGCGATTGATCTGTTTATGCTTGGTCTTGCGGCCATGAGTTCTTGCTGGCTGCCAGGTAGGTAGGTAGACTTTGATTGCGAGTGAACCTTCTCAACCCCGCACCTGCTCGCGCCGTGCAACACCCCAGTCACGTCCCTCCCCCCTCTCCCTCGTCGCTCAGAAGCAGGCAGCTCGATCTCGGGGCATGCGACTGCTGCGCGCGCGCACTTGGGCAGCGTCGAGGTCGGTGTTGATTGAAGAGTGTGAGATTGGAGGAGATGACTGTGCAGGCGAATTTCAACGGGCTCCCTTCATTCCAGGCCCGGCCGCGGTTTGCCGCAGTTCCACCGCCGCGATTTGATGCCTGCTAATCACACCACGCTACAAAACCCCCACCAGCAGCCCTCTGTTTGCCGTCTGTTTCGCTCATTTGCGTATTCTTTCCGCACCGTCGAGTCCTGCTGACAGACGCTGCTCGACCACATAATCAACCGCCTGCCGCTCATTCGTGCCCTCGACCTGGACGCGGGCCAGGTTCTAGATCGCGTTAGGCATCCGACCACACCCGCTGCGCCAGGCTCCGAATTTAGAAACGGCGCTCGCTGGCCGTCGATCGCAGGCCGTCAGCCCTACGCTAGCCCCCAGAACAGCTCCGAAAGCGCCCCCAGCCTCGCCCTCGCCCTGCGCGCTCCTCTCCTCCTTTTCCCAGAGACCCGCGCCATTCTGCGCGCTCCCAGACGCAGCTTCACTCGTTCGCCGCTGTCTTACCAATCCGTTGCACCAGCATCGCGCACTCCGTCAGCCCTTTGTCTTTCAAATCACTTTCGTTCTCACAGAGCCCACTGCAACCCCGCATCGAAGGAGACATTGCGGCGCAGCGGGTGTGGATTAGGTAGCATGGCAGAGCTGAGAAAAACGAACACGGAGTCAACCTATATATCTCACCATCGCGCGCATTGGTCGTAATCGCTGTCATCCACGCTCTCTTCTCTCACCACAGCACATTCGGTCCCAAGACAATCAGGGGGACAGCCGACGCTCGAGAATCGCCGCACCCAACATTCCTTACCTTTCGTTTTTGTTTTTGCTTGGATCAGAAATTACCCGACCATGGCCACCAGCAAGCCACCAGTCGACTACCTCATCACCGGCGCCACAGGCGGCCTGGGCACCGCCATCCTGTCGACGCTGCTCAAGAACGGCGTGCCGACGTCCGCCATCGCCGTCGGGTCGACGCGCGAGCACCTGGGCTCGACCTACGAGGCCCGTGGCCTGCAGTTCCGGCACACCAACTTCGAGAGCATCACCTCGCTCATGCGCGCCTTCCAGGGCGTCAAGAAGCTCTTCTTCGTCTCGACCAACACCTTCGACAACGAGAAGCGCATGCAGCAGCACCGCAACGTCGTCACCGCCGCCGAGCAGGCCGGCGTGGGCCGCGTCTACTACTCCAGCCTCGGCATCGGTGGCGTCGACGGCCAGCCGCACGAGGTCGACCTGATGGTGGCGCATCTCGAGACGGAGAAGATGCTGCGCCAGTCGCAGCTCGTGTGGACCAACATCCGCGAGGGCGTGTATGCCGACGCGTTTCCCGTCTTTCTGAACTGGTACCCCAAGGATCCGCAGCAGGTGCTGTGCCTGCCGTGCGACGGCGAGGTGGCGTTTGCGCTGCGGGACGAGCTGGGCGAGGCCACGGCCAAGTTGATGATGAGGGACGGGTTTGAAAAGCAGAACGTGCGTTTGTGATGACTCCATCTTTCCTCCTCTTTTTTTCTTTTTTTCCGGGGTGATTGACCTGCCAATCCGTTGATCACTGACCGTTCCGCAGGTTCTCCTCACCGGCCCGCGCGCCATCAAGCTCTCGGCCCTAGCGAGCGTCATCAACCAGGCCTCCAGCCGCGCGGTGCGGATGGAGTTTGTCTCGGACGAGGAATACGTCAAGCGCAGCGCGCAAAGGGATATCGGCAGGAAAAACGAGGAATTCTTTCGCAATTGGGCAACGCTGCTACACAGCTTCGAGGCGGGCAAAGCTGCGACCGTCTCGCCGCTGATGGGCCAGCTGTTGGGTCGCCAGCCAAGGGATGGCGAGCAGGCAGTGAGGCTGCTGCTGCAGCGCGACAGGGACTACACCTGGCATCAGAATTACATCAAGAAGGGGGAGAAGGGAGCTTCCAAGGGTTCCATAACCGAGTTCATGAAGATGGGATGTTGTTTCGTCTGAGGTGTGAAGAGAAGAGGAGGACGAAAAGGATAAGTTTCTTTGGCTAAGCATGTGCTGAGCCGGCCACGCATTTGGCCTTTGGGGATTAGCGCGTTTTGGGATTTTGATCTACATAGTTCATCAAGCGGGAGCAGGAGATGGGCAGGAGGGCGTACAACACTACTAATGAAATGATTCCCCAGTGTTACAGGAATGAAGATCAGAATGGAGCGCTTGACGTAGCAACCAAGCATTCAGACTCTCGGACCATCGTCTTGGTCGACTCTGGGCACCAAGTCCCATCCTTGGCGCCCGTGATGTCGTTGCCGTCGGGACTATGTCCGGCTGAGCCTCGGGAGCGATGCACTCTGGCGCCCGCATTTCCACTTGCCCCTCACCCCCTCCACTCACCCCACTTGGCCGTGCGCCTCCGCGCCCTGGACCTTCCCACCTACGTGGTGGACAACACAGTCCGCACCGCGAAAAGACACAAACGTGCAAACTCTCCCCGCAGCAAAGCAATAAAATACCAGAAATCCTACCAGAAGCCGGCGCGGTAGCCTTAATGTGCCAACAGAACGAATTCTGTCGCGATTTTGGGTGATTTCCGTGGGGAGGATGTGGGGTGTTTGGTAGAGGTGAAATCGTTTTGCAGTGCGGACTTTTTTGTCTACCGCGGCACCCCTGCGGGAAAAAGCTTCCTCGGATCACCCACGCCCCGACGGCGATTGGAGCCGATTGGGGACACCGCTCGTCATCGGCTTTTGACTTCCAAAGGCAGTCGCCAACAAGTATTTCTCGTGATTTGTCCACAGCCATCCACGTGCGCTCGCGCGCAAGTGGAGTTGCTAGTCTGTAATAAAGTCCATCGGCCCTTCAAGTCGGAAAGCAGAGAACCTGTGGTCAAGCTCTCCGTACCAAGCAAAGGTCGTCTGGGGAAGACATAAAGACGACACTTCCTCGCGATAGCGCCCTCACCGTCCGCCTTGTCCTCCCTCTCTAGCGTCCCTCACGTCCCACTTCAGCTTCTCGATCAAGAATCAAACCGTCTTCATCTTCCTCCAATATAACACCCAAAACAACAACCGACGTCATAACCACCACCATGGCAAGCAAAGTCTTCAACTTCGGCGTCATCGGCTACGGGCTGTCGGCCAAAATCTTCCACATCCCTCACCTGACGGCGATCCCGTCGTTCAAGCTGTACGGCATCGTGCAGCGGACGCCCAAGGCCGGCGACGACTGCGGCGCGGACCACCCCGAGGCCAAGTCGTGGCGCAGCGCGGACGAGCTCTTCGCCGATTCGGCCGTCGACGTCGTTGTCCTCACCACGCCGCCGGACACGCATTTCCCGCTGGCCAAGCGCGCGCTCGAGCTAGGCAAGCACGTCGTCGTCGAGAAGGCGTTTGTGCCGTCGCACGCCGAGGGCGAGGCGCTGGCGGCGCTGGCGCGTGAGCACAAGCGTTCGGTCGCCGTCTATCACAGTGAGTGGTGGCTTTTTTCTTTTTTCTCACCCCTCCCCCCAACCTTTCTACCCAATCGCATGCGCAATATTACACTCGCAATATGTCTCTATTTTCAAATTACCTACTACTGCGCCTCCCCCAATCGCCGTCTATTGTCCATGCACGCATCAAGACCACCCCCCCTTGGCACACCCCGCGAAGATCATGTCTGGGCCATGCCATGACGCAGGGCCGCACCGCCCCTACCTGCCTCATCTCCACCAAGATCATCCGGCACGCCTGAGATCCTCAGACACATCAAGATTCAAGTACGCCTTTGTCTTGGGAAAAGCGAAGGCACATCACGAGCAAAAAAAGAGGCTTGAGTCACTGGGCGTTTCGAGTGCTGTTTTGTCTTGGCGGGGGATCCGGACAGCCACCCATCCATGCCGATCACTCCCCATCCCCATGTAGAAGTAGTAGGGTTCGCAACAGGGGCGCCCACACGTGGCGCGGTTCGAGATGCTCGGAGCAGCAGTCAGGAAAGAGCGGGAGAGAGCGTACGATGGACGGATGCAAACCCCCCACCCCTCCCCTCCCCTCTCGCTACAACCACACACATACACACATACACACACACATATGTCTCACGCCCAGACAAACAAGCACACTCGTCCCCCCCAACAAAAAGGCGAGCCGCTCCGCTAACCACCCCCCGCTCGCGTATCCAGACAGACGCTGGGACGCAGACTTCGTGACGCTGCGGCAGCTGCTCGCCGAGGGCACGCTCGGCCGCATCGTCGACTTCAACTCGCACTTCGACCGGTACTCGCCGACGGCGGCGGCGGACTGGAAGGCCGAGGCGCGGCCGGGCAACGGGACCCTCTTCGACCTGGGCTCGCACCTGCTCGACCAGATCGTGACGCTCTTCGGGATGCCCGCGCGCATCACCGCCTTCGTCGGCAACACGCGGGCGGGCGCCGCCGCGGCGCGGGGCCAGCACGACGAGCTGGGCGACGCCTTCACCGTGCACCTGCACTACGCCGACGGCATGCTGGCGACGGCGCGGGCGGGCGTGCTGAGCGTCGACGAGGAGCAGCTGCGGTTCTGGGTGCGCGGCGACAAGGGCAGCTTCAAGAAGTTCCACCTCGACGTGCAGGAGCCGCAGCTGCTGGCCGGGATGCTTCCCGGCCAGGAGGGCTTCGGCGTCGAGCCCGAGGGCCGCCACGGCACCGTGACGCTGATCGAGGACGGCAGGCCGGTGCGCCGGACGCACGCCACCCTGGCGCCCAAGACGTACGTCGAGTACTACCGCCTCTTGGAGAAGGCGTACAAGGGCGAGGGCGAGGTGCCGGTCACGGCGGAGGAGGGAGCGGCAGTCATTCGATTGATCGAGCTGGCCAGGGAGAGCTCCAGGCTGGGGAAGACGCTTGATGTGTAGAGCTTGATTTCTTTTTGAATTCATAGATGAATATCGCATTTTTTTTCCAACCTAGTACCTGCTTCCTAGCGTTGATATTCAAGGTGCAGCCACCTAAAATTGCGCACGACTTCTCCCAGGTCAGGCGTTATCACTGATGTTGAATTCTCCCAGCGCATATTTATTCTTTGAATGTTCCGCCTGTCCTGCCTTTTATTCCTCGGTGAACTTCTTGTACTCCTCGGCACTCATCAAGCCCTCGTTGGTGTCGGAACCGTCAGCCAGCTTGATCTTGGCGATCCAGCCGTCGCCCTCGGGGCTCTTGTTGATGATAGCCGGAGTCTTCTCCAGCACCTTGTTGACCTCGAGGATCCTGCCACCCAGCGGGGTAATGATGTCGGAGGCGCTCTTGACCGACTCGACGGCGGAAATGGCCTCGTCGGGGGAACAGTCGACGTCGGTGGAGGGTAGCTCGACGTAGACGACGTCGCCCAGCGCGTTGGCGGCGTAGGTGGTGATGCCGAAGGTGACTGTTTTGATTTCGGCGCCATCAGTACGTATTGCTCAAAGATAATATTTATCACGCCGGCCGACCCCCGGGCGCGAGTCATTCGGTCGGAGGGAAATGGCGAGAGCTCATCGAAAAAGCCTCCGAGATTTTGAACTGCGGCGAAAGAACTGAGGGAGCAACGCACAAGTCTTGCCGTCGTCGGACAACTCAACCCATTCGTGTCCCTGGGTGTACTTCTTCTCCCAGGCTGTAGTGCGTCGAGCGTGCGAGGTCAGCGGCTAGCAGCGGCGGCGGCGGGCGGGCGTTGAGGCTCTCGGTCGGACTCACTGGCAGCCGATGCGGAGAACTGCCTGAAGCTCTGCTTGCTCCAAGCGGGCGCCGCGCTCCTGCAGACGAAGGGGCGCGGGGCCCGCGCGGCGGAGGTCAATTGGCGGGCGGAGCGAGCGATTGAGAACCGGGCGGCCATTTTTGCTGTGGTGTGGGAGGGTGGAAGAGGGAGTCGGTGGTTATGATAAGACGCGCGTGTTCGGCGGGATAGCTATTCGATGACGAGAATCGGTGGCTCGTGCAACCGGCGCCCAGCCCAGCGTGACGGAATCGTGCCCGGATGAGCGGCGGGTGGAGAAACGAATGGCCGGCCGCTGCTGGAACTTACTAAGACTGCGGCGGGCCGACGCTCGCGACTTTCTTAGGTAGACTCGACTGACGGATGCGTAGACGCGTGCTGAGCCGCTCACCCCCGCCGCCACCATGCTGTACGAATTAATAGGAATTGTACACACCCCCTCTCCCCGCAGGCCCAGCTAAGGCATGAGTGCTGACCCAATTCGCAGGTCCGGCCGGGCAGGGTCCACGAAGTCAAAGAGTATGCCGCCGCAGCTTCCACACAACCTGCTCCCCCCGTCGCGCGAACCGCCATGGCATCGTTGCCTCTCCCCCCAATCCGCAAACACCTTTCGCTAACTCCCGAGCGTCGTACGCGTTACAGGATCGCCAAGACCGCCGGCAGCATCATCCTCAACAGCGGCGGCGTCGTGCGCGGCGTGACCAACTGGGGCGTGTTCCAGCTGCCCAAGCCGTTCCGCAAGCACCAGGTCACGCACTACGCCGGGCACCACTTCCTCCTGCGCTTCGACGCGTCGCCGCGCTCGCAGCACGCCCTGCGCCGCACCATGGGCCTCGACCCGCGCCTGATCCGCTACTCGGTCGTCAAGCTCGGCGACACGCTCGACGACATCGTCGACGTGCCCGGCGTCGCCCCCTGGGGCTCCGGCGACGCCGCCTCCTCGTCAAAGGTCTCGGCGAACCCCCCTAATGGCATGGCCGGCGGCTACCCCGACAAGTTTGGTGCCATGATGGCGGTGCCGAGGGGCGAGGAGGAGCGGGCGGAGGAGAATTTTAGTGAGATTATGGGTCTACTGAATCAGGACAAGAAGTGAAGGGAAGAAAAAAAAAACTTAGGGGCATGAAGCAGGTGGAACCTTGAGTCAAAGGTCAATTGAGTTAGCGATGGCTGGTCACGCTGTATAAATACCGATGGGATGTACATGGCCACAATGGCTTGAGGCGTTTATGGATACAGGGACATTGGCGAGAGGAGATGTCTTGGGAAGCAAACAGACGGATTCCGAGCACAAGAAAAAGTCACGAATTGTGTAGATTATGACCATCTCCGAAGCATTTACAGCTTTTGGTCTGTCATTGACAGTCAACTGGATGCACTCCAGGTCCATTTCGTCCTTTGTCTTGCAAGCAGCAATTGCGGCCAAGACGGCAGCTATCTAATACTGCAGAGCCACCGGGACTCCTCCTTGCTCGCCGCTCCTCAGCATTGCCTCCATCTAGAATCAAACTGTCAGCACGTCCACTCAAAGCCTTCAAGTCACAGTCTTTCAACGTCCTAGTGATGAGCAGCCGGGGAGCACATACAATCTGCAAGTCCTTCAGCGCCTCCTGCGGCGCCTGCCTCTCATCGAACCCGCCCTCCTCCAACTTCCCACCCCACGCCGCAACCTCCGGGGTCACCCCGAAGCCCGTTTCGGGGAACTCCTTCCTCTCTCCCTCGCCTTCGTCGCCCGCGCGGTTGACGGCGACGAACGCCGGCGCCATTGGCCCCGAGCCGAAGCCGACGGTCACGGTGCCGCGCTCGCAGACGATCCGGTACTCGTGGCCGCCGACGGGAGCGGCAAAGGTGGTGGAAAAGGAGCCCGAACAGCCGCTGCCAAGCTTCCAGACGGCGTCGATGGTGTCGACGGGCGGCAGGTACGGCAGGTGCTGCGCCGTGTGGGCGGAGACAGAGGTCGGGTTGCCGGTGGAGGAGAGCAGCAGGCGGGCGGCGGCGACAAAGTGGACGCCGGCGTCGAGGACGAAGCCGCCTTGGTGGGTGGGGTCCTTGCGCCACGAGGTTACTAAGGCACAGACGTTAGATGCTGTTTACTCTTTCCCGCCTTCTCTAGTCCTTTTTGTTTTTCTTTTCTTTTTGATTTTGCTGATTGGAGTGGGTGTGGGGGGAAGAGAGAGACGGAAAGCTCACCTTGATACTTGCTACCTTCTTTGACGAAGGCGTGCATCTTCGTGCTGAATGAAACGACCTTGCCTAGCTCCTTCACCTTCTCCGCGCCGTACTGAAATGACTCGAAGAAGCGGAAGTTTTCAGCCACACCCCACGTGACCTTGCTCTTGTCGATATTCTTATCGTACCATTGGAGCAGCTCACGAGCTTCGGCGACATCCTTGGCGACGGGCTTCTCCGACAGCACGTGCTTGCCGGCGCTTAGGGCGGCTTTGATGTAGGCCGGCTGGGCGGGGATGGGGAGACTTGGGTATCCACCATCAGCAAATTATCACGATATGGTTCGGATTAAGGGTGACGGTTTGCATACGCGATGATGACGCCCTTGATATCGGTCCGTGCGAGGAGGTCAGAGTAGCCCTTGCCTTCGCCGGCATCCTCGCTATACAGGTCGACGCCGGAGACTTCGGATGCGAGTGCTTCCGCCGATTTGAGAGAGCGGGAGAACAGCGCCTTGAGGGTCAAAGAGGGTGCTGCTTGGACGGCTGCCTATCGGTTTCTCAGTGATGAGGAACTGGTATGAGGGAAAGTGGGTTCGCGGACGAGGTGCTTTTCGCGGACGAAGACGCCTGGCAATGATGTCAGAAGAGAATCTTAAGATACCTAGTGTTGGCACTTACCGCTACCAATGATCGCCACTCCGACAGACATCTTGATGGAAGGTCTTGAATCTGAATGTACTCGGTGAAAGGAGGCTTTGCTGGTGCTGGCTTGCTGTGGGCGTAGAGAGACTTTATACCGTGGGGCATTGCGGGGCAACGCTACCAGGTTCTTTATATGTTGTTGCCGCAATGCCAAGGTTGAGTGTGGGTCGCAGCGGCCACCCGTTTTATTATCCGATCAAAATCCGTGGCCCGTCGCTTCCTGTGTCACGACTCGTGCCTTCTACCTTCAGTCAGATCACACAGCCCTAGTCACGGAGCTGTCGGCTTTGCGTATCAAAGTGTGAACAACTGCTGCTTTTTGTAAAACGCTCTAGAAAGCCAGCATCTAATGTTCCACTAGCCACGGCGCTTGGACCTTCCTACACTTATTTTATTCTCTCATCACTGACGTTTCAATAAGTGTGCTAAAGGAAAGAACAGAAAAGAACATGTCAAGTTTACAACGCTTTGGGCCGTCTCGAGTGCAAAGAATGTTGATCTTCTTGTTTTTCCTCGGGTTCAATGGTCTGGTCTGCGCGAAATTGGGGACTGCGGTGGGGACAAACGACTAGAGTAACGGGTGGTATTAGAAAATTGAGAATTATGAGTTTCGTATTTTTTTTCTTATATCCAGAGTGATATAGCTGCCATCCTGATGCGTTATAAAGTAATGGAGACCCCTTGTATTTTTTTCACAAAGATATTGTGCCGTATGATTATTTCCGTATTCAAATTCTTTTCTTATTTCTCACTAATTTAAAACATGTATCTGCGTCCGGATATCTACTTAAATTCCGCATAAGAGAGTTTGGTTTTCATCACAGGGCATAGGTAGAGGTGTTGGTCGAAGTTTTTGTTTTTACAAGCCATGTTGACTACACAATGCAAATTTCCTCGTTAATTTTGGATAGACAGATTGTAGCAGAGGTATTGAGAGATCGTGGCTAGTCAAATTTCTATCTACATCTCGTGTGTGATATCGAATTAATATGCATATTGTGGCATGAAACATTACGCCTAAGCACCAATCGCTCGTCTCAAAATAACATTAACTTGGACAGCAAGCTCCAATTCAAACCAAAACCCATTTTTAGACGCTGATCGCCTGGGGGTTCCAGAACACGTTCTTGGAGTCAACCTCCTTCTTGATGCCAACGAGCCTCTGGTACAAGCTATCGCTGTAGTACAGCTTGTGGGCCTCCTCAGCGCTCAGGGTGGGGTCCACGTAATTTAGGTAGGCGCCAAACTGGGCATTGGGCATCTTGTCGGTCATGGCGTCGTTGAGGCCCTGGAGCCATTGGTGACTGGCGTCGCTGGGCAGGGTCTCGTCGGCGCCGGTGAAGATGTAGTGCTGGGCGACCCACAGGGCACTGCGGTCGCTATAGGCGGCGAAATTGACGTCCTTCTCGTTGATGGCAGAGCCGGGACCGCCATAGAGGTTGACGATCGAGTACCACGAGGCAGGCGCAGACGGACCCTGCTTGATCATGTAGGAGAAGTAGGACTGCAGTTGGTCGGAGGTCAGGGGGCTCGCCTCGGGCGCGGTGACGGACTTGGCAAAGAAGTTGTCGTGGGCGTTGTAGCCGGTCTCGGGGGTCAAGAGAGTGTCTGCGCCGCCGAGCTTGACGAGAAACTTGATCCAGTCGAGGGACTCAACCGTCGCGGTCGTAGGCGTGGGCAGACCGCGGAGGAACTCGGGCGCAATCTTGGCATTGAAGTCGTCGAGAGAGCCAAAGTAAGAGCCCGAGAGCGAGTAGCTGGAGCCGTCCATGTACATGCCCATACCGCCAAGCTTAGAGTCGATAACGGAGCTGTTCAGCGAGACATCTTGGATGTGCTGGAAGTAGCCAGCCGTCTTGCTAGCATCAGTGAACATGCCTGGCAGGCTATACGAGAAGTAGACGACCTCGGAGGGAGCCTCGTGCGTCTGAAGGTAGAAAGAGCTAACGATGCCGAAGGAGTCGGCAGCGCCACGGAGAGCCTGAAACCCTTGTTAGTGTCTGGTGTGATGGGTGAGTGAATATTGAAATGGAAAGGTACTTACGTAGTAAACATCCGGATATTCGGTCTCCGTCGCGTGGACAGCCGAGCCATTGGCGAGCACAACATCAAGACCAACAATCTGGTCCAGGGCAAGACCCCAGCTGCGCGAGGCGTAGCCATAACCGCCGTGAGTGAAGTGACCGCCGATACCAACACCAGGGCAGGTTCCGTGCGAGAGAGCACGCTTGCCCTGGTCGTAGATGGCCTGGGCCAAGTTGCCCAACCTCAAGCCACCACCGACCTTGGCAATGCCCTTGTCGTCGAGAGTCACATCCTGGAACTCCTGGAGGTTGATGATCATGCTGCCATCCTTACCACCGGAACTGAAAGACGCGTAGGAGTGGCCGCCGCCCTTGGCCTGGACCTTGACATTATTCTGGGAGGCGCAAGTAACGGCATCGGAAATGTGCTGGACGGTGGTGGGAATGACAATGACAGCAGGAGTGTACGGCAGGTGGAGGTTGTACGGCTTGGCGAGGGCAGAGAAGTCGGCATCCGAAGTCAGTTTGATGGGCACGTCCTTCTCCCCTAGGCAGTTGGTCAGGCCCGAAGAGGTGCCATTAGTGGAAGTGGAGGTGGGCTTCGAGCTGGAAGTGGCGGATGGCTTCGATGTCGTGGTGGTGGCACCGCCGGAAGACGTGCAGGTGCCGGCGCTGGACTGACAGCCGGTGCCACAGTATGCGGAGTCACCACCGCACCAGCCGTATTGCGAGCAGCATGAGCCGTATGTCGAGCCGACACATGTGTAACCGGTAGAGCCGCCACAAGAGCCGTCAGGAGAAACAGTAAGAGAACGAGCGAGGTTCTGGGCCGGTGCCGGGACAGCGAGGGAGCTGCCGGCAAGGACGCCGAGGGCAAGCAACGACTTGATCATCGTCTGGGTTCAATGGGGGGAACCTGGAATGTTGAAGCGATGGGCGGAACGACAGGAGTTAAAATGAACGGATAGCGATGATCAGTGAGCAAGCAGGAAGATACTTAAGAATAAGCCGGAGCATGCGGCATAGTTACATCGACGCTACTGGCGTCAATCTGCCCGCTCGAGCCGCAGGGCTGTTAAAGTGAATACGACGGCTTGGGCCCACATTAGGGCGCGGGGGAATCGCATCTCGAGGGGCACCGAGTGAACTGGCGCTGTAGGATTCCCGGATGACACGAGTTGCCACGGCCAGTGGGGGGAAAAGCATGTGGTTAGTGCTCGCGCGGTGGCTGATGCTACGGCGTATGTGGACGGAGACTCGACGGGAGGCTGGAGAGGGAGGAGCTGTCAGCACCGGAGATGACTTAGTGCTTGGCCTGGGCTGAGAGGGCGGCGGGGGACAGGGAAGAGGGGCTGACTCCCGGTTGGCGGAGCTGTGATCAGTGCTCCTGGCCGATTCTCGGGCGGAACCACCTGCACCCATCCAGGGACGACGCTGGAACGGCGGTCCTTCATGAGCCAAAAATAGACGCTAAGACGGGCCCTACGTCTTCGTCCACGAGCCGCTCCTGCGTCCTCAGCTCCACCGTCGCATCCGTGGCTGCTCAGCAGGAACATGGCGAGCACCCTCGCGTTGCAACCTTGTTGCGCTTTCTTGCTGAGACGCGGGCTGCGCTGCTCGACGGCGGGCGCACGGTTGAGGCAGCAATTCCGGATTTAGGCATTATTGTGGACATCTTGGTTTCCAGACCCATGCGCAGATCGGAACGCCGCTGCGCAGATCGCCTGGTGGTAGAAAGCGGCCATGTCTGTCACCGCCGCATGACCCGTGAAAGGAGGTGTTTGCCTTGTGAGCCTCATCGCGCCGTGTGCAGAAGCGGACAGACCAGACGCGCCGGAGCTTGATGACCTGGCGGCGCTCATCAGCCCTGCCAGAAGGCCGCTAAGAAGGCAAGGTGTTCCGAAGAAATTCTGCCCCACACTACATTGACCGTCGGTGACAGGCGAAAGACCCAGGGACGGCAGTGCTCGAACCGGCACTCATCTCCATCTTTTGCTGACAGGCTGGCATCCTTCGTGTGCACCGTCGCGCAGAAGCACGGGATGAGTGCGGTGAGCGGGCTACAGCAATTCCCATTGGCTGGGTGCTGGCATGGCTAAAGTGACGGAGCACAAGATTCTTACTTTCTGTCGCTCGCTTGAGCTGGCGCGGGCTGGGCCCAGCCAACCTTCATCTATAAGAACTCTGCTAGCCATCGGCCAGCCGTCCGAAAACTCTATAGGTCAAATCCCGAACGCCAGCTGACGTGCAATTCCCGTCTTCGCTTATTATTACTCAACGCCAAACACGCTCGCAATGCCGCCAAAACCCCATCCCGCACTCGCGCTACAAAGCCACATTATGTAACCTTGGCTGCACCTTGTACATCACCCGCATGCGAACGCTGCCGTTGGCGTTCTCAGTCCCGATCCGTCTCGTGACATCGATTGAGAGATCGCCGTCTTGTCCGGCCCAGCTATGGTCTGGCCCTTCTGCACCGCAAACTGTGACGACCGCTTGTGTGCCGGGTTCGGGTTCTGGAAACCATGCGTGTTAGATGAGGCCGCAGGAACGCGCGATGCTGCATCTTCATATATTGGAGGCTGCTTACATAGTATTCATCCATGATCGGATGGATCATGACCGTCTGCTTGTGGATAGTAATGGTTGAGTTGGTGGGGACAGTAACCCAGTTGTCACGCTCAAACGTCAACGGTTCGCTGGCAACGAGCACAATGTCAGCGCCCTTGTCCTTCCGCTCCATCTTGTAGTCCTTCTTGTCGGCATCGATGTTGCTGTTCTTTTGCGCCTTCCAGCTGGTGCCCGACGAGAAAAAGAGACTGGCAGCTTCGTCCGTCTTGCTGCTGACGTAGCGCGAGCACACTACGCTGTTGCCATCCGTGACCGCAAAATTGAGCAGACTCCGGGTATCTTCCTCCCTGACGTCCGCGGGAACCTCCCTCATGAGCGCGTTGATTCTCTCAATCGTCTTCAGCATGGCCTTCCTCAACACCGTGTGTGGGAAGCCAGTTTCCCCAACCTCAGCGTCAGGCGAGTGTCCCATGCGGTCCATGCAGTCCAGGAAGAGCGCGAAACACCATTCACTGTCCGTTGAACCCTGCACGAAGTTGAACCATTCGTCGCCCAGAGACGACGCCAGCCTCCTCTTCACATGCTTCCAAGCGCCAACCCCGCCATTGTGCATCCACATCAAGCTCTTGTACCGGAATGGGTGGCAGTTGCTGTCCGACAGGTTGCCCTCGGTCGTGGCGCGCACATGAGCGAAGATCAGGTTCGAAGTGGTCTTGGAGGCGAGACGCTCGAGATTTATGCAGTTCCAGGCGGGGATGGTCGAGGTGAAAATACAGGGCTCGGGTCCGAGGTCGGGGGAGGTGTAGTAGCCAACTCCAAAGCCGTCACCATTGTGTGGGCGGCGAGTGTCCTGGAGAGTCTGTGAGTCGGCGTGCAATTGCACGAACAGGGTTTGGGTAGCGCGGTACCAAACGGAGGCGCGAGTCGTAGGACTGGGTGAGGATTGAATGCGTGGGATCGAGGATCAGTTTCGAGAGCAGGATCTCGTCCTTGCCCTTGTATACCTGCAAGCGCGTGAGCAGGTGTCGCTCTGCGCGACAAGATAGGTACTGACAAGGAATCTGCACATGGTGGGACTGTACAGCCAGCGCGCAGCAGGCAGACGGCGAGGAGCAGCTTGGTTATGGACGACGGAGAGAACGGGACAACGTGCGCAGGAGGCGAAAGAAGGCACAGTTTCGTGGCACAAAAGTATGTAGTATTCAGGAGGACCCGGTATGACTGGCCACTCCGAATTGCGTCGGCGCGATGACGCGATTGGCAGCTTTCTTGCCTGATCAGGCCCCTACAGCAGTGGACAAAGGGAGCACCGCGAGCTTGCTCGCCCAAGCTCGTGAGACCAGCTATCCGCCGACTCCGTGTCCGCTCCAGACACGTTCTGCAAGAGCGCGAGGTGTTGTCCGGGACTAGGGGTCGCGGCTAAAGAGGTGCACGTGGAAGGCATGGGCTCTACGTCAACTCTGCGTTTCTAATCGCTTAGCCCTCGCTCTCCGCCGCCGCAGGAGACACCGATCCCCGATCACGCCCGCCTCTCACCACCGCCACAGCCCACCTAGCAGCCCGCCACCACATGCGCAACTGGCGGCTGCGCTGACATTGCGAAGCAAGCATGAGCGGGAGGCTCCTCTCTGCGCGTCTGGCTCCCGTCGCCCGCCACGCCGTTTCGGCCTCTGCCTACGCGGCCCCGCGGAGGTTTACTCATTACCTGAGCTCCAACGCCGGCGGCCTCCTCCGCTCGCAGTCCGGGCTGCGCTCGACTCGTCTCCGATCATGGCCTCCCGGTGCCTATGCTCTACATAACGTCCCAGCCGTCCGCTCCATCTCCTTCATCCGCATTCTGCCCCGCCTGTTCCAGAAATTCGCTACATTGGGCGCCGTCGGAGGAGCTACCATTGTCGGAGGCGTTGTATATCTGCAAAATCAAGCCCAGAGTACGTGTACTTGTACTGTGAATGAAAACCTTCATCGGACTGACGGCTTAGTGCAGAGGGAGCCGACTACGCCATTGATCTGCTCTCACGCGGCCGGGACCTCGCAGGCAACACCGTCGGTGGCATCTTCACCAGCGCCTCAGATGTGATCGACCAAACTCGGCGAGGCTGGGAGAAGACAAAGCAGGACATCGAGGTTCCAGAATGGTTGCGGGGTATCCTGGCAGGCGAGGGCGAGGAGGGACAGCAGAACTCGTCGGGGCCCGAAGGTGACCCTCAGAAGAGTGGCGCCGGTGCTGCAGCTGTCGGAGCGGCAACCGGAGCTGCCTTCGGCTACAGCCAAGAGAGCGACGATGATGAACGTTCGGATGAGAGGATTGCTCGAGACGAGCAGATGATGATGCTCACGAAGAAGATGATCGAGATTAGAGGGCTTCTGCAGACGGTGGGACAGTCAGACTCCTTGACTTTGCCCTCGATTGTGGTCATTGGATCACAATCTTCCGGCAAGAGCTCTGTCCTGGAGGCCATCGTTGGCCACGAGTTCCTGCCCAAGGGCTCAAACATGGTTACCAGGAGACCTATCGAGTTGACGCTTGTCAACACCCCTGAGGCGCATGCCGAGTACGGCGAGTTTCCTGCACTTGGCCTTGGGAAGGTCACGGATTTTTCCCAGATCCAGAAGACCTTGACCGACTTGAACCTGGCTGTTCCGACTGAGCAGTGTGTCTCCGACGACCCCATTCAGCTTCGAATCTACTCCCCGAATGTCCCTGATTTGTCACTTATTGATCTACCCGGATACATCCAGGTCGTTGGACGCGATCAGCCGCCGGAATTGAAGGAAAAGATTGCTGAGCTATGCCAGAAGTACATTCAGCCGCCCAACATTATCCTGGCCATCTCCGCCGCGGATGTCGACTTGGCCAACTCAACCGCTCTGCGCGCTTCTCGTAAAGTCGATCCGAGGGGCGAGCGGACTATTGGTGTCATTACCAAAATGGATTTGGTCGAGCCTGGACGTGGGCTGGACTTGCTTACGGACAGGAAGTACGCCCTTCGTCTTGGATATGTAGGCGTCGTCTGCCGCGTGCCTCAAACAAGTGGGGGTCTTTTCCATCGCGGCAGTGGCAACATCCAGCAGGCCGTCGCCCGCAATGAAAAAGCATTTTTTGGCTCCCACCCCGAGGCATTTGGGCACGACGCACACGTCGACGTGGGCACCGGCAATCTCCGCAAGAAGCTTATGTACGTTTTGGAGAACACAATGGCAGCAAGCCTGAAAACCACCAGCGAGGCCATCCAGCGCGAGCTCGCGGAAGCCACGTACGAGTTCAAGGTTCAATACAACGACCGGCCTCTCAGTGCGGAGTCTTACCTTGCAGAGAGTTTAGACGCGTTCAAGCATTCGTTCAAGGGGTTTACTGATCATTTTGGTCGTCCCGAGGTGCGCGAGATGGTCAAGAACGAGCTTGATCAGCAGGTCCTCACCCTCATGGCCCACAAGTATTGGAACAAGCCACTCGATGACTTGAACCCTCCTGTACCTGAGGCGGACTCTCTGCATGATCTCCCCAAGGCCGATCCGGACAACCCTCTCTGGCATCTCAAGCTCGACACTGCGAGCTCTTCCCTGACCAAGCTTGGGATTGGTCGTCTAGCAACAACGGTTGTGGCCACCGCCCTACAGGCTCACATTGATCGTCTCATTGCAAACTCAACCTTCGCGGCACATCCCTTTGCCCGCCAGGCCATCACGGAGGCCTCGACGGCAATCTTGAGGGAGCTCTCGTACGATATCAGTGACGAGCTAGAGATCTGCATCAAGCCGTACAAGTACCGCATTGAACTCGAGGACCACGACTGGTCAAAGGGTAGGGAGAATGTCGGAGGCGTGCTGAAGGAAGAGCTCAGGATGTGCGAGAATGCTGTAAAGAATGTTGAAAATGAAGTTGGTGGGCGGAAGAAGCTCAAGGATGTCATGGGTTTCATCGACCGGGTACGCAGTGGGCAAGTTGTCATTGAGGGTGACGGAATTGGCGGCGCAGGCGGATTCAGTGCGGCGTTGCTTGAGAGAGGTATGCCATTCCGCGTCATGTTTGATGCTCCGACACTAACATGTATTAGGCCGACAAGCCGTGTTCTTGCGCGACCGCGCAGACATTTTGAAGATGCGCATCATGGCTGTCAAGTCGAAGCAGTGTGCCAACAAGAAGAACAAGTATTACTGCCCCGAGATCTTTCTGGATGCAGTGGCGGACAAACTCACGACCACTGCGGACCTTTTCCTGGACGCGGAGCTACTGTCGAAATTCTATTATCTCGTAAGTTTCGGGATGTACGGACGTGACAGCAAGCTTGGCCGCTAATTTGGAGCAGTTTCCACGCGAACTTGACAGCCGTCTTGGGCGCAACCTCTCGCAGGCCGAGGTAGAACGATTTGCGCGCGAGGATCCGAAGATCCGGCGGCACCTGGACGTGGTGCGCAGGAAGGATCTGCTGGAGCATGTGCTCAAAGAGATGGACTCCCTGCGGCAGCTGGAGGCGCGGGAGAAGAGGTTTGGCGCACGATCGGCGCAGAAGGAAGGCAAGGGCCGTGGGTGGAGCTTGTTCTAGATATGAATAGAGGCACGTTGGGATGGTTGGCGTTAAATTGTTCTGTTGCAAAGATACCAAAACTGGCGGGGCTATTGTACTGTAAGAGGCCGGGGAGTCTTGTTTCTTAACCCCTCTCAGCAGCGCTAGACAGAGAATCGAAGCAGTCTAAGCATGCTGGCGTGTGGCGGTCCGCGGAATCGCAGTGATGTGCTTAAGTGCGGCGTTAACTCCGGGGGTGACGGGTGGATGAAATAAGATGCGTCACCGCGCGCGCTCTAAGTTGACAGCTTCATGATGAACCCACCCGCCCGCTGACCCTATCAGCGCCACCGCCGAAGAGCTGCGCGTCCTCTCCGTGGACTTCCCGACGAGCTTCAATCGATGCAGCACTCGCAGAACCACCGGGCCGCCAGAGAGGACGACAAGACCGACGGTCACCGCAAACGCAAGCTCCTCCACTCCCGCCCGAGCAGCACTACTCCGGCCGACCTGCAGCGCTCCGCCCCGGACGACAACGGCAGCCAAAGCCCCACCCCCAAGCAGCAGACGACCATCTCCGAGCTGTTCCAGCAGAAGCCGGCGACGGCGAGACCAGCCAACGTGCCATCGCCCAAGGGCCACAAGCGCATCAAGCCCAATCCCGCCGCCGGCTCCGACGTCTCGTCGCCACCCCGCTCCGTCGACTCGCCGCGCTCCACCGCATCCGCCTCGCTGCCCACGGCCACGGCCGCCCACCTGCCGGCCGAGAAGATGTACAGCTTTCCGAGCAAGAAGCCCAACGGCGCCGCCAACAACGTCATCGACCTGACGGGCAAGACGCCCAGCCCGTCGCCGTCGCCCGCCCGCAACAACGGCGGCCCCATCGCGTCCGCGACGACGCGCAACAACATCAACAACAGCGCGCACCGCCCCAATTTCAACCCCAACACCGGCGCCAAGCAGCTCGTCGTCAAGAACCTGCGCAAGACGCCGCGCACCGACCCCAAGGAATACTTCAACCAGGTGTGGGGCTGGCTGGACGAGGCCCTGGCCAAGATCTTCGCCGGGAAGGAAATCGACTTCTCGCTCGAGACGCTGTACCGCGGCGTGGAGAATGTGTGCAGGCAGGGCCATGCGGCGGAGCTGGCGGCGCGGCTGCAGAAGCGCTGCGAGGCCTACGTCGAGACGGGCTTGAAGGCGGGGCTGTTGGAGAAGGCGGAGAAGCCTGACATGGACGTCTTGAGGGCGGTGCTGAGCGCGTGGCGGACGTGGACTGCGAATCAGGTGGGTGACTTCTTTTTTGTCCTTGTCGACTAGTAGGTGTTTGCTGGATGGCTGCGCGATGCTAATGTCAGGGGGGGGCCTTCTTTCTCGCAGAAACCGATTCGATGGATTTTCTGCTATCTGGATCGCTCTTACTTGCTGCAGCAGGGCCGGACGCTGCAGGACCAGGCATTCGCGCTTTTCCGCACCATTGTCTGCGAAGATGCGACGTTGAAGCCGAAGCTCGTGGCCGGCGCTTGCGAACTCGTGCAGGCCGACAGGACTGGGGAGGAGCTGGACAAGGAGACCTTCCGCGATGCCATTTCCATGTGCCACGACCTCACGATTTACACGAGTTTCTTTGAGCCGAAGCTGTTGGAGATTTCGCAACAGTTTGTTGCGGACTGGGCTGAGCAGGCAAGTCAGGAGAAGGGTCTCGCGGAGTATGTGCAGAGCGCCGTGCAGCTCATGGAGAAGGAGATGGAGCGTTGCGAGCATTTCAACCTGGACTCAACAACACGGCGGGATCTTCTTGCACTGCTGGAGGATCATCTCGTTCAGCGGCAAGAATCTAGGTTGGTCAACCAGGACGAGGTGGCGGACCTCCTGGACGAGAATGCCGTCAGCGACCTCGAGCAGCTGTACAAGCTTCTCGATAGGAGACGTCTGGGTGCTAAGCTTCGGCCAGCATTTGAAAAGTGGATCGATCTCACCGGTACCTCCATCGTATTCGACGATAAGGAGCAGGAAAACATGGTCGTGAAGCTCCTAACGTTGAAGAAACAACTGGATGCCATCTGGCGGGTGTCGTACCATCGCAATGCAGAGCTCGGCCATGGTCTGCGTGAAGCGTTCGAAGCCTTCATCAACAAGTCGAAGAAGACAACTGCCACGTGGAACACGGACAATTCCAAACCGGGTGAGATGATCGCCAAGTACGTTGACATGCTGCTCCGTGGCGGCGCGAAGGCTATTCCCACACAACTGTCGTCTGTGAAGGCTGAGGCTGAACATGACGAGAACGAAGAAGCCGCGTTCGATGAGGATACGGAAATTAACAACCAGCTGGATCAAGTACTGGATTTGTTCCGTTTCGTTCATGGAAAGGCAGTGTTTGAGGCGTTTTACAAGAAGGATTTGGCACGCCGTTTGCTCATGGGCCGTAGTGCGAGTGCAGATGCCGAGCGTAGCATGCTGGCAAGGCTCAAGACCGAATGTGGTGCAGGTTTCACGCAGAATCTGGAGCAGATGTTCAAAGATGTCGAGCTCTCGCGCGAGGAGATGGCAAGCTACAAGTCGCTGCTTGAGGAGCGCGGAGACAGAGCCCCGGTCGACCTGTCTGTCAGCATTTTGTCGGCGTCCGCTTGGCCGACATACCCCGACATTCCCGTCATCATTCCGGCTGAGATCCAGCAGAGCCTTGACAAGTTCACAACGCACTACAAGAACAAGCACAGCGGGCGCAAGCTCGACTGGAAGCACGCGCTCGCACACTGCCAGATCAAGGCGGCCTTCCCGAAGGGCAACAAAGAGCTCGTCGTCTCGTCCTTCCAGGCCATCGTGCTCGTCCTCTTCAACACGGTCAAGACGGGCGAGCACCTCAGCTACGACTTCCTCAAGGCGGAAACGGGCCTGCCGGAGCCGGAGCTCCAGCGCACGCTGCAGTCGCTCGCGTGCGCGAAGCTGCGCCCGCTCACCAAGCACCCCAAGGGCCGCGACATCAACGCAACAGACACGTTCACGTACAACGCGGCCTTCCACCACGAGAAGTACCGGCTCAAGGTCAACCAGGTGCAGCTGAAGGAGACGAAGGAGGAGAACAAGGAGACGCACGAGCGCGTCGCGGCGGACCGCAACTTCGAGACGCAGGCGGCCATCGTGCGCATCATGAAGAGCAGGAAGCGCATCGGCCATGCGGAGCTGGTGGCTGAAGTCATCAACGCTACGAAGAAGAGGGGCGTGCTGAGTGTGCAGGATATCAAGAAGAACATCGATAGGTATGTGGATCTATGCGTGCTTGAATATTGGTTTTCTCTGCTAACATCGTTTTAGGCTGGTTGATAAGGATTATATGGAGCGCGAGGAGAATAATGAGTACAGCTACATTGCGTAGATGGGCATGGAAATGGATGATCAGCGTAGCGAACAGTTGCAGTAAGCGGTGTAGCGGATGGTTCGAAGCCTTTTTTATGTTCTCAGGCTGCATACGTAGGTAAAATGCCGTGAGTCTTTGCTTGAAAGGGGAACCATCGCAGCTTTTTTTTCTTTTCTCTTTTTCGGGCTTTTGTTCATTTCCTTGGGAGTCACTGAATGCCAGTCGATTGGGTACGGAACAAGCAGGGGCGCCTTATTTGCATTACACTAGAATGGCGTAAGACAGGAACCTTTGATGGGTGGAGTGTAGTTTGGGTTGGAAACGAAATGTATTCTCTCCTTAACTATCATGATGTGGAAGGGAACCGTGCAATTAGGGGAGAAACATGGGAATATTAAACCAATCAGTCTCTCTTGCTATACCGCGTAGAAAAATCCTTAAGGTCTTAGGGCGAATGTGCGTTGCTTAAATCGTACTCCCAGGATTGATGGCTGAGATTGATTGTCGAAATGTGAACGGCTTAAGCCCCTCGGAGAGGAAGCATGCCTTGGTGTGCTTTGATCCCTTTCCTACTTCAAAGAGATAGAGCTCGGGCATATTGGAAATCATCCACATATTGCGTCGTTCTGGTCAGGAGTCTAAAGCAATGGTCTGATAGAGCTTTAAGAATAGTACGGCATGGCTGCATTACCGCTACGTTTCGGCTCAATATAGGAGAAAGTCGTGAGATATTTAAGAAATAATTTAGTAGGTACTGTAGTGATGTTCTTCCTTTAATTCATTGCCTTGGCGTGGATTCAGGGAGAATATTGGAAGTCTATGACTGTTCCGAGGACCTTGGTATGACGTTGACCTCAGTAGCCGGATGAAAATATCCACCTCGTGATTGACGAATTTTGCCGAGTTTGAACAACCTTTTATTATTTATTTTTCTGTTTTATTAGCTGTATTGAAGCGCTTGAATGAAATTTCTTCGGCCCCGGTTGTCTCTTTCCCGTCTAGTCGGAGGGGCACCAATCGACATGTGGCCAGGGTCATCACCTTCGACGTCCAAACCGCCAAATTTTTATTTTTTTTCTTAAAAAAAACAAATCAACAACAACAATGCAAACCACCGACACCGTCATCATCCCTCCCTCTTCCCCTCACACCCACACCATCATCTTCCTCCACGGCCGCGACTCCCTCCCTTCCGCCTTCTCCTCGGAGCTCTTCGAATCCCAAGCCTCGGACACGTCCCGCAGCACCCTCCCCCAGCTGCTCCCCCATTTCAAATGGGTTTTCCCCGCGGCGGGCCTGCGCCCTGCGAAGCGGTTCGGGGGTGTTGAGATGTCGCAGTGGTTTGACATCTGGTCGGTGGAGGAGCCGACGGCGGAGGGGGAATTGCAGTCGGTGGGGTTGGAGGAGAGTGTTGGGGAGGTGCTGCGGGTGGTGGAGCGGGAGGTGGGGATTCTGGGGGGAAGGAGGGAGAGGGTTGTGTTGGCGGGGATCAGTATGGGGTGTGCGACGGGGGTGGCGGCGCTGGTGAGGGGGGGTGGGATGGGGTGTGTAGGCGCGTTTGTGGGGGTGAGTGGGTGGATGCCGGTGTTGGGCGGCCCGGCGGCAGCGTTAGCGATGGGAAAGGGAGGGAAGGAAGAAGGGGGCGGGGAGGATCGGGAGGGGAGAGGGGATGCCGGTGTACTGGAGATGCCGGTGTTGCTGGAGCATTGTGTGGATGATGATGTGGTGCCGGTGAGGAATGGGGAGGTGTTACGGGATGGTTTGGTGAGGTTGGGTATGGATGTCGAGTGGCACGCGTATGAGGATGGCGGCCATTGGATGAATGAGCCCCATGGGATTGATGATCTTGTTGCTTTTTTGAAAAGGGTACTTTGAGACATGCTCACTGTACTTATTCATGAGAGAGTCTCAGCCTCGACGGCGAGGCCGAAGCATGCAGGATGGAAGTACAAGGAAAAAAAAAGCTACAAGAGTGCTATTCAGCCACAAACTCACGGGTCACTGCAGGGGATGGAGGACGAAAAAGAATGGAAAGCGCAGACTAAATATACCTTCACACAAGTAACGAGCTCTCTGAGATCACCATTTCGCATGCGATAACGAGCTTGGCGGAACAGCCAGCCAATCAGATCCGAATTTGTTTGTATTTACTATTTGGGAAAATGACTCGGAAAGTGCATAGCTGCAGCAGTGTGTCGCTCCGCTTCGTCTTCTGACCCGAGACTGGGAGGCCCGACCGACAAGAACAGGGCGCAGTCCGGCGGCAACGCGTACGCAACAGGTAATATGTGATGTTGCCACACGGCAGCCGCAATGCTGACGCGCCACCAAGCAGAACTGACCGGTCCACGTCACTTGCATTGGGCATTCTCATTGCTCTGGCTGATTCTAGAAGCACTGGTTCCACCGGGATGGCATGACTCAAGCCCTACAGTGGCGAGGCCGAAGAGAAATTCGTCAGTGGGTTTGGCTGGATTCATCTGCCGTCCAGTGGAGTATAGCCCAGGGTATAGGATTGTGTCAGACAGCAGGTCGAGAAGCGCAAAGCACAATAAATGCCTCAGCATGCACTCGAAATTATAGGATGAAGTCGGATCGCTTAGGGTGACGGATGAGCAAGGAAGCATGCATTGCGATCTGCTTCGTCCGCCCATCCGAACGTCAATTCGAAGCGAGTCAAACGACGGCGCCTCCCGGACGAATAGTTCAAGCTCCGTGGCGCGTTACAGATTCGCCATTGCTCGCTAAATGAGCACATGTGTATCTGGGACCTCGATGCTGCACCCAGTGGTTGTCGCGTAGATAAGTGGGTCGAAATAGGCTATTGTACAACGGCGATCAGGGCAGGTGAGACAGCTGCCGCACTCATCCAATTGAGCACCTGGTCGAACCGTTCGCTGAGCGGGCTCGAGGGACATCTCGGAGCGGTGAGAAGATAAGAGCGTCGGTCGATCTGATCTCTCCAGCTGGGAAAACTTGTTTTGAAGGTTGATGTCTATGCACCCGGCCGGAGGTATCACAGACTTCGACGCTGTGCATTCAGCTCCTGTATCAGTGCCCGAGACTTTGGATGCAGGGATCTTGGGCCAGACACTGCGAGCATACCCAGCACGTGTAGCGTCAAGAGGACTTGTCTCTCTTTTTTGCTGAAACAACGGCCGATCGGGGCCACACCCTGTCGCTGGGTGAAGTCTACTCAATTCATCGCCACCGAGACACGGCGTCGGACGCTATGTCTCTATCCAGGGCGTCGCATGCATCAATAAAGCCATGATGCTATCGCAGACCGGCAGACAGAATCATGGCCCGCCTGATGCGCGATTGAGGCGGACCAGCGTAGTGTTGTTCTGGGATGGGAAAGACTCGACAAAGGGCTCAAGGGCGGCCACAGCAGCGATTGAGGTTCGAAAGAGCAACGACAAAGGCACGGGCACAGTGCAGTGAGAGAGCACACGACGAGCGGCGAGTGATTTGAAGGGTAGGACCAATACGGCTTAGCGCCAGGTGAAGCTCGCTCGTCGGACGTCGGCGAAACCGCTTCCGTCAGCTGCCGCCCACATCAATTTCACAACCATACTTTTTGCCGGGACATCGACGACGACGTACTAACCCTCTCGACAACCCCAGCAGACAAAGTGCGTATACCATGCTCGCAGCATTCCTCGACAGTCCCTGCCCGTACTGACACCTGCGCGCAGATGGTGGCCGCTAAGAAGCACGTCCCGATCGTCAAGAAGCGTATGTCGATGCCTCCCGTTCAACACCCACACGCGCATGCAGCCGTCTAGCGCCCTGTCGCCGCCGCATCTCCTGCACCACCCGCCCGCAAAACCCTCGCCGCTTCGCTGTACGAGTGTTGGACAATTTGCTGATCGAGATGGGGGATTGCAGGCACTGCGCGCTTCAACCGTCACCAGAGCGACCGCTTCAAGTGCGTCGACCCCAGCTGGAGGAAGCCCAAGGGTATCGACAATGCCGTGAGGAGGCGGTTCAAGGGCCAGGCCCCCATGCCCAAGGTACGCTCGCACCATCGCCTCGAATTGGAACGGGACAGGACCACCGACCGGATGCGGACGTGGATGAGACCAGATGGATCAGAGGAGGGATATGGAAATTGAACAGCGACGCTGACGGGATGCTTTGCGCACTAGATCGGTTACGGCTCCAACAAGAAGACGCGCCACATGGCCCCCTCCGGCCACAAGGCCTTCCTCGTCAACAACGCCCGTGACGTTGACATCCTCCTCATGCACAACCGCACCTACGCTGCCGAGTACGTCTACTCCCACCCTGGACGGGCCGATTTCGCAGGAGCAGGATCGGCTAACGTGCATGCAGGATCGCTCACGCCGTGTCGGCACGCAAGAGGGTCGAGATCGTCAACAGGGCGAAGCAGCTGGGCGTCAAGGTCACCAACGCCAAGGCCAGGATCACCACTGAGGCGTAAAGTGTTTTCTTCTAGCGGGGCGGCGTGGATATCATCAGGTCAGGGTGTCGTCAGCTTGCGTAGACAGTCAAGCTTCGTGTATGCACACCTAACGACAAAAAATGAGCATCAGTTTCATCGGCTGGCAGAGGCGCATGGAGCCAGCGGTGCTATCCATCATCAGTGTCCCCGTTTTGGTCACGTTGCACGGCGGCGCACGCGCCCCAGGGATTGGCGGCGGGGCGGCGGGGAGTTCGTTGCGGATCGGATAGCAGATTTGCTGTATTGGACGGAATGATATCGGCCTTTTGTCCCAAGATCAGCAGCCGTTGTGGGCACGCGGATTCAGCCTGTTTTGATGCGCTGGTCGCGCGATACGTCACAAACGCAAGCACGCGTCGCGCGGCCAAGCGAAAATGCCTAGTGTGGAGCGTTGCAAGCGTTGCAAGCGTTGCAAGCGTTGCGAGATGGCGATTGCGCTATCAGGTGTCCCCGGACGGGAGGCTGGCGCGGACAGGCATGTGAAGTGGTGTTCTTGGCTCTGCACGCTGGCGGCGCTCCCGCAGACGCCCGACCTGCAGCTGCGGCCTTGTCCCCAGCCCACGACACTCCCGCTGCTGCCACACTGCCCTCGACCAACCCCGGCCTCACCGCCCGCCACCGGCTGCTGATGCCATGGCGCCGAAAAGGAGGTGTGCAACCGTGGTCTCTGCTGCATCTGTGCCTCGTCGCGCTTGCCTCGGCGCTGGGGGCACGCAGGCCCAGCTCCCCGAGCGATTGGACGGTGCGCGGCGATAGCGACGTCCGCCGTGAGCGGTGCTGCACGCAATGCCTCTGGCGCATGGCTACGCATCTCTAGACGCTAATCCTGGCGCGGGGACCGCCTTCGCTGCTGACCTCATGGAGATGGCAGGATCGCAGGCATGACGGCGAGCCCGGTCTCGTGAAAAAAGGACCCTGGTTTAGCAACGGCTCGCCGAAAATTTAAAATCGCTACCTTAGTCAAAACTGCAAGCCACGACCGCCCAACACAGCCAACATCCTCCCTCCCGCAAGACACCTATTTAGCTCCCGGCAGCCCTTCTCACATCATCCCTACCAGGACTCGTACGCCCAGCCCGTCCCGGTGCCTCCTATCCCGCCCAGCTCAGGCCAAAGCTCCACCGCCCAGTCGGCCTTACATATTCGTATCCGCTCCGCCGCGCCCTCTCTCCGTCCACACCCTCCCCAGCTCACACCACAAAAATTCACAGCACCTTCGGGTGCCTGTCCCCCCTCGCCCCCATGGCGCCCAACTTGCTTGTTGCCACCCAGACGCTCTTCACTCCCCACAAATGGTTCACCCGCAAATCGTCCGAGAAGTCGGTCCGCCGCAGCGAGCACTGGAATGACCCCATGCCCGGCACTTACGAGTACATCCCTGGCCGCGGATGGTATCTCGCCAGGCCCGACGCCGCCGACGGCAGCCCTGGTGAACGCCTGGAGAAGCCCCGCCCCGTCAAGTACAGTCGCGTACTCCGCCGCTACCTGTTCGACGCCGAGTACCAGCGCCGCAAGCTCTCTGGCGAAATTACCGACTCCCACGGCAAGGTCCGCGAGGCCGGTTTCTTCCTCCTGGACGACGGCATCGCCTGGGTCAACTGCTGGAACCACAAGGGCGAATTCGTCCCCGGACCCTACGAGCGCTGGGTCATCGATGAGCGCAACGAGAAGTTCCGCAAGATGCTGAAGGGCGACGACCCCGAGTGGCGCAAGAAACACACCACCACCCGCAGGACGAGCGGCGACCGCCCTCGCAGGAGCGCATCCGTCGACAGCGACGAGGACGACAAGAACCGCGTCTACCAGATCCCCTCCGTCGGCCATTCCCGCCCGGCTTCCACCATTGACATGATGCTCAACTCGCCCCCCGCCTCACGCCCGCCTTCGCCCAAGAATGGCATGACGCGCTCCGAAGGTGTCAGTAGGGTCAACTCCAGGGTCAACTCCGGCGCAAACAGCTGCGCAAACAGCATCATCGGCGTCAAGCTCGCATCGCGCCCCAGCAACCTGCGCGAGAACAGCAGCAGCGAGGCCGACACCCCGGTCAGCGTCGGCTCCTCCTCCACGACCATCTCCAACATGGCTGCCGCCTGCTCCGCCCATCACCATCAAAGCCTCGCCGCCGCCGTTTCGTCGCGACTGGAAGAGCAGAGCCTCGCGCAGCAGCGGGTGCACTAACAATGGCTTTTGGTCGACGTGCGAGGCGCAGGACGTGAAACAGGGAACAAATTGCCACGGCCCAAGCGTTTGTCGTTTGCGTGTCGTTGGGCCCTAGTGTTGCCTCGCGGTCGAATCCTTCTGGAAGGAGTGCGGAGTTGAAACGGCGCCACCGCCACTCCGGGCTCTTCCCGCAACGAGAGAGCAGCCGGGCTGCTACTCTCCCTTATTTCCTCTTCTTCAGCAACACCAACCCCCCCTTTTTTTTGCGATGTCGTTTCTGGCAAGCATGTTCGTGTCGCGGGGATTGCTCCGTGGGACAGGCCAACGGAGGCGCTAGAACGTTGGCCTTGTGGTCCAGCGGGTTTCGGGAATTGGCTCCTCGTGGCTTGCGCGGTTGGTGCTCTGTGCCATTTTTATCCATCTTTTCCTTTTCTGGGCTGGCGTTTTGCTTCCCTCATCTTATTCCACGAGACCACGTTAGATCGTTAGACATTTTTTTTTTGGGAGGGCCCTTGGTTTTACTTCTTTTGCATCCCTAGATGGCTAGCTTTATCCCCCCTTTTTCTTTTCTTCTTCCTGTTGGGCTTTTCTACAACGGTTAACAGGTGTTTGAGCGTAGCGTGTTGTTGGTAATATTGTAAGGTGTCTGGTGTTGGAACTAAAAAGACGAGTGGCGTTGTGTGCGGTGCGGGGTCTTGTCCGGCGGGGTTCATTCTGATTATCCTGTAATGAAATTATTCGACTCTCTCTCTTGATCCCTTATTACTGCTTTTTTTTCTTGTTTTGTTTTAATTTTCTCCCGACTTCCTATTCAAGTAATGCTTTGCTCTTCATCGCTTAATACAATTGGACGACCGTTTGATCATCCTGGGCGCTTGGTCGTTAGCTTTGCTTCGGTGCTTGGCTTTTTGGCTTGACTCCGGCTTGTGCGACACACGTGGAGATGGACGGGTACGCTAGTTGTATAAGCACCGGTTGGCGGGGTAAGACCAAACGGCGACTTCAACCCTTAAGCCGGCTTAATTACCGGGAGAGCGAAAATGGTGAAACTGGGTGAGTGTTTCTCCATTGAACGACGGTCGTCGGAGGTCGCGCACAAGCTTCTCGTGGCCGGGGTTCCCCCACCATCTTGGCGGCCTCTGGCTCTGGGCGAGCAGGAAGTGGTGGTGTTGGGGAAGAAAAGGGCTTGGCGGATCCGGGAGAGAAAACCAAAATGTAAGAGTGCCGTAGCTGGCCATCCGTGGGAGGGGAGGCCCGGGGGGCGGTTCTTGCAATTTTCAAAGCGAGGGAGAAAGTCACGATGAATTTTTTTCTCTCCCTTGACAATGGCGGGGGGGAGGGGAAACATGGACTTTTTCTGTATTATGGGGATCTATGTGCTTCTAATATCATAGCGTACCGTTGCTGGCATGCATAATCAGCGTGCCGAACCGACCGGTCAGTGAAGTGGACGCGGCAGCGGCGGTTCCAGGAGAATATCGCCGAGGAGTCAACGGTTGGGCTGCGCGGGGTGCTGGCAAAGATAGCGGGTCGGTTGGGCCGTGTCGGAGGTCCGGAGGTTTTAATGCTCTATGTCCGATTCTGCATAGATGGATACGTGGGAATAGTGAAAGGTTCGGTATTGCGTCGATCGTGTATAATTCTGGGATAGCTTTTGGGATGGTCCGGGATCTGTTTTGGAGCTGATGCCTGCTACACCTTGAGACCGGCGCGCTAGAGCAACGGCCCGCCTCGTGGACTTGTCGCAAACAACGATCATGGGCTTTCTAATACTTGAGGAGGCTCCACATTCCAAAGGCGGGGGTGATGGAAGATGGAATCACGCGGTCAGAGTGAACAGCCTAAACATAGGGTTAAGAAGACTTCATTAGATCGTTCACAGCTTTCGCGGCGAATTTCTTCCTCTGTTCCTCGGGCATACCAGCAGCCAGATCTACAACCAAAACAAATCAGTTCGAGTCCTTCACCAGCAAACAGGAGCAAGCACTGACCTTTGATGCCACTCAACTTACTCATCATCCGCTCCAGCTCCTCCACCTGCGCCGCCTGGTCCTCACCATCCGCATCATCACCGTCACCCCCATTCAGCTCCGTCTTCAAGCCCAGCAACTCCAACCCCATCTCCGCCTCCTCCGCCGCAAAAGTCTTGTTCCAATCCTCATCCCCGCTCCCCTCGCCCTCCAGCTCCTCGAAATCGCTCAACCCCGCCCCATCATCGCCCTCCCACTCATTCGCCTCCAGCGCCTCCCTCACCCGCGCCATGCCCTGCACCTCGCCAAACTCGTTCCTCCCCTCCGCCTCCGCATCCACATACTCGAACCCCCTCTCCCTCGCCGCATCCTCCCACTCCTCCGCGCCCCACTTCCCCTCTCCCTCCTCCTCCACACCCGCCACCACCACCTCGCTCGTCCCCACCAGCCCGCCCGCCCTCCCCCTCACCCCAACCGCCAAGCACACGCCGTCCCACCCCATCCCGGCGCCCTTCTCCACCACCTCCCGAATGCCGCGCATCGTCTGCAGCACGCGGTCCCTTTCCGTCTCCATCTCCCTCCCCGCGTCGGCCGGCGGTTTGCGGAAGACGTAGACCCAGGCGCCGACGGCGGCGACGACCTCGCGCGCCTCGGGTCGGCAAAAGTCGTCGCGCCAGGCGGCGGGCCGCGCGATCTCGTCGATCCAGATGGGGATGGTGGTGGTGTAGTAGGGTGTTGTGAGGGTCCAGGCGTGCGTGAGGCCGGCGATGCTGGTGTTGTTGGCGGGGCCGGCGGCGGCGGTAGGGTCGTTGGGATCGTTGGGGTTGCCGGCGCTGCTGTCTGCGTCCTCAGTGGGAGCTGCGGGACGAGGAGGCGGAGGGGCTGTGGTGGTGAGGTCTGTTTTGTTTCACGCGCGGGGTTTTGTCAGTGGGCGTGGGATCTCATTTTGAGCTTGGGGGCCTGGAGGCGGGAGGCGTAAGGCGGGGAGGCGTCCAAATTGAGACTGGGAAGGTGGAGCGAAAAGGTAAAGGGAGGGGTGGAGTGGGTAGGTTATCGGAGGTCTACATACCTGTGAGGAATTCCAGCACGCCCGAGTCTGGAGCGCCGACGACGAGCATGCGCCGTGGGTTGGAGATTTCCATCGGCTTTGGCGCGTCCATAGTTCCTTTTTTCTGGTAGGGTTGTATTTTTATGACAAGGTTGCTGGTTGCTGGGTGTTCACATCTTGGAAGTTGCGGAGGTAATGCGGAGGAGCTCCCGCGTCGTGGCGCGGAAGGTTACTTAGCTCTAAGTCGTGGCCGGTGGGACGTCACTCGGCCCCGCGATTCTACACAAATCCGACATTCTTCAGACTAGACAAACGTTGCTTTGATGACGTGATGAAGTAGAAAATTACGTAGCTTGCAGAGGATCAGTACGGCTTCTGAAAGGCGATCACGATGGTGGCAGATAGGCAGCAAAGCCCGTTGGGAATCTCTTCGATTTTTTTTATCCAGCCGGTTCGGCTCCCTGCTCGTCTTGAGCATTCATGTGATATCGGCTACCCTTAAAGTTCCGGAACGCCTGTGCTGACCATGCATCGGGGATCATTTTTCTAGAGAGCCATTCCCACCCATTACCCCAGTGTCCAGTCCGGTCAAATTGAAAGCAATGATATCCAAAACCTGGTGTCACTGGTCTCGATCGGTCGTGTGCAGATTGGCGACTCGGCCGTCGGTGTGTTTGCGCTGGGTCGTTTGTCAAGACGTTCAGCGAGGGCCACGGGCACCGCGAGCCCTGTTGACGGTAGCCCTGCCACGGGCGAGACCGACACCACGACCGCGGGTTCCACGAGAACGGAACATGGGGGCATTCCTATTTCAGAACGGAAAGACCCTGAGTCAACATCTCTCTTCTAACGGGTGATCAGGGAGCTTATACATACCGCAGCATGTCTGGGACGATGAAGTAACGAACATGGGAGCCGCGGATGTAGACCTGGTCGAGATGGGAGACACGGCCATCGCGAGCGGTGACGGTGATGTCCTTCAGCTGGACGTTCATGTTGTCTTCGGCTATGAAGTCGTGGCGCGTCAGCGAGCTTGTCGCAAGAAGACCTGAGCTTGGGAGCAAAAGCGGCACGGCGAGACGTACCTTCAAGAAGCTTGCCGCGGTAGACCTGGCCGGTGGAGAGCTCGAGGGTGACAACGTGGCCCTAGCAGCGAAGATGTGATCAGCGGTCGGCCTTGCGAAGAGCAGCTTCTGTGAGCAAGGGCGCGACAAATAGTCGTTGCGGCGGGCGCGTACCGTGGCCTCGTTGAGCAGCTTGATGGGGATTCCGATGGTACTCGTCATGCTGGGTGGCTGCGGCGGCGCGACTGCGATTGGAAGGATTGCGGATCGTGGATGCGTGTGGGCGTGGCGGGTGGTGCGGTGGTGGGTGGTCGCGCGGCGCGGTGGTGATGGAAGCTCTCAAGCACTGAAGAGGCACCAAGCCCGGGTTTTCCCCGGCCGGGTTTTGTGCTGATCGCAACTGCCCCGGCGGGTGCGAAACATCGACTCTAACAAACACGTCGACATCCCCACCGCCTGTGCGCGGATTGGCCCAATGAATCTCTCGGGGACCCTCAATGTCTTCAAGCTCCTGAGAGACCCTGCGCTCTGCCTCCCGCACTACACGGTTTCCACTTTCAACCAATTGCCCGTGCCGCTGTCTCGGGCCCTAACCCGACCTGATGGAAAGCCCGTAGACATCCGGGCCGTGGTTCTGGACAAGGACAACTGCTTTGCCGTTCCTCACACGGATGAGGTTCATCCTGAGTACAAAGTAATAATCCCTGCATCAAGTCCGAACCCAAAGCGGATGTTTGCATGGCTGAACATATTGTTCCATTTGCCCCTATCAATTGTCGTGTTCTCATCAATTCTTTTCGCCAATCCGATCCTAGATTCACACACGGATTCCCGACATTTCCTTCTAGAATCCAGGCTGATCTTTCTCCCAACACAGGCAAAGTTCCAAGAACTCCGCGAGGCTTACCCGGGCTCAAAACTGTTGATAGTTTCCAATACCGCCGGTACAGCATCCGATCCGGCTCATGCCCAGGCCGAGCTATTGCAGCGCAATACTGGAATCAGGGTCCTTCACCACAACACAAAGGTTCGTTCGTTCCACCTCCGCTTTAGTGAACCCCCCACAAGCTGATCCATGTTTCCCTTCAGAAACCTGGCTGCCGCTCTGAAGTTTTCGAATACTTTCGCAATGCTCCAGATGCTGGAGTGACGTCGCCCTCGCAGATTGCTGTCGTTGGTGACCGCCTGTTCACTGATGTCATGATGGCCAACCTGATGGGTGCGCATGGGTTCTGGGTTAAGGATGGAACCATCGGCCCGCATAGCTTCGTAAGTATCTATGAGAGTGATCCAGCCAAGACATGATTTTAGACCCGAACTGATGTGCATCATGTGTAGTTTGCGAAGGCGGAACACAAACTAGCTGCCTTTCTTTTGTGGCGAAAATACTCTGCCCCAGCCCCACGGAGCACCGTTGAGTGAATCAGGGCGTGGAAGAAATCTCTTTAGCGAACCGTTCAACCCAAAGCTCCAAAAAAGAAAAAAAAACACAATACTGTTTTTGTTCAGGGCGCCTAACGCCTAGTCACCCATAGATGTGAACTGTGGTATTTATATGTAAAATTAAGCTGTCTGTTTCGGAGTATTCCGCGATCCTCCCTGTTCATTCTCCGGCTCATCAACCTCCTCAGCAAAAATTCATCTTCCACTTAAAATGCCTTCAAACTCACTTCTTTCGGGTGTTGCAGCTTTTTTCACCTTTATCTCCCTTTGCTGTTATATCTGTCTCGCATTTATTCTCCTTAATGTCCATTATCAATCACCCTCTGAGCCCGTCAATGATTCGCCTTGTCGACGGGCACCAGAATTGGTGGAGGCATACCACAACCACCCGTTGGCGATGACGACCTCTATGGGTCCCCAACAATCCGCTAGTTATTAATACGGAGCCCTGGATTGGAGTTTTCTAAAAAAAAAAAGGGTGCGTGTACAATACTATATAGCATAGGGGCTTTATGGGGCGGGTTTACTGACATTTAGACAGAACCGTCGAAAGCCAGCAACAGACAGCGAACGTTTTTCATCATCTCGGCTTCTCAAATCATCGATGGAATGGAACCCTGGTCTACAGACAAAGACGACAACATCCGAGCTCGGCGATGGCCTATACTTTATGACTGCTTTCTTTGTCTACATAGCAAAATATAAGCTTTCTTGACTGAACGTTCCCCATCTACATCTTTGAACTAAAAAAGCAGTTCCAATCACTCACTCCCCCGTCCCAGACCCGCCGACATCACGCTATAATGGCTCCCTCCACCCGACCAGGAAAGCCAAATGACCCACAAGAAAGGCACAGCAGACGACGAACCCACCCACCGCCCCGCCAACCACAGACCACGCCCTCCCCAATGCCACAACCACCACGACCACCACTCCCACTCAACCCCACCCCCCAGTCCCATTCCAAGTCCCACCCCCAATCCCACCCCCACCCCCAACCCCCCCACTACCGCCTCACCCCCCTCCACCTCAAGCTCCTCTCCACCATCCCCACTTTCTTCGCCCTCGCCGCCCTCTGCTCCCTCCGCCACCGCGCCCGCCAATCCCTCATCCACCACACCACCCCCTCCCCCAACACGCCTTACCCCCTCCATCCCACCATCACCACCTCCCCCCACCTCCTGCTCCTCTTCCTTCTCTTCCTCCTCCCCGACCTCCTCTTCTGGCTCCCCCTCTTCTACACCGTCCTCGTCCTCCAGCTTGGCGTCATCTACCAGCCCGACGCTGCGCTTGAGAGGGCCATGGCTATGCGCTCGGAGGCGGAAAGAGAGAGGTGGAGAGCGGGGTGGAGGGTGGCGGAGGAGGAGGAGGAGCGGATGAGGAAGGAGAGGAGGAAGAGGAGGCGGTTGTTGTTGGTGCCGGATGTGGATGTGGGAGGGAGCGGGAGCGGGAGCGGGGAATGGGGGGTGGTGAGGTGGGGGAGGGATGCGGATGGGGGGGCGAAGGCGGTGGAGGCGGTGGAGAGAGGGAGGAGGTTGACGAGGGCGGGGAGGGGAGAGGCGGTGAGGTGGTTTGCGTAGGGCTGGCTGGCTGGCTGGTTGGGGGGAAATGGAAAAAAAATTGGAGAGGAGAGGGGAGGGGAGGGGGATTGAGAAAATCGGTATCTATTAAAAGGATAATGAGACGGATATGCTATCTATTGAAATAAAGGTTTCAGAGGGGGGTAGTTCTAGAACGAAAAGTAGCCATCTAGACTGGAGAGCTCGTGTCGTGCATCTAATGGTTTTGCACCATTGTCTACCAGATCCTCTCTCTACATCTCTAGGCCCTTCCCTAAGAGCACCTTTCCGACTTCGACTACGAGGTCATCCTTGTCGCACAACTCCATCTTCGCAAGTACTGTTCCCTTCGCATCCATGGCTTTGCACACGTCCACGATTTCACCTTCCATATCCGCGCAGTACACCAAGAGCCCCAGACTTGTCAGCATCGCCAAGACGGCCTCTTTACTCTCCTTCTCGACCGCCACAGCCTCAAGCAGCGCCGCCACGATCTCCACTTGCTGACTCTCGTCCAGGACATCGCGGTCTGCCTCGACGCGCATGCGGTGGTTAGCAGCGGCAATATTGAACGCCAGGCTGGCCGCTGCGATGCGCACATTCCCATGCTTGTCGTCGAGAAGACTAGCGCTGAGGAGGTGGGTGAGGAGCTCGGAGAAGGATTCGTGAGCGAGTAGATGTGTGCGCACTAGTGATGTCGAGAAGAGGTTGCAAGCCAATTGGAGGGTGACGAGGCGAAGGTTGTACGGGCAATCCTGGAGGTTGTTGACGTGCGAAATCAAGGCAACAAGTGTGGCAGCGTCGTTATCCTCTGCGAAAAAGCCGGATACACGTGGGTCTGTGAGCGTCAGGCGGAACAGGTCGTATGCCGCGAAGAGGTTTTCGGGAGAGACTTTAGAGGTTGCGTCGTGAAGGAAGTTGGCAAAGTCAGGGAGGGAGGGCAGAGGCGCTTCACGCGAGCCCGAGTCACGACGAGTGGTAATGAAGGCAGCAACCATGGCAATTATAGGGTGCTTGCCGTGCTCGCCCATCTTCGTAATCAACTTCTCCAGTGGCGGGACCTTTTCGTAAGTCACTGGATGAAGACTTGGGCCGAGGAGCTTGGGGAGGTCGAGACGCGTGTGTGGGTGGCCCATGCTGGCCTGTTGGACAAGAAGTCGGACATTGCCACGGAGCTGCGGCTCGTTGGCGCCGGACCATTGATCGTCTTTCATTCCTTTGAGGAAGGTGATGAAAGTGGGAGTGGCCCGTACACTGTACTTGGCCGCGACATCGTACGCCTGATTGATGTCTACTTTGATAAAGACGCCATTGGAACCTGCCTCCTCTGCCAGCTCATCGAAGGCTGGATACATGACCTTGCAGGGAGCGCAAGTTGAAGAAGTGAAGAAGATGGCCGCGCAGGAATCCTTGGCGCTTGTGAGGAGTTTGTCAACTTCTTGGAGGGTTGTCACATTGTGAAATTTTCCGCTAGTCGAAGGTCCGTTCGCAGCGCCGTTAGTGACGCCGTTGGCGGTGCCGTTGGCCACTGCTGCGGGCGCTCTATTGGGCACGTTCTGCGGCGGAACGGGAGCTTGGGTCACGGATCTCATGGCAGCGTCGATCTGTGGCCTTAGCATCTGGCCAAACGGCGTATTCAAGACTGTTTGCGGCAGAGATGTGATGTGGTCCGGGATGCCCTTTCCCACGAGGAACATGGCGAAGTCATTTGAGCTGAGGAAACGTCAGTGTGCAGCTTACTATATAAACGAGGGCAGGAAGCGCTCACAAATTGTTGCAGTTGTGTGCGAACAGGTCGTATGCCTCGGGGGTGTAAACCTCTTTCAGCGACTCGAGATACTCCAGGATCACGTCCATGGGCAGGCTCGTGCTGCCGAGCTTGACGACTTCTTCAGGCGCTCCATGGTGGGTTGTACCAGGATAGCACGACTGAACGCCTGCATGCAGTGTCAGCAACGCGAGGACGAGAGCGGCTGCAGCCAAAAAAGCGACTTTACCGGCGCCGTAGAAATACTCGATGCCGCCGAACACGATCGACGTGTGATAGACGGCGTCGATCTGGATGCCGAGGAACTGGCGGGAGAGCTGCGGACAGGGCGGTTAGCGACGCCGAAGCCTCGCGGGTGAAGGCAGCGGTACCTGTCTGGCTAGACCCTAAACAGCGACGTCAGTGGAGCTCGCAGGCAGATCACGGCCATCGAGCGGGACTGTACCTTGGAGAGGTCGTACACGTAAAGCTCGACTTCCATGCTGGCGGCGAGAGACTCGGGTGGATGTGAGAGTTCAGGGAGCGGCGGCGTGGGACGTCATAGTTATTGAGCGCTGCTCAGCGCAGGCAGCGCAGTGTTGCGTCGCCTGCCAGAAGCTTCCACTCGCGGGTAGGGCGATCCGCCGCCATCAAGCTTATCGATCTGGGGCTCTTCGGAAGCCAGCCGCCGGTCCGCCAGACTCGTCAGGCGGCGCATGGCTGGCCTGGTGGCGTCGCAGCGCAGGTTTAGGGGCTGGCCCTGCGGCAGCGCGCGGCCAACATTCCTGCCGCGCGCTGGGCCTCTCCTGCTGTACGCCGCTCCTCCATCTTAGCTGCCCTCTTGCGCGCCCCCCCTTTCGTCTGTTTTCATCTTATCGCCGACACGGCATCCTGCGCTTTGATTGTTCCCACCGTGCGCCCTCACGATCGCTACCGTCTTCGGCTTACGGCGCCGCCACCGCCTGGTCAGAGCATTTCATGTCCAGTAGTGTCGACGTCCGCAGGCGTCCTGACATCTGGTCTTATTTCTCATTCAACAGCGCGCCCCGGCGACGCACTTCGCTCTCCTTGCCTCTGAAGAGCAACAGCACCTTCGACCCCTTCGAGAAGGCCGACCGCCATTCCACTCGTCCCTCGAGGTCCTCCACCGGCGCATCCTCCTTCATGAACGAATACAAGGTCGGCGGCGGCAGTAGCAGCAGCAGCAACATGAACCAGGGCCAGCGGACCCGGTACCTGAAGGCGGGAGGCATCATAGCCTTCATCCTCATCATCTTCTTCTACCTGGCCCCTAGCCAGGCACCAGCTACCGGTGCGTACACCTGTCTCCAGAATTTCCCCATTGCAATGCGCCCGCGCTCACACCCATCCAGCACCCTCCGCGGGCAAGTTCCCCGGCGGCGATGTCGCCTCCGATCCCTCTCTCGCCACCACGAAATGCACGCGCTCTTACTCCTCGGACAAGCCTCTCATCCAGTATGCCCTGATGATCGACGCTGGCAGCACTGGTTCGCGCATCCACGTCTACCGTTTCAACAACTGCGGCCCCACACCTGAGCTTGAGAATGAGGTCTTCGAGATGACTCCGAAGAAGGAGGGCGGCTCTGGCCTGAGTTCCTACAAGGCCGACGCCGAGGGCGCGGCCCAGAGCTTGGATGTCTTGATGGATGTCGCCGTCAAGAGCGTTCCCGAGAAGGTTCAGGGCTGCACTCCGGTCGCTGTCAAGGCCACTGCTGGTCTTCGCAAGCTTGGTCCTGAGCTGAGCGAGAAGATTCTGCTTGCTGTGCGCGAAAGGCTCGAGACCAAGTACCCATTCCCGGTTTTGTCGGCCGAGAAGGGCGGCGTTGAGGTCATGGAAGGCACCGATGAGGGTGTCTATGCCTGGATCACGACAAACTACCTGCTCGGCAAGATTGGCGGTCCTGACAAGAGCCCCACCGCTGCCGTCTTTGATCTCGGCGGTGGCTCTACCCAGATTGTCTTCGAGCCTACTTTCCCTGACGTCAAGGACGGTGGCATGCCCGAGAAGCTTGCGGACGGTGATCACAAGTACGAGCTCGACTTTGGAGGCCGGAACTTCACGCTGTACCAGCACTCTTACTTGGGCTACGGACTCATGGCCGCGCGCGAGAACATTCACAGGGTCGTATTCGACGCGGCATACGAGGAGGCCAAGAAGGCCGGCACTACCGACACCTTCCTCAAGAAATCTGTCATGAACCCATGCCTCATTCCTGGTACCTCCCGCAAGGTCGAGGTTCCGCTGGAGGAGGGCCACCCGCTCGGCAAAACTGTCACCGTTGACATGAAGGGCCCCGCCGAGGGCGCCCCCGCGCAGTGCCGTGGCATCGCGGAGAAGACCCTCAAGAAGGATACCGAGTGCAAGCTCGCACCCTGCGCTTTCAATGGTGTTCACCAGCCTTCCCTTGCGAAGACCTTTGCCCGCGAGGATATTTACCTCTTCTCGTACTTCTACGACCGCACGAGCCCGCTCGGCCTCCCGTCTAGCTTCACGATCAACGAGCTCAAGGAGCTTGTGAGCCGCGTCTGCCACGGCCCTGAACACTGGGATGTTTTCCACAGTATCGAGGGTGCTTTGGACGAGCTGAACGACCGCCCGGAGACTTGTTTGGACTTGAACTTCCAACTTGCTCTTCTGCATACCGGTTACGAGATGCCCATTGACAGGGAGGTCAACATCGCCAAGAAGATCAACAACAATGAGCTTGGATGGTGCCTTGGTGCTAGGTAAGCTCCTTCCTCATATTATTTTGGTGAAAACAACGATACTAACGATCCCACCAGTCTTCCCCTTCTTAACCAGGAATCTGGTTGGCAATGTAAGATCAAGGAGGTTACGAAATAAGTATCGCTCGCAAAGACAGTTGGCGGAGCGTTGGCATTATGAGGCGTTACGGGTATGGGTCGATCTTGGGTTGGCGGCGGAAGGCAAAGTATACTGGATATCTCTACCAAGATTATGGGACGGTATCGGCATGTATACATAATGTGGCAACTGTTCTGATGAAGCGGCGTTGACGTCGCGGGACATGGTAACGTTGAAAAAGATGAGCTAGAAAAGAAATCACGCAACATGCATTTGCATTGGACAAGTTGACTTTCAACGTGAACATCGTGTATGGGCAAACAATGCTGTGAATTTTCAGCCATTTGAATGCATTGATAAGCTACGGATATGTCTCCCTCTCGCTGCCCCCCATCCGACTGAACAATGCAGCCGACCGGATTTTAGGGCGCGAGAAGGAACTCTCGCCGCCGTAGCGACGAGAGGCCTTTTCTATCTTGCTTCTCTGTCCACACTCGCTCATCCTGGATCATAGGCGATGGCGGGCTCTAGCATATTTAGAAGCGGTGTCTACAAGACCAATTCCTTTCGTCCTCCCTTGTCAAATCTCAAACCATCCCTTGTTGAGATTCAAATCGGTCTGTCTGTAGTGTGCCAGTAAGAATTATCGCTCACATGAGCCTATGCCCCTCCTCTGTCACGCTGGAGTACCATCATCTTATACTCCGAGCATTGGAGAGACAGAAGCAGTGTGGCGTTAAGCTGCTGCGGTTTGCGGGTCGGATTGTGTCGTTGCGAAGGAGGAGAATTGGAGAGAAGGATGTGTGCGAGAAAATCTCGGTATCAAGGGCCTCTGCACGCTATGACGCTTCCGGGTAAGCGTACTTTTGGCATTGTCGATCGCTGCCGCGTCGCCGTCATGGCACGCGCCCGCGTCCGTGTCGCTGCTCGCGTCCTCTTATCGTCATCCATTCATTGTTTTCTTCGACGCCTGTCCCGTCGCCGTCGAATCAGCTAGCCGGCTTCTTCAGAAAGGCCGCGGTCGGCTGCACGGGCGTGCGCGACCACATCGACACCTCCCAATCCCAAACCCCTCCCACCTCATCCGTCAGCATCATCACCCGGCGCTGCGGTCAAGCCGAGCGCGCAGCCAGCAGTGGTCTTCACAATGGTATGTACATACCTTACCCACCCACCACCTACCCTTTTCCCCCCCTCCTCACCCACCGCCAAACAAAGCTCCCGACTAACCTCCCCCTCCCTCTCTCTCTCCCCACAGCCACCACCCAAAAAACGCGGCAACCCTCCCGCCCCGGGCCCGGCCGCGGCCCCGACCCCGGCCCCCCGCCGCTCCAAGCTCGCCAAAGAGCACGACCTGACGCCGTCGCAAGAATCCTCCATCCGCGACGCCTTCGGCCTCTTCGCCCGGCGCCACGAGTCGTACCCGCACACGACCGTCATCCGCGCGTCGGACGCGCGGCGGGTCATGATCGCGCTGGGGTTCGAGATGCTCGGCGGCGAGGATGTCCGGGAGATGCTCGAGGTGCTGGATCCCGAGGGCGAGGGGTGGGTCGCGTGGGAGCATTTTGTGGGGTATGCGGCCGTGTGGTTTCATGCGCAGCGGCACGAGGAGGAGCAGGAGGAGCGGGAGGGACGAGGGGATGGGGGGAGTGCGAGGGAGGAGGTGGAGAGGGCGTTTCGGCTGTTTACTGGGGGCGCGATGAGGCCGATTCGGGTGGCGGATTTGAAGAGGGTGGCGAGGGAGCTGAGGGAGGAGGTGGATGAGGAGGTGTTGTGGGATATGGTGGTTGAGGCGAATGGGGAGAGGAGGTCGAAGGAGGGGGTTGGGAAGGGGGTGGAGGTGGAGGAGTTTGAGCAGGTTATGAGGAGGGCGGGGGTGTTTGGTTGAGGTTTGTGGGTTGTGTTGGAGGAGGCGAACGACGGGGGAAGCTGTTACGCGGGTCGGGGGTTGTTATCATTCTTGTTGATGTCGCTTCTGGTGTTTTCAGCAGTCTGGGATCCAGCTTTTCACGATTGGAGATGAAGCGACGGCGTTGGTAGGAATTTGTCTGAACGATTTGCTTTGGTACAGATGGAGTTGCAGCTGGAGTCGCGGAGCGTTGCTAGGCACGATGCATTACATAACTTGTGTAATCCATGCGGAGTCAAATGTCAGTTCTGAGACGATGTGATACTGCAAGCCCGAAGTCTATATGAACACCGCATCACGGAACAATCTAGGGATGCAGACTGGCGAAGAACGCTATTCGTTCCGCGTTGTATTATCTGTCGAGCAGACGAGACAGTGAAGATGAAGCTTTTCACAGTGCGTTCTTAGCCTCAAGTTTGAGACACCACACCATGCACTCACTCTTAGGAACGTAGGAGAGCTTTCAAAGTCACACGATTCACACGCAGCTCAATTCGCATAATGAAAGTTTCTATTACACCGTTCTAATGCTGTAGTATAAGGAATCGCATGTTCCTTGATTCGTCCTTTCGCTAGGAGGACCAGATTGTCCTCATGAATGCCTCGACCAATCTCACACCAAATGTGACTGCTGCATATTGGCAGTTCAGTATCCAGTAAATCCTGCTTGCCCATCCAGAAAACAGGAAATGGAAGATGCATTCCTCAGGTTCAAGTCGAGAGGAGTGGAAACTGATTCAAAGCCCATCGATAAATGCAATATGCTTGCTTATTACAGCAAACTCCATGTCCATGAGCACATCGGAATAATCCTTGCTCCTTTGCCAACCCTCCATCCTGAAGCTCACTGCTTGTACGGCTCAACGCCCTCGGGAAAGCGGAAGCCAGCGTGCTCGGAGTGACGCTTGTAGTAGACCTGGTTCTCGCGGATCTGGAGGTCATCAGAGATGCCGTTGAGGACGGCGTCGCGGACGCGGTCGATGCCTTCCTGGTTGCCGGCGTCGCGGTTCCAGACGGAGATGAGGTGAGAGTTGAAACGAACGCTGTAGCTGATGCCGCAGATGTCGTCGATGAAGGCGTTGCGCTTGGCGCTGTTGTCGACGGCGCTCTGCAGCTCGCCGGCCACGGCCATCATGGCAACCTCCTTCCAGAACTGCGGCGCCTTCTCCTTGGGCACGCGGAAGGTCCAGGCGCCGCCCTTGACGTTGCGCGGGTCCTCCCACACGGGCTTCACGCCGAGGTGGAACAGGTGCACCGAGTCGCGCAGGCGCAGCAGTGACATGTCGAAGTGGTTCATGGTCTCCCAGAACATGCGCAGGTCGCGGACGACGTTGAGCTTGACGAGGCGCGATTCGTACTCGTTGGACTCGTTGACCTTGTCGGTGGGGGAATCGGGGTCGGAGCTGCTCTGCTGCTGCTTTTGCTCCTCGGCCTGCGCCCAGGCGGGCTTCGACTCGCGGCCCTGACGGTCATGCCAGAACTCCCAAGAGTGCTCGAGCGGCGGCGGGCGCAGCTTCGCGAGCAGCGCTTCCTTCATGGCCTTGCCGCGGGCGGGTGAAGCCGTGGCAGAGGCGTCACCTTCACCCTGGACGGGCAGGCCGTTGGTGGCGAGGCCGGGAATCGTGGGGCGACCGCTCATGGTTTCGGCGTCGGTGAAGTCGGCGTCGGCGAACTCAGTGTCAGGACTCTCGAATTCGGTGAATTCGGTGTCGTAGAATTCGTTGTAAGGTTCGGTGTCGTAGATCTCGCTGTCGGCGTACTCGCTGGTGATGTACTCACTGTCAGCGCACTCGCTGGTGGCAATCTCACTGGCGGCGGTCTCAGTGTCGACGGTCGCGGCGTTGGCGGTCTCGGCGTTGACGCTGTCGGTGTCCACAGGCTCGGTGTTGAGGGTCTCGTTGTAGGTGGCGAGATCCGCAACAGGAACAGTAGCGATAGTTCTGAGGGGCTCGTCAAACTCGGCCAGAAGCTCTGCCTTGAATGCGGCAAAGGCGTGGACGAGAGTCTGCAGGTGATCGAACTGCTTGGGGTGGTTGATGCTGCGGGGAGGATTGATGCGCAAGTTGCTGAGATCGTTGATGTTCTGGATGATCTCGACGCAGCGAGCTCCCGGGATCTTGGAGTAGGCTGGGATAGCGACCTTGTCAGTGCTGGGAACGGTGGTGGGAGCCATGGTGCTTGCGGTTTCGAAAGAATCTTGGGGGTCAAGAGAACTTGGAAGAGAAGATGTAGAGAAGAGAAAGAATGAGGAGCAAGATGAATGATGGAGGGATTTTGAGGTACGGGCAAGAATGTGAAAGTGAAGGGCCGGAGCAGGCAGCCATTGTTCCGGTGCTATTGTGTGAAGGAGGGTGGCTGGGTATGGTGAGGTGAAGCAGAAGGAAGAACATGAAGTGAGGTGAAGTAGAAGGAAGAACACGAGGTGAGGTGAAGCAGAGGGAAGAACACGAGGTGAGGTGGGAAAGCAAAACAAAACAAAACCAGACACAACAAGGCGAACACACTGAGAACAAGAACAGGGCACGCTTGAACAGATCGCCGACTGTTTCGGGAGAATTGTAGAGAAGTCGCGCTGGATCTTACCTTCAGCGGCGCCCAAGCAACAAGTTACCTCAGGGGTTCTGGGGCGGCGTGGAAGCGCAGGCCCGGGGGAACGCGGGGTATATATTCAGGAAGCACGGGAAGGACACAAGCAGCAAGGTAAAGGCGGGGCTGACAAGGCCAGTCTGGACAAAGGGACAGGCGACAGCTTTGTCCGGCAGAATGAAGTGAGAGTGTGATGCTTGGCTGCTGCCAGACTCCGGGGTGGCAGGCTTAGAGGGCTGGGCCGCAGCGTGCTACCTACGCGCCGGCGCTAAATGGGCCTGTCAGGGTCGACGATCGAGCGGTTCGTGTGCGAGCAGCGCCTTCTCTCTGACACGACAACCGTGTTTCAGGTGCTGGAATCATCCGCGAATCCAGCACCCCGTTCAGCCCACTCAGCCCGCGCACAATGACAGCATCGTCATCTATCACACATCTGCGATAGGTCGCTCGCGCGGAGAATCGGATGATATTTAGCCAGCGTGGAACCCCCAGGCTCACTTTTTGCTGCTTCCAAGTTGCCACGCCTGCCCCTCGGCGGGGCGATTGGCCTACCGCCGGCCTTCCGGCAGGGTCCACCCACCCGCCCTCTGACCGCCCTGGCACGTTGGCAGAATTGCCGCCACCCCGGTCGGAAATGTTCGCCGACAAGATCATCTTCACCACCGAGTACCTCTATCCCAGAAATCATGGCCAGCAAGCGAGAGCTGCGCCGAGACTTCTCTGTCGACGCAGCGCCCCAAACGGCCGCCACTCTTCCTCGCCGAACCCACCGCAAATCAAGTCCCGTCAAGCCCGCCGCTGCAGCGACCGCGACTGCGACCACCCCCGCGCACAGCCATCACTCCATAGATAAGGCAAGCGACGCCGAGTCAGATTCGAGCGTCGTTAGCACATCTTCCGAGGAGCCCAGCTCCGAGTCAGACGACGATTCAGAAGGCGAAGACACGCCCATGGATACGGAAGAGATCATATCGCTGCCTCTGCCGCCCAATGCCGACGCTCGCCGCAGAATTTACCAGCGACGAGCTTCCCCATCGTCAGCACTTAGCGAGCGTCTAAAGGCATTCCTGCCGCAATTAGCTGCTGCAAATGACGAGCTTGAGAGAGATCGCGCTGCAGGAAAGCTGCCAGCAATGGAAAATGTGGGAGAAGGCGATGAGAGCTATATCGAACTAAACCTAGGCCTCGGTATACTAAAGGAGAGAGATCCGAACAAGATGGATAGCGATAGTGAAAGTGATGAAGACGCCGACGACGAGATGGATACCGGTGAAGACGAGGGGGACGTCCTTGCCAAGCTCATGGGGAAAAAGAAGACGAAGGCTGGAGCTGGCGTACAGGAAGTGTCGGGCCAGTGAACTGAATTGGAGATGATGGATTCGGATCAGCGCAGTGGCGCTGAAGATGGAATGGGAAGAGAGGAGCACGGCCTGGCCGAGGTTGCAGTGCAGAGTGTCTCGCGAGGTCCGGTCGCGTAGAAACCAACACCTCAGCTCATCCTTTGATGGCTCTTTCCAGCACTTCACCCGTTCCGCACTCGCACCGGGTGATGTCACGGGTGTCGGGGCTGTCTGTGCCTGGCATACACCCACATGTACGCGCCGGCTGATTGGCAAGATCTCCTTCTATTTTGGGGACCCTGTGTTGGATCCGCCATCCCACGCTCCGCTCGCTTGTGCGACTCGTATTCGCCAGCCCAAGGCAATATAAACTACGACCAAGACGCCCGGCTTCCCGACCATCCATTTCCTCGCCGGCTCCATCGTCCTCAGCACCATGCAGCTCACCACCGGCTTCCTCGCTGTCGTCCTTGGCGCGAGCGCTGCTCTCGCGGCGCCTTCGACTCACGCTGGATTCGGCCGCCGGGCCGTCAACATCAGCCAGCCATTCGAAGTCGACCAGCTGTACATGCAAATGGCTAGCGTCTACGACACGTCGTCGGGCGTCGACGTCAAGTTCACCGCCACCGATGCCAACACCGGCGTCACCGCTACCTGCGACACCGCCGACGTCCTCGCCAACACCGTTTACGCTTGCGACAGGCCCGACACCAAGTGGGTGTTCAACGTCGATTTTTCGAAGCTCAGCATCCAGTGGTACTGGTCGCCGGGGTAAGCTGAGGGGAGTGTTGTTCGGTGCTGCGCCAAGTACTAACGCTCCGTGAACAGCGAGATCAGCGACGATGGTCTCAATGGCAACTACCGCGCTAACGGCTCGACCACTGTCGATTGGAACTGCGCGAGCTCGGGCAAATACGGGCAGCAATGTTCGGCGAGCAAGTTCAGTGTTCCGATTCAGCAGATTGAGGCTTGGGCTTGAAGCAGGAAGGAATGTCCAGACGAAACATCAATCTACTCCGGCGAAAGCTATCTTGGCCTTTTTTTTCTGATGGATAGTGAAGGTGAACCACTCCTGCGCAGAGCGGACCATGTGTGCTGTGCTACGACTTTCGCATCCATGTCATCGTTTCACAGTCCTAGAAGGAGCTAGAGGCTTTGTACTATTGAGGGGGGCTTATGCAAAAGCTGGGCAAGACGCGCGAGGAGATCGAAGCAATGTCGGCACGGCTGAGGAAGGAACTGACATCAACCAATGTCCATGCTAACGCTGCCTTGCAAGCTAATGTCTTTGCTTGCATCATAGGCTATCGAGACGTTGACTTCGTCTGCAAGTGTCATCGTATATGACCAGAAGCCTGGGGCTGCCGCTGTGGCCTGATTGTGGGTTCCCTTCAACCAGGCAGGAGCTCGACATTTACGCCTCCGTTGTGCTACTGAGATAAGGATTGTGTTTCAACTGCAGTCACGGGGTTTTTGAGTGCCATGGAATCTCACTTTTACGCCCCGTTTTGGCAATCTGACAAAACCCAGACCTGTCACTTTTGGTATCGAGATCCCGCAGCTTGCGTCGCCCATATGAACCAGGAAGGCCTCGTATCGGAACGTCGGTGGTATCCCTAATTGAAGATGCAATACGTGTCTCAAAGTCTGCCTAAGCCGGAATCCCAAGCCAGTATATCAAGAAAACTCCAACCGCGGAAATTTTTCGGGCCACGACAGAGCATGAATCACGCATAAATACGCTGGCACAGCCGTAACGAAATGGTTGCAGGTGGGCTGCACGCCCTTGCCGGTCTCTCTGCATGGCATCTTCTGCCACCCAAGTGAGCCAGGTCAGAGGAAGGAGTAGTGCGACGATGGGTGGCATGAAGATATGAGCACGAATGAGAAGCTTCCACGGCAGAAAGAAAAAGGAATATGGTGGGACAGCAACGCGGGGAATCCGCGTGAAGCTGCATCAACTGCAGCTAAGGTAGTACTGGAGGCTCTCCAGACAATGGACGCGCCTTGGTGACCCAACAGCCAGATGATGGGAGAGCATGCAAGGAGAGGCCAAGATAAAATGTGTTCACTTCTCGACCAGTGCAGTAAAATTTCTGATTTATTTCTAGGCTCATGCTTTTCTTGTTTGCCCAGCTTCACCAGAAGTCCCGCTTGGCCTCTCATTAGCCCATTTGGAGTTCGTGTGCTGTGCCTGGTGTTACTTGAGCCTGTTCGTGCTCGTAGGATGCGACCTTACCTTTGTTTCTCTAGAACTCAGCAATGGATTCCACGGTTCTTCTTGTCGATTTTCGTCAAGCCATCGTTGTAGGTTGGCTGATGAATGAGACTGATGGTCAGGTGATTGTGACGAGGGAGACTGCTCCGAATATCAATAACAACAACATCAACAGCTATCGATAAAGCATACATTGCTGTCAGAGGAACCTTGCCTACATCCGCTCATGTTGTCTAAAGTTGATGAGCGTTATTCATAAAATTTGTTTAAAGTCTTGTAGCGTCGAACTTCAGAGGGTGGACACACTTCATGTAGAGAGTCCAAGGGAGCTGAAAAATCATGGAGGCTGACCATACTTATCATCCATTTGAATTGAGATTCAAGGAATCAAGCCGCGGAACTAAACAGTCATATTCTGGGCGGTGTCAGCCAGCAGGTGAAACCTCAACTGTAATGCAAGGAGCGAGATTCGTGGAAACATTATTGACGATACCACTTTGAGTCCACTGTACATAATGGTGCGGTGTAGACGCAATTGAGGCTACTGGTCCTCCCGGAATGCTATTAAAGTAACCCGCAGAGCCGCTTGGACTTGAGGCATCCAATAGTAGGTCAGGTGATAGTGTTCTCTGAGTGCTGTTTGGACGAGAGCACGGCACTGCGGCTAGTTCAATCTTGGCCAGGCGCCATGCCGATCTTTGGGCATTAATAGGAGCTCTCATCGGTAGGTCTTCCGGCTAATGCATTGACCGCTGTACGGCGGTATGCCTATATGCGGAGCAATTGTCGTACATAGTCCCAAAACCCCATTGGACCGATCTTGCTGCCAAACCTGTGCACACAGCGGGCTGCGACCACAACATGCTGCAATTTTAGATTACAACATGGAAGCCAGACCCCTCACATGCCTGCTCCGAGCCTCGCGGCTGTCAGCCTGCGTCAGCCAGGCGGCCTCTTTGGGCCGGTGACAGCTGTAATCGATCATACTGATACAACTTTTGCCAAGGGTCTCCCGGTTTTTTTTTTTCAAATTGGAGTCATGGGGTACTTATAAAGTCGCACAGTAGGTCAAGCCTCAGCTCTGGGGTTCCCGTCCAGCACCTATGTGGCAGATGTTTCTCACCTAAGCATATCTGCCATTAGTCCCACATGTTTTCCTGGAGGTCATACCAGCAGCAGCCTGAGAACGCGGCCAATCGGCTACTCCGTGTACAAGAGATGCCCGAGGGACGCACAGCTGTGCCTTCCCCGCATCTTAGGGCTGTTCCGTATACCGCTCTAGATAACGCTTGGTTACTCAAGCGGCCAAGTCAGATTGCCCGAGGTAGTTATGCGAAAGACAGGCAGTGCTCACTTTCAATCAAAACAACTCGCGCGCACACGCCAAAACTGCTATAGAGTGAGATAGTCAGAAGCGTTTAAATGTACTGCAGTCCGTTGAAAACGACGACTAGATTCCAAGATGTTTTTGCCCAAAAGCTATTACGAGTGGCATGGGAAGTCTATGGGCGCGCTTGGGTGTCGCGATCGTAGCTCTGGGATCTACAGTCACTTCGCCACCATAGGTGCTGTGAGCTTCTAATGAGTTGCAGAGAGTGAAAACATCATTCTTTGGTGTTAGAATTAAGTGGAAATGCGTAGACATGAAAAGGGGTTGCAAGCAGCGAGCTGTCGTTGCGGCCGTCTGCTCGCGCTGAGTGAGCCCGAGGGGCCGAGAGCCGCATGCTGGCAAACAGGGGCTCTACATGCCGACAATAACTCTACGACCATCTACACACGAAGAACATTTTCAAAGAAAAAAAGACCTGAAATGATACTGCAATCTTTGATTATCAAGCTTGCGGTATATGCCCGATGCGATTTTTCTGGCGTTGACCATGTCCTAATTGCAGACAGCCGTCCTTGCAGGTCAACACAGCATCAGATTCCATCGACCACGAGAAACACACCACACTTAACCATGGATGATATACCCAGCCACAGATCCCCATATCTATCGAGCCCAGAGTGCCGTCGCTCTCGATCCCCCCACCCCCGGCCCTCCAAACGCCACCCACCGAGTCGCCCTCCTCTCTCACCACCGCGACCACGACCGCGACCCACACCAAATACCACTCACTCACAACCACGTCCCGCGCCATCCTAATCACCGGCGGGCGCCACAGGCCAACCAGGCGCCTCGGCCATCGGCGCCCTCACGCGCAACCGCCTCCCGGCCATTAACATACGGCCTGACTCCTCGCCGGCCACGATCAATCTCCTCGAAGGCGACCTCAACGACGTACGTACGTCGCCGGCGTCTTCGCCGCCGCGGCGCCCAGCGCCTGCTCGCGCCCACCGCTCGGCCTCTAGCTCCTCTGGGGCGCGTCTACAGACTACAGCGCGCAGGTCTCCATGGGCATGGGCACTAGAGGCGTGACGCTCGATGGCGAAAGCCGCCAGGGGAAGATAGGGGCTGTGTCGACGGGGGCGCTGGAAAGCGGGCGCGGAGCGTTTGGTTCGTGTACGGCGGCGTGGATCCAGCGCGCGCGGCGGGGATGATGCGAGGAGCTGGGGAAATTCGACGGAGGTGCTGCATTTTTCGGACGAAGTGGGAGGTTGGACGGTATTTGCGTGACGGAGCGGTGGAGGAGGGGGGAGGCGGTGGGGTGGATGGTGCTGCAGCCGTACTGTGTTTTCATGGAGAAGGCGGCGTCTGGGTTTGTGGGGAAGTGCTGGGCAAGGCGCTGAAGCATGGCGTCAAGGAAGTGGGCACTGTGCTGGACTTCTTCAGGGAGGAGGGCTACAAAGCCGATATACAGGAGCTGAGGAAGGAGGGCCCGGGGATGATGGATATGCAGATTAGGGCATGGACCTGAGAGAGGACAGCTTCCTTCAGCACATACGTGGTAGCCTCCCCAAGCGGGTGCAGGAAAGAGCGCTCGGCGTCGGCCTCAAGATTTAACAAGCTCGTCATGCTCAAACTTTTCTCATCACTTTGCATCCACTCTTCTTATTTTGACACTTCGGGTATCCATTATCCAACGCGGCAGAGCCAGTGGCAACCGACAACATGTCTAGCTATTCACCGTCAACAATACTGCGCATCTATGGCTTGCGCCCCTGGAAACGTACATCATCGATACCGGAGGACTACTTCATTGACCTCAACCCTGAGAAGGACTTGTTCCAGGTGCAGAAATGGACGGCGGACGATTACAGGCTCATGCCCAATGAGGCGACGGTTGTCTTGCGCATCCATGCAGCCTGCCGTGGCGACCGAGCTTCGTACGGCGTCTTTGTCAGCGCCAACTCTCGCTACAACGGGCAGGAACTACTGCCGGCAGCGTTTCCGCAGACGAAGGCGCGTGCTGAGATTGAGGCGTTTCACCACGCTTTAGACGCTGTCGGCAACATTACCAGAGACCACCCCGAGATTGTCGACGTCAAAATCGGCACTGGTTCTGACTTCCTCGTCGAGGCACTGTGCAATGGCCCTATGTGGCTGCTGATGATGAACGACGGCCTCGAAGAACGCACCCCCCAGCATGCCGACTTCGTCAGGTTCCGGCAGATCGATGAACACGTCCAGGAGGTGGAGTCGAATGGAAGAATTCGGGTTCAGATTTGGCATCTCGGAGGTGATTTCCACTATGCCGCCCAGGACCTGGCCTATGATGCTCTGAGCCGGCACTTCGATGGCGGTCCCCAGCAAGCACCCCGGAGGCGAGGTTAGCAAAAGATGGCGGGCTATTCTTAAGGTTGTTCTTTGCTCTGCAGGCACGTTCGTTGATCAGGCCATGACCCCATTGATACCAAAAGTTTGTTGCATCCAGACATGTCTTGTATTCCTCATGGACACAATCCTTGGATCCGGCACCCGATGGTGCGGAGTTGCTCGGACAGGCATTCAAATAGGGTAGAATGAAAGTCGTCAGATGATTTGTTCCAAATGCATGTGAGGCGGGTCGACGTGAGGAGAGCGTCAAAGACCAGGTGCGCAAAAGGAAGCGGGAAAAGGGCGGCTGGAGGAGCCAAAGTGGCAGGCCGAGTCCCAATCGTGCCGGGGATAGCGGACTCGGCCATGGAATACCCCGCGCAGGCTGTCGGTCTTCAATCTTTGCCCGCCCTCCTGTGCTCCCAACTCTCAGCTGCGAAGTGAGCTTCGCCGTCACCGACCAGCAGCGTCACCCGACCCAAGAGCTGCCCGAGCGCCATGGACAAAGAGGGCTCTGCGCCCCGCCCTGGCCCAACCCGGCGGCGGAGACCGGCCCTCGCGTGTGAAGCCTGTCGCGCCCGCAAGATCAAGTGTGACCGCAACGCTCCATGCAACAAGTGCATCCGCGGAAAGAGGGCCCGCTCTTGCACTTACGTGCCTGAACCGGGCCCTCCCGTCGCCAGGCCCCGCCCTGCCAACCCCACCCCGTCCAATTCATTGCCATCTCCACTGTCCGCCAATGGCCCGCCATCTCACCCACCCAATCCCGCCCACCAACCATCCGAGCCCTCCAACTCCGCCCTTCACTCGCCTGCAGTCACAGAAGCGGCGTCGGCGAAGCCTCTTCCTGCAGAGCTCCAGCCCACGTCGCAGCCTAACGAACGGTCCCATCTGCCCACCAAGGCCACCCGCGACAAGGGCAAGCTGTTTGGTGCTTCTCACTGGACCAACACCGCTGAGAATCTGCCCCAACTACTTCGCTTTGACGAGCTTGATCCCGCTCGCCATCCGCAAATCAAATCGCTCCTACAAACATGCAAACAGCATGCTCGAAAGGCCAAGACGCATCCCAATCCAGCCGAGCCCACCGCTTCCCATCTGCGAGACAAGCTTCCTCCGCGCCCTGTTGCCGATCGCCTCCTTCAACAGTACCTCGAGACCTTTGAGACCGTCTACCGAGTCCACCATGTTCCTTCGTTCAGACAGGAGTATGACCAGTACTGGTCCTCGCCAGAGTCAGCCCCCGAAGCCTCCGTTGTCAAGCTCTTGCTTGTGCTTGCTCTCGGCACTTGTTTCGACGACGACGACGACGCGAGCACTGCCGCTGACTCGTGGTATTTTGCCTCGATGCAATGGGTCCTCGCTGCCCATGCCTGGGCCTCGTCGCCCTTCTCCAAGAACAGACGCATCACCCTTGCCGGAGTCCAGATCCACTGTCTGCTTATGCTTGCCCGCCAAACCCATGCCGTTGGCGGAGACTTTGTCTGGGTCTCGGCTGGCTCTTTGCTGCGCACCGCCATGCAGATTGGCCTGAATCGAGATCCTGTCCAACTCCAGCTTTCCTCTCCCGTCGAGATCGAGGTGCGGAGGAGAGTGTGGGCAACCACCACCGAGCTTCTTGTACAGGCGAGCATCGACGCCGGCCAACCACCCCTGTTTTCCACCGACGACTTTGACTGCGAGCCCCCATCCGACACGTACGGATTCGACATGCATTCTCGCGACCACATTCCGTCCATCAGCGAAGGAGATTCTTCAGAACCGCCGATATCTGCCCAGAACATCCTCTCGGAGAGTCTGCCCGTTCGGCTGCAAATCGCAAAATTCCTGAACCATTTCCGCTCCGACCTGTCTTATTCCACCGCTCTTGACCTCAGCACTCGGCTTACCAAGCACATTCGCAGACGCCTCGCCTGTTTCAATCCTTCATCCCAGCGCGAGCTCTTCCAATGCAAAATGGTCGAGTTCTTGACTTACCGTTTCCTGATTGCGCTGCACCAGGCATTCGCCGCGAAATCCAAGGAGTCGCCTTCGTACTACTTCTCTCGCAAGATGTGCTTGGATGCTTCTCTGCTCGTCCTCAATATCAACCACCCCGAGCCTGGCTCAAGGTTTTACCAAAAGCTTGTCGCTCTCGGCAATGGAATGCTGCACACTACATTCCTTCAAGCTTCGAGCTTTGTTGTCCTCGAGCTCATCTGGCAGCAAGACGATTCAACTGGTTTCTCATCTCTTGTCACCGAATCAAGTATGACGGCACGTAGAGAGCAGCTCGCCGCTATCCGCCTCTACGCTACCGCGTTGCGCGAACGATTGGGCAGAGGGCAGAGCAATTTCAAAGCATATGTCTTCCTTGCCTCCGCCATCACCCAGCTTGAGCATGTGGACGGGAAGAACCCTGATGCAGAAATGCTGATCTCACGCTTGGAGAAACTGCTTCGAGACTGCTCCGAGATTCTGGCTCAAGCTGCGTCGTGGAGATCGGATCTCCCGAACGGACAGATTGACACACCAAGCGCACACACGAGTGAGCTTGGAGATCTGGGTTTTGATATAGTAAGCGACCAGGTTCCGTCAATCGTCAAGGACGGTGCACTAACGAAGCTGTAGGGAAACTATCCTTTCGACTGGGAGCTTTCGAATGTGATGCCACTGTCGAACACTCTGTTTCCCGAACCAATATACTGGCCAGTTCAAGAATAAGCATCCCTCCGATCCAACCCCGGGATACGACGATTCTGTCCAACACCGAAGGCTCATGGCCGAACCCGAAGGTCGGTGTTTAGTGCTGATCACTACACGAAGCCGAACCTACTAACCGAAGTTGGTCGACTTCAGTCCTGGCTTACCTCAGTCCAGCCTCTGTTGCTGCAACCTGAAGTCGACAGATACTCGGCCCCGACACTAGCCATTCAGTGTCGCCACAATGCAAACACTTTAGTGAAACGCCGGGAGATGCAACCCTGAGGAGCTCCAGTGCATAAATACTGCAACGACGTCCCAAGAACATGATCCAAGAGACCCTTATCCATCATTCACACCCACCTCCATTTCAACAAGAAGACTTATCCACCCACGGCCATGTCCTCCTCCGCCCCTCGCATCGCCATCATCGGCGCCGGCCCCGCCGGTCTCTGCCTCGCCCGGCTCCTCCAACTCCACTCCATCAACAGCACCGTCTTCGAGAAGGACGGCTCGGCCGCCCACCGCGCCGCCGCCGGCGGCAGCCTCGACCTCCACGAGGACTCGGGCCAAGCCGCCCTGCGCGAGGCCGGCCTCTGGGACGAGTTCCAGCGCCTCGCCCGCTACGACGGCCAGGCGTACATCATCAGCGACCACACGGGCCACCGCTACTGCGACACGGACGCAGACGGCATCGAGGACCTCGGACGCCCCGAAATCGACCGCTCCCAGCTCCGCCGCATGCTGCTCGACTCGCTCGCCCCCGGCACCGTCCGCTGGGGACACAAGCTGTCACGCGCGGAGCCGGACGGCACCCTGCATTTCGACGTCAACGTCGACGCCGTCGCGACCACCGAAGACGACGACGGCGCCGCCCGCACGGAGAACGCTGCTGTTGTCGTCGAGGAGCGCGGCTTCGACCTCGTCGTCGGCGCCGACGGCGCGCGCTCGCGCATCCGCCCCCTCCTCACCACCGTGCCGCCCATGTACTCGGGGCTCACCGGCTACGAGCTGCGTCTCCCCGCCGACATCGACGCCGCCAACCCATCCGTCTCGCGCCTCGTCGGCAACGGGTCCCACTTCGCGTTCGGGCAGAGCGCCGACAACCAGCGCTGCCTGTGCCTGCAGCGGCAGTCGGACCGCAGCGTGTGCGTGTACGCGTTCGTGCGCGAGCACGCCGGGTGGCACGCGCGCAACGGCGTGGCGGACCACGCGGACGTGGAGGCGGTGAGGCGGCTGCTGCTGGACGACGTGTATGCGGGTTGGGCGGAGGGGTACAAGGATGTGTTGAGGGCGGCGATGCCCGGGTGGGTGCTGAAGAGGGAGCTGTGGATGATGCATGTGGGGACGAGGTGGGTGCACAGGGAGGGTTTCACGGCGGTGGGGGACGCGGCGCATTTGATGACGCCGTTTGCGGGGGAGGGCGTCAATGTCGCGTTGGGGGATGCGTTGGTCTTAGCGAGGGAGGTGGCGGGCGCGGTGGAGGCGGTCGGTGGTGGAGGAGCTGGGGGGGGCGGGGTGGATGTTGGTGGTGGTGGTGGTGGTGCTGTGAAGCGCGCGGTGGATGGGGCGGTGGAGAGGTATGAGAAGGAGATGTTTCCTCGTGCCCGCGAGTTCATGCAGGCGACGTGGGATAGCATGATGGAGAGGTTCGAGCCGGGTGGTAATGAGAAGTTTGCGGAGGGGTTCAGGGCGCTGGCGGAGGAGAGGAAGAATAGGGAGGAGGGTGGGAAGGGAGAAGGGAAGGATGGCGACCGGGTGGATGCGCTGTTTAGGAGAGAGTAGGTGTGGGTTTGTCTCTCTGAAAGCCGTCGAGATCAAAAAGATGCGCACACTTCATCATATGAGTTTTCGTCTTTTCCACTGAAGCCGTACGCATGATTGATTCCGGCTGGCTCAAAGCGTCCCAGCCATCACCTATGCAAGATTGTACACTTTCGGACTAGAAAAAGTACGACGCCGCACTGGCTTCCAGTGCAGGCTAATGGCCTTATATTGTCTGACATACACCTTCCAACATTCTGGTCAATCGATTGAGACTTGACACTCCTCAATCACGGTCAGGAAAAAAAAACCATCAAGTCACACGTTCGTTATGAAAACGACCAAAATGGCGCAATAAGCCGCACTTGCAGCAAACAGTTCATGTCTCCGTGCTTTCGTCAGCAGTGACATTGCCGCCGCGAACAGCAGAGTAAAGACAATCATAACCCCGATGGCACTGAAGATATCTTTTGTGTCTCCGAAACTTGCGAGCCGGTACATGCCAACCACCGGCAGGATGAGGAGGACGAAAATAACAGCTGTGATGATCAAGCCCACAAACCTCTCAATCCGCGATGGCGACAAATACCGGATATCCGCATCGTCAGTCTTGCGCAAGATGTCACGCGTGCTGAACCATCTCTACAGATAGCCGAATGGGTCAGCTCCAGTCTCTAACGAGCCCATCTAAGCACCTTTGACTTACTTTTACAAATGGCAGCTTCCGCGACAAGTTGAGCAGCCGCGTTTCCACCCATTGGTCGAATCCTGCCCACTCACGGCCGCTTCTCAAACTGATAATGTCTTCACGACACCGAATGTACTTCTCCTCTTTTTTGACAAGGGGCCTAAAGTTGTAGAAGTAGTTGCGCACGCTCCGGTAATCTCGGTCTGTGGGGCGCTGCAAAGACGCAATCTGCTTTGTTTTGATGAGCAGTTCATCTGACATGTGTTAGCACCTGCAGACAGCAAACGCCCTGCTTACTCTTACCGTAATGCATGACATTCACTCGAAGCTCTTCAAGGATTCTTTGTCTGTGTCTGTCGGTATCTTCGGCGTCTTTGGTGTCTCCAATATCCCTGGCCACAGATTTGAGCCTCACTCTAGTATCTTCATTCCCAAAGTCGTCTTCATCAACGTCATCCAGCTCGCCTTCCAGTGCAGCGATCTTGGCCTGCAGATTCAGGATCAGGCGTGCGTGGACGTAGCTGAATCCTCGATAGAGCATGAAGCTCTGTTCACAGGCTTGGAATGCTGCCAGGTGCGGGTAGCCCGCTGGACAGTCCTCCACTGATAGGGCCAAGTAAGCAACAAGCAGGAGTCAGCGAAGTATTGACCTTGACTTACGGGCTCTGACATCGGTGTCATTGATTTCGTCGTCGGGATCTTCGGATGAATTTGAACGGAATAACCGTGCCACCCAAGAGCCTGCGAACACTTAGCTCACCATCATCGCAGCTTTGATTTGCAACCGTACGCTTCACCTCTGGAGCGGTTTGACTTTCAGCCTCGCTATCGCTGGAGCTGAAAGCTGAGGGGCGCCACTCCTTTTCTTCTTCCATGTTACCGTCCGATCCACACACAGTCGGCGAATCGGAAGAGCGCCGCCGTCCGCCAACTTGTGCACTCTCACTTGCCTCGGCCATGATGCAGTTGTATTGAGCAACAAAGACGGCAGATGGGAATTTATGTGGCATTGTTAGATAGAGCTATCAGCCTGACCGGTATCACTGCCGTGCGGGGTCTCGTGTCATGCATGTGTAGGGCAAGGTTGCTGACAGGCGTAGCACCGCCGCCCCACTCATGATCTGATGTCCTCCTCCTTGACCCAAGCCCCGTTTCCGAAAAGCGGTCCCGAGGCTGTTTTCAACTGATACTCCCAGCCTTTGCGTTTAGTCTCTTGCGCCTTGTGCACCGTGACCGTAATCATTCTGCTGACCCCGCCGACTTTTTCTCTCACTTTGACTTTTTGACCGATATGGTATTCTTGTTCGTACTATGGACACCAGTAAGTAAATACCCTTCAAGCAGCTATGCAGTGCTACGTACCTTTCCCGACTTCTTTTTCCTCTCGACATCGGCTCTGTATTCAGGGATCTTCGCTTCAGGGTAGTCCTCTTCGGATTGGTGTCCATCCACGGGCTGTACGTTTTCACAAGGCTGTCCGTTCTCCTACAAGATAAGGCGTCGCGCATTAGCTCAATGTCCACAAAACCTGGTTCCAGCCTCGCTCATACCATGATTGACAGGATCTTCCTGCTGCTCAAGTCTGCCTGTAATGGTTTTTGCTGCAGGCTATCGGGGCGTGATATATACCCGGCGAACGGGGTAGGCCAACTCAGCCACCGCAAGGCAGCGCTTCAGCCCACTTACAAGTCTGCCTTGTGCGATCCAGAAGGCTGCAGTGTCTCCAAGCATGTGATACAGTCGAACGTCCTGGAATCGCCTTTCCATAGTAAATAATAAGCAAGGTGGGGTCCAACAGCTGCTCGAATGCCGAAAAGAAGGGTCTTACACACCATCTTCCCATACGTGGCGCCTCAAATCTGCTGATTATTGCGGCTCTGCGGCTGAAAAGTTGAACATGGGGCGCGACAGAGGTAATCAACAAGGTGGGGGGCCGGGATGCTATCCCTGATCTGGAAGGTGCCACAGTTTTCGTAAGGGATCTGGGGAACGTGGCCCGCATCTGTAGAGCCTTGAAGGCTGCTTACCTCTTCCAATGGCTGATCTATATCCGTACTGCGCCTCGAAAGGCTGTACCGGCCCCAAAGCGAGGAGTCGCGGTGCCGAGTGTATATGACCACGGCACTAGCTAGCGCACTTCACCCGCCACCATACGCCAATGAGACCTCACTGCCAGAATGAACTCCGAACCACGGCTGAGCGTTGAGCAGCCAGCCATGCCGAACTCTCCTGCATGCTTGGGCGAGGCGTCTGATCCGCCCGTAACGAATGGCGAACAGGAGATGGCGGAACTTGGAAAAGTATCATCCAACGATGAGGAACCCAAGGAACTGCAGATGCAGAGGTGGTGGCAAGAGTCGATCACCAAAGTCATGGGGGTTCAGAACGGTTACAAGAACGTCCATGTTCTGATGGTCAAGTGGGAGAGAAAATACGACCAGCTCAGAGTGCATTCCGAGGTTCGTCCAACCGCAGCCTCGAGCCCAAACAACATGATGCTGACTGCACCACTCAGCTCTCCGAGCTCAAAGCTGTTTTCGAGGACAAGTACGGCTACGCTACCAAGACGATCGAGCTCAGCCTGCCCCGCAATCCGCAGATGCAGTTGACGAATGCCATTTCTGGCTTCATCGTCGAAAACGACGACCCGCAAAACCTACTGATCGTCTACTACGCCGGCCATGGCATCTTCCACGACGACGGCAAAAGGCTGGAGCTCGCTGGGTAAGTCCCTCTTCTCAACCGAACCCGCCGGCCCTGCGAATGCGATACTTACACCAAGCCCGCCCGCGCCCCCGCCATCAGTTCCGACGACCCCGACGAAGCCGTCCTCTCCAAAGTCTTCTGGAACGAAGTGCAAACCCTCTTCGTCGAGCACGCGGCGGGCGACGTGCTGGCCATCATGGACTGCTGCTTCGCCAGCAACCTCATGTCGCGGGCGGGCCGCAAGGTCAACAGCCGCGCCTTCGAGCTGCTGGCCGCCAGCACCATCGACAAGATCACCGAGAGCCCCGGCGACAAGTCCTTCACCCGCGCCCTGATCCGCTGCCTGACCGAGCTGGCCGAGCAGCGGCCGCCGAGCAGTGACGGCACCGGCGGCGACGGCTCCTTCGACATGCACGAGCTCTCGCAGCACATCAACCGGGTCCGCACCGCCACGCCGTGCCAGCTGTGGGGCGTGCTCAAGGGGAACCGGCGGCACATCCGGCTCACGCCGCAGCGGGCGCGGGAGGAGCAGGAGCAGGAGCAGGAGCGGGCGGGCCCGCGCGAGCAGCCGTGGACGTTCGACCCGCCGGGCGGCCTGCTGTCGCTGCAGTTCATCCTCGGCGAGCGGGAGCTGGCCCGGGAGACGATACGCAACCTCGCGCGGCAGCTGCCCGACGTGTTCAAGGCCAACGAGGTCCGCCTGCGCAACGTCCGCTGGCTGGACTTTGAGCGCCCGAAGATGTTCCCGCGGTTTACTGGCATCTTGCTGCATGGGAAGAGGATGGGGTCGATCGGTCGGAAGAGGAAGGCCTCGTCGACCCCGGTGGCTGATCAGAGTTCGGACGGCGTTTTGGGTGGGAAGAAGCGGCGGTCGCTTGGTTCGCCATCGGATCTGCGCACGCCTGTCGATAGGAGGATGCAGCTTTCCGATCAGGATGGTCCGACTTCTGGCGATGAGTCGGTGGGTTAGTGTGTACTGATGGCTGGTATCCTTCACTGAGCCAAAAAGAAAAAAAAAGAAAGAAGAATCAAGACGTCCATGTATATGTCTGCCTTGTCTGGTGTCAGCATGCACGCTATGAATGGTTCAAGGCGCATGGTAACGCAATTGTTGACAAAGTAGGACAACTGCATACGCTCGGGATCCGCTGCATATGCTCAGGATCCCGCTGCATGACTCTCAGCCCCAATCACCAAAAGGATCAGCCTGGAGGTCTGACCTTCCTCGTGCAAGCTAATCTCGATGTGCTGCATATTGAGCGAATATACCGCATCGTCCGGGGTCCGGACAGCACCAGAGCCTCATCCCTTTCACTCTCATTGGTTCGTGATGACATGATGGTATGTGGTGCATAGTAAATCTCGGGAAGTGGCGTGGCTTCGCCCCCCGCTGACCTTTTCTTTTCCACATGCTGACAGCGCAGTCCGCCTTGCCGATTTTAGCACCAGCCAGAACGGTGTGAGTTTCACGTCGGGCCTGCAGTCAGCAAGCCAGCACTGTCTGGGAATGACAAGGCTCGGCATTCGTCATGGCTTGACGCAAGGCTGGGGATAAATAGCACTCCCCCGGATTCTCGGCCTGCGCCCCATGCCGTCACAGGACCAACACACGCATGCGAGGAAGACAGCTCAGGAAATTCCACAGAACATGTCTGGCGTGGAAGGAGGATCGGCTGCAGAATATCTGGTAAGAAAGCTCTGACAATAGCGGTTCCGAAAAGATTCTAAACACGAGCAGTCCGGTGCAGCCTTCCAGCCATTAGAACGAGTGTCGATCACAACCAAGAAGAAGGGCCTTTCGAGGCGCAGAATACTGACTATAACTCGTGGGAGGCCGCTCGGAAGGAGCTGGGAGTACCAGCTTGAGAACTCAACGGGAACATTGTATGAAGACGGAAAGTGGATTCCTCAAGAAGATCTTGGCAAAAGAGTAGGCAATTCTCAGTCGGACCAAGTCTTCAAACCTGCGAAAAAGATCGACAAGACTTCAACTTCGAGTCGGAGATCTATATCGCCAAACAGCCTACTATACTCAATTGATATTGGCTCCTTAGCTGATGGTTCCACGGATGGATCTTCCAAACTCATTGTCACAGGACTGGCTTCTTTCCTGGTCTCCAAGATTGATGCTGGCGTGATCAACGGTTATCCGATACAATGGATTGGACAGCTCAGGGTTGCGCCGCTACTGAAACATTTTGCTCGCGAGTTGGACCAGGAAGGTGGTTTCCAGGAGCTCCCCTTTGAATTTATGAGCTTTGTGTCTGTCAGTTATCTGTGAGTAGGCAAACGCGTGACCACTTCTCATGCAAATTTCCGTCCCAGTGCTGACTGATTTATTGAAGATCAATCGCCAACGCATTCATGGACCGCTTGAAGGCTGTACATGTCAACTCATCAGCTTCGAAACTCGAAGAAGATTCCAAATTGACGTTCCCTTCGGCTTTTCACCAGAAACAGAGAAATGAGCCTAAGGAGCAACACAACATCACTGGAAGTGAGGAGGAAGTCGAGTCTAAAGCTCCTGAAAGGCGCAAAGAAAAGGAGCATAGTAAGCATCCCACACAAGAGGACAAATATAGAGCGGATGATTATGGGGAGACCAAGAACGAGGAGCAAGCGGATATTGCTGCAAATGAAAACAACGAGGGAAATGCAGAGCTTACAAGGGCGTCAAAGTATCTGGAGTTCTTGGTACATACAAACGCTTTCCAGTGGCTCTTGCTCGGGATCAAGTGACAACTCATCCTGTCCGTTCCCGAGCCCAACATAATGGCAGAAATCAGAGAAGCCATACTTTCAGTCCATGAAGGAATGCTGGTCAGATACTACTCGGTCACCTACGTAGTCAACTGGGATCCCATCACCTTTCTCAGGACGCAGGGATACCAAGATACCCCAGGCCAGGCCATGATGCCAGCGGTAACCTTGACCGGAGACACTGTGGACGGGCAAGCCTTGACATGTGCAGAATATCTCAAGCAAACCTGGCTCAACGAGTACGTTCTCGACGCGATTTGTGCAACTGTGGAGATGGAACCTGGCAAGCGACTTCGACGTAAGTAGCCTCAATTACAACTTGGTACATGTAAGATCAATGTAACCTGACACTTCACAGACTACTCAATGGATGGCACAGAGATTATCATATCCATGAGAATGGGCAATATTTTTGCAACTGTTAGTGCATCAAATGAGGAGGCTGTGGTTGAAGTCGCGCAGCAATTTGCATGGATAGCATCCGCTCTTCGCACTTCCGCATCTGACACCACGGCATCCTTTTGCACCCCATATATCCGTTTTCTCCGGGACCGTTATCCCTACGGCACCATACCGTCTTATGAAATCGACTTCGAGGTTGAGGCTATGAAAGAGCCTCTCGATCATGTCAATGGTCAGTGTTGGCATAACTTATTCAAGAACCCTGTTATTGTTCGAGGCTTCCCAATTCGGATCAGAGAAAAGATGGAAACAGGTCTCGAGCTACCGCTCAATATCATGGCCGGCCTTGCGCAAGCACGGAGAGTCACCACATTTGGTGACAGGCTCTTCATCAAAGGATTCTCGACAATGCTGGTGCCGACACGCAAGGTTGGGGACCTGATGACCTGGCATCTGATCTACAACTCAGACGGTAGCCACATATCCTACCTTGACCCGCGTATTGAGCAGATATAACACGAATATCCCGGGGATCTCAGTTCCATCGATGTGGAACATTTTCGTCATGTTCTAGGCTGGGCTTCTGTGGTCCGCAGTCATATCGGTAAGGCAAAGGTTTTGACACAATACAAGTGCAATTTTTGTTAACTTGTGAATTAGGCGCCCCTGAAGCGAATTATGATATCCGATGGTCTGGCCTTAAGGGACCTCACTCAAACTACGCCCTTGAGAAAGTCTCGATCTCAGTAGGAAAAATTGCCACGGTTGGGGGGACCTTCGCCATTGGAAACAAAGACGTGCCTATCCACCTCAAGATGGATGGGTCTTACGCTGAGCAGGTTGAGCACATCTCCCACAACTTCGTGTTGCTGTGCGACGCGGGTGACGAGAGGGCTTGGCTTGCGGACGGTGCTAGCGCATTACTACACCTTGTCAGAACCTCGCTGTTCCGGGACCGCACTGGGAGAAGGAGTTCCGAGTTCCTGTTCAATCTTGGGGATATGAAAGACGCGGAGCATATTTCGCCCGCCCGATATGCCATCAGTGTGCTCACAGACCGCCACAACAAAGCGTTGAAATTGTTCCCGGACGGGGAAAAGGAAACGCATGAGTGGGAAGCCACTGATTACGGCATGATCAGCAGAGTGACAAAGAAAGAGCCGACCTACACACTTTTCCAGGACCGCGTTGAATGCCAGATGCATATTCTCGAGCAAATACTGGAGCACCAGACCGGCGCCTCCGTACCAGGGAAACGACTCAGACTCACCCTTCGAAAGTACCTGGGAGGATACGATTTCATGGATGTGGCAACTTCTCTTAACCCGCTGTGCCCTCGGGTAAAACCGATTGACGACGCTGGCAAAGGATGGATGGACTTTGTGAAATCCATACAAGCAGTAACGCTGTTTGCGCGCGGCTTCGGGGAGCTCGTTGAGCCGTTCGAGGGCTCGAATACCCTTTGCAAGCACTGGAAGGAGGTGCCGACTGGAAAATATTACCTCGTGGTGTGCATTTCGGATCTTAAAGAAATCCTCGAGCGGAGAGGAGACGAATCATCGAGTCAGGTCCGTTTGGTCGATAACACGCTCTGGCACAAATCGGACAAACTTTTCGAGCCTTGTCACTGCAATGCTGGATCACAGCATTGCGACCGGGTCCAAGTCCTTCTGCCTGAGAGTATACTCTCCCAAAAATTCCGCCCCGCTCAGCATCCCGGAGATTGGAAGCAGCCAGGTGCCGTTCTGTTCGGCAGCCTCACGTACCGTTCGATCCGGAGCAACAACGGCGATCCTGAAGAAGTGGTCTCGAAGGGCAAAACGATGCGTAACAGTGGTATGGTATCAAGTCTCAAAGCTCCTGCATCGGCTACCAGAACAAACGGCAAAGAGCATGAGAGGGTGGATGACGGTGACGTCTACTGTGAAGTCTCAGGTGGAATAGCTGAGGTAAAAACTGTATGACCCAATGAATAAGGCATACCTGCCGGTGTGGCGGTTGAGAGAACAGGGGCTCTACGATGTTCCAAAAAGGTGGTTCCCGATATTTGTCCCTTCCATCTCGGCAATATGATTTCATGGTTTTCAATTTTCTCTTGCGAGGTTCTCTCTACATATACTTCACTCGTTATTTCACAAACGCAATATTTCTCCGCTCGCACACCTCTAAATAAGAAATGCAAAGAAATTGGCACGACCCACCCACAGAATGACCCGTGATCACGCCCGCACAAACCCCTTCAGCATCCCAACCAACGGCCTCGCCACCCTCACGGGCAGCAAGATCTCCGGATCCGTCCCAACCCTCGACTGGGCATAAAACCACGTCGGGCTCGACCACGCCACAAACGCCACGACCCACACATACCCGATTCCACGCCTCAACCCAGCGTTCATCCGCGCAAACAACCCCCGGCCGGCCCCGGCCCCGGCCCCGGACCCAGCGGCCCGACCGACGCCGCACACGGCCTGCACCGCATCCTCGACCACGATCCCCAGCGCCTGCAGCAAAAAAAACACGAGCGCCCCCGACTCAGCCGGCGGCACGCCCATCGCCCGCACGCACACGTGATGCACGAGGCCGGAGAGGCCAAACGCGGCGAAGAGGCGCGCGTACCGCGACAGCAGCGTGCACCCGCGCGGGATGCGCAGCACCCTGTCCGCGACGAAGTCGGCGTGGGCGGTGAGGCCGCGGCGGAGGCACTGGTGCCAGACGGCGCCCCAGCAGCGGCGGAGCGAGTACGCGTCGGCGAGGGCGCCGAAGAGGGGCGGGCGGTCGTGCGGCGACGAGAGGCCGGTGGCGACGAGGGGGAGGGCGAGGGCGTTGGAGACGAGGAGGAGGAGGAGGAAGCCGCTGAGCCAGTAGAGGAGGCTGGAGGAGAGGCGGAAGGTGAGGTCGGCGCGGGAGAGGGTGGAGAGCTGGGCGGGGAGGAGGGTTTGTTTTTGGGGCGCGATCATGGCGGCGGGGGGCGTGGGGCCGGATGTCAGGGCGTCGAGGGCGAGGTAGGCGAGCAGGGTGGTGGCTAGTCGTGATCGGAGGAATGTGGTTCGGGATGAGGTTGTGGTGGGCGGGACGTTCTTCACTTGCCAGATGGTCCCGATGCGGCGTTGGTTGAGGAGGAGCACGATTGCCCGGTAGGCTTGGTGGAGAATGGTCCTTCCTCGGATGGCGGTGGAGTTCAGTCGGGTGATGAAGATTATGTCTGATGCGCTCATGAGTTGGACGGGGAGGGAAGCAGCGGTGAATCCTCTCCAGTGGGGGTTGCTGGTCCATTGGAAGAAAGCGTCCTGAAGCATGTAGGTCAAGGCGAATAGCGCAACCACAGCGGTGAGGCGGACGAGGGCGGCATGGCTCGGGACGAACAGGACGGTGGTTGCGTAGAGGGCCAGGAACGCGACTTCGGTGGCGCCAAATGCTAGTGCACCAGGTGCAAGCCAGGGCGAGCCGGAGGGCATGGTTAAGACCGACACAGTTGGATAGGGTGAGGTTGAAGTTGTTGATCGGCCTTTGAGCGGCGTGATATCAGTTCATTGACGATCGCACGGAGCAGCGTTGGCCACGAGCGAAGGTCGGGTGAGTGGCTCGTGTAGGAAGTAGGCCCGGAAGGAAACCCGCCCGCAATTTATGCAAAAGTTTACGAGCGGACGAGGCCAGAAAGAAACACGCTTTATGATGCCTGCCGTGGATCTCGGATGCAGCTGCCGCGTCTGGCCATAACAAACACTTCTACATCAGCTCCACTTGTGGCCCGGTAAGCTCATCTCTCTGTTCCACTGCCTTCCCTGTCCCGAGTGCTCTGATCTACCACCGCCCACCTCTAAGGCTGAAGGTAATGGAGCGATTAGCAGACGGGCAATCATATATCAAACACCGTTCAAGCAAGACGACAACAAGCGGATCAAGCAGGAAAATACCGATCGGAAATCATGTATGTACGTATTGGTTCCCCCTCTATATCATAAATCTCAGCGATCGTCGTCAAAAAGAGATTCCGAAGAAGAAAAAAAGAAAGAAAGGAACAACATAAAAAAGAAGGGTTTGAGCCTCAACCACCAGATATCCACAGAACCCGAACAAAAAGAAAGTAAAACATAACACCCTACTCATCCCCCCAAGCCTCCTCCCCCCTCCACCCCGCACTCCCGCCCAAGTCCCTCTTCCTCGCCGTCGTCGCCGTCAACACCGCAGTCCCCTTCCTGTCCGAACTGACCCTGATCGACGCGGGCTTCTTCGTGCTCCTCGCGCCAAAAGTCCACTTGCCGCCTCCGGCATACACGCCCGCGATCCCGCTGTCGGTGAAGCCCGTGCCCGTCGCCGTGCCGAACTGCAGCGTCAGCTTCGGCCCCGCAGGCGTGGTGGTCTGGTCCCACAGGACGTTGGTGTGCGCGGCGACGTTGAGGGTGCCGCCCTGCTGCGTCGTCCACGTGAAGGCGTCGATGACGACCGTGTCGGCGAGGGTGGCGTCGGTGGTGACGGTGGCGTTGGCGCTGGAGCTCAGCGGGCTGGTGCCGGCCGTGGAGATGGTGCACTTGAAGACGCGCTTGACCTGGGGCGTGGCCGAGGCCTGCGCGGGGGCGGTGAAGCTGAGCGAGGCGGCCGTCACTTGCGAGGGCGCGAGAGAGACGCTGGGCCCGTCCACTTGGGTCCAGGAGAAGGCGATGTTGGACGCGGCGTTGCCCGAGTCGTCCTTGGCCGCCAGCGTGACGAGCGCGCCGGGGATGGTGGTGGCGGGCGTGCCGACGTTGACCTTGGGTGTGAGGGCGGTGGGGCCGGTTGCGGCTGTCGTTGTGGAGGGCTTGGGCGCGGCGCAGGCGGCAGGGCTGGGGGCGGTCGCGCCCGGCCACGGGTCGAGCTGGCCGTATTGGAAGCCATCTTGGAAGATGCCGTTGGCCAGGTTGTTGAAGGTGGCGTAGTTGAGCGCCGGGGGCTTGACGCCAGGCACGAGCGGTTCGGGGAAGATCCATTCCGTCACCGGTTGGACGTACTGGCCGGCGAGGATGCCGTTGGTCGTGTTCTTGATGCCTGCGGCGGTGATGATGCGGTATTCTCGCGTGTACTGGGTGGCAACGGTGTTGTCTGCACGCCAGGTGAACTTGTTACGCACGTCGCCAGCCTTCAGGCTGGCACTGCCGACAAGGCGGTTGGTCTCGTCTCCAGTGCAGGGGTCAACATCGATGGCGTTGATGGTGACTGCCGCGTTTGCGTTGTTGGAATCAGAAGTGTACCCTATGAACCTCGTGTCTCCAAACTCGTTGTTCGCGGCCACGCCCGTGGTGGGGTCGACTACACCGATAATTGCGTCCTCCATCCGGATGTAGACAGGCTGGCCCTTGCTGCCGTCCGTAGTGATCTGTACGTTGGCGGCCACGATGGCATAAGCATAGACGGTGCCGCCGACAGTGATGCCGGACCACTGCACATAGTCCCCAGGAATAAAAGGAGCCATGACTAGCGGGTCAATGGCGGCACTGCATTATGTCAGCGGTGTGCTTCTCTGCAATCAGACGTGTACCTACAAAGTAGATGCACCCGGGTTAGTCGAGCCAGGGCGGCTAGTGAGCGGGCACAGAGGATCCGTCTTGGACCTCGGGATGCACATGGGGAAGCCAGAGAAAGCAGTGATGCTGGGGTTCTCATCATCAGCCGTGAAGGCAGGGTTGTCGGTGTACCCGGTGGAGTAGACTGCGTTGGGATCGTTGATAACGACAGTGGGGCCGCCAACGAGCTTGAAAGAGTTGCTCCCAATGTTGACTGACTCAATGACGCCAGCACCTGCGTTCAGCAACTCCTGTGAAATCTGGATCTGGCCTGCAATTGGAACACCGTTTACGACGTTGCCAGTGACGGAGACCTCGTAGCCGCTCAGATTGGCATCGCCAGCAACGTTTTTCCATGGAATCCATGCGGCAGGAAACTGGACAATCAAGTTCTTCGGGACCGTAACAGCATAGCCGTTGACACTGATAGAGCCACCCGAGTTGGTGGCTGTTCCGCTAGCTGATGCTCTGATAGCCATTTAGCATGCAATTTCCTCGAACTGGGATGGGAACTTACGAGTCCATACGGCCATCGAGTACAAAAGCCTCGACGGCGGCATGAGCTACAGAGACCCAAGACAGGGCAGCTAAAGACGCCGCAAAAAATCGCATAGTGCTTGATATAAATTCTCAGAATGAGAATTATCGAAAAAGAGTGTGTGGTGAAGAGACTTGCTGAACGAAGGCTATTCCGAGCTCCCATGACACAAGATTTATACATGTGCTTGTCGGCTGAGCAGACATGCTCGTTTTCTGGGTAATGGGGCTGTGGGAGTCCAGATGTGTTCGAGACGCCACGACAATCCCTGGTACGCATGAGCGGGGAGTTCACGACTTCGGGGGCCGGAAACTTCCACGCCCTGCGAGCAGCGGCATTGCTTGGTACTCATGTAATAAATCTGCCACCTGAGCATTATTCTTGAATCATTACTACCGCACAGCCCCCACATGAAGTGATAGCACCAATGAGGATTGTGTGATCTGTTAGCTGCCCCATTGCTTTTCTCCGGACGGTTAGAGGAATTTGCAGTCGTGGCGGGGTACTACCGGGGTGCAGCTGACAATTCGAGGCTTCAGCCGTAGCCACGGTGGCTGGACCACCGGGAGAGAGCCAAGCGATGTCGCGAGGACGGAGGCGAAGCTTTAGCTTTCTTAGGCATGGGGCTCATGCTGCGGACCCTTGTTCCTGCGCCCCGGCTTCTTTTAGGGAGAAAGCGGACGCTAACCATCTCAGCCACATTGGGAAGCCGGAACCTTAATGGAGTCCTATCCATCAATGGTAGACCAACGAGGCAAAGGGACGATGGCTGAGTCTCATGTTCGGCTATGGAATCATGAAGCCGATGCCGGTGTGCAAACTCCGGGGCGCTATAGCCAGACATCCATCACTAAAGCCAGTGCCGACTCACATGTAGCGGGGACTCCGGAACCCTTGACATGGCTAGCGTGTATCCGGTTCTACGTCCATGCTCGTGAGAAGAGGCACGACGTGCGGGAAGTGGACCTTCCTGGTAATCCCGCAGAAGCAGCGGACGAGAGAGATGGGGGTGGATAGAGTGCTGCGGTGAGCTAGGGAGGGCTGGATCCCGAGAGACGGCAGGCTTGGCGGATGGCGGTACGAGGCTTATGGCGCAACTCGTGCCTTGTGCGGCTGGAGTCCAGCCCAGTTTCCAATACAGGCGCAAGCCTATGCGACTGATGCGGATAGCGGGAGAGCGCTGGCGTCGACCGGCGTAGGAACTGGCCAGTCAGCGCTCTCGAAAGTCCGCCTCCTGTCCACCACGTGCGGAATCTCGTCAGCCGTGCGAGACACGGCATTGCTGCAGCATGCAGGAAGAATTCAGGTCGATGTGGACCTGTATGATGGCGTGGTGATGAGAAGGCAGCAGAGTGTGCTGTGCGGGGTTGGTCGGCCTTGGCTGACAAAAACTAAATACCCGGCGAATGCGCTAAGCCAGCAACTCCAGCGTCGCGTCGCTTGGGCCGATTCGCATGCACAGTAATGACCTATCAATAGTCCGTCCCTTACAAACGGCTGTTGCCATGCCCTTCGCATCTCAAATGGTGCACGAAGCTGTTGCTTCTCCAGCCTCGGCAGCCATGTTCACATAATCACCCATGCGGATCAGTTCCAGTATGCTTGTATTCGTGTGCTCATTAACGAAGACGAAAGCTGCAAGAGAACAAGCAAGGAAGAAGTGCATCCGCCCGCTAGTAATAAATGCATGTTTTCGTCGCTAACTAGGAGAGAAGAGAGAAAAGAAAAGCCAGTAGAAAGGGTATTACAAATGAAAAGGCGCTCAATGCCCCAAATCCGAAACCCTTTCAAATCCTCCGCATTATGATTCCGGCTCCAACCTGCAATCGCCCACTTGATTTTGGTATCGCTGAGGTGAGTCTCTGCTGAACAGTGACAGTCAAGGAAAAGCATGATGCAAACAACATAACCGCGTTGGGTATCATCCATCTAAGTCATGACCGTAGAACTCTTAGACAGTTCCCTGGAGAACAGGGTTACCAGCGCCAAGGGACGTGTGTTGGCCATTGGGCCCGGGAATACCAGTCCTCAGACCGTCAGCTCCCTCGGTAGTACCGTTGAAGGCTTGGTTAACCTCCTTTTGGAAGTGCTGAGTCTGGAAGTTCGGGTTGCCATTGGTGTATCCAGATCCAGCATTGTCAACTGCCGTACGGTGAGGCTTGCGAGTGACAGCCGACATCTTCGGAAGGTTCGACGTTTCCTTGGCAGAGCCAATCGAGAAGACAGGGCTCTCCCACTTCTCGCCCTGCCTGGCGAGATCCTTGAATTCAGTAGCCTTGGAGCTGATGCCGCCAGCGAGACTGATGTCCTTGAATATGCTGTCGTGTTGTGTGACGGCGACATTGACCTTCTTGTCGGCAACAGCCTCCTTGGCCTTCTCCTTCTTCTGGTTCATCTCCATGAACTTCTTCTGCGCGGCAGAGGCGTAGCGCTGGTAAAGGTTCTGAACATTCTCCGGGTCGGGGTTCTTCTTCAACTCAGCCTTGGCCCTCTCAGCCTCCTGGTGGATGTCGTAGAGGAAGGCGTCAGCCGTGACGAAGTTGTCCCTGATCTGCTTCTCCAGAACCTTCTGGAGAACAGGACGAATGACCTTGATGAGGAGAGGCTTGACAAGGCCAAACAGCAGCTTGTGGTTAGACTTCTTGAGCTTGACAGTCAAGTTCTTGACGTCCACATCGACCTTCGACACCTTGAAGAAGTGCTGACCATCCGACTTATCGGCAGTCTCAGCAGCAATCTTGAAGCTCAGACCATCACCACCCAAGAAGATGTCAGCAACACCCTTATCCTTGAGCGAGGGGAAGCCCTTCTTCCTGTTGACGTAGTAGCTGACATCGCGAAGGTCCATCTGGACGCCAGACACGGAAATCATAACCTTGTTCTTGTTCTTGTTGGTGATCTTCTTGCGACCCCAGCGCCAGTGGTTGTCACTGGCAAACTCAAGGACATTGGGCGCCAAGTTGTCACCCTCGATGACAAGGTTCTCAACAATGGCATCCATCTCCGGGTCGCTGTACTCGATGCGAGGAATGGGGACGTACCGCACATTCTCGAAGAATGCAGGAACGATGACCTCGGAGAAATCCTTGAGGAGGTGAGGCTTGAAAGCAGCCGCTCCAGTCTCGTCCTGACCAAGGTCCAGGAAGAGTTTGTTCACTGCGTTGGCAAAGGCCTTGTTCTGAGGGTCAGCGTCGAATTGCTGGCCCAGGAACTTGAACTCGTCAACGATGCGATCAGTGTGACTCCTGTAACGCTCGCGGAGGAGGAAACGGCCCTGATCATAGAGGCGATTCCACTCCTCGTTCGCGACGGGCTGCATGATGAAGCCCTGCTCCTTGAGGCACTTGCGGATGTAAGTGTCCAGGTTCTTGAACCAGTTCTTGAGATCAGGGTCGCGATCGGCATCCTTGTAGATTTGGTTGATCGACTCGAAGAGATCATCCAGGGAAGTGCTGTTGGCGAAGCGCTCGAGGAGGGTCTTGAAATTGGTCAGCGCTGCTTCGACATGTTGGTTCTTGAGCAACCCTATGTACACACCTTGAGGTCAGTCTCAGCTCCTTGCAAAGCATCATCTGTATGGGCACCTTTCACGGCCCCAGAACCTTGCACGGCAAGGTTCTTTGAATGGCCAGTGTATTCTTCCGCCAGGCGAAGAAGGGTCTCGACGGCACGCATGTCTAAACCGCATTAGCCAAACTCTTGTATTGGTCCGAGTGTGGTGTGTACTCACATTCCTGGTGGCCCTGGATCTCGACAACCATCTTCTTGAGGCGCCAGATGGTCTGCTCACGACGTTCCTTGGGCATCTTGTTCCTGAGGTAGTTCTGAGTACGCTCACGGTACTGTCTGGCCTTATCCTGCTGCTCATCGGGAATGTTCTCGTCAAGCCTCTGCTTCGCATCGCCAAGTGCGTGGTCGGCGCCAACCTCGCCACCCTCAGTCTGGGCGACCTGAGCGCTGTTGTCGGCGACCCTCTGGGCCTCCTTCTTGCCGAAGAGCTTGTTCTTGTTAAGCTTCTCCTGGTACTCGGCCTTCATGCCCTTGAAGTCGGGGGTCTCGTGCCAAGTGTTGTCGGCAGCGGGTTCATCAAGCTGGGAAAGCTGCTCCTCGGTTGGGTTCACCCGGTGAGCAGTTTTGGTTGCAGCATCGCCGACCATATCCCTGACGATAATCAGGCCGTCATTGACTGGAGGAATGTTAGTGAAAAAGTTTTGAGCAATCCAAGGTGGTCACATACTGAGCTTCCTGAACTGGCCGTTGGAGATGAGGAGGGTTCCAAGTGTTCTCAGGCCCTCCAGAGCCTCGTTGCCGTGCTGCCTCGCGATATCCTTGTCGACGGGGAGATTGGGGTTCTTCGCGTCGCCACCGTGGATCTGCTGGGTCTGCCAGACAAAGTCTTGGAGCAGGTTGCCGTCGTTCTTGGTGAGGAGGAGGATCTTAGCGGCCTCAATGACGTCCTTTACGTCAGCAGCGAGCTTCTGCCCGTCGGCAGAGAGCTTCTTCGAGGGCGAGGAGAGCGGCTTCGATGCCAGCGCGCTGTTGAGCGCGACATCGATCTGCTTGTTCTGTGGGAGAGGTCAGAAAGGCCAGGAATGCGTCGTTAGCGCAACCAGGAAAACATACGGATGGAACCTTGCCGTTAGAGAAGGCTGGGCGCATGTTAGCAACGGCGCATTGAGTGGCGTGGATAGCGCGTGGAATGACGCGCACAGACAGGACGTCTTACCAGACCAGATGCCGTACAGCTGGAGCTTGTTGTTGACGTCCCTCTCCTTGACCTGGGTGTCGGTGGGGCGGTTGACTGCCTTGGACGCCATGGTGTATTAACTAGTCGTAGGGATGGGCGTGGGGTATCGTGGCGGGTGGGAGATGGGTATCGTGGAGGGGTATCTTAAAATGCAAAGGAAAGCAGATGGTATGGAGAGAGAAGGGCAAGCACCGGGCGGGTGAAGGGGTATTAATTTGCAAGCTCCCGCCTCGTGCGACCTGCTTTGATGTGGCTGATCGCGACGTCATAGGTTCGCAATTTCCCAGCGACGCAGGCCTGCCCTGGTGCGATTGCGCGCCCCTGCCCTCGACCAGGCAAAGGCTGGCGTGAGCCTATGGCCGAAACGGCTGGTGCTGCCGCATTTGGGCCCGCGGCCAGCCTTCGAGCTTTCCGGATCAACACGCCGTCGACACTGGCGATCACTCGCACGCTTTCCCCAGACAGGCCCACTGCTGGCTAACGTCATGGATGCGCTGCACCCAGCCTAGCTGGGCGAGGTTCAGCTTCTCATGGATCCCCGCCTGATGAGACCGTCTGTCGCTTCAAAAACCCGCTGCAACCACGGCTGCTTTGCCGCGCATGCAGCCGTACCTCGTTCGCCTGTAGCCCACAGCCAGCAGACATCCGCACCTCCATCGCGCTCTCCATCATGATGAGAGTGATGCGCACGGAGGTGCGCACGCCCCACCCAGCCCCGGCGGCGATCTTGCGTACACCCATGTCCAGCGGTGCCGTCTGCCGTCAAATCGATGCACCAGTCATTGACTGGCACCGGCGGCGCTGATTCACGTTGCCGTCATCCAAACATCCGCCCGCCAACCTGCCCGGGATGACGCCAACAATGCTCTGAGCAAGCTTCCCAATCAAGTGGTACGCGTGTTCTCCCAGCATTCGGCACCTGACAAAAAGAGAGCGCACAAACCAAGACGAACGTCCACCTTCGCGCTCCACGCTACTGCTGCTAGGCTTCTGCTTGCAAATTGCAATGGATGCGACGAGAAACGCCTCTCATGCGATAATAACATCAGGGGCCGCCACACCAAAGTGCACCGCCGCTGCGCGCGCCACGGTTCCAGTTGTTGACATCGCGAAGGTGGCGGGCGCCAAACCTGCCACCATGCCTGCAGGGCCCGCAGAACAAAGCTCACCATCTCCGCACGGGCGCACAACAAACGAAAGGGAAATCCCGAATGTAAACAGAGACCCTGGAGTATTGTTTACTAACAATCTGCCCTCGCATTCAGATCCCGATTTCGCTCCCTGCCACGCGCGCCCTACGTAGTTCCAAGATACGCAATCTTGACGCCACATGTTCTTGCTGGTGGATGTTGTCATTTCTCCGATACAGCGGTCAATCTAGATGGAGCTCGCGAGGCCCATCGTGCTACGTAGACCCCGACACGCAACCAGATGACTGCCACGTGCTCGGGAGGAAGTTAGTTCTGTCTCTGCTCCGGGATTAGCTGAGTGCAGGTCAACATCGTGCTCGGATCTGCATCGCCAAGCAAAGAGCCGCTTCCCCAGCGGTATGACGAGACAATGATGGCCGTGAAAAGAATTGGGGAGGGGATCGGATCATCGGCATTGTCCAATCGCAGCATCGCGCAGACGTTACCACATCCAACCATCGCTATTTAGCATCCAATCCCAGGTTCCCATCTCTTGCACGTACTGTGCATCTCATAGCTGGACAACCCAAAGTGTCCTAGCGACGATGCCTTCTTTGCCCCACATTCTTCACCACTGGACCTGGCATGGCAAATGTGAGTCCATGGCCAAATCTTCAGCTCCCTCGGACCCAAGTGGGCCCCCCCAGCCATGACATGGCCAAGCAGGGTGATCGCCAAGATCTTGCCAATCCGGCATTGCGATCATCCGCGCCCCTAAGCCACACCAAGTCTGCCGACCGTCGTCTGGAACGGAAAGCACGGTCGTGGCGCAAAACCCCACCGACGACTGCGGGCAACATGCCTGCTTCCTGAACGGCTGTAACCGCAATCCACCCACGTCATCAGCGCAAACCTCCGCATCCCAAAGCTTCTCCCTTATCAGCCACACGCCTTTCTCCACACCGCTTCCCTGAACTGGGCTTGTGACAGATTTTTGGGCAAAGCTCTGGAGATTATCCTGTATTTCAGTGGCTAAGCTTCCTGACAATCCCCAGGATCTCGGATCAAATCTGTGTCCAGCAGCTCATTTCAAGCTCAGATCCGCCACCTGACCATCAAAAATACTCGGGAAAAAACATCGCGTTTAGCTTCCGCAAAGCATGACAGCATAAATAGTCACTGGATGTACTAATTACACGTATATCTAGGGGCCAGTATGAAGATAGCCGCAGAATTTAGAACCGACCGTGATACTATCCGCAGCTTGTGCCTTCTTACCGATCCAAAGAAAAGAAAAGTATTGAGGAACCACTAGATATGCATTCGCATAGCAAACAGCGACCCAGTGAGCAAGTTTAAATCCGCCCATCAAAACGCCCAGATGCCCTACATAGCATCGTATGTATATACATACTCGTTCAAAGATCCGATTCCATCCCGTCCTCAAAAACACCACTAATATCCACAGAGAAGAAGAAAGAAAAGTTGAGCTCGTCCCTGCCCCAGGCCCTCTCTTCTCTTCCTTCAAACCGCTTTCCCTACCCGCAGCCACCATCTCAACCCACAGCCGCCAAACCATCACCCCCTCACCCCCACCTCGTCGTCGCGCACGCCACCGCACTAAACCCAATCGTCCACCTCACACTCCCCACAACCACGACCAACACCGCCAGCCCCACAGCCACGCTCGCAATCCCGTACGCATACGCCTGCCTCAGCCTCGCCAACGTCCTCAACTCCGCCACCCACGTCGAGACCGTCGTCAAGCAACCGCAAAACCCATCCATCACGCCCTCTAGGACCTGACAGCCCAAGCGGCCACCGCCCACCATACTAGTCATCGCCACACCGCCGCCGCCGCCGCCGCCGCCGCTGTTGCTGCTATCAAGCGGGACGTGCTGCAAATCGAACGCCATGCCCAACACGGCCGTGCCGAAGACGTTGACGGCGAAGGTGCCGAGCGGGAAAGACGGGATGAAGCCGTTGAGCTTGATGCTGGCGTAGAAGCGCAGCAGGCAGCCGGGCGGCGCGAAGACGCACGCGAACAGCGCCTGGCCGCGCCACGTCTCGTCGGCCCAACTGCCACTGCTGCCACTGCTGCTGCCGGCAGCGGCGCCCATGGGGCGATCGGGTGGCCAGATGGCCATGAAGATGGCGCCGAGCCAGGCGAGCCAGGCGATGGGGACGACGGCGCGGTCGAGGACGCGGCGGGTGAAGCGGAAGGGGAGGGTTGGCGTGATGGATTCGAGCGCCAGGGCGAGGTGTGCGCCGAAGGTGTAGGCGGAGAGGCAGAGGCCGACGGTGGTGGCGACGACGGCGACGACGGCCATGAAGCTGTAGCCGCCGTTGCGTGAGACGGTCGTGCTGTAGCCGGGACGGGTGGCGCCGGGGGGTGTGGGGTGGTTGAACGGCGCGGGCAGGTCGTTGGAGAGTGCGAGGAAGACGTCACGCATGAATGATGAGTAGGAGGTGAAAGAGCCGCAGAAGCCTGTCGCGAGGCCAATGTACAGTGGGATGGTTTTCTTGACCCTGCCGTGCGCGGCCTTTGCTTCGCTCAGCATCTTCGCCATTTCTTCGTCGCCCCCACGAGATTTTGTAGCGGGGAAGAATGCGGGTGTCCCCCATTCTGCACGGAACAGGTTGCGGTCTTCAGCCAAAAACCCCAAGATCAACGAGCCTCCGACGTTGGCCCAAAGCTCGCTGAAGATTACCGGGGCCCCTGGGTAGAAAGTAAGCCATTGAACACCTAGACGAGCTAGAGTCCCGAGAATAGCAAACAGTATCAGATAAGACACCGTATATAGCTGCGTCGCAAACCTTGACGCGCGCCTCGGCTGCGGTGCCGCCGTTGACTTGGTCGGTGGCCTCGTGATATTTCCGCTCGAGCTTGAACCGTAAGAGCCTCCCTGACTGTCCTGTCTGTGTCCACTCGGTCTGTTGTGTCGCGATTTTGGCGTTCTGTCTCGACTTTTCGGTACGACTGGAGGCACGGCGCTCAGCTCACTCAAGTTGTCCTCATGCTCGAAAATTCCGCGACTGGGCGGTCCAAATTCTTCTTCAATGGACGGTGACTGCCACAACCTCCGCTGATTTCCTCTACCTATTACTGGTGATGGCGCGGCTGCATCGTTCAGATAATCGTATTCAGTCGGAAGCGTATACTCGTGCACGAATTGACGCTTTGGCGTTTTGGGGGGCTTTTCCGGAGTCGTCTGACGAGACGCATTCGAATGCTTGCTGCGGGGAGATTTCCCAGCGGCATTGCTACGATCTCTGCTGCTCTGTTTGGTCTGCCTGCTGACCGGGGTGCCACCACTAGTGCTATTGGGGTGTTGGCTCCGCTTCGTGGTGTTGCTTGTGTCCCTGCGGTGCTTTGCTCGGGCAGCGTCGGCATCGGCAGCACCGTCATGCCCGCGTGCAGCGGCTGCCTGCAGCGGCGTCAAGCTGCTGCTGCGAACCGTACCAACCACCGCAGCGTCAGCAGCTGACGGGTTGGCGCGGCCGGCTTGGGAACGCTCCGCAAAACGGTTCCGACCGTCGGCTCCCGAGGGCGAACTGGGGCGCGATCGTGGTGACTGCTGCAATGCGCGCTGCTCGTCGAAGCAGCTGCTCCTGCTCTTGTGCGGACCGCGCGCGATGGCAGCCGCGCTCGACTCTTCCATAGATAGAGATCTTATCAGTGTGTGGTGGGCTCCGAAATGCTGGTGCAAGCGCGGTGGAGCCAAGCTTCGGTCTTGCGGCGGGCGCGGGCGCGGGCGCGGGTGCGAGCGCGAGCGGATCAGCGCTGCGCAGGGCACTTCTTAGTGGAGATGGGGCCCGAGAGTGTCGGGAAACGTCGCCTCGGAGCAGAGGGGGTGACTCAATAGCCAGCCATTGTCGAATGAAATTCTGCTGCTGCTGCGCTGTACGGCACGCCTGGGGGCGGATCAACCAGGTGTCAGGCGGCTGGCGACAACGTGCGCGTGTCCTACCGCCCGGCTGCTTTCCAGCGAGATCCACAGCAGGGATGTCGGCCGTCGCCCGGACTAAGCCCCAGAGAGCAAGCTGTGCCCCTCCACAACTGGCCGTCGGCGAACCGACCGCGCTGCACGGCGGGCGGCACCGCTATCTACACAATCCACGCGCTCCTGCACGGCTCGCCTTGGTAGAAGTACATAAGAAATAGCGACCTCTGTCCTCCCGCGCTTTGTCCCTCTCCGCCGTGCCCACCGCCGTTTCCGCACTTACCCTCGCCTTCAGCTCTGTCGCCCCCCTCCCCACCCGCACCCGCGTCCGCCATGTCTTCATTACCGTCCAACGTCCACGTCTCCACGCACCCATGTGTCCAGGCCAAGCTCTCGCAGCTGCGCTCCGCCAGCGCCAGCCCGCGGGAAGTCAAGTCGCTGATCCATGAGATCTCGACAATAGTCGGCGTCGAGGCACTCGCAGCGGGCCTGACCACCACCACTGCAGGAACCGTAAGCTCCCTTTCTCCCCCCCACCCATTCTCCCTCTCTCGCGAACCATAACCTCCCCCCACCACCCCCCAGAAACCCCTCATCCCATAAAGACAACAAAAGAAAAAACGAAAGAAAAGAAGACCCAACCCCAGTGCTAACCCAAGCAAAAAACCGCCAACCAACAGGACCAAAACCCCCTCGGCTACTCCTTCCCCGTCGCCGCCATCTCGCCCTCGCGCATCTCGCTCGTCCCGATCCTGCGCTCGGGGCTCGGCATGACGGACGCGCTCCTCGGCGTGCTGCCCGCCGCCGTGCCCGTCCACCACCTGGGCCTGTACCGCGAGAAGACGACGCTGCAGCCGGTCGAGTACTACAACAACCTGCCCTACCACAAGCCGACGGCGTCCAACCCGTCCGTCGCCGCGGGGCCCTCGGACCTCGCCATCGTCGTCGACCCCGTCATCGCGACGGGCGCCACCGCCTGCGCCGCCATCGACACGCTGCGCGACTGGGGCGTCGGGAAGATCATCGTGTGCGCCGTCATCGCGAGCGAGGACGGGCTGCGCAAGGCGGCCGAGACGTGGCCCGAGGGGGTCGAGGTCTACGTCGGCGGGTCTGACAAGGAGACGGATGACAAGGGCATGATTAAGCCTGGCTTGGGCGACGTTGGTGATAGGTTGTTCTTGACCATCGGCAAATAGATCAAATCATGGGTTCGTGGCTGGTCGTTTGGAAAAGCTCTGGGCAGTTAGAGTGTGTTATATATCCGTTTACTGGGAGTTTGGTCGAATAATGAAAATCGAATGGACTACAAAAACTTCTGGAGTGATCGATATCAATCGCTCAAGCAATCCGCCCCCGTTCAATATTCAAACGCGCAGACCTGGGCTTTCAAGGGATCAGTAACTGCTCGAAGAGCATTACTCCCACAAAGCCCAAGTCTGGAATCCATCGCTGTTTCTCCTTTGAATGTCGATTGCGAATGATACAGCTGCCCGCTTCGTATCAGTCCGGTGAGGACCAAAAGCTCGCTCCAAGCTACAGATGGAGCCATTTAGGATTGTGCTGTATCCGATCGCAACGCCTTGAGTAAGACAGAGCCCGTGAATCGTGTCGTTAGCTTTTCATCCGTCGTAAACTCCCTTTCAATGTCATGGGTATCAAAGGCCACGTCCAAATGAATACCAACTCTTCACAGCAACCATCTTGAGACCAATACCTAGACCTTATTCGAAGCCTTGGTCCAACACGAAATCCGGCCTCGGGCTCTTCCATTCGTCGAATGGAACGTCGTCGTTACCGGGCATCTGCTCGCCATTGGACAATTGCAACCTCGGGAAGTGGTCGCGTGCCCACTTGTACCACACGCCCTCCTCCACCGCGGCGCCATGGTTCCAAGGAGCATTGAATTCAGATGGGTTTGGGCCGAACTGTTTGAAGAAGTCAGTGCAGTCTGCACTGACAAGGGCGTCAAGCACCCATCTGAGAATATTAAGTATAAGTCGACTGACCTTGCTGAAAGCACTCTCTTCTTTCAGGATGCAAGATTCCTCCAGCTTCTTAGACAGCTCGTCGTTGACAAGCACCAATGCTCCACTATGCCTATCCACAACTCCCCAGTTAGCGTCCTTTCATATAGGGAAATGTCAGCATACCATCCAGCCGCAGCAACGCTCAAGGCATAGTGGGTACCGAGCCCGTCTTCATCGGCGGCTGCAATTGCAGGTTCCTTGTCCCAGCCAGAACCCTGCTGCTCGATCCACTCGCTGACCTCTCCCAGAGCAGTCGCATCGCGTATCGTCATCCTCATTCGGTCCTGAGCTTCCGCCACATCCACCCCCCCAGATGACAGGAACTTAATCCATTGTCGATTGACGTCATTGAATAAGATCTTACGGCCCGTAGTGTAGCCATGCTGACACAAGGCCCTGCTGTCTCCGATTTGGACAAGGCCTCTCAAACGGCTCTCAGCTTCGCCATAGCCGCCAAGGCCAAGCGCTCCGCAACGCTTGGACTCTCTGCCATACGAGGTGATGGTTCCGTTAGAGTGCAGCGCATGGTAGTGGTAGTCTCCAAAGGCCATCGAGATCACACCGGAGTTCTGAAGGGCTGGGATCCTCTTGAGATTGGTTGCATCAGGGGTCTCGTTTGACAGACGGAGGTCCCAGCATGCCTCCAGGTAGTCTTGCGTGCCGGTGATGACTTCACCATCATTCTTGAATGCAGCAAATGATCTGAACGCTCCCTGGATGTCAATCTTTTGTGCACGCCTCTGGACGGCGTCTTGGTCCGCGCGTAGAGCCGTAATCTCAACGATGTCTTCGACATGTCCAGTGGTGTCTCTCTCGTTCCAAGTCATGCGTGCAGCGAAGAACTTGCCCAGGTCGGTGACGAAGAGAACAAAATGTTCGAGAATGACGTGATTGATGACTTCGCCGATCGTCTGGCCAAGCTCGCGTGCCGCATCATCAGGATCCCGAGCGCTCCTGGCAGGTCGGATGTAGCTCGTCTTGGGCACAGGTACAGTGTGCTGGATGATCAAGGTATCATTGCCAAGCTCTGAACCGTAGTGCTTGCGATTAGCGGGGGACCAGAGCACGATTCCTGTACCGTTAATGTAGGCAGAGCTGACGCTCCACCCACCGACGACTCGGCGCACAGATCCGCTCCTCAGAGAGATGGACTGGTTGCGATGGAGGTGGGAAGTCTCTCCGTGGGCTGGGGCCTTCTCTGCGATGTCACGCTCAGCGAACGCGATATTCCAGGCAGGCTCGTTCATCGAGTGCCACGACCAGATTTTACCACTATCCGAGAGGCCGAGAATATGAGACCTGCCAGAAGAGAACTGCTTGATGGCGGTCGATGGATCATAGCGATCAGTCGAGCGCGGGAACCCTGCTGGGTATTGGAGCGGAGAAAGAACGCGAGACTGATCCGTGGAAAATGTGAGACCATCAAGGGTGCCAACGGAAAAGAGAACTCCTTTGGAGTTGAGCAGAGTAGTAGACCAGCCGCCACACTGAAGGTCAGCAATAATACCAAGATCCTTCGACTTGAACATCTCAAAGGGATAAGGGCGTTCCTGAATCTGCCTGGCAGCCTGAGGGCGACCACGCCTCAGAATAGGACCCCTACCCCTCATCATGCCCCGGCGAGGCGGTGGCGGCGACGGATCCTCTTCCGGGTCCTCTTGGCCCAAAGCACCACGTGAGTTTTCGCCCCAAGTGTAGGCGCGGGTGTTGTGCACGAGATTCCTGTAGAGCTTCTGCCAGTGGGCACCATCGGCAACCTTGGCAGGGCGCTCAGCAATCCTAAAGGTCGATTGTGCAGCGGTTCTCCAGAAAGTTGCGTCTTGGCGGAATGAGGATTCGTAGAAGGCTTTGCAGGTGCGACAGAGCGCCATGAAGCTCGTGGCATCCAGGTGGGGGAGGATGCAGTTCGTCAAGACATCGAGTGGCAGCTCGGCCAGCGACATCGGCGGGTCGGTAGTCGATGTCATACCGGCGGTGTTGCAGTGGATGTCGTCCAAAGATGGGTTTGCAGATGTTGTGGGAAGATCTGTTCTGTTAGAGTGCGCCGAGTCCGAGTAGATGATGTGTTCCGAGCTGGAGGTTTTTAATGGCGGAAGATCTGCTTGCTGCGTGGCTGCCTAGTCGGGCAGGCGCGACCGGTGACGTATTATTACGCAGCACGTGACGAAGAAGTGTCCACTGGCATCAAAATGGAAGATCCAAGCAGATTCGGTCTGTTTTCGCACGCGTTGAAGATGGGACGTTCTTGTGTTTCACCAAGGTGTCCGGATCTCTGACGACCCCACACAAGCTCTGACCGCCTTCCGTGCCTCATAAGTAAGGCAAGTCCGCAACACATTCCAAGCTGTACCTCTTGCTTAACTTAAGCGCGTTTTGTGCATGTTGGTGCACTTTGAAAACAGCTATCCCTGTCCTGAGCATTTCACGATTCTGTGGCAAATACGAGTTGACCTCGTCTTGATTCGTATCTACTCTGTGTACGACAATAATTTAGAAGCGCAGAACATTACAACAGGACCATGTTCAGAGCGTGGCAGCTTTCTTGATCAGCTCCAGCTGAGGCTCTACTGTATCGATGACTTGTTGCCTCCAGCCAATCCAATCCATGCCCAAGACCCTCTCCGCCTTACTGACGTTGATGTTCCTTTTGCCTGGGGAAGGCGCATTGCTCCATTGTTCATTGGGGTATTCCTGCTTCACGAACTGCAGCACCTCTTCCCAGTCCGGGAAACCGGGCTCCGCCGAAAGGATGAACTTCTGATAGCCGGTAACTCTCGGATCCAAAGCTTTGATATGGGCCTGCGCGACATCCGTCACATGGACATGGTTGAGAATCGGGATTCGTTGATCTGGGCCCTTCAACGAGGCCCACAGCATCGCGCGTGATCCAGACATGTCTTCGGAGGAGGTCTGCAGGATGTGGTGGCCGAATATGAAGGTTGGATGCAGGCTCACAATGGCGTAGTGCGGCTTCTGCTGGACGAAAAACTCCCGAGCTGCTTTGGCGGCCAGGAGCTTCGATGCGCGATAAGCGACAAAGCTCACCTTAAAATCGAGGTCTGGAGAGACATCCAAGTCGTAGTTGTGATCCTCTACGATTATAATTTCAGCCGATGTCAATGTCTATCAGAAGTTGATGGTATGTACAAACCAGTTATGGCTTCATCAGGCGCAGGCCAGTCAGACCATGGGATCAGGTCAGCAATGGAACCGGTGATGACACACTTCTTGATGCTGCCTATTCCATTTGCAGCTTTCAGAATGGCGACTGTACCATTGACGGCAGGGTCGATGTGGTCCTTCTTCCAGTTTGTGCTCTGTAATGACTGAGTATTTTATCCTTCCATTCCAAGGGAAATACAAAGACTCACCGGAGGGGCAAGGGGGGAGGCAACGTGAAAGACGTATGAGACGCCACCAAGAAGGCCATCATATGCATCTGACTTGGTAATGTCCGGGACAATGACAAATTCCGCCTTGGAACCAAACTCGGGGTTGAAGTAAGACTCCAGCTGCTTGACCTGTGAGTCCTTGCGGACACTGGCACGCACACGATAGCCAGCTTTCAGAGCTTCAAGAACGACGTTGGCACCAAGGAACCCGGCAGCGCCGGTAATCTAGATTACGCATTCTAATTAGTTACGTTGATAAAGGTCAGCGGAGTGACAATTCACTTACGAAAACCAGCTCTCCAGACATGGTTCTAATTCAATCTGAAGCTACTATCACAAGCAGATGCTGTCGACCACCCCTCCTCTTATAGTTTTTATTCATATTCCAGTTTACTCAACTATAACATCCGGTGTTTCCGCCTCGGTCGCAAATAGGTTGAGGTCCTCATCATGCAGAAACTCCCAGCTTGATCCGTAGATCAGTAATCTCGTCATCGTAGACCGAAGCCGTTCGTATAACGTATCAGGCCGAGGCGTGAGCTATGATTTTTAATCCAGCCAGATGGTTGCGCGGCTGTCAACTTCGTCCCGAGGCATTGATTTTCCGATTAGAAAATGGGCTCGGTAACTATTGCAACAGAGGCTGGGCAATTGGAGGATCCATCCGGATATGAGTGCACAAACAACCTATTACCAAGAGGTTCTGAACAAGCGCCTTACCACTTCACCGTGCTGCAATAATACTCGGGAACGGACTTCGTACCCGTCCTAAGATGTAATATTGTCTTGCGCTAAATAAAAGAAGTCTTACCTCAATGGTCGACTCGACGCTCAAATTAGAAACGCTTGTAAGTAAGTGTGGTTAGGCTGAGAAATAGGCATGTGCGCGATTAATACAGCCTTATTATTATTACCAGCTTCATTTCCATTGGAGATGCATCGTCATTGCCCAACATGAGGAAACATGGGGGCCTGAGACAACCCCGCAAGCTGCGCACATGGAACCTCTGGTTGTGCATTGCTTACCAAAAGTAGCAACGTGCAGACGGGTATCTATCGGGAAACGCTCTGGCAACGCCGCACCGGCGGGGCGACGTTATTAGTGGTGAGATAGTGAGGGGGGATCAGTCACAGGTACAGGGACCTGGAACTATTGTGTGGGGTACCGAGACGCACAAGGAACAAGGCGCAAGCTCATCAATAATGGTGATGAGAGTCTCGTCGTGTGGCGGCGCGACGCTTCGGACTCCAGTGGTTTGGTCGGTCGAGCAACTGTCCGGCAGCTGATGCGTTGCGACGGTGCGTGCTCAGAGACACGGGCGCGAGTGGTGGACTGGGCGGCCAGACATCTAACCTCAGGCCGGTTCCAGGGTGCGCTGGCTGGCAGCACAGCGATAGGTGGCCAAGCGGTGATGGTCCCTGGCTCTGCAACGAGAATGCTTGGCCCTGGCCCTTGGAAAGCTTGCCTCGTCGAGGGTCTGGGGATGTGCAGACAACCCTTGCGTCGGCCGGCGGCGTCTGAAGGCGCAGAGGAGCGGAGGGACTGGCGGATGGCGGCGGGGAAGCGACTCGCGGGCTGCTGCAGCCTGCCCCGACGGCGCTAGGTTCGCTGGGATGATGAGACGAGCCCCTCAGGCGCCTGCCCCCCGGGAAACGCCGGCGCAGAGGCGATCGCGCGTGGGCCTGGAGCGCCTTCTCCTCAGCCAGCGCTCCGCCCAAGAGCCCAAGCATTCTCCAAGCATCGCGATCTTGCTTCCGCACCCATCGCCCTGCATCCATCGCCCATCGAGGAATGACGACTGAGCCCACCACCACCCTCTACACCACCGCTGGCTGTCGGCCATGCCGCGTTGCGCTCTAGGAGACGGTTCCGGACCACCACGACGATGCCGTTTCGCGAGGACTTCGCGAGCACCGGTCGGCGCTCGTCGGTCGACACCGACGCTGCTGTCAGTCCTCCCCCACACGCCGCACGCCTCCTGTCGCAAAGCTAACGGCGAGCCAGTCATGCACTCCCTTCGCGCTGCCATCCGACGGCGTGATTATCCTCAGCCCCTCGTCCACCATCACGCTTACTGCCGACGCCCTGTTTACGCCCGACTGCACCGCTGTCCCGACCACCTCCCGCGATGCCTCGGACGTGATCGATATGCAGGACCCGTTCTACGCCTCCGTGGCCCCTCAGGTCTATGCGACCGGCGCTGCCACCGTTATCGCTTGGATGCTCGTCATCATGTTACTCATCACGCCCCGTACTTTCTTCGTCGGAGGGCCCGGAGGACGATCCGGGCTTATGGGAAGGCGTGGAATGATCAGCGGAGCCGGTGGAGGCGCATCTATTATTGGCGTCGGGTCGCGGCCCTGGCTTCAGAAGGTCGCAGCATTGACGGTTGCCATTTCCATGACCATTGCCACGGCAGACACCTTTCGCATTGCCGAGCAACAATACCACGACGGCTACATGGACGCCACGGCCATCCGCCAAGAAGTCGTCGGCGGACTGGAGATCAAGATATCGCGCCTAATATCCGACATATTCCTCTTGCTGGCCCAAGTCCAAACACTGATACGCTTGTTTCCCCGGCACAAGGAGAAGGTGATTATCAAATGGGTCGGTTTCGCGTTGATCGTACTCGACATGACTTTCAGTTCCATAAACAATTTCATGGGACATGATATCGGCCGCCCTCGACAATTCAAAGACGCAATCCCCGCCCTCAGCTACCTCTTCGAGTTGGCATTGAGCATGCTGTACGCCGCTTGGGTGCTCTACTATGCCTTGACGAAACGACGATACGCCTTTCATCACTGGATGATGTACAACATTTCCGTGGTCGCCCTTCTTTCTATTGTTGCCATTCTCACGCCTGTCGTGTTTTTTGCGACAGATATTTCGGATTACAGCGTTGCTGGTTGGGGAGATTATTTCCGGTGGGTCGGCGCTGCCGCAGCCAGTGTCATTGTGTGGGAATGGGTCGAGCGTATTGAAGCGCTAGAAAGAGAAGACAAGAAGGATGGGATTTTGGGAAGAGAGATCTTTGACGGTGATGAGATGCTGGACATCACGCCGTCAGAGGAAATCAACTGGCCTGGCATACGGCGTGATGGCCACAATAGAGATGACCGGGGAAGTGGAGGTGGAGCATTCTCGTCAGCACGTGGCTTCGGTTATAGTGCCATCGCCCAACGCAACAGCCGAGTAAGACAGTCTCAGTTTGAAGATAGGAGCTACGTTCCACTGGGCCGGGTGCATTCCCACCAGCTCGGAACAGAAAGCGGGACGAGGTCTGAGACACCCGGTTTGGCTCCCGGAGGGGGTCCAAGGGTCCCTCCTCCTGTAGCAACACCAATCAGCAGAACGGACACTACCAGTGCAGAGAGCACTGTGTACAACGTTCGTTACCACACAGCCACCGATAATACGCCGTCAGTCACGCGACAGCAATCAACAGCGGGCGAGCATATTCGTTTTGATTTAGGGAACAGGGACCGCCGAGATACAACGACGACATTGGACTCTCAGCCAATGGCAAAGGTTGTCGACCTGGAAGAGCAAGCACCGCCTCAACCTACCGTCACCATGTTTGGGCGATTCAGTCCTCTTTGGCAACATCTCAACCCGTTCAGAAGGCGACGGACGACACCTCCACCCCAACTTCTAAGTGCGAGAGTAATTGAGCCGCGCGAGAAGGAGCCGCCGTCCACCCCTCCATCAACGACGCAGTCGGCCACGAAGTCACCGATGCAGTCAACAACGCAATCTTCGAGCAAACACGGTCTTTCGGAGATGAAGGGTAAAATCGGCGCCTTGTTCTCCGGACAAAGCGACAAGTTATTGGATCCTGGAGACGGTGGCTTGAAGGATGCTGATATCCCGGTCACGGTCATCCCAGCACAACCGCGGGGTGGCCGTACATGGTCCCCAGATGCCTTGAAAGCATTGTCAGGAGAATCGACGAACAGCCGGGCTCAACCGAATGGATCAGGTGAACATGAGCGCGGAAGACAGAAGCATGGAAGTGGTGAAATCTCGACGGACACAAGCAGCTCCCGGAAAGCAGCAACACAATCTCGCGGAGTTATCGCGACAACTCCAACACCGCATCCTCAAATACAGGTGCACGATTACGCAACACCCGGCAGCACATCGGGACCAGTCAGTCCTTTGTCGCCGGTCGGCTTCGGCGGGCCGCTCCCAACGCCTAGGCACGATAGTTCGCCGGGCTCTTCACGGTAAAGGTTAGGAATGGGCGTTCAAAAAGGCAAGATTAGTTGATCTTGCCGCAAGGTTTTTGGGTTTATTACAGGAGTTGGCGGCCATCATCATTGCATGGATTGGGCGGCAAAAGCACATGTTTGCAAGCATGGGGCAGGGCGCATTTTCGAGTGATCCGGATTGGGGATAATGATACCCTGGGTATTTCGGGAGCTGGAGTGGAGGCATTCTGCGGCTGCAGGGGCCGATTTCGGCCACGTTCCTATATAGTTTTGGCCATTCATAGCATTGTATCTATCTGAACAAGTAGCAGATTATTTCATGAAGCGCAATTCTGGAACATCCGGGCCGTGTCCTCGCTGATCTTGCGCGGGAAGGCGAGAAACTAGTCAAGATTGGCTTGTGCCAGCACAACCCGGCCGACACCGAAAACAGGCCCGAGCTTCCCAGAGTGGGCGGTGGGCGGCTGATGGCGTAGGTCGTAGGACAGGGCACCGCTCGAGCTGCGCCATATCATACAGCACCGGCACGCCCACACCTCGACTGCTGCCCGAGCGCCCATCTCGTTTCGAGCCTTGGATCCCGCAAGGCATGCGCCATCGTTCCTAGAGACTCCCCCACCTCTCGCCGTCGCCGTTCCATCCATTCCCTGTTTCCTTCGCCCGCGACGCAAGAGAGACGCAGACCGCCATGTCATTGTTCGGCACCTCACCGGACGACCTGCCGCAGCCAAAGCAGTCGACGCTGTTTGAGGACGAGCCCGGCTCCGGCGGCAGGAACTCGTCCAGCCTGTTCGGCGACGACCTCGATGACTCCGGCTCGCCATGGTCGTACCCGGCGCCCAAGAAGTCGGCTCGCGCCAACATCGTCAAGACACTGCTGCCCGCCGCCGAGGTGCCCGAAAGCTACATTGACACCTACGACGCCCTGCTTGCCGACGGCGACCGCTTCGGCGGTGGCGTCAGCCTGGGTGGCGTCAGGAAACTGCTGAGCCAGAGCAACCTCGGCCCAGATGTGCAAAGCAGGATCCTGGACATTGTCGTGCCGAACGGGCAAGAGCCTGAGAGTGGCGTCGGTCGCGGAGAGTTCAATGTACTGCTTGCGCTGATAGGTTTGGCCCTGGAGGGTGAGGACATTACTCTCGACGGCGTTGACGAGCGCAGAAACAGTAAGTATCCCTCATACCTACGCGAGGTGACCTGCGCCACTACTGCTTGCGTTGCTTACACAACAACAACAACAACAAAAGATCTCCCAGAACCCTCGCTCGGCATCTCGAACGCGACGAAGAACGAGGAGCCCAAGGAGCAGCCCGATCCAGTCGTGGAGACGCCGACCACTGCGCCTAAGCCGGTTCAGCCTGTGACGCCGAAGACTCAGTCCACACCGACCATGCGCAAAACGTCCTTTGGGCTTGACGCCGACCCGTGGAACAGCCCAGAGCAGCATAAAGGTCACAACCATGCCGCCATCGAAGATTCGCCCCAACCGAACGGAAACAGGGCGTCTTTCTACTCGAACGGCAATGGATTCCCCAGGACTACGAGTAGCTTCACGACCGCCGCGGATCAGTCGCAGGATACTGGTAATGGCGACACCCTGGGCAAGAACCAGCCGTCCGGCGGAGATAGCACTGGCTGGGGAGGCTTTGGTGATGCCGCGGGCAATGGCTTCTCCAATCCCGGGCTTCCCAACGCTGGGGGCCTCGGAGAGGGGTTCGGCGCACCTCCAGGAGAAGGTGATAACAATGATCCGACCGGCTTGGGAAGATCCCTCGGCGGAGGGCTGGCGGCCAACAACGGAGCTGACGAGATCGTCACTGTCACGGCCATTGCGGAGAAGGAGGGCATCTTCCTCTTCCAGCACCGCAACTACCAGGTTTGCAGCGTGCGTAGGAACAGCAAGGTTGTGAGGAGGTACAGCGATTTCGTTTGGTTGTTGGATTGTTTGCACAAGAGATACCCGTTTAGACAACTGCCTTTACTTCCACCCAAAAGGGTAGCCAGTAAGTATGCTTGCATACGTCGGACGAGGCCAGGTGCTGACGCGACTAGTCAATGGCAATTACCTCGCGGCTGATGCCTCATTCATCGAGAAGCGGAGGAGGGGCCTTGCCAGATTTTCTAATGCTCTGGTCCGGCACCCGGTGCTTAGCCAGGAACAGCTTGTCATCATGTTCCTGACCGTCCCAACGGTAGAAGTCTGACCCAACTTAACGGAGGATGCCTGCATTTACTGACATCGCCTAGGAGCTTGCTGTATGGAGAAAGCAAGCTACGATATCAGTACAGGAGGAGTTTGTCGGCCGGACACTGCCTCCAGGCCTCGAGGACTCCCTTCCGCCCACTCTCCAGGACATGTTCGATACCGTGCGTTCTGGCGTGCGGCGTTCTGCCGAAATGTACATCAACCTTTGCCAGCTGATGGAGCGCCTCTGCAAGCGTAACGAAGGCATGGCAGCCGACTACATGCGCTTCGGTCTTGCGCTGCAGTCCTTGACTGAGGCCTCCAAGGACACCTATTTCGTGGACACTAATGATGTGCCACTCCTCAATGAGGGACTTAATTCCACCTCCAAGCACCTTCAATCTTCGCAAAGCCTACTAGAAGATGAGGCTAGGGGCTGGGATGAGGGCGTACTGGAAGACCTGAAGAGGCAAAGAGACTGCCTTGTTAGTATGCGCGATCTGTTCGACCGCCGGGATCGCCTGGACCGTGACAATATCCCGCAACTTGAGCGGAGGATACATAACAACGAGAACAAGCTCCAGGGCATCCGGGACAGGCCGGAGCATCTTGTCAAACCCGGCGAGAAGGAGAAGGTTGAGGGAGCTATTCAGAGGGTAGGTTTCGATTTGAGCCTTGCGCGAGAGATCAAGACTGATAAGATGTTGCACAGGACAAACAATCCATCGTCGACCAGCACGCCCGCAGCGTTTTCATCAAGGAGTGTATCCGCGATGAGATCTTGAACTTCCAGCAGTCGATGTACCACGTCAGCAAATTGCACCAGGACTGGAGCCAGGAACGCGTCAAGTACGCCGAGCTGCAGGCTGACAACTGGAGGGCGCTGAGTGAGGAGGTCGAGGGAATGCCGCTTGGCGACTAAGCCGGGGCGGTCAGAGTCATCAGTCGTCGCTTTTTGCACTTTCATTTTCTTCACAACAGGCAGCGGCGACCAGAGGGGAGACGGGGTGACGTATACACACTTTTCGGAGCGGCAATGTACAAGTCTTGTCTTTCTTTGCGGCGTGGGACGGGTTGCGCTTTCCATATTGATACCACTGGGGCAAGAGGGGCTCTCCGGCCGATGGCCCTGGAGGAAACTGCGTGTTGTCCAGTCGTTTTTCGTCCTTTTTGTACAGCTAGTCATCGTTGCATCTGGCTCACCAGTCACCGAATCCACGTCTTCTTATCTATCATCTCGATATCCATCTCTCTGCACGGAGACGTGATTTGCGATCAGCCAACATGGACGACTCTCCACCTCCGACATACACAGAGACAAGTCGCGTACCTCCCTTTGTAGCCTGGCTTCTCAACCACTGCGTCTCTAGGCTGCTCCGTATCGACCTTTTTGAAGCCGCCAATTCACAAACTTTCTCCGTTTCTCAGGAGACGTCGATGAAAGTCGACGCCAAGCATCTAGACAGGTTTGATCAGGACGTCAAGGTGCAGGAGATGGAGAGCAAGAAGAGCCAAGTCACCCTTTTTAGGATGATCAACACTATCAATCAGCTGCCAAAAGTCAAGCAACGGGCAACAGGCTTGAGGGCAGACTTTGAGATGGGCGATGATATAGCCGAATTGGTGCAGGGCCTGCATAGGAAATATGTTGACCTGGAGCAGATCAGGATTGCGAACCATCGGCTGCAGGCCTCCAGCACGCATGGACAATTCTAGAAGCGCTTTATTATGGCAGGCGGCATGCCCATGCACAACGGAGGATAGACCACCTCATGACTGTTCAGCACTGCCGCCTGTCAACAGAATTCTCAGATGGACATTGGACCACGGGGAGGAGCATACGGCTCAAGGACTCTTCCTAGGGACCATCAAAGTGCGGAAAAGGCAGGTAAGAATCAGGCCCGGCCTGGCCCCGCTATCGGGCTTATCGCGCTTTGCTCAACCGGGATGGCTCGGGCGAACTGCTGCGTCACCGCCCGAGGGGCTATCCCAAACCACTCAGTCATTTCGCACCCCGCTATTCCGACCCTCTTGCTCCTCCGGCCCCGCTGCGTTCCCTTCCCGTCGACGCTCCCCCGTCCGTCGCCATCATGCCGCCCGCTTACACGACAGCGCAAAAGTCGGCTATCCAACAGGTCGTGAACTTCACCAGCTGCGATCGCACCACTGCCGCAAGGGTAAGCCGTCAATCGTTGCACCTTATGCGCGGCCTGTGCTGACACGAGCGCAAGATCCTCAGGAACCACAACTGGAATCCAGAGCAAGCCATCAACGGGTACGTTTCCTCGCCCGTCCCCTCGTCTACCCATCGCCCCAGCCCCCGTTGTCAGGTTGGCCGCCGGAAGAGCGAGCATCTCGCAGCTGCGAATACAGAGAAGGAAAATAAAGGGGTGGCCTGAGACAGTCAAGTAGGGCAATTTCATGGCGCATAACGGTGGGCGCCAGATGGTTGCCGTTGTGCGTTGTTTACCTCTTCGCGCGAGATTCTAGGCAGTCATGAACCTCACGAGCGCTCCTACCACGCGTGAACACGCAAAAGCAAGGCCGCGCCACCACGCCTCTTCCCTGCACCATTTCCATTTCGCTCTCCGACACCGACAACTCTCTCCCAAAGCATCTTCACCACTGCACAATGCCGCCGCGCAAGTCAGGCCGCAAGGCTGACAACGACATTTCGACACGTCCCGCTAAGAAACAATGCAACAGGTACTTCAACAATGGCGGCGGCTCAGGCGGCGCAAAGGCGTACGAGGCGAATCTCAATCAGATCTTCGACAAGTATGTCGACAACCCGCAGGACAAGGACTCGGTCGGCATCGACGGCACCATGCAGTACCTCCAAGACCTCGGCGTCCCGCTCGATGACATCACTGCGCTCGCCGTCCTCGAGCTCATCCAGGCACCGACCATGGGCGAGATCACGCGAAAAGGTTTCGTCGAGGGATGGGCAGCAAGGCAGTGAGTAACCTGAACAAGCTGGATGCATACGCTGGAGAAATCCCGGCTGCAGCCTGCCGCCGTAGCCGAAGCTGACTTGGTGAAATTTTTATTATAGAGCCGACTCAATCGACAAACAAAAGGCCATCGTCTCCCAACTCAGCAGCGCAATCTGCAGTCCCGCCTCTCGCAACACCCTGAAGCGCGTCTACAAGCATACTTTCATCTTCGCCAGACCTCCCGGCCAAAAGGCAATCCCGCTCGAGCAAGCCGTCGAATACTGGAAGCTGTTGTACTCCCCGTCGGGCCTGAACTGGAGCACGCAGACGACGCCGTGGCTCGACTGGTGGCTCGAGTTCCTCGAGAGCAAGTGGAAGCGGACGGTCAACAAGGATATGTGGGATCAGCTTTTCAACTTCGCGGAGAAGAGCCTTGAGGACGAGACGCTCTCGTTCTGGAGCGAAGACGGCGCATGGCCCGGCGTTATCGATGAGTTCGTCGACTGGGTCCGCACGGAAAAGGGCAGGGGGGCGAAGCAGGAGGACGACGAGGAGATGGAGGAGTGATGAAGCAAAGGCATAGTGTTGCGGATGATAGCTTAACCCGTCTAATTGGGTTCTGGCATTTTACTGCGGCAACCATGCTGCGGTTTTGTGAGGAAGGCGATCAAGTTGCTAATACCCTTACGTTGATACACTGAGCGGCTTTCTTTTTAGCGGATGGAGTTCTTGAGCCGGTAGCTCATCATCATCATCATCATCATCATCATCATCATCATCGGGCAGGCCGGTCAAGGGTGCTGGACTTTTTCAACGAGTCAAAATCAGGAGGTTTCCCGGGCCAGTTTTGCGTGCATTTTAGACGTAGACATTGCTTCAAGTCTTCTCGCGGTCCCAAAGGCAGGACGCACCGCGCAAATCAACCCATGAACTCGCTCATGGTCAGTAGCTGGATGATGAGGATTCCACAAGAGCATCATTGGAGCTTTGTGATGTCATGGTTTATCGCGCATGTGCTGGGGATCAGGCAAGCCTCAGAGCGAATTATATCACGCGGTATTGCACGGACTTCTCACCGGGTGAGTGCGGAGTCTCTGACTGCGGCAGATCCACACGGTTTGATACCGCGAGGCGTGATAACCGCCACCAAAGCACCGCTCCTTTATCTTCCTCGGCGTCATATGCTTGAGCCTCGCTAGCAGACCCTTACTCAACAGAGGCACCATGGTCCTTGGCAGCCTGAACTCGCACGCGGCGCTGGCAGGAAGGCCGGCCGTGAGGCTGCAAGCCCGTCAGACGGGACGGCGCAGCCCCCGGCGGCGAGTCGGCAGAAAAGGGCCTGAAACGGCGCCTCTGCCGGGCCTTGTTTCGCAACGCCGAACCCCAGCCAAGCGCCGCAGGCAAACCCCACGCCAGCAGATGATTGACAACAATCCGACGCCACCACCCGCTTGACGCGCCCCGTGTTGTTGACCGCCAAAGCCCTTGCGATCCTCCTGTGTTTAGCTGTGTGATTTTCCCTGTGATCGTACTAGCTTCTCCGTCTTGTCTCCCTGCGACTTGCCGCCTCGCCATCTGCTGGGCAGAACACTTTTCTTCGCGCTCTAGACAGCATCCACCTGGTGCTCCAGCGTGACCTTTTCCCCACCTGCATTCCGCGCCGGTGTCTGCCCCGGTCCTTTCCATTGTCCTCCGTCTGCTGTTCCAGTCTCTCCATCAATTGGTACTTAGTACCCACCAATGTCGCGCAAGCAGACGTCGAGCTACAACACCTTCAACCAACAGACGCCGCCGCCCATCAGACCAGACTTCAGCCTACTGCAGCCCCCAGCATCCAACAGGATGGTGCGGCACCACCGGCGCACGGCGTCGACGCACCCCAGCTTCAACGTGACGCGCACGAAGCCGCGGCGGTGGCCGCTGGTGCTGCGCTTCATCAAGGGCGCCATCCACGGCGCCATCTTCGTGCCCGTGTTCCTGCACGCCGCCTTCACGGCCCTGATCGTGTACCTGGACAGCACCGTGGGCGAGTTCGGCCTGCCGTCGTCCATCATCCCGTCGCTGTCCATCGTCGTGGGCCTGATGCTCGTCTTCCGCAACGGCACGTCGTACGACCGCTTCTGGACGGGGCGCAACCTGCTCAACGAGTGCTGCACCGCCGTGCGCTGCCTGACGCGCTCCTTCCTGGTCAGCAGCACGCGCGTCTCGCTCGACGGCTCCGCCGCCGGCGACCTCTTCGCCCCGGGCGAGTCGACGCGCAGCGAGCGCGCCGACACGGAGCGCGTCGTCCGCGTGCTCATCGCCGCCCTGCACGCCATCAAGCACAACCTGCGCGGCGAGTACGCGCTGTCGGGCGCGAGCCCGGCGTCGTCGTCGCACCCGGAGCTCGCCGCGCTGCTGCCGCCCGACATCTACGCGCACGAGGACCGCGGCCTCGGCCTCCCGCTGCAGCTGCTGGTCCTCGTCGAGGCCTACATCCGCCGCGGCGTCGCCCGCGGCTGGTTCCACGGGCCCCAGGCCTCGCAGCTGTCGGTCCAGGTCAACGCCCTGACCGCCGCCTACGGCCGCATGGAGGCCATCCGCACCACCCCCATCCCCGTCGCCCACCTCATCCACATGAAGCAGGTGCTCGCCCTGTACGGCTGCGTGCTGCCCTTCTCCCTCGTCGACGAGTTCGGCTGGTGGAGCATCCTGATCGTCGCCATCATCGCCTTTACGCTCTACGGCATCGACGGCATCGGCGAGCAGCTCGAGGACCCCTTTGGCTACGACAAGAACGACATCAAGATGGACGGCATCATTGAGGATGCCAATATCGAGTGTCTCGTCCTGCTCGATGAGTGGAAGAGAGATCAGGCGGGTATGTTCCAGTAGGGGGGAAAGAGTTTGAAATGCGAGCACGGAAATGGTCGAGTTGTGTGGATCATTCGCAAAGACATAAGGGAGGAATGAGCTCACGCCCAAGGGACCTAGAGGGAAAGTGTGGGTAAAACTATTAGATCTCATTACTCTTTCCCTGGCGTTCTAACGGAATTGGGTTATCTGGGTTGTATACCATACGGTCTTCACGACATTTGGTGAGCTGTATCAATGGCGCAGCTACGTTCGATATGAATAGACGAGTTTACGCTACTTAGAGTCTCACGCCAGAAACGCTTGATTGGAAGAGTGAGGGATCTCGTGACAACAACGCGAATGTAGCAGCGATTCTATTCGCAAGAGCAAGCTATTACAACCTGAGATCATTAGAGCTCTCCCAATGAGACAGATGAGTATAGAGGTATCGTTGGTATAAAGCGTCTATTCTAACTGGACCTCATTCATCATCCAGCTCAAACTCCTTCTGCACGATCTTCTTTTTCTTGCTCTTTGCCTCCTCCTCGGCTCTCAGCCGATGCCACTCGGGCACAAACGCCTTGACGCCAACGCCCTTTTCGCCCTCCTCGCCCGGCACTTCCCACCTGAGCCCAAACCTCATCCCGGGCTGGTAACCCCCGCTCGCGGGACCCATCCCCTCAGCGGCGACCTTGACATCCGTCATCATCTCCAGCCGACACAGCGCCAACCCGACGTTCCCCACGCCCGCCAACCACTTCGCCGCGCTCCTCCCATCCTTCCTCTTCCTCGCGGGGGGGGCGTCGGCGGCAGAAGGGCCATCAGCAATCTTCTTCACGTCCACCACGCCCGGCGGCAGATCCTCCGCCCTCACGCCGGCGCCGCCCTCGACGAACTCCAAGCGCTCCGGCTCCTCCTCGCCGTCGTACAGCCGGACGGGCAGGATGCGCTTGCGCACGACGCCGGTGTGCTTGGTGCGGATGGTGAGCTCCTGGCCGATGTAGCAGCCCTTGCGGAAGTCGACGCCGCGCATGAGATCGACGTTGCTCTCGAGCGGCAGCGCCTCCTCGACCCTGATCTCCTCGGGGCCCTCGGCCAGGCCGTGCAGGTAGCGGCGCACGCGGTAGTCCCGCGGCGTCGCGCGCTCCAGCGCCGCGAAGGCCGGCGGCAAGTACCCAGCGACGTCCGCAACACCCGCACCGCCCGGCACCAGGAACCTGTGCCCGCCGAACCCGGGCACGCGCCCGTCGACCAGATGCACCGCCCTCCTCTGCATCATCGCCTGGGCCAGCGATGGCGATTCCGAACGCCCTTGCCGCTGCTGCTGCTGCTGCTTCTCTCCTCCCTCCTCCCCCTCCACCACCCACCCCGCCCAGACCCCCCACTCCCTCTCCTCCACCACCCGCAGCCTAATCTTACTCCGCAGCTTGTGCCGCCGCAACGCCCGATGCAGCGCGTCGACGCACGCGCCGTCCACCTCGACGAAGCACGCCCAGTCGTCGCCGCCGGTGGCGCGGCCGCGCCCGCCGTCGCCGTCGCGGTCGCCGTCGCGCGTCGCCTTGCCGCCCGCCGCCGCGCCCGCCGCGTGCGGCGTCGGGTACACGAAGGCGTCGTACAGGACCCGGCCCTGCGCGTTGAGGAACGCCGTGTACCAGCCGTCCGTCTCGGTGCCTCGGACGTTGTTGGTCGTCAGGCCTTGCAGGAACTTGGGGGCGTCGGGGCCGGAGAGGGCGAGGAGGCGGCGGTGGGGGAGCGGGGTCAGGGCGCTGGTGTTGTGTTTGGGTTTGTGGTTGGCGTCGTTGTCGTCGTGCGATGTGCGCGCTGGGCTCGTTGTGGCGAAGGCGCGGATGACGGGTCGGCGGGTCGCGTGGGCGGAGAAGGATGGCCGTGACGACAATGGCCGTGGGAGAGTAGGGACGGGCCCATTGTTGCGAACGGCGGTGGAGGAGGAGGCGGCGCGGCGGTGGTTGAGGCAGCGGGTGCAGATGAACGAATTTCTGGCATTGAGCAGGGCGGACGCTGCGGTGCTGCCGGCGCTCGGACGGGAGAGCATTACGCTAGTTATTTCGCGCACCGGCCGGGTTGGATTGGTATTAACAGAGCGGGTGGGTGGAAAAAGGTTAATGATGGAGAAGCTCTTGAGCTCGAAGAGACTTCGTCATAGAGGGTTTCGGCTTTGATATCGGGAAATGCCGATTTGCTGACAATTCCCGAGCTCCCACCACAACCCCAACCCAGTCGGTCGCCTAATTGGTTGATCACTTGCACTGTAGAGTTTATGGCCTTTGGAGGCAAAAACAATCGTGGCCTTTGCCTTGTACATACGGACTATCGCTATACAGTCACGCCATTTTCAATCCGTACGCTTAACCACCATCGTTATTTTATTTTCCGATCCGGCCGTTCCAATCGTTCAATGCTATTGCTTTCCCGCGTCCTTCACAACACCATTCAGATACCCAAGCAGAAAGCTCTTGTCTACTGGTGTAGTAGGCTGTCCACTGACACTACCCCTAGCGCTCCTTGATCCAAGACCTTCTCCAGGCACTGAGTTGATGCTGCTGATGCGAGACCTACCCCCAGACCCATGCTGCTTCTCTGGCAACGGGCTTACGGGACTGATGACACCAGATGGGAAGCCCTTGGGGCTCTGCGTCTGGGGCTTGCTGAATAGCGAAAGCAATGCAGACTTCTGGTCCGAAGACGCACTCTCTCTGCGATCAAACGAATGGAGCCTCGAAGAGGTTGGCGACATAGCATTCTGAGGACGGCGTAGAATCTGGGGTGTGAAATGAGGAGCGAAAGGCTTGGGTGCCTCCAAGATGCTCCTCGGTGAACTTGTGTCCCTGCGCTGAACTGGTGCAGATGGCGTATGCTTTGGGCTTGGCGTGGCTGAAACCTCCGGACGAGGGCGCGACAAGATGGAGAATTGCGGTGTTGCTTGGCGCTCAGGCCTAGACGTTGGTCTTCCCTGGGTCCGCGGTGAAGCGCGTCCGTTCGACTGAGAGACCCTAGTATGCTTGCGAAGTTGATCAAAGTCTGGGGCGTTGAAAGGGCCTGAGACGGTCGCTGATGTTTCCCCGGCCTTGTTGTGGTTTGCCATGTTGACATTGGGCTCGAGAGACTCGGCAGAGATGTAGCCACCTTGCGAACTAGCAAGCTTCTGGCGATCAATGCTCGGGCTCTGCGCTGACAGCTCGGCTGGTTCAGGAACCAGACTCTGTGCGGGCATCTCTTGCGGGGGGGAGACTGGACCAGATGTTGATGGCTTTCGGAAAAGACCCAACAAGGCATCCGCTTGAGCAGTCCTTGGCTTATTAGCAAACGCAACCGGAGGAGGCTGGCCGTCAATGTAGTTGCTATCCTGCGCCATTTCGTCTGGCCTGCTGTGAAGCACTTCTGGAACAGTTGCAGAGGGCTGCTGGTGATGAGGACGGTTGGAATTGTAAATCTCTGAGGCCGCGGTGAATGGCCTAATGGCCGGCTGCGGAGAAGACTGCTGGACTGCAGACTGTTCACCTTTGAACGCGTTCAGAAGACTCAGGGTGTGCGCATTGAGCTTGGGCGCAGGGAGATTCGATGGCGGGGGAATTGCCGGAGCCACTGGAGCTGAAGATGGAGTGCCGTGGGCAAATTCTGGGTCGCCAGTTCTTTGGTATGGCCTAGGAGGCGCAGCGGCTTGGGGATGGAATCCCTGCTGGGGGAACTCCTGCTGGGGGAACTCCTGCTGGTGGTACGATGGAGGCTGCTGGTGCCAAGCAGGGATGCTCTGCTGCTGAGGAGGTTGTGGTCTCATATTCGGGACCGGAGGTGGCGGCATATTCATCGCACCGGCAAAGTAACCATTACCCGGCTGTGGCATGGGGATTCGTTGATGAAGCCCTTGGTGAGCCGGCGAGTACGGAAAGTGAGGTGGTGGTGCCATGTTGGAGAATTGAGGTGGACGGGGCGGTTGATGATGAGGAGTGTCCGGTTGGCTTGGATTCATATTGATCTGCTCATAAGGCGTCGCGGGAATGCTGGACGTATTCATCATTGGCATCTGCTGCATCTGCCCGCCTTGGAGAAGTGCCAAAAGAGGGTTTGGCGAGGCTGAGGGTGGCGGTGGAGCCATTCCTCCTTGGCCGCTGACGCTCAGTATGCGCTTCAAGGCAGAGGCAGGATCGGGTGACGGGTCCTGTGCGGTGGTGACTTCAGGCAAGTTCGTCGTGTCCGGTTCGAGTTTGGATTGGCGTAGTCCTGCGATCAGGGACTCTAGATGGGTGTCCGGAGAAACGCGGTGCTGAGCTGTACTCTCGACCGCCGATTCATCAGCAGCAGTCTCCTCTTCATCGGTTGGTGCCAGAGCGGCATGTGCAGCCGGAGCACGACGGGCCAGTTTGTTCTGCTGCTTGATCCAACCCTTCAAAGGCCCGAGGAATGGTGCCACCATGTAAAACATGTTCTCCTTGTACAGATTCTCTCCTGCTCCTTGTCCTTGGTTTTGCCTCTTCTTCAAGGTCGGCAACTCGGAGATTTTGTACCATGAGATTTTCTGCCATCGTTAGGATCATCAACATTTCCAGTTCCAAGCTTTGTAGGCTTACACTGATCTCCTTCCGCGTTCGTGGTTCAAAGTACGTATCCATGGGGACGCCACGAAAGACGTACAGCCGCATGTGCTGTTCTCGCATTGAAACCTCAATGTACTTCATCTGGGAGTGGTCCTTGATCAGGCCAGCTTCCTTGGCGTCAAACCCTGTTTCCTCGTAGACTTCTCTGACCGCACAGTCGAGGTCATCCTCATCTTTGTTTATTTTGCCCCGTGGAAAGCTCCACCTTGCGCCTTTCTTCCATCCTTTGACAAGGACGACATGATCCATGGCATCGTTGAGCAGAATGGCACCGCGAACGGGAACACGAGTCTTGTATGCCAGGAACTCGGAGTAGGCGGCGGAATAATAGCTTTCGGCGTACTCAGAAAAGAGCGGGCAATGCTGGAAGATCAACAAGCAGAACTGCTTCAGGCTCATGGACGGGAGCGAAGGGTCAAGCGGGCGGATGAAATCCTCGTAGAACCAATGGGCCTCCTCGACCTGGAAGCATATCCGCTCTACAGACTCAAGCTCCTCCTTGGGGAGGTTAATGATGAAGCGCACACATAGGTCATCGAGCCCTGGGTCACGCAGCGATTAGCCGTACAAGCCTACGAATTCGGCGCGCGGATGGTGCGCATTACAATCAACTAGCTGCATCTTTGTTTCTGCCATCCTGACCGGTGTCGCTGGGCATGTCCGCACGGCGGGTGGAGCAGGGTAGCGGGACTGGGGCGCGTTCGCGCGGGAGCTGCGGGGAGCGCAGCGGGACCGGGGCTTGCAAGCGACGGTAGAAGCGTCTCGAAGGGGAGCGGGCGAAAGTGTTGAGGGTCGGGGCAGTGCAGCCACGGGCCTGGGCGGGCTCGCCGGTGCTCGGGTCGAGTTGGGCGCGGCGTCGATGTGGGTGTGGTGTGGCAGGTGGGCAGCTCAAGGCGGCGGGCGAGTAGCAGCGACGCTTGACGAACGGCGTGACCGCGTGCACGCGCCACAGACGCGCGGTCTTGGCAGTGGCACTGCACCGCCACTTTTTCTGCGGCGATCATGGCGAATTAAGGTTGAAGCTCTGGGCGGCAGGAAAGGAAGCCGAGTGGAGCTTGGACGGCCAAGAACGTCATCTGCCGGCATCCTGCTTTGTGCCTCATGCTACTTAACAAACGCCTTCTCTCCGCTGTCTTTGCTGTCGCAATCCTCACCGGTCTCTTTGTTGCTTTCCGCCGTCTTCCTCGCAGAGCTCGTTCCACGCGCGCGTCTCCGTCGTTACACGCCGACCGATTATTCTCGGATCAGCGCTTCTGAGACGGCGTTTCAGGCCACGGCCGCCCTCAACCAACCATCGCGCCCGAGCCTCTGCCTGACGTAGCAAGACCGCGCATCACCGCAAACCTGCACGCCGCCATATAAGCGCTCGCTGCGACCCTCTCCACGACCTCGTCTCTCACTCTCCTCGACCCAACTCGACCCCTTTCTCTGTTGCGTATCCTAATTTTATTGCGCCAAGCCAATAATACACCATGGCTGCCGTCGTCGGAAAGTACGCGGCGAAGAAGATGCTGGGCAAGCAGATGGACAAGTACAAGGACAAGGATGTCACTCCCTACGTAAGTTGTCCCGCCGTTCGATTCGCTGCGCTTGTCGAAAGCAACTGCATGTCAAGGAGAAAGAGAAGAAGAGAAAGAGGCCGGGCGCATTCATTTTGGGGAGTTCATGCGTTTCAAGCCACGATTCTGTGGCCAGATCTACGCCTATTCTCTCCTTGAAAATTGCGCCCGTGGTTGCGCTATCATTAGAAACGATCAATGGAAGCGACATGAACGAACAGACCAGTGGCTAATATTATCTTTTAGGATCCATACTACGAGATGGTCCCGAAGGACCCTCGCAAGCCCAACGGCAAGATGAAGAAGGTCAAGAAGCAAATTCCGGACTACATTCCCGAACATGACGCCATTGTTCTCGCCAAAGCCCGTCAGCGTGCCTACTGGCTCGACTGCGCACTTTTCAGTCTCTTTGGACAGCGCTTCGGCTGGAGCAGTGTCATTGGCCTCGTCCCTGCGTGAGTAATCTCGCCACCATCAGCACCGAGACCACACTGCTAACACCTCCTGCAGAGCTGGCGACGCTGCTGATAGCGTCCTCGCGCTGATGCTATACTGGCGCATGACCCAGGTCGAGTGCAAGCTCGGCTTCGGCACGCACCTGCACATGCTCATCAACATCGCCTTCGACTTCCTCATTGGTTTCGTTCCCCTGCTCGGCGACCTGATGGACGCCATGTACAAGGCCAACTCGAAGAACGTGCGTCTGCTTGAACAACGTCTCGACGAAATCTACAAGCCCAAGGAGTCGAGGAAACAGCGCAATCGCCGTAGCATGCTCGACGCCTACACCCCCGCCGGCACCGTACTCGAGGAGTTCAGCGACAGCGAGAACGACCACGTCCTCCAACGTCTCGCTCAGTACGACGAGGATGGCCGCCCCATCAACGGTGACGGTGTACACGACCGCTATGAGCCCAGACGCCCCGAGCAAGCTCGTCACAGCCACGAGAAGAGAGGTGGCTACGCTCCCGATAGGCATCCCAGCCACGCCAAGAAGCCCAGCCGCGGCTGGTTCGGTGGCAGCCGCCGTGAGCGTGAGCCCGATCTCGAGACAGGCGTCGAGAGGGGCGTCGAGAGGGGCGAGAAGAGAGAGTACCACAGGGACGACAGGCGTGACCGCCGTTAAAGTTCCCTCCCTCTGTTGCATCTCTTAGCGTTGATTGAAATTGTTTATGACTGTATACCCCTCTTGTAATCATAGCGCACGAAGACTGGCAGGCCGGCAGCTGTGTTTCCTCTGTTTTTCCTTTGGGTCGGGGGGGTAGGCATCTTCAGCGGATTTGACTCTTTTACACTCTTTGCGTTATATGATACCACCCCAAAAAATATTTAATAATATCAGGAAAGCCACAAAACATTGGACGCAAGCAACATGCCACAGTCAATAAACGTCACAGAAGGAACCAATGTTTGCCTAATGGAATACAGGATAAGACTTCTCATTCGCCCATTTACGTCCGAATAAACACGTCAATGCCCACGACGAATAACCCAACTGCTCCAAATTCCAATGCAGGACTCAAAAATCGCTGTAACTTGTTGCTCCCATACACCCTCCCAGTCTACCGAAAGGAAAGAGGACACAAAAGAGGAGGGACGTTCACACATCATCATCATCATCACCACCCCACATGCGGCACCCACCGCACGCCCACCACATCCTCATACGTCCCCTGCGGCGGCGCTCTCAAACTCGCAAACGCCTCCACCAGCAGACAACCCTTAGCAGCCACGTACAGCGCCCACAAGACCCCACCAACGGCGTAAACAGCTCTCCGCTTCCACACCGCCGCCGAGCCACCACCACCACCACCATCAGCTCCTCCCCGGGCCCCCATCCCCCTCCACCGTCGCGACACGCCACCCCCCACAAACGCCGCCACCGCACCAGCAACGCCGACGACCGCGCCCCCCGCAACCCTCCACACCACCCTCTCGGCGCCCGTCGGAAAGACCTCCGCCCACCACGACACGCCAAGCGCGACGGCGCCCAGCAGCGCCGCGGCCGCAACAGCGGGCGCAACGACGACGAAGGAGCGGGCGCCACCAGCATCTCCTGCGCCCGCTTCTCGCATCGTCTCCAGCGCACCCGCGCCCTCGACGCTCCAGTCGCTGCGTCTGGCGACGACGCGCGGCTGGACGAAGCGCAGGGAGGGCGGGGGCGGGGCGCGGCCGACGTGCGAGCCGATGACTTGGGCGCGGTGGCGGCGGCGGAGGTGCTCGAGGGCGCGGCAGGCGCGGGCGTGGAGCTCGGCGACTTTGGCGTGGCCTTCCGCGCTGAGCTGCCAGGCCGACGTGCGCCTCTTCGTTTTGGACGACGCGGTGAGGCGGGGAGGGAAGGAGGCGTTGGTGAGGGCTTCGGTGGCCTCGGTGATGTCGATGGGGTAGACGAGGCGGTTCTTGTCCGGGTTGAGGGTGTGGGAGAGGTGCGGGTCGATGGCGAAGAGGGCGGCGAGGTCGGTTTGGCGCTCGTGGGAGGGGTGGGGGAGGGGTGGGCGGCAGGCGGTGCTGGCGGCGTTCCAGGGCTTGCGGGCCCAGGTGCTGGCGATGGCGAGGGTGCAGAGGAGGTGGGCGAGGGTGCCGATTTCGAGGAGGGTGACGGGGAGGCGGTGGGCGAGGCGGGCGAGGAACTGGGCGGTGAACCATAGGCATTGGATGGCGACGAGGAAGATGGCAATGCCGTCGCGTTTGCTTTTGTCGGGGACGGTCGAGGGGCGGGTGGCGGGAAGGAGGCCGGCGCGGGCGAGCTCGAGTATACCGGCGGGGGTGAAGGTGAGGGTGTCGGTTGTCCAGAATGTGGACGAGTCGGCAGTGAGGCCGCCAGAGACTGCCAAGAAGGCATCGTTGAGGGTCCAAGGGGAGAAGAGGGGTTTGGTTGGGGGTGATGCAGAACTCCGGCTCGGGGTTCGGGAGTGCGCGTACTGGCTCGAGACCATGGTCTCGGAGCGGCTGTCCGAGTGAGAGTAGATACTTGGTGAGGGGTGGCCGAAGGCGGACTGAGATGATGCGTTTAAAGACCGCAGCGATGCTGCGGAGAGAACGGGGACGGTGGTAGCTGGAGCCGAGAGTCGTCGAGGCATATGGGAAGGCTTCAGAAAAGACATGTTCTAAAAGACGTGTTAGTTACCATGTTTTCAAGGCGGGATCAAAGCTTACTTTATCCTGAAGATGCTCCTCATAAGAACGCACAGCCGAGTCAATATCTTCGGCGTCGTATGCTCGTTGGCCTAGCTGATTGATCTCATCCCGAAGTTTTCGTGCTGCGCATCTCTGCTCCCAAGCAGAAAAAAGAATGATTTCCGGTGCAGCTATGACGGCTCCGATCCACAGCAAGCGCTCGAAGAGAGATCTGACTGGAGAAGTTCCGGGCTTGAAGTTGGGGTGCCATGCAATCCAGGCGGAGAGAAACGAAGTCGCCAGGCAGCCCAGGATCAAATCGTACGTCCCGCGTACGTTTGGAGGAGACACCCATGCTGACGCGGCGGTAGAAGGGTCGCTGTCCGACTGCTGCTTGACGACAATGACAGGCAAGGCATGGCTTTGCCGAAGAAGGAGATACGTCACAAGGAGAGTAGACATTAGAGGCAGAGAGAGGAACAGAGATGAGACATGCGCAGCATGCACCCTGCGCCTGCAATGCAGAGGCAGCCGGGGCCGTGAGCTTTAAGCACAAACAGCCAGGCGGCGTAGCGTAACCGCTGTTCCCCTTGAGATTCTGAAACATTTGCTAGAGTAGGGCTGGCAAAGATGCAAGCGTTACGCCGTGCTATTGGTGTCCCCGTTGCCAAGCGATCTGCGCGGCGTCATGGCGCTTGCTATCGAGACCCGAACATGTGGATCAAGCAGGGACGGCATGGCCGTTTTTAGAGAGGCGTTCCTGAAAACGGCTGGGTCTTGCAAACATTTATTGCCTGAAGAAGCAATAGGGGCGGTTAAGCGCCGTGGTTGTGAAGAAGGTCCACATGCATGTGGGCAGCTCTAAGCGCCGACCCCGCCAATGCGGTGCCGACGTTGGCGCATCGCTCAACACCGTCGCATGCGGCTAGCATCACATCTTCGAGCTCATCTCTGCAAATACAAATGGGTTGTAACCGCCAGCCCACTGTGCCTCACGGCAACAAGCTCGCCGACTGCGGCACAGCTCTTGTGCAGCCGTAGCAGAGACGCCCTGCCCCCGGTTGCATAGACGCCGCGTCTTGTTGATCGCCGCCCCAGCCATGGATGCCGAATCGTGCTCCGGCTACCGGCATGTGGCATGACTGACATCTGTCGTCCTCTGTTGCGCCAGGCTCAAGCTTGCTTGACGTGCGAACCACATTCGCCACGATACTCGGGTACTCCTGTTCCACAGATTCGAAATACTGCTTCATCAAGTCATCGATCGTGGTGTTCTTCGCGCTGGCCGAGGCCTGGGTTGGCTTGTCCGCGTGGATCAAGCCAGTCAACGGCGGAACAGTAACCTGGGCATGAGCGACCAACTCCTTCTTCAGCAGGTCGCGGAGCGGATAATTGAAGGCGATGCCAAAAGGTGACATGCCGTCCGATACCTGCCATGGCAGCGAGAAGCCGCGTCCTTTGGCAGTCTCGGCCAATGTCTTCCCCGCAATCTTCGTGGTACTATCGCCCCACAGGATACCCTTGCAGCCATGCTTCTGCGCAAAACTTACAACGAGCCTGTTTTTGAGTATAGTGATGACATCGGACCGTGAGGTGGCCGAGGGCAGGGAAAGGATCAGGCGTTCCAGTCTCTCTTGCGGCGTTTCAGCCTCGCCAGTGACCTCTGCAGACGCCACTTCAGGCATCTCCTGCAGGATTTGCTTGGCGTCGCTGCTCTCGAATATGTCGGCGAGCGCGACACTACTGTACTCATGGCCAGGAAACGCTTCCTTTAATTTATCCAGCATGTCTGTTCCCGGAACATCCCTCTCCACAGCAGCTGTGTCTACGAACAGGACGTGCAACGCGTACCCAGTGCGACCAGACTTGGCCGTCTGCCTCTTCAGGTGTTCGTCTAGAAGGTAAAGTAGGGTAACGGAGGATACTCCGAACGAAACGGGGAGGAGCAGTTTGCGTTCTTCGTTGGCCGAGCGGTTCTTGACGTAGTAGGCATAGGATTCCATGCGCTTGATGGCCTTGGTGTTTACGTACTTCACGAAGCAGTCCCTAGCAAAGAGTAAGCCAAGCAACGTGCAGCGCCATCAGAGCTGCGTACCTGCAGAGGGGCTCGGCCCGCACGATGATCGAGGCCTCAGAGATGCGACATCTCTGACACGGGCGGCCGGCGGCCGAAGGGTCGCTGTCGACGTGCTTGCCGGGCATGGTGGGGCAGAGGAGAGTGAGGAGGCGGATGACGAACTGGTGGAGAATATATTCAGGCGAGAGCCTCGGTCGGAGCTTGGCGGACCGGGGGATTTGCGGCGCGCGCAACGGACAGCTTGCGCGCACGTCCAGCATCAGGCTTACGCGGATTGCTACTCCGAGCAACCACATTCCACCTCCGCCACCCCTTCGAGCTGCAGCCCATCGCGGTATGTGAACTGTGGCCGCGCCAATCCTCCCGTCCAGCTCCTGCGAACCCGCTCGACCCCGGTCCCGCATCCATCGACTCCCGCCTCTTGGAGGCCTTCAGCCCGGCCCCCCGCAACCATGAAATGGGCGCACGCCCTCCTGCTGCTGTGCGCAGCGCTGCTTGCTAACGCCATCGAAATCAAGCTTGTATGCCGTCGCCTCACTCAATCCTTCGCGGCCCCCGCTGACTTCGCATAGGACCAAACCGACGAAAACCGCCAACAATGTTCGGGCATGTATAGCAAGAAGTCCTGGGGCGGCAGCGTCGACCCCTTCATCCTCGTCGTGTTTCCCAAGGATAACATCGCCGCCGAGAAGGGCGACGATCCCGTCGTCAGCCTTCTTGTCTTCGAATGGCTGGACAAGGACTTGCTAGGCAAGCCCTCGGACGCGGACTACATGGACGTGAGTTGCACCGGAATCCGGTGAGAGGATCGATCCAACCAGGTACTGACTTCTGATGCCAGAGGAAATACATCTGCGACGATGATGCCGTGTCACAGAATTTCTGTAACACTACGCATCTCGGCGAGTTTATCATTTCCGACGATGCCGATAAGACAGCCAAGCGCGTCATTCGCACCGAGGCTATCCACATTGCGCAGAAGAACCGTCTGGCTGTGAACTACCCCATTGAGAAGACCGGATACTACTGCGTCGAAACCTTTGCCCCGGAGGGACAAGAGTACACTGCCATCGCCGAGTTCAGGAACGCATATGGCGAGCTTCCGGCTGCTCAGATTGCGAAGCTGCCTTTCTACGGAGGCATGGCCATTGTCTACGCCGTCGTTGGCGCATTCTGGGGTTTTCTCTACTTTCAACACCGCCACGACATCCTGGCCGTCCAGAACTACATCACTGCCATCATCGCATTCCTGGTCGTGGAAATGCTCATGACCTGGGGGTTTTACGACTACCAGAACCGCTATGGCAACAACACTGGCAACAAGATATTCATGATCGTCGTGTCCATTCTGAATGCCGGTCGAAACTCATTTTCTTTCTTCCTGCTCCTTATCGTTTGCATGGGTTATGGTGTGGTCAAGCATACGCTGGGTAAGACCATGGTCTATGTCCGTTGGCTCGCCGTGGCCCACTTCGTCTTTGGTGTGGTATATGCCATTGCATCTTTGACGATCCGCCCTGACGATGCTGGTCCGCTGGTCCTCTTGGTCATCCTGCCTCTTTCCGCAACTCTTACGGCCTTCTACATATGGACTCTCAACTCTCTGAACATGACTATGAAGGACCTTGTCGACCGCAAGCAGCGCGTCAAGTTCCTCATGTACAAAAGGCTCTGGTGGTGCATTCTCAGCAGCATTCTCGTTATCTTTGGTTTCTTTTTCTTCAACTCCTTCGCTTTCGCCGGTGCCGGAGATCCCGACTTTGCCCCTACTCACTGGCAGTTCCGTTGGTTCGTGTTGGACGGTTGGCTCAATTTGGTCTATCTCGCCGATGTGTGCTTCGTTGCCTATATCTGGAGGCCAACTGCGAACAACCGCCGCTTCGCCATGAGTGATGAGGTAAGTTTCTACGTATATGATCCCAAACGACGAGCAAACGATAGTAACTGCCATACAGCTTGCACAAGATGACGAGGGTTTCGAGATTGCTTCCCTCCGCGATTCCCTAGACGACGAAGAACGTGGACCAAACGATCCGCCTGCCTACGACCCTGCTCCCACGCGCAGCGGTGGCGGCGGCGGCAGCTATGGTGGCCCTGATCGTACCGAGTCTCCTCTCCCGGCTCCTAAACCTCAGAGACCATCGAACCTGCCCAGGGAAAGTCTTGACGGGGACACGATCTTTGCGGTGGGTGACGATGACAAGTGGAGTGATGATGAGTTGGATTCGCAGGATGGCGGAAGGGCGGATGGGAAGAATGAGGAAAGGCAGAGGTTGACGGGGTGAAGGAAAATATCGACTTTGATCTAAGGCACGAAAGCTTAGGTAAGGTTGTCTTCCCTATTATCTCGATTCTTTCTCTTGGTTCTTATACAGACGAACAACCGTGTTAGCATTGCCTGGCGTTCTAGTTTGTATTGGATTAACAGTTTTCAATCTACGAGTGAGACTGTACGAATGCTTTAATATAACATCCTGGTCTGAATCGAACTGATGATGCTTATTGCTTGCTGTGTGACGACAAATCCCTGGATGTTCGCAAGAATTAAGGTAAAAATGGAGCTACATCAGTGTGACGGGCGTGGTTCTTAGAATAAGTCGAGCTCTCTAGGATCACCGTTATCAAAGATTCACCGAGGCACAAAATATTTTGCCACTGATTCTAACGAGGTGGAGAGAAATTGAACGTGGGAAAGCCCCCTTTCTCTCTCTCTCCTCCCCCTCACAAAGAGAAGGGAAAACACTGTTACGAGCGAGAACGGTCGCATATAAGCAATGTGTTAAAACTTTTGGTACTAAATAATGTATCAAAGCAAGTACTACCGAAGCTAGGACGACGAAGGCCAGACCCCTTTTCCAGATCCCCATCGTGGATATTTCATGTGGTCGAAGGATTGGAGCTGTGGGTTGTGGAAGAGACAATTCAACTTTCTTGAAAAGACTGCCAAAACGAGAGAGTGTGTGTGTATGTGAAGATGAGTATAGGCGCTGCAGCAGGGAAGAAAGGACATAAAAAAGAGATGACTCTACCCTTGCTAATCCGGTTGACGGCGTTATTCCGTGCTCTATTGTGACACAACTCCCGTCAACCGAGTTATTTTCACAGGCGTTGCTGACACCACGGGCAAGGGTACTCGCAGGCACTTTAGCAACACCCAGATATGACTTGACGAGATGGCCCTTCACACCGCATCCTTTGGAATTGTTGGAAATCTCATGGCTCTGGTCTTGCCTGGCCCCAGCTTCGGATGAGACTCGCCCGTGTCTGTTGAGGTCGACACCGCCACCATAGTCAGGTCGTCATGCTTTGTGCCAGTGTTGTGTGACCGGCGAGCCAGCGATGTCAGCCTCGCGGTCTTCTGCAACAGATGCCGATGCAGGCAGCCGGAAAGGCCCACAGGAGGATGATCTCGCCTTAGCCTTCCAATGCCATTGAAAGCGGTCGAATATGCCTTGCCAGTCTGGCAGATGACACATTACTTGCATTGATCAGCCTCTCGGATCGAATATACGGGCCTTGAGGCTGACATACCACGCTACTATCACCACAAAGCACCACCACATGCCAGTCGTACACATGCTGAGCTTTTGATACCTACCTTCACCGATCTATGGTTCTGAAATCTCGCCATAGTCAGGGGGCGTTAAATGCGAGGAGCATAATACGAAATGGGCTGGTGCCGCGACATTAATTCAGTTGACGATGGAGCATTTACTGCGGTACACTATGCAGAACAAGTCAGAGGAGGCGCCATCTCCCATCTCTCCGAACCCAAACATGCAGAATCCCGCCTCATTCTCGCCACCAATAGCCGCAATCCACCGGTACCAAGCCATTGGTTCTAGCCTCCGAACTAGAGACCTGAAGCAAAAAAAAAAAAGGAAAGAAAAAAAATGCGTGCGGCTCAGGCTACCATTCCCCACTAGCACACCGCTGCTGTAAAGGTCCGTTGATGGCACCAGCTGGCTGTTACGACCCCAGCCCCATTTTCGTTTGGTTTCAACAAGAGAAACGGTAAGGCGAAACAGGCGAACAATCGCATGTCTGCCTGCTCCCCGACCGGGGTGGTCTAGGCTGCTGGCCTGCCTGGCTGACTTTTTTTTTTTTTATCTCTCATCAGCCGATAAGTATGTAGAAGGGACCCGGCTACATATCAGGCGGCTGAGAACAGTGGAGGGCTGAACTTGACCCCGCTGGCTGACGTCTGGCTGGCTGGCTGGCTGGCTGGTCGGACCGCCGCACACTACGAATACTCTTCCGACAACACAGACTCCCCACCCTCCATTTGCAGTAATCGAAACACGAAGAGGCTGTGCACTGTTGTGTTGCAGCGCGAGTAAATACAGCATGTCGGCCCCCACTGATCGCCCCTCTGCTCAGCCCCCCCGTGCCCCCTCCGCGGGCCGGCCCCCCTCAACCCCCGGCCCCCGCCGTGTCATGAAAACGGTGTTGTTATCGTGTTTGTCCGTCCGTGCATTCGCGGGAAGGATGCACGAACTGCAGCAAGTGCTGACGTCAAGGACCGTCATTCGATCAACGGCCCGTGGCTGATCAACTCATCTCAAGAGCCCCCGGGGGGAGATGGGAGATATGCCCTGCCACGAAATGATAATATTCCGCGTGGCTTCATCAAGTAGAGCGGAAGGAGGCGAATGCTGAAAAGGACCGCCTCACCGCTTTTTCTTGACGCCAATGGCCTGGATGTTCGTATATACAGTGACTAGTTAGTACGACGTGGGAGACGCACTCGCCCTGCCTTTGCAACAACAGCGCCCTAACCGCCACCACCCCACTTTACACCACGACCAGAGAAACCCAGCGAACTCACAAGGCGGGAGACACAGAGCAGCGTAAGCATCGTCCCAAAAAAAGAAAAAGAAAAACACCACCAAGCCCGTCCGCTCTCCAACAAGACTACCGCTCATGACGTCGTGGGTGTTCCCCACCAAAAACTCAAACGGGCGGTATAAAGACCCCAAAAAGGCAAGTGAAGGATCCGCGAGCATTACGCGTCTGACGGGGGCGGAGAGCGGTCTCGGTTCGATCGATCCCCGTATACGAAGCGAAGACGGTGGATCCCGCCCCGTTCGCCTGAGGGCATGTGAAGAAAAGAAGGAAGAAAAAAAAATAAGATAGCGAGTAGTACGTAGACGTAGTGAGCATGCTGACACGAAGGAGGGGGGGGAAAGATACGATACGCCGGACTATTTTCGCGAGCGGAGCCAAAATGGCGGAACCAAAGAACAACAACACAACACAGTGGGGGCATTTCCCAGGCCGGAGGGGCGGTGCAGTCGGCCTGAAACTGCTGCTGCCATGTGTGTCGCGGCGTAGCAACGACTCCGGATCGAGATAGAGATAGAGAGAGGGCGGGAAATTTTTAGGACCAACTGCAACAGAAGAACTGCCGCGCCCCGTGCCCCCGGCGCGGCAGCGGGGTGGGGCGGCTTGCAACGAGAACCACTGACCTCGGCACGCCTTACAGCAGTGTGGCTTGCGTCAAGTTTCCACTCGTCAAGCCGCGAACGAACGACAATGTAGAGAGGCTTCTCCCGCCGCCGTCATCGTCGTTTTGTCTGCCGCGCGCTGTTTCACCGTGGTGCTTGACCTACCAATGCGAGGGAGAGAGAGAGAGAGAGAGAGAGAGAGGAATAGTAGTGGCCAGCATGATTGGACGGTTGCATAATCATATTCGTAGGGGGGTATAATGATACTGGCTGTACAGGAAAAGAACATGGTAGAGACCAGAGCCAACCAAGGCTGAATAACGACCCCTGCTCTTCAGAATGCCGCCGCCGCCCATACATGCCCTGCCCGTCGGCATTCCCGAATCTTAACCCAGAACATTACTTTTTGTTGGCTGGCTGATAGCCCAAGCCACACCCGCAGCCCACATGCAAAAACGGACGAACGACAAGTTTTTTTCTCGCGGCGTACGCGTGTGCCAGCGAAGCAGAGACCGAGTAAAAAGGGAAAAAAGAACGGGTGGAATAGAGAGCGAAAGATGGCGCCACCCGGCGCTGCGCGAACCGCGCCCCCAGCCAACCCACCAACCACCAACGTGGACAGCGATTTTTTTTTTCCCGCTGGATGCCGCCGCCGTGGCCCGTCCCCTGCAAATGCATGTATGATGACAACTGATGACTTCTTCGCAACTGAGGCCCTTCTAACCCGGGTCCTCAAAGAATGGTGCGCCGATGCGGCGCCTGAAAAGGGTATAATATGCTGCAAAATGCCATAGGTACAAAAGAGGAAAAAAGGGTTGAAAGAGGCTCTGCCGGCCGAGGCTGACGGATAGCGACGCTTGTTTGCGAACAGAGAAATGGAGCGACGGTGCACACGGCTGCGTCCGAAGGCCCATGGCGGTCCAGGCGGCCCGAGGCCCGGCTAAAGGGCCTGGATGCTCCCATGTCTGCCCACCGACGTGGTTCAGCTGGAACGGGCTCGATGCAAGCGGTTTGAGCGAAATGGATTGGCCGCCAGCCGGAAGGGATCAAACACGTCTTGCCGAAACGCGCCGGTGCACGCAAATGGCGGGCTGCTCATCAGTATTCTTCGTGCTTCTCGCTCAGCTGCTCGTCAGGCACGTCTCGGTAGCGCTGGTGCTGTTGCAGCCCTTGCTGTGCCTGGTGCTTCTCGTCCAGGTCGGCGTGGAAGGAATCGATGCGCTTGTCCTGGGTGCGGGCGACCCAGGCCCGCGGCTCCTTCCTGATGTACTTGCAGAACTCGGGGTTCTCGCGCATCTCGCGGGCGCGGCTCTCCATCCACCCGCTCAGCCCGTCCTCGACGAACCACGACGGCACGCCGCGCCGCTGCAGCCCCTCTTCGTCGCCGAGCCAGTCGTAGCTCGCCCGCAGCCGGTCGTGGATGTAGCGCGTGCGCACCGTCACCGTGTACGTCCACTCCTTGGTGCACCACGGGATGCCGTCGGCGTCGGCGTCGTGCAGGAGCTCCACCAGGTCCGCTTCGGCGTCCAGGTACTCCCGGATCGAGATGTCGAGCCCGCGGTAGAAGACGTCGGGGGTCCACGTCGCCGTGTCCTCGTCCAGTGCCTCGTACCACTCCGGGCCCGACTTCGGCAGCCCGCCGCGCGGGAGGTCCAGCCGAGGGTCCTTCAGGTCCATCTGCGCCGGAAGCCAGAGGTCCTTGTCGAAGCGCTCGTTGTTCTCCGCCGGCACTTCGGAGAGCGACGTCGAGAGGCTCGAGTATGATACCACGGACTCAGCCGTAGATCTGCGCTTGGTAGAGAACATGCTCAGGCGCTGCACCGCAGTGTGAGTCAAAGTCAATGGCAGCCATGACGGCGAGACGACGTACCTTGGATAGTCTTCTTCCGAGGGAGGCCATTGTGTGTGTGGGCGGTGATGTTTACGACTTCCTCCTCTTTGATGGTGCTGGCAAAGCAGTGAAGCTGGGGAAGGCGAAGAGATTGCGGTAGGAATGCGGTGGTTCCAGGAATGCGGTGCTACGTTGGTGATGAGACGCCAAGAACGGATAGTACGTGTAACCGGCGGGCCTGAGGAAGCAAGGGCGGCTGGTCTTATACAAAAATTGCAGGCTCGACCACGGCCGGGATCAGCGCAGCGCGTAGAGGGTGGTATAAGCGCCGGGAGCGGAGAGTTGCCACTGTGGCGCGGGCGGTGTTGGCTGGACCCTGGATGGCCGCAGCTGCAGAGCTGGTGTTGGGACGGAGCGATGATGAACCACGGCGGTGAGGGCCCACTCTGTCTGCTGGGGAACAGGCCGGATTTGTATTTTTCTTGAATTGCCCGTCCTGACCGTCAGGCGTCTCGGCCCCTGCAGCTGACCGCATGAGGCGCGGCGGGCACGATGGCGCAGTGAGGGGCCGGGCAGGCGCCACCCAGGGATGGGCCGCCACGGTCGAGGGCAAACGTAAAAGAAACGGCCTACCAGAGGCATTTTGGCGGCGCCGTGGGGAGTCTGACGGCAGCGCGAGGGAGATCTTAGCTACTAGGGCCGCGTGGCCAGGCCTGGGGAAATTTGGCATCGACGCTAGTCCCCGCTCTCGGCTCCGCTGCAGCTGCTGCACCAGCGTCGCCCCAAGGGAAGGGCCGCCTGCGGGGATGCCTGGCCGACCTGTTCTCAACCACAGAGCCCACTGCCCACGCACGCCGTGGAGGATGCGTCAGATGACCGCAATTAATGACGACCAGCCGGAAATCTTGAGCCACCCTGCCCCTGGCCGCCGCGTGCCTGCTCCTGCGGACATCCTCCTCCACCCATCCGCCTGATGCTGCTGCTGCTGCTGCTGCTGCCACCTCGATTTGCTGCGAATCGCGGCCAGCTGACGTGCAGCATTCGAGCCGCATGCCATTCCCGTCTCACTGCACTGGCCTCGCCCAATACGCCTCTTCTATGCGCCTATACGGCCTCGCCTGCCTCCCAGCCACGCCACGCATGCCTCCCTCTCGCCGCACTCGTCCAATGAATCCTGCGGCGCGTCTCCTAGCTGAAAGTAGGCCGCGTGCGAGTATTGGAAAGAAGAGCCGCAGCAGCAAAGGGGAATAATGCAACGCTCGGTTTCCCGCTGTGCGCCGCGGGCCCGAAGGCACAGCCAGCGCCCAGGTCAGAGCGCCCGCGATCCCCGAGGTCCAAGGCTGGCCATGTTCGTCAGCTCCCCCCCCCCTGTCGTCTGATGATGGCGGCGACGCTCTTTGCCGTGCGCGAATTTGATCGTTGTTGGGAAGGAAGAAAAAAGAGGAAACGGAGCGGCCGCGTCGGCGGTGGCCGCTGCTGCTACCACCACACACATCTCCGAGATCGCCTTCACGGCCTCCTCAGGGTCTTTCCGGACGTAGAGCAGAGGACGATCATTAGGCGCCGCTTCGGCGGGCCCCTAGACGTGCGCTTCTCCGCGTCTCTTCGGCCCGTCGATCACTCGCGCCGTCCGTTTGAAGGGTAATTGCGAACGGCGCTGTTCCTTTGCACCGCCGCTGGTGGCTGAGAGGAGAATGGTCCTCTGGGTAGGATCGAGGCCGGCAAGCAGTAGTCGAGGGGGCGGGGGTTCGTTCAAATTGCTTGTCGCTCGCCAAAGGTCTTCATCCAAGCTTCGTAGATCATGGATGCTCGTGCGAAATATAACCCCTCGAGCGGCCGCTTGCCGCGGGATTGAAGGGGCTTCATGAACTGTTCGCGAACCACTGACGTCCCCTTTGCGCTTGGGTCAAGCCCCGTTCCTTGAAGGTTTGATGTCAGGAGACGCGTGCCCCACTGACCACGGCGTGAGATAGACGGGAGGGATCGCACCTGCAACGATGAAGTTATTAGGACAATCTACCCAAGATGTGGTCCGCTTGAAACTTACCCCGCAGTTTATCGCAATTTCCCGACATACCTGATGTGGCTAGAGGAAAGCCACGTGATAGCTTCTAGAAAAGCGCCTGCTACTTGATTAGTAGAAATGGAAGACATCAGCCACGCCCCGTGGACAGAGTCTAGAAGGACCCAATCCTATAGCAACGCCATGTTGTTATGTAGAGCTTTGCATGGAAGGTGTCCTTTATACTCAGGCCAGTACTTATGACTCCACACATCTAGACTAACCTCACATGGCACATGATGGAATGTCGAAAAGTTGCAGCTGAACAGTGGCGGCCAGCTGGAGCTTGCATTATGGTTAGAACAGACGCTTGAGCTGTGAAGGCAGTGATTGGATGCTTTAGCGAGAAATTCCGGAAAGAAGGAAGCAGTAAGGACCACGTGCAGGGGGTAACAGATCAGCAAAGGCAGAGGTGAGAACACAGAGTTGTATATTAGCCAAAGAAGCAGCTGACTCTTGCTTTTGCGTATGAGTTGTTGCCGACGCTGCTTGACTGACAGTGCCCAAGCAATCGTCGAGTTTCGACCCGAACACAGAGGACCCAAATCTTTCTCATGATTATACCGAACTTCCATTGCCATAGATTCCCTCGAGTCATGCCAAAGAAAACCGCAGATGACCGGAATGAGCGACTCAAGAACGATGGATTTCCGATCAGCCTTCTGAGATGAAGTGGTAGGAAGTGGCCGACTCGCCGCAGCAGAGCGCCAGGGTGATGAGAGAAACAGTCTGACAAAAGATAGACAGCGGTTTCCAGACATGACTTCGACACAGTATCTACACATCCCTCCTGAATACAGTCAAACCTACACCAGCAGGACGAGAAAGGGTGGAGGAGTGTGACACCGGTGTTCACTCTCTTGGGCCAATCCGATGCCGCGCTGGGGGAAAGCCCGACCAATTTCCAATTGGTAATGGCATAACCTCGTCCATCGTGACCTCGTCCATCATGTTAATCCTACGCCAACGTGTTGTCGACTTCGTACATTCTGACGTCAGGCCCATCGACATCTCCTCGGGAAACTCCAGACGAACCATCTCTCGATCATGTTGCTCCGCTACCCCCGCACGGTAAGTACGCAGGCGATCGCCCAGAGTAACGACTATCATGTAGATCGTACGGGGGGTCTTCCCCCCCTGTCTTGACTCAGGCACATTCGAAAAGTTTTCCCACTTAAGCTAGAAGCGGTTTACAACATGTTCACTCATCCACCGGAACGTTCGGTGTAGATCTTTTCCAAGAAAATGGAAGAAAAAAAAAGTTCTGTTAGACGCGTCTTGACGCAAGGTGATGCCCAGAAAGTACGTCTCGCATTTTATCGTCAGCCTATCTCAGAGCCACATCTGCTCGTGTGGTGTTTCGCCCAAACATTGCGCAACCATATGCATCACTTTATCCACTGATCAGCAGTGTCCTACCTGCACGAAAATATCAGCAGCGTGCAGATCTCGTACACAAAATGTCACAGCTGGTGAAGTGGCAAAATCTCCTGCTCGTTCCTCAGTTCTGGAGACCAGCTCCGACGATCTCGAAGGGATATTCCTGGTAGGCGAAGTGGGCCTCACATCGGATCGCTCCAGATACGTCATATCGCCGCCCGTTGATGATACACATCACCCCAAGGCACAATGGCGTAAGGGGCCTCAGATCCAGGTACTCGTCGTAAGGCCAGCTGCATGAGCATCGACGACACTGATCCTCAGGTTTGCAGCGTGTTTGCATGTGTATGATGAAGCCGTCAAGACGGAAGCTCCACCAGGGAGTGTTCAGAGAAGAAGTCTCTGTAGGGTTGAGGATACGCCTTGGATCATGTCCTCGGCCGAGCCCTCGGCGGACTTGAGCCGACGGGGCCTTTGAGGCGTTTTCCTAACGGGGTGGGCAGCGTCAAGGTGCGAGGAGCCCGCGGACCCTTTCGATACGCTGTACCGCGGTTTCTAGCCGCTCGAGCCTCCTTCTCTTGTCTTTGTCTCTCTTCTCCAGCATCTCGACGCGCTCTTCCAACTTGGCACGAGCCCTGCGCTCCTCCGCAACCATCTCGTTTGCTTGTTGGAACAATGTGACACTGAGCTCCTCGATCTCGCTGCTCATCGCCGACACTTTGCCCTCCGCCTCCTGACGCAGACCCCTTTCTTGTTGAAGTGCGTTGCGGAGCTCCAGTTCTTGGGAAGGGACACCGGGCAACGGCGGAACGATTCCAGCAGCGGGTATGCCGGCCGAGATGGAAGCAGATGATTTGCGGCGGCCCAAGAGCGAAGTGATGCGGGAGGTTCGTGCGGCCGGTCCAGCTGGGTTTGCTGTGTGTGGCCTCTTGCCGTCGCCCGAGGGTGTCCCAGGCGATGCGTGGAGAACGCTAGAGGACTCGGCGGGAGCAGTAGCTTTTGCTTGCAAGGCCCTGAGATGTCGCAGCTCATCCTCATAGTCTGCCAACTTGTCGGCTGGAGACGTGTAAGATACAAGCAAAAGGCAAGCTGAAACAGAGGGGTTGGCAACGGGACCGGTAGGGGCTTACCTGCTGTCGAGGCCTTCTCCGTCAACATGCGCACCTGGTGTTCGAGCTCTGCTATCCGCGTCTGGGCCGCATTTTCCGCGGGGTCTGATAGGCTGGGCACATCTGTGCCACAAGCAGGGCAGGAGGACGCCGTGGTAGAGAGATGGGGCGGCGCGTAGAAACCAGGGGCAGCGGTTGCGATGAGTGTGGTGGTGGTCGACATGGGCGCAGGCGCGATGAGCGGATCGACAGCGCCTCACTTCCCCGCGATGCTGGGAAGGGGCGATCCGGACGCGGCGTGGTGTGGTTTCTGGCAAGTTGGACGACGAGCAGCGGCGGGCTGACGAGTCGGTGTCTGCCGGAGTTCAGGGTTCATGGGCCTGGGCGGCCTGAGCGTGAAGCCGCAAGCGAAGCCACGTTACCCAAAACAGAACAAAGAGTGGGGAGTAACGGGACAGCGCCGAGTGCCCCGCACAGAACTCACCAGTCTAAAAATTAGTCGCCGCGACGACCACGGGAGCTAATTGTCGAGAAGATGTGGGATGCGAGGAGGCCAGTCGGGATGAAGCGTTGATCCCGTGGAACCATTTCCGCCCATGAGGGGGCATCCTTCGTTGGGGTGTCTTGCATTATTAAAGGTAATCACAACCAGGCTTACCACCCTTCCCTTGCTGAGACGCCTCCGCTCCCGCCTGCAGAAGTGCGTACTGGCTGTCTCCCTACCCGTAGGAGTTCTTTGTGGGCCGCTTTCATGGTATCCCACCCGCCACCGCCCCGCCCAAAGCTGTCCCACCAACATAAGCTCCTATCGATAGTGTCAACGCACACAACAGGCGCTAAATCCCGACTGCGGCGTCTTGCGGATGTGCACAGCTGACCCGCGTTGCATAGTGTGTATGCCAGATAGAAACACAAGAATACGAGATCTGCGAGGCCACATGCAACAATCAAATTATTATTCGTTGATGCGGTTGGTGGAGCTAGCTATTCAATCTGCAGAATGCGAACAAGCACCTACAGCGGCGAGTGCTGGCTGGCGGGTCAACGGCCAGAAAGGCGCTCTAGATCCTACACAGCAGACCACGGAACGCGAATAATCTCTGTGCGAGCTAAAGCTCCGGCGTTGGCCGGCGGATACGTCGGCCGGGCGAATCATGGCCATTCGCTCCCAAGTGAAAACAGTCATTGAAGATAAATTTAAACGCGGGGCGGACTTTATCAAAAAACGGAAGTACACCTTACCCTCAATGGAAGACACTGATGTTGCGGGCTGCTGCGCGCGGAAACAATGGCAAAGGCACTATATGGCCAGCAACAAAGCAAACACCTACCGTGGGGCTGGTATGTCTTGAATGGAATCCTGTCTCCGAAGACGGCTCGGCGTTCCTTGTGAGACATCCAAGCTTTCGTTTCTTGACTTATCCAGTGGTCACTTCTTTCTCCGGGAGTAACGGAGCGATCAGTAATTTGCGGAAGGAAGTGGTCAGTTGCTGCTGCAATTTGCTAATCAAACACTTCGGTCGTCAGCGGCGTATGGGACGGCAGGCCTTACCCATCTGCTTCCGGAACACGTGAGGTTTTCTTGGAACTTAAGCGCGGGTTGCCGTGACGATAAACCAGGCGAATGAAACCGCGGTGCTGCTGCCGCCTTTACTGCTGAACCGAGGGCACCTGCGATTATCAATTTCCACGTGATTGGTTTCTCCGCAATCCCAATGGCCAAATGGCCTGGCGGAAATAAAACGACGAGGGCCGAGAGAATTGCGCAGCACCGCGGAGAAAGGAAAGGGCTCAGGCCACCCAGGCCTGCAACAAGAACGCTCCAGGTAGGGCGCTCAGGCCAGACGATGAGGCGAGAAGACAAGCGTGAGGAGCTCTAGTCCGTTGACGGGCGGGCCGACGGATGGGGAGAGGATCGCCCGGCGCTGTCTTGGCTGATGCAAGGCTATGCAGCTTGACGCTCTGCTGCAGCGGGGCGAGGAGGGCGCGCAGCGACGGGCGGCCAGGCCGGTTTCGCGGCCACCGAAGGCGCGAGAAGGGGCGTTCCGGTATTGCGTGCCGTGAAGTAACCCACGCTGTTCACTCGGGCTCATCGGGGAGTACTCTGGCGTCGGTATTGTCGAGCGCTGGCAATCAGGTTTTCGCTGGAAGATCGGGGATACTGGACGCTCTGTGGCGCGCTACCGCCGGTCTAGCGGTCGCATCCTGGTCGCGGCTGCCAGACTCGCATTCCTGTTTCGCCCATGGGAAACTCCCAATTCCCATCCTACGCCCGCCACCCTCCTCTTCCAACTGTTCATTGTTTGTCTCTGAAAATCTGCGACGGCCACAAACGTACAACGCAACCGCCCTCGTTGTCTTCGTTCCAGAGAACCTGCTTCGCAGTGCAAACCATCTCAGCCGCGCAGCTACCCCTCCTGCCGAACCAGCACTAAGCCCCTCGCCTGCCAGCTGGGTCGCGTCCCCGCGCGCGCGCCACAACCGCCCTTCCTTACCGCTCGCCCTCTCCTCGCCACCTCTTGCTTGCTGGCCTTCATCTTCGCGCACACCCAGCCACCGCCGCACTCTGATGTGCTGTCTGACCTCGAGAATCTGGGGCACGAGTAAGTCGCGTGCCGTCCTCCACATTTCATGCATCGCGATCGTCAGGACCCCAGCCAACGACTGCACCACCCCTGGGAACTGTTACATTGACCGCGCTTCTCGCCAGATCTTACCTTCGAAGCGCCGAGCAAGACCCGCCGTCGTCGCCACCCCTGCTGGCTGGCACCCGCGCTCGCTGCGTCATATTAGCTAGCTCCAACAAAAAGATCCACGACCCTACTGCTGCGCATCCTGCGTGCCCAGGACGTCAACTCAGCCTTTTCTGAACGCACTTCAACACCGACCCTGTCGTAACTTTTCTGACATCATCTGGCGACGAAACTACCAGGCAAAGCAACTCTTCTGATCCGAGGCTCCGATTAAATCGCGACCTTCAAACTTCAGCCGGGCACGTCCAGGCTAGCCGCAAGGTCAATACAAGGGTTGGCTCAACAAAGTCCACAACTTATCACCAACCTTGAACCCTACCATCATCGGCACAATGACCGATAGCGAGTTCGATTTCGAGGTCCGGCCTCAAGCCCGTGTCGACAGTCTTGCTGGCTTCTCAACCCTGTCGTTTTCGTCGATGACTGGCAGCGTCGAGGAGGCGGCCAACAACAAGTTCTCCTTCTCTCCTCAGCAGGATCTCATGGATTTCGGCGCTGTGAGCTCGGCTCCGTTCAGTCAAGGGCTGGAACAGGAAACAGTCCACCCGGGTGTCCTCTCGGGCGACAACAACTCTTTGCTTGATGGCCAGGCCTCCGCGGATCTTTTCAGTTCGCAACCATTGTTCCCATCCATGCCGAATGCGCGTAGCCAACATGGTCAAATCACACCACCTGACGATCTCTCTCCCAAGTCGGCCGAGTCAAAGCTTGCCTTCAATTCGACCAAAGACAGCGATATCCAAGTCAAGGTAGAGGACTCGACGGAAGCAGCCACAGCCAGCAACAAGCGTAAGCGATCGTCCAAGGCTAGTGTTGGTGGCTCGACCAGGAAGCGGGGAAGGAAATCGATAGTAGTCGTCGAGGATGACAGTCAGGACCCGGAGGACAGAGCTAAGCGTGATCAGTTCCTGGAAAGGAACCGTGTCGCTGCGCACAAGTGTCGACAGAAGAAGAAGGAGTGGATGGTACAGCTCGACAATGATTGCAGAGACCTGACAGCGAAGAACAAGTATTTGATCGCGGAGGTGAACTTGCTAAGCAACACTCTGTACGAGCTCAAGAACCTGGTCTTCCAACACGCAGACTGCGGCTACCATCCGGTCAATGAGTTCATCAGCAACGAAGCCGAGAAAGTCCGCGCTCGCGCCCAAGCCTCGGACCCTGCCACCACAGCGGCCATGCGAGAGCCTTACCAACAACCAAGCACCAACTTCCCTGGCCGGGCCTCGGGTATGTTCCAAGGTCGAGGCTCGGTTGATCTTGACAGGTCGGCAGAGCGGGCCAGTACCGAGGCGAGTGATCTGGGAAGTCTTCGGTCGGGATCAACAGCAACGGATGGAGTTCTAAACGAGTCATGGGCGGATATGCTTCAACAGCAGTAGGGAGCCTTGAGGGTTTCTTTGCACGACGAACTGACGACAGCCATGCTGTGTGTTGATGCGTGTCGTCGGTGCCGTTTCCCGTTTTCTAGTTCTTTTAACGAATACCGAGTTACGATGGGACGCCGATGCGTGTTGTCCCTGGAACGGAGTTAATGGAGTACACTGGCAGCAGGTATGTCGAGAGCGAAGCATCATGGAGTGGGAGAGTACAGGAGGTTCTCGAGTGGATTCGAGCTGGACAGGTAGCTTGCCGGAAGGGCGATGGCATGTTGTATTTTAGTTCTCAGCCTGCGTAACAATCATAATATGCCGCTTACGCATACATCATGTTGAGCGCATCTGCAAGGCGACAAAGCGGAAAACGGTCGATTGTCCGGCCCAACGTAAGAGTGTACGAACAGTGTTGTCATGGCGCGGAGGCGGACACTACTCCGAGAAATGTGCGGGCTGGGCTGGTGGGGTGGGCTCTTATAGCAGCGGAGCAGGCCGCAACCGCCGCCTGTGGGGACTAGCCTTCAGCCCATGATCCTGGCAAAAATACGTCAGAGGGCCGGGGGTTGGCCAATCATGACTGCGGAGCGGTGTTGCCATGCATGCGCGCAGGAATACGTCAGTCAGGTCAACAGTGTCGGATGCCGCTTTTGGAAATGCTCAGCGTTGCAATTGGGCTTTTTTGTTTCGGTTGGCGGTCGGCGGCGACACATGTGTTTGGGCTGCGCGAGTGACCTGTTTGCGAAAAGGCGTCGCGAGATTGTCTGTCGGGCAAGACGTTAGCAGAGGGCTCCAGTGTTTCTCGCGTGCAGCGCTCATTGTTGCTGTTGTTGTTGTTGTTGTTGTTGTCTCGTGAAGCGTTTCTGGCCTCCAACGAGGAGAGTGGTGTCCACCGAGGAAAGGGCAGGGCTAGAGCAAGAGCGGCGCCAAGCCACTTTTCTCTCTCTCTTTTTCTTTCTTGTTTTCTTTCCCTCCTCTTCGCCCCTTTGTGGCGCGAAAGCAGGGAACGGAAGGAAGCCGAAGAGTGCCAAAACAAAATCGCCACTCGGGTGGTAAATGAAGAAGGCGTTGAACTAATGCAAAGGGCGGGTGTGGAGAAGTAATAAATAACAAGGTCATGTATCTTCGCTCGCTTGTGCGGGCAACTCGGCTGCTCCCATTGCATGGACGGGGCGCCAGCGGAGCGGGACCACCCCTTTTGGGGTGTATGCTAGTCCGGGTCTTGTCCATCACAATGACGAGCGCAGCGGCGAGATATGCGCGTCGTCATTATGTTCTGTCTCGGCCTGATGGGCGTGCATTTTTGCTTTGGTGACGACAGAGTGACTCAGAGCCGGTCGTCTTTGTGTTGTCGACGTCTCTCTGCTCTATGCACTGTTGTCGCTGTCATCACCTTCTTCTGCTGTTGGGTGGGGAAGGAAAAGAGTGGATGGGGCCGTTGGGTGGCGCACTTCGGCAGTGGGAAAGCTGTTCGGTGAAGGGATGCATGTCTGCAAGCGTTTGCTGCTTGGGTATGCTTTTGCATGTCGGGGAGAGCAGGCGCTTTCGGAGAACGAGAAGCAAGACCAGGTGCCAGCGCGAGCGAATGCGGCGGGGCAATCCGGGCTCTATATATTAGCATGCGCCCGGACCTCTGGCCACGCGACAGGCGATGGAGAAAAAGCTTGGATGCTACACCTCACGACTCATGGGGGTGCCGTCAGCCCTGCTACAGAGGTGCGTTATATATGGGGGGCCCTTTTTCGTACGCCCTAAACCAATACATGGCCTGATGTCCGGCCCGCACGAGTCATACGGGTTGTCGATTGCGATGCAGCTGCCAGATCCAAACACCCAACCCACCCTTGCGACTTTTCACGAGGCGGAAGAACTCAGCACTCCTTCCCGGTAAGCAATATGGAGCGGGCAGCCCCATGTCTTAGACGAGCAGCAGGGGTCAAGGTTCGTGGCCGACGACCGCATCGCTTGGGAAAGGTTTGCTTTTCTTCACTTCTTCTCAAAGAGTGGTTGCGGCACTTTTCATGGCAAAGCTATTCCCGATGCCTTAGGAACAGAGGCCGCGGCTTGCACAACAAGGTCAGACGAAGGCACTGATGAGCAAGCAACTCCGCGGTGAGGCTGTGGGCTCGGCACTTATTTCGGCGGCAGCAGCCGATGGCGTGCATCGCGTTGGATGTACAGCTACTGATGGGCAGGAAAAGTTGTTTGTATCGTCTATCCCAGAAGTCCGATGGGGAATGGCGCGTCGGACCCATCTCCAGCGTTGATGGTTCGCGCTTGATGCTCCTTGGGGACCCCGTTTTGGGGGTTAGCGCTGGCCCGCGCTACGGAGACTTCATCGCAATTAACGCAAACCAAAGATCGCAGCCTTGCAGTTACTGGATACAAGTCCGATTTCAGTGTGTCTTGGACAGTGGGTGTCGGCTTAAAGGGAGGGAGGCTTTTCTTGAATTCGTTGAAAAGAGGGCAGTTGTGTAGAATCCCGAGAGTGGCAGTCCGCGCGAAAGAAAAAGTGGGAACCGCAAGCCGAACACACAAGCACGCACTGAGATCATGTCGAACACCACACAGACACGGAGGCAACAGCAAGAAAGTTCATCATTATTCGTTTAAAGGACATCCGGTTCTATACAACAAGAAGCGCATAGCAGGCAATCACCAAGCTTTGCCAATCCACTGTCCAGAACCGAATACCTAAGGCTTACCACCCTCCAGCAGATCTTTACTCTTCTTCGAATGGTCCGTCCGGCAGCCAAGACGAGAATCATTCCAGGTCACTTTAGGGTCCGTTAGGCAAAGGCTCCCCCGGGCTTCAGGCCTCCTTCTTCCACGCCGAGCCCAATCTTGCCAATAACCTTGCCCTCGGCCAGCAGCTCATGCCCTTTCCGCACCCCCTCCACCGTCAACGGCAGCCGCTGCGTGAGGTGAGACTTGACAACGCCGGCATCGACCAGCTCGCGCAGCCTGTTCAGGATCCGCCCGTGGCTGTCCGGCTCGACGCCGTACCACGGCTTGGTGCCCAGCAGCACCCACGAAAACGTCAGGCTCTTGGCCATCCACTCGCTCTCGTACATGGGCAGCTCCTTGGTCTGCACGATGCTGCTGACCTTGCCGAAGGGCGCACAGATGGCCGCCGCAGGAGCGAGGTACTGCTCGGTGCGGTGCGTGATGAAGATGTACTTGATCGGTACGGGGAGAGCGAGCGCGGCGACTTGGGAAGGTAGGTCGGCGTGGTGGTTGATTATGTGCGTGGCCCCCATGGAGAGGCTGAAGCGCCGCGTCTCGTCGCGCGAGGCCGTCGTCACGACGACCGGGAGGCGGAGGACGTGCCGCGCGATTTGGGAGGCGGCGGAGCCGACGCCTGAGAGATGGTGGGAGATTCCCCTTTCGTCAGCTCATTCGCATCGTTGACACACCTTCACATCCAGAACGATAGGAAAGGAGCTGTCAACTCGCTCGGCAGGGGAGCACAGGCAAAGGCAAACAGAACATCCAACTCACCTCCGGCTCCATTCACGATCAACACCCCCGCCCGCTCACCCTCCTTGATCTCCATCCGCTCCACCAACGCCTCCCAAGCCGTAATCCACGTCAACGGCATCGCCGCCGCCTCAACCCAGTCCAGTTGCCCGGGCATCCTCGCCACGCTCCTCCCATCGACGAGCTGCAACTCTGCGTCGGCCCCCGGCCTGTGCGGCGCACCGCTGTAGAAGACCCTGTCCCCGTTCTTCCAACCTTCCCTCTCTGCATCGGGGCCGACGGCTTCGACCACGCCCGCGCCATCGTAGCCTAGTATTTGTGGAAGTGGTGGCGCCCGCGCGAAGTACGCGGTAGCGTTGCCGGGGACTTGGTAGTCGTCGTAGGTGCCGGCGCGGATCTTGGTGTCGACTGGGTTGACCGAGGTGGCGTGGACGCGGATGAGGAGGTCGTGGGCGGTTGGTGGAGGGGGGGCGGGGAGGGAGAGGGCGTGGAGGACGGAGGGGGCGCCGCGGGCGGTGGCAGCGATGGCGCGCATCGTCTCGTCGGAAGAGGACGTCATTGTGGGATATGGGAAAATTGTGGAGAGTTGATGAGGTTGAGTTGAAGGTGCTTGATGGTGCTGCCATGGTAGGTTGCTAGAGGCCTTTGGCTTTATATCGCTTTGCCGTGTGGGCGGTTTGCCATCACGTCAGGATGAAAGGATGGAGGCCTACACCTCGGTTGGGCTCTGTAGGTCTCAATTGCAGAGTGAGGCCAGGATATGCGGGGTGTTTGTAATCTCGATCAGCATTGGATGGGCGCTCTAAGCGTTTACTATACAGTAGTAATCAGCTTGCAGTCGCATGAGGTCAAAAGCCCAACAGCGTATTGTCCCTCAAGTGTGGCGGTCGTGCTGGCTCCAGTCAGCCATGTGAGTAGCAAGACCAATGTCGTCCAATGCCACGAATCTCTCCGAGAGTACTCTTAGGATCATTAATCATGAGAGAGACCCAATTGGTAGCTCATTGGCGCACACTGAAAGTTGAGAGCAACACCATGACGTCACCACCATGACTACCTACGGTTCGTGGACCAAAGTTCGGACATGACTCGGCAAAGGATGCATACCTAGGCTCCAGGTCATCCGTATGCAAGTAAGCTTTCGTGGAGGCGGCCCGGTCCGGGGTTGTGCGTGTTGTTAATCAATTTTTCACGCTGCTGTCGGGCGTCGCCGAAGCTGTCAGTGGAGGGGAAGGGGGCTCGTGCGTGACGTTAGAAACTTCGCATGAGCTACCGCATCCTTGCCTGCATCTGCGCGATAGGTATGGAACAACGTTCCGAGGGGTTTCCACAACCAATCGCGGTTTGAGAGGGTGTGCTGGGAATCGATGTAGATCATCTTCATCCAGCACATGCGCGTTCTGGGTATTGTGTGAAGATCGGCCCTGCAGACAGTTACATCCATGCGCCTGTTTTCCGTTCATCCTGAACAGGAGCTGTAAGGAGCCATCTGGAGTCCGTTGGCTGTTAGGTGCTTGCAGATAGAGAGTGACAGTACTCACGTGGACTTGTGCGGTTTTTTGTTTTTTTGAAAAAAAAAACATGTGGCGACACCAAGCTGTGGTGCCGTTCGCTGTGCCGCATGCAAGTATCACGATATGAAGCATTTGAATTATCCCACCATCCATTCAAGTCCTCACAATGCTACATACAATATACTCGAGACTGGAAATAGTTGCAAAATATGGCAAGAAATGGTATTAATATTGCAGGCCTTTCGACGTGGGACTGGCATTGGAAAAAGGTGGCATGCAATTGCACGCAGCAGTGGATCCATGCCAGGAACGGATCTAGACACATGCAGGAGCAGCGGTATCGGCGGACATGGACTGGATTTTTTTGCACAGCAGCCAAGTGCATTGATCACGGTAATATTGAGCCTTTGGATGTCTGACGGAGGACGGTCGTTCTTCGCGCGACAAGGCCTTCTGGAATCTCCTATCCAAGATCTCTGAATTTTCCGGGCGCGCAGGAATGTGCAAATGCTGGTGGAGGGGTTTCTGCCTCAGGCCTAGATCGGCATGACTCGCTGACGTCGATCCGGAGAAGATTGCGGCGGATTTTGAGCTGCTCGGCGCGACCCCACCAACCACTTTTTCCCTTTTACTAGGCACGCCGACCACGAGAGAACTTTGCTTCCTGTCCGACACTGCATTGCTCTCCTCGCACCCCAATTCTCCCCTCCACACATCCTGTCTCGCAGGCAAACGTCCACAATGGCCGAGTACAGCGTGAGTCTGCACCCCCAGCCCGCGCATTCACTCCCTACAGCCCTGAGTCACTGACTGAGCGCGCCATCTAGATTTACCAAACACCGTAAGCTGCTCCTAGTCACCGGCACCGTGTGCAAGGCTGATCCTTCTGCTCCTACAGGCTCAACTCGCGGTATGCGAGTAGGTCCCCTCCGCGCAATCCCACCGTCCGTTCAGACGTCACACCGAATAAACCTACTGACGGCCCTGCCTTGATCAGGCGAGCCCATGAAGGAGCTGTTCTCGCCCCGCACGCGATTTACAACCTGGCGCAAGCTCTGGCTCGCTCTTGCTGAGGCCGAGAAGGATCTTGGCTTGGATATCTCCGATGACGCCATCGACCAGATGCGCAAGCACCTGGTCATTCAGGACGAGGAGTTCCCCACTGCCGCCGAGGAGGAGAAGCGCCGCAGACATGATGTCATGGCCCACGTCCACACCTTCGGCCTCGTGGCCCCCGCCGCCGCCGGCATTATCCACTGGTACGATTGCCTCTAGAACACTAGAGTGGTGGGGCTTCTACACCATGTCTCCTCGAAAGATGGCCAGGCTGGCGTACCGATTGCAGCAATCTGCGAGAGCCGGGACATGCAAGACAATTCCAGCGTAGTCTCCTCGCCGTCTATCTGTCTATCGGTGCGGTGTAGACTGCCAATTCCCGCCTCCGGTTTCCGGCAAAGAAAGTACTGATCGTCTGTTCTATAGGGGTGCTACCTCCTGCTACGTCACCGACAACGCCGACCTCATCCTCTACCGCGATGCTCTGGACATGCTGTGCCACAAAGTCTGCGGTGCGATCCAAAAGCTGAGCAAGTTTGCCCAGCAGTACGCCGCTCTCCCATGCCTGGCATACACCCATCTTCAGCCCGTAAGCATCGCCCGGAGCTCTGACCAGACTGGTTCTTACTCGGATTTCTCAGGCACAATTGACCACGGTTGGCAAGCGCGCGTGCCTTTGGATCCAGGATCTTCTGATTGACTTGAAGAACCTTGAGAGGGCGCGTGATGACATGAGGTTCCGTGGTGTTAAAGGTACCACCGGCACTCAGGCCTCCTTCCTCCAGATTTTCAACGGCAGCCACGAGAAGGTCGAGAAGCTCGATGAGCTCGTCACGTACAAGAGCGGCTTCCGTGATGCCTTTACCATTACCTCGCAGACCTACTCCCGCAAGGTTGATGCCGACATTGTCAACGCTCTTGGATCCTTTGGTGCCACCTGCGAGAGAATAGGTGGCGACATCCGCCACCTTGCCTCCTTCAAGGAGCTCGAGGAGCCTTTCGAGAAGGACCAGATTGGTTCGTCCGCCATGGCCTACAAGCGCAACCCCATGCGCTCTGAGCGTATGTGCAGTCTGGGTCGCCACCTGCAGAGCCTGCCCCAGAACGCGCTCCACACCTATTCTGCCCAGTGGTTCGAGCGCACGCTCGACGACAGCGCCAACCGCCGCATCACGCTCCCGGAGGCGTTCCTGACTGCCGATGCATGCTGTCTTCTCATGGACAACATCTCGTCTGGCATGGTTGTCTACCCCGAGGTCATCAAGAGCCGCGTAATGCAGGAGCTTCCCTTCATGGCCACCGAGAACCTCATCATGGCCATGGTGGCCAAGGGCCACAGCAGGCAAGACGCTCATGAGGAGATTCGTGTGCTCAGCCACCAGGCCAGCCAGGTCGTCAAGGGCGAGGGTGGCCAGAACGACCTCATTGAGCGTGTCAAGAAGTGCCAGTTCTTCGAGCCCGTAAGTAAATTACTCGGAGCTGTACGTGGACGCTACTGACGCTTCGTAGATCTTCGGCGAGATTGACAGCCTCCTCGACCCCAAGACTTTCATTGGTAGGGCGCCGGAGCAGGTCATGAAGTTCACCGGTAAGCTCCAGCGAAGTACGCCTGTCACATTGATGCCTGATGCTAACTCGCCGTCAACTACAGGTGCTGGTGGAGAGGTTGTTCGTGCGCTGGCCAAGTACGAGGGCAAGGTTATGATCGCCGACGTAGCCGACCTACACGTCTAGAGGGCTCAGCTGCGATATCAAAAGTAAATGCAGGGATGTAGAAAAAATGTCATGATATTCTGGGATTTGGGGCCCGCCGCAGTTGCCGTTTTGGAGACTCCCACCGCATGATTGACGGCGTGGGGAGATCCTCGAATGCGCTTGAGGGCGATCGGCCGGAGAACGTCCGGCGCGCCGAAGCCGTAGAGCGCACCGGCTGCGGCTTCGTGATGGGCATATAACATGTCATTGGTGCCCACATGGCGGTTGCTAATAAGCACACCAGCGCTGCAGCCATCTTACCAACCTCGGGACCGGCGCTGCGTCAGCGATTCATTGCTGCTGATTAGTGTATTCTCGGACGAGTCAGGTTTACGTCATCCAAGAAACGGCGCGCGGGCTCTCTTTTCTCGACGCCGTCCCTCTTCCAGCCAAAAAGTGGTAGATGGACATTGTGCAGAAGTCGCGGCACAAGTACGAAGTGTCGTTCACGCCACAACTTCGCCCGACATCCTCTGCAGCCAACATGGAGCATTCGAACGCGGCCAATCGTTCTGACGAGGTAGCTTGTTTCCGCATGCCTGCCTGCCCGCCTGCCTGCCTGCCTGCCCCGCCTTCCCCCTCGGCAGCCGCTCCCTCTCCCCTCCTTCACTGCCGCCGCCGCGCTTTCGTCGCGCAAACTAGCTGACATTCCCGCGCCGCTTGGTGGCGCTGGGTGAAAAAAGTATCGCGACCGCCGTCTCAGCGAGGTGGAAGTCCAGAATGCCTTCGAGGTGAGCTAGTCCGCATCTCTTCTTCGTGTCTCATTCAACCCTACTGTCTTCCTTTTTTTTTTCTCTTTTGTTTTGCTACAGCTTTGTAGCTTCCTCGACCCGATTGCAGAGAGACATGCTTCCCCTCCCCGAATACTTTTCCCACTCCCAGAAACCACCAGCCCCCACTCACAATGCGCCATTAATCACGACCAAAACAGGTAGTCTTCGACAACGAAGGCGCGCACCGGCGCAAGTCGTCGCTCGCGCCCGGCACCGGCACCGGCCCCCAGCGGCCCCGGCACATGCGCAAGCCGACCAACTGCTTCGTCCACGCCCTCTTCGAGCCGCACCGCGACGCCGCCGCGCTCGAGGCGACGCAGAACCACCACCACACCCCTCCGGACGGCGACTACGCCATCGCGGAATCCCCATCCGGCCCCACCACCACCGCCGCCGCCGCTGCCGCCGCCACCGCCGCCGCCGCCCACCAGGCGCAGGCCCTCCCGTCGTACGAAGGCATACAATCCGAGCGCGTGGCGGACAAGAACCCGGATGCGGACGCGGGTCTGTACAACAACGGGGGCATCAGGGGCGGGGAGCAGCGCGTGGCGGGAGGCGGCGGGGCGGGGCCGGTCGAGGCGGCGGTGCAGAGCCGGCTGTTGACGAAGAAGCAGATCTCGGACATGGCGTTCGGGATCCGCGAGCTGGCCAAGAAGCTGGCGCACATCCGGATCAAGATGAACGTGCGGAACGTCTTCATCCTGGCCAAGGCGTACGACGAGACGCTGATTGGGAAGACGAGGGATATGGCCGAGTGGTTGCTCGGGCAGGAGGAGAAGGGGTATAGGATGTGAGTTTTTGCTTCTCTCTCTCTCTCTTTCTTTCTTTCTTTCTCTCTCTTTTATGTTTTATTTCTTTTGTGAGGACTGCTGGGGCGCGCGAGCAGAGGGGGGCTGGGTGGATGTTTTGCTGACTTTTTCTGGGGTCGTCGTCGCAGATACGTGGAGAATACGCTGCAGGATAACAAGATCTTCGATTATAAGGGCTTGGTGGAGGGGAATGAGAGCTTCAGAAATCGATTGAGGTTTTGGACGGTCGAGCTTTGCCAGCAGAGGCCCCAAACATGGGATATCGTCCTTGCTGTGAGCTTCTCCTTTTTCCGAGTCTTGGGCTGTCCCTGGTTATATTTGCTAATAAAAAGTTGCGGTAGCTCGGCGGAGATGGCACGGTTCTGTACGCAAGCTGGCTGTTCCAGCACGTGGTTCCACCTGTTCTGGCTTTCTCGTTAGGCTCGCTCGGGTTTCTGACGAAGTTTGACTACGGTTCCTACGAGCACACTCTGACAAAGGCCTTCAACGAAGGTATCACGGTCAGCCTGCGGCTTCGATTTGAGGGCACGGTCATGCGATCGCAGAAGCGCGACAAGTGTGGCGGCAGTACACCGCGGGATCTAGTGGAAGAGCTGATTGGCGAAGAAAGTGAAGACTGCCATACACACCACCCTGACGGAACATACAACATCCTGAACGAAGTCGTGCTCGACCGCGGGCCAAACCCGAGTACGTTAAGATACGCACACAGCCCGGAACCTCTCAACATGATGGTGTCTTTTCCGCTAACACATGGAGCAACTTGCCAACAGCCATGTCCTCGATCGAGATCTTCGGCGACGACGAGCACTACACGAGCGTGCAGGCGGACGGCATCTGCATCGCGACGCCGACGGGCAGCACGGCGTATAACCTGGCGGCGGGCGGGTCGCTGTGTCACCCGGACAACCCGGTAATCCTGCTCACGGCCATCTGCGCGCACACGCTATCCTTCCGGCCCATCGTGCTCCCCGACACCATCGTCCTACGCGCGGGCGTGCCGTATGATGCGCGCACCAGCTCGTGGGCCAGCTTCGACGGCCGCGAGCGCGTCGAGCTCAAGCCCGGCGATTATGTCACCGTCAGCGCCAGCAGGTTTCCTTTCCCGAGCGTGCTGCCGGTCGAGCGGCGGGGCAAGGATTGGATCGATAGTATTTCGAGGACGTTGAATTGGAATTCGAGGCAGAGGCAAAAGGCCTTTAAGGAGTGGGAGAAGGAGGAGAAATAGGCGAATGACTTCATTGGGGGATGGTTGTGATGAGGCATGTGAGTCTGCCGTGTTTGAATAGAAGGGCGGGTGTTTGGGTCGCCATGTGGGAGGTCTTGACTTCATTTCGATCTGGAGTGGGAGAAGTAAGCCAGAATCTTTTTTTTTTTTTAGAAAAAAGATTAACCCAGTGTTCGATCTGCTTTGCATTGCTTTGATTCGGTACAGTGTAGGGGACGGCTTGCGTCCAGTATCCGTCCACCAGGACACGGTTCTCAGAGAGATGGAGGCCATTGCGTGCTCACTCACATGCACTTGAGCTTCGACATGAACGCAAGTTGATCAAGCCGGTGATGGGACTCGTACTTTTGTTTGCTTTGCGGGGTGATTGTGTTGAGGTTGGCTTTATCCGTGTTGTGTGGCGGGTTGTTGCAGGGCTTTGCTTTCCCTATGCGGCAAGCGGAGGAGAACAGTGACGAAATGCGGAGGCTAAAGACATTATATGCTACCTGTGGCACCACATAGCCATACAGAGCTTGTCAAGGGTGAGTTGATGTGAATGTGGTCTGATCTACGTTAGGGGCGAGTGAGTGTGTTCGGAGCAGTGATAGAGATCGGTTAATGTCGACCTCAAAGCCGTGCCATAACTACAATGGTAATCGGACCACATTGCAGCAAAATCCCTGATGCACAGAAGGGAAGTTCTTGATAGAAGTGATGGCTTGGGGAGATGCTCTGCAAGCCTCAAATAGTCGGTGGCGAGCTTCATGGAGCAGCAGTGAACACCTTGATGTTTATTTTGAAGTTGACTATAGCCCAGAAGAAACCATCTAATATTACATCGTTTCCCTGTTCAACGCTCATATCATACAATTACAGTACCAATAATCAAATGAAGAATGCGAACATGCAACCCATCATCGCTCCGAAACCAGCTTCAAGGCCGCTTCCCCTGATAGTATCAGCACCACCCGTACTCGTTGCGGCCGCCTCGCCCGTCCCACTGCCCATGCTGGTAGTCATCAAGGACACGCTCGTGATCCCGTCTCCCGAACTGGACGTCTTCGCACTGGAACTTCCCGGGGCAGTACTACTCGCCCTCCGACTCCCCGTCGCAGTAGTAGCCGCCGCTGCCGAGAAAGTCACCGTGCTTGATCCGCCAACCACCACATCCCCCTCGCCATCCACGCTCACCACCTGCCCGCCCGCCAGGGTCGCCACCTGCCCCTCCGTCAAGCTCGTCCCACCGACGAAGACGGTCCCATCCGCGCTCGTCGCCGTGAACGCCTGTCCACCCGCCGCCGCTGTCACCGTCGCGACGACCGATTCGCCACTGCCATCGCCTTCGTGTTGGCCACCCGTGGAAGTAGCAGCACCACCACCATCCCCAAACCCAACAGTCGAGCTCCCACCACCACCGCCACCCACGACCAAGCCCCCTCCCGACCCCGACGCCAAACTCACCACCTCCCCGCCCGCCACCGTCGCAACGACCGTACCCCCCACCCTCAACGTCTGCGTCCCCCCAACAACGATGACGCCATCCCCCACGCTCGACGCCGTCACCGCCTGCCCCCCATCGACCGTGAACACCGCCACCCCACCCCCTTCTTCCCCCTCTCCTCCTCCTCCGCCGTCACCGCCACCGCCACCACCAGACGAAGCCGAGCCACCGGTAGGCAACGCGACGGTACTACCACCCACGACGACGACCATTCCTCCCCCTCCCCCCTCACCAACAGACACGGCCGTCCCCGCAACCGTAACCACCTCCCCCGGCGCCACCGTCACGCTGCCGCCCACGACCACCACTCCGCCGCCTGCCGCATCGCCCGGCACGAGCGACGCCGTCACCCCGCCGACGGTGAAGAGCGGAGTATTGGCAGCAGCAGCGGTAGCAGCAGTCTGCCCCGTCGCCCCCGTCGCCGCCGCCGCGACCGAGACCGTCGACCCGCCCGCAACCACGACCACCACGCCGCCTCCTGCGCCTCCTGATTCTCCTCCGTTCGACCCGACTGACACGGGCGTGCCGTCGCCCAGGACGGTCGTCGCGCCGGGGCGGAGGGTGATGGGGGTTGCGGCGGCGCCGGCGGAAGTGCCGGCGGCGGGAGTGTTGATGATGATGATGGCGCCGCCGCCACCGTCTGCTCCGCCTTCTGTGGTGGGCGCGGGGTCGGCGACGACGATGATGCTGCCGCCGTCGTTGTCGCCGAGGGTCGCGGAGGCGGGGGGGCCGGGGTCGGCGGGCTGTTGGGGTTGGTCGTTGTCGTTGTTGTCGTTATTGTTGTTTTCGTCGTCGTTATTGTTGTCGTTGTCGTTGTTGTTGTCGTTATTGTTGTCGTTAGTTGGCGCTGATGTTTGACCGCCGCCGCCGCCAGTGGCCTGGGAGACTACAGCGCTGATGATGCCGCCCAGACCGGGATCGTTGGTGGTTGCGGGGGGCAGGCTGTTGTCGTTTCCGTTGTTGTTAGAGGTCTCGGCCGGATCACTTCCACCGGTCTCCTGCGGCGGGGAAGGACCGCTCTGCTGGCCGGCGCCGGCTTTGGTGGTCGTCGCCGGGTCCGGATCGCGGGTCCCCGTGTTCGTCGGATCGGGCGAATCTGGAGACGAGGCGGGCACGGCAGGAGGCTTCGTCGCCGACGCGGGCCCGTCGTCTTTGGCGGACGTGGAGGGCACGAGAGCCATGGCCGGGGTCAGGGCGATGGGCGGGTCAAAGGTGCCGGCGAGGTCGAGCAGGCAGGTCCCCCAGGCCGGGTCGAGCGAGCGGATCTGCGGCGGCAGCAGCAGGGTCGGCCGGTAGGCGGACTGGTAGATGATCTTGCAGGGGCCGTCTTTGCCCGCCCACTGCTCGCCGTTGACGAAGTTGGGCCACAGCAGCGACGAGTAGTCCTTGTCGTAGTACTCGCACGCGTTGCCCGCCTCGATGGCCTGGTACCACGGCGCCGACGCCACCGTGGCCATGTCGTCGAAGTTGAAGGGATAACCGCCGTCGACGAAGTAGTAGTGGTAGCCGCGGTACGTGTACAAGTCTTGCGACGCGAGCGTGAGCATCACGTTCGAGTGCACCGCGCCGACCCGTTGGTTGCAGGCTGTCGAGGCGGCTGAGACGACGGGGAAGGAGAGGTAGGCGTTGGCTTCGAAGAAGGTGTACGCGCCCGATGTCGTGTATGGGCCTGTTTTGCTCCGTCGTTAGCCCTCCATCTTCCACAAAAGAGAAGCTGTTCGATGCACATACCTGCTGTAGCCGTCGGATGCGAAGTGTTGGTTCCATACGCACAGTTGGCAGCATCGTACGCATTCGCAGACGTAAACGGCGCCGTCGTCGGCCCAAACGGACAGACGGTCATGTTGGCGCCTTTGTCACACATGTCTATCGTCGTGTTTTTCTTGTGGGGGAAGTAGATGAGCTCGACCTCGGGCGCCGAGATCCTGCAGACGCCGCATTTGCCCCATTCGGGCTTTTCCTCGCACCCGTCAATCGCGCCTGGATAAGGCATCGAGTAGTTCGAATCGACCCTGAAGTCCTGCCACAGTGCCTTGCAGTCGGCCTCCGTGACGTTGCACGCGGGCGGCTTGACGTTGACCGCAAGTGATTGGGTGTATACGGTCGACGATGACACAGACGTCCAGGTAGCTACCGCCATGGGATCTCCCACCATGTAGGTGATCTCTCCGTAGCCGTACGTGTTGCAAGCAGACGTTCGGGTGGACACCGTGTAGTTTGTCAAGGTTAGAGTCTCGGTTTCCATAGAAAACACGCCGGTGTAGTATGGACTAGCAAAAGTCTGCCATGCTTCGTGTTCCAGCATGCAGGCAGTGGCATAGGCCGCCCCTCAACCAAAGTCAGCATCACAAGGTTTCGCAAAGCGTACGTAGCTTGACAACGTACCAGATCCGCTGCCTGGCAACGCTCCGAATGTTCCGTTTGTGACATTTCCACCGAACGACGAGTTCCCGCTCAAAGTCGGGAACGGCGTACTGCTCAGCAGAGGACTGGAGCTCGCTGCAGGAGTGCTGATCCGAGAAGTTGCGGACTGGGTGTCGTTTTCAGCTGTCACCGATGCGGAAATTGAAGTCGCCGAAGAATCTTCCGAGCTCGTGGCCCCAAGCCCGTTCAAGATCAAGCTGCCAAGTCCATTGCCCTCGGTCGTGGTGGTGTTGGGCAGCGCGCCGGACCGGCCCAAGGACGTGTCTCTGCGATAGTGGCGATCTGGGGTACGCGCATCAGTCAGTGCTTTTCCCGAAACCCACTCGTAAGCCGAAGACGGAGGAAAGGGCACTCACCAAAGCTCGCGTCGGCTGTTGTTGCGAACTGCAAAGCGACGGTCAAGACGTAACTGACCGGCAGTATCCCTAGCATTTCGACTGAACTTCGCTTCCTCTAGATGCAATGAAGAAGGAGGCAGAAGAGCGCTGTTAGGGAAACAAGATGCTGACAGGAGGAGCTAAATCCCCGAAACGCCCCTCGAGTCATCCCATGGGGGCCAAAAGACAAGAGTGCAAACACAACTGGACTTGAATAATTATTGAATCATCATTTGACGGGTGGCCTTGGCTGCTTAGCCGCTGAGCTTGAGACCGCCTTCCAATCACTGATTGGAGCTGCTGTGAAGCCTTCCCTGTACGCGCGATCCTTCAGCTTCGCTTTCGGTCAAGTGCTGTCTTGGTGTTGACAGTTCAGCGTGCGCTGTGATTGGCGCACGTGGCGGCCGAGGCGCTCATTCCAACCAGTATACTGAAATGCTATCCGTTCAGATGTGCAATCGGTTGTTGCCCTTGCTTATTGTGTCCTGGTTTTCTTTTCGGTGTCTCCGGGATCCATGCAGTCTTGTTACACCCGTGGACTCTGTCTTCGGAACCATTTGCCGGTTTTGATTTCAAGCAAGGAATAGAGTATGAGCACTAGACTGGCGTGGTGAGCATGCCGGGCAATGATCTGCTTAGATGCTTGCTGATTGCTGAGCTCAATAGTGATCCACTTATTATTGACCTTTCGAAGTCCCCGACAAGCAACCAAAATCTGACAACTAGTGCGCTGCCGAGTGCGCTTGGTCAGATCCTAAGGTCAGCGCGATGGCTTTGCCTGGGCAATTTCGAGTCGTGCAACAGGCTGTTGAACAGGACAGCGCCCCGATTTGCCGCGTTTCCGTGAAGTAATACAGCTCATCACTATTAGCTTTTCGGAATCCGAATCCGAACCAGGAAAACATAAAACACCATCGTTTGAACGCGCCATTGGGTTCACTCTGGATGACGATTTGGTATTTTTACTTCCGGCGCGCGCCATCATCCGCACCTCGCGCCAGAAAGTTGAACTAACCCGTCCGGTGTATGGACGGTGTTCACCCCTTGCCCGGCCTTGGCCCATTCGCCGTCCCCGAAACAGAAAGGGACAGAGACAAACGAACGAACCGTATCAGACGAACAAAGGGGTATCTTCTTTTTTTTATGCATCTTCGAAGAAAGTAAAATCCCAGGCAAAGGAAGTTTGCAACAAGAGGCTCTAACCCAGCTCTTATGCTACCAGCAGTACGTTGTTTTCGTTTGTCTTCCTCCTCTGCAACGCCCACCACAACCCGTCGAGCCCACGCCCATCATAAGTGATTACTCCGCCATGACCCGCCGCGAATTCTCCTCCTGACGTCGAAATGGGGAATTTAGAGGTTGGAGGGGTACAGCATGACGCGGACGCTGGCACCGAAGGACTTGGGGGGCAGGTTGTTCCTGAACTGGGCGCGGACGGCACCGGAGTTGCCTGTAATTTCCATCTCAGTCAGCACATCGGTATCCCACAATCGCGGCCGGTTGTTCCCAGATATCCTCTTCCACGGGTGGCTTTTTTTTTTTCCCTGAATCGTTCCGGGGTATCGTGCATGTGTGGGATAAAGCGCGTACCGTGCGGGCGGGTGACGACGCCCCAGATGGCCCTGATCTTGGAGCCACGGATGTCCTTGTTGGAGCGGTAGACGAAAGCGACCTTCTTTCCGCAGTAGAAGCTAGAAAACCCCAGCGTCTCAGTATAATCATCCTTCCTAGACTATTTCCGCAACCATTGCGGTTTGCCCGGCGGGGGTATCGACGTACTTGGCCTCCTCGGTGCTCTGGACACCCTCCAGCTTGAGGATGCTGGTGTTGGGGTGGACGGTGCGCTTGCCGCGGACGTAGCTCACATGCTTGCCCCTGCAGCACGTCTTATCGTCAGTAACGGATCGGTTTCGTGGGGTTGTGGTCTCGGGTCTTCGCGTACTTGACGTAGACTGCAATTTTCAAGGTCAGCGGGGGCGCAGAAGCGCAGCGGAACGGCAGTACTCACGCCTGGAGGGTTGCGAGGAAGACATCTTGAACGGAATCGCTCTGCTGGTATTTGCGTCGCGGGTATAGGTCGTGATATGCGCCGTCGTCTCGCCCCATTGTGCGGGCTGTCGGTTAACCACGGGGGTCATCGTTTTTCCGGATCCGTGGTTTCCCGATTAGGCGATCGTCACAGCCTTCCGGGCCGACGACCAGCTCACTCCAGTTTCGATGTCTTGGAGAATTGGTGATTTCTATATTACAGAAGCCTCCCCAGAGCTCTGAGGCTAGGGTGATAGCTGGTTCCGGGCGACCCAATACGCCTTGCCGGTGTTCTAGAAATTTACATCATACATGACGAGCAGCCTCCACATGCTACTTTGACTGCATTCACAGGCTTACCGTCTGCCCAGTTGCCACCTAGCAATCCTCTCCTGGATGTCCTTCCACTCGAAGCTTTTCTTCTGCGATGGTGCCTCTCCATCGTAGAGGCCCTCCTGCAACACCACCGTAGGCGCGCCGCTGCCATCGCCGGCGTTCTTGACCATGCCGCCAAACACCTCCGAAGCCACCCGACGCAGATCCTGGATCGTGACCTTCTCGATCTTTGCACACATCTCCATGACACCGACCTTGCGGCCGTGCACTTGCACTTGCCTGCCCAAATCCTCCAGCTCCACCATGCGGCTCTCCAAGTTCATAAGCAGCGACGAACGAAGCTGGTTCTTGGCACGCTGGACTTCGCCCTGCTTGAGCGCATGGAAGCCCGCAGGCGCCGATAGGGAAGCAAGCTCACGACACATGACATCAAGCATGTGGCCGACACTATGAGGCTCGCAGGAGGCACTGATACCAAAGAGGCCAGAGTCTTTGTACGAGTGGTTGAAAGCTGTGCACGACTCAACCCAGCCGTACTGGTTCAGCACGTTGGTGTAGAGGCGGGAATACATGCCCTTTCCAGGACCACCGGCAGAGAAGGAGCCGCCACCGCCCAAAAGAGTCTGCAGGGTTGCTAGTGCATAAATGTCGTCGGAGTCGATGCCTGGCGTTTCGAAAGCTAGGTTGATGTGCGAGAGGCGCGGCAGCGCCATGTTGGGTGGTGGTGGGATGTGAGGTAATTTTAGGAATCCGCCGGTGTAATGAGCGGGTCGGCTGAGCTCAGACCCAGAGAAAGCGGAAGTGGTGAGAGTAGACTTGGTTTGCTGGGCGGAGATGGTGCGATTACTGAAGAAAGGAATCTTTCCAAACAACTTGGATGATTCTTGAGGGTTAGTGGCGCCGTACGCAACGTTCGGAGGCGTAGAAGTGATCGTGGATTGGTCTTCGGCATTGAGATTCGCCTGACCACCGACCTGTGAGAGCAGCGGTGCCTTGCTCATGTCGCCGAAGTACTGCTCGGAGAGCTTGATCGCTTCCTCGTGGTTGACACCAGCGAAAGCAACTACCATCCTCTCCGGCCGGAAGAAGGTCCTGCGGTATGCCTCCACCACATTCCTGTCGATTTCCTGCAGCCTTGCTTCAGGGCAAAGCAGCGGGTTGCCCAGGGTGTTGTCTTTGTAGGCCGCCATGTGCACCAGCTCTGGGTGGATGAGCTCCGGCCTGCTCCAGATCTCGTTAATCTCATACGCCGCGGTATCCAGTTGCTGTTCGACCTCCTCCTGCGTGATTGACGGGTCGCGAATAGTCTCGGCAAGCAGACCGACGCAGTCTTCAACTCTGCTGTTGAAAGTGGCCGACTGATACATCAAGCTTTCTCTGCTCGATGAGCATTGGATGTTGCCACCAAGTGATTCCAGCATCTCCAGCATCTGGTCCGACGTCCTCTTTGTAGTAGACTTGAACGCTAACCGATCTATAATGTGCGACACGCCGCGGAGTTCGGGGGTTTCGTAACGGGAGCCGGCATCGACGTAGACGCCAATTCCAGAAAAGTGCCCGGGGAGTGCCTCGGTCGCGACTCGAATGCCATTAGGGAGGGTGGTGATCTGGTCAAGCTCGACGGGGTCCTACAATGGTCAGTATATCAAACTTTCTGGCGTGCGCCTCGGCGTGAGCTCATACCTTCTCTTCCGCGCGAACACTGGCGAAGCGCCTGACCGGAACATGCGTCCGCGGCGCCGCGCGCCGTAGCGCTCGCGATGCTAAGCCTGACCTTGATCGCAACATGGCGGGAAAGTGTGGCTGGTGGAGGACGGTGCGAGTGTGAACCAGGCGGCGGCAATCGGATGGATTTCTTGACGCTTGTCCGCGGTCTCGGCAATGACGTTAGTCAGCGTCGCTCAGCCCTACGCAATGGAAACCTCCGGTATTGAGCACCTTTTCGTCCATCCAGTGAATTTGGACTTCACATATGCAATCCTCAAGGACGAAGCTCAGAGGAATTCCGGGGTCGTGCATGCGGTTCCGTTCTACAGCTTGGCTCACAATTTCCATGCAGCGCCACGAACAACAGAAATTACTGTAATTCCCATCACTAAACTTTGACGGTTTCATTGGCTCAGAATTTATTATTCCTAACCTTGGCAGCGACCGCGTCTGTACTACTTTTGGCATGTGCAGCTATGCAACTCGCTCTACAAGAGACCAGACTGCTCAATACTATGAGCAAGCCGCGATGATGGTCAGGATGTCGGGGTCGACGAGCCCCCCCCTATGCGGATGAAAAGAAATTAGAAAATAAAGAAATATAAGAGACCCAGAGAATCCAAAATGCAAGCCCTTGCGTATCATGCTGCCACCCGTGATATCAACGGAAAACGCCTCGCTCGCCTCCCCCACCGCTGCAACCCAGGTAGGTATCAATGAGAATTATGCAAAGAAATCACGCCGCGTCAGCTGATGAGCCGTTGCTGACCCTATTCTCAAAGCTATCAGTCAGAGAATCTTCAGAGCTACCCGGACGGTTGCTGCCGGCAGCGCCATCCAAAACGAAAGGGCCGGCGTTGTTCCGTGGAGTCATGGGACACTCTGCACCGGGGACCGGCGGAGTAGGGCTTAGTGCGTACTGATTAGACGGAGCTGGAGCGGCCAGATTGCCGCCCCCTCCTAAGTGGGTTGCGGTCAATGACGAATCGGACCCGGCTGCCATTATAGGGACTGGTTGAACATTGGCTGATGGAGACGCGATTGACTCCGCCAAAGATTCGTCGTCAGGAGGTGTATGGAGACCCGTATCCGATGATTGTTCTTGATCTGACGGCGGGCCGACATCTCCAGCCAGGGAGACGCCGGCCATACCAGCAGCCAGATCCTCCTCTTCAATTCTTGCGTCGCCCATCGAAGTGGCATTGATTTCACTGCCATTGTTGAATCCACCGAGAGTCAAGGTGGTGGCACGCGGCGTGCTAGTGCCGTCAGCTTCAGTTCCGAGACTTCTTGGAGTGCCGCTGGAGACCGGATTCGAAGCAGTTGCGAGCTTCTCTTCGATTTCATCCTCGATTTCTTCATCAAGGTCATCGTCCCAGTCTTCGGGCTCGCTGACGTCCGCTTCCAGATCGTTTACCATGCGGCAATTCGGGCACATGAATTGCGGATAAGTCGGACCATTGATGATCCTCGCGATGCACTTGTAGTGCCAGACATGAGAGCAAGGTGCAACGAAAAGAGCTTGGCAGGGACGAATGGACATCAAGCAAATGCTGCAGTCAGTGCTATGTGTGCTCGCAGAGTCCGAGTCTTTGGATTTCACGCCTTGGGCAAGGTTGCGCAGCCGCTTGTGTGTGGATTTGCTGTTGCCGTTAGATTGATTCGCGACAGGCCACAGTTGCTTGAGACTTACTTGAAGTTGTTCAACGCCTTCTGCCAGTTGCGATTGCACTCAATGCGAATCTTGACACAACGGAAGATCATCTCCTCACCACCTCTGAAGTCAATTCCAAGCTGGACGACATCACCGTCTCCAACCTTGTACGGTTTACTCTCCACGCCAGGCTGAGAGAGCCTTATATGATTGAGGAAGGTTCCGGAGCTTGACTTGACGTCCTTGATCCACCATTGGCCGTCCTTGCACCAGAATTCACAGTGTCTACGGGAGACAACTTTTGACTTGAACCCAACTGGAGCGGACGACGGAAGATGGGGCGGGAGGTCATTGGGGATGTTGTCCTTCTCGGAGTACCTCCCGACCCGTATGACGCAATCCTCGCTCGGCAGAGTCCTAGAGATGGGTGGGAATTGCAGGCTCGGGCGCGAGGCTCTGGGATCCTCATGTGGAATGAAACGTATAGACGGCAGCTGCTTGTGGGGAGTGGACGTTTCGGCAGTCGCGTCACCACTGGAGGGTCCGTGGTGGGAGACGCCCAAGGAGGGAGCGGCCGACTCAGCACGCGTGCGAGTCATGGATGCGGGTCGCGGGGATGTCGCGGCGGTGGTAGAAGGTTCTGCGGAGGATGCGACACGAGACAGACCACTGCGGCCCACGACGGTGGGGACCCAGCCGCTCGTGGCACCAGAAGTGTCGGCGGCGCCGTTGACGGGGGCGTGGCGGGAGGGTGAGGGAAGGTCGACGCTCGGGGTAGTGTCGGCGCTGGAGGACGAGAGCGAGGCGTTGGCGCTTGGGGTAGATCGCGTGCGGACGAGCGAAGGGCGTCGAATGTGGCCGCTGCTTCCGGCGGAAGATCGATCGCTCGAGGAGTGGAGGTGGGTGTAGCTGCGCAGATAGCTGAGCCCACGGAGTCTGCCCGAGCGGGTCGGAGAGGTGGGCGAGGCGGGCGAGGTCGTGGTCGAGAGCGTCGGGGCGGAGGGAGCGGGAGTTGTGAACATGGTCTGGCGCGCGAGCCGACTGCAGTCGAGCACTCGGGGGGTGAAGATGAGGTGCGAGGCTTCGCGGACCTCAAATCTCAGCGTCGGCGGCGGAGACGTCGAGACGAGAGCGGAGCGGGCGTGCCAGGATGAGGTGAATGCGCGGGCAGGGATGCCGCTAGGATCACTTGTAAGCAGGCTGGCGACCGGCGAGGCCTGACGACGTGGTTGGGCACAGCGCAGGCGCACTTTGATGGAGGACAGGCTCAGCGGCGTCTACAGCCCGCGCGCGGCGGTCCCGGTCGCTGGGAGCTTGCCGCTGAGACGGCCAGACGCTCCCGGTTGTTGGGTCGAGTGCCGTCGCCGCAGGCGGCCAAGCCGAAATTCCAACTGAAGCAGCCTGCCGGGCCTCGTAACAAGACGCTTCCGTGCACGAACACAGGCCCCGCGCTCAGACGCCCCTACTGCTCAGGCTCAACGCCCAGCGCCGGCTCGCACTTTGCGCGAAGTGAACCAAACATCACGTGACCTGTCGCGGCCCCTTACCAGGGACGTGGTCGCCGCCACGGACGCTCCCACGGACGCTCCCCGCCTACTGCACTTGGGCTGGTGATGTCACCTCCATCACAGTCCGCCGAGCGCGTCGCAGAGAAGGTGCAGACGCTGGCCGACCTGGAGCTTGCCGCGCTGCTGTGTCTGATCACCAAGGAGCATGCCATTGTCGAGGCCGAGGCCTCCCAGCTCGATTCGCTTTGTCTGGAGCTGGAGCTTGTACTTCCCCCTGGCTGAGATTAGCTTGCGTGCAGCCGACACTGACCTTCAGCGCAGATAGCCGGCAGCGTCTTCGGCCTCTCCAGCACTGTCCTAGAGTGCTCCGAGAAGACCACGCTTGACACATTCGGCAACGGTCTGCTAGTAGAAGACGACGACGTTTCGTATTTCTCCTCGCCACCCAGAAACTCTCGGGAGACGGTATGGAACGGCTTATCTCTCACGTTGGCGTTGGTTGCGCCAAGACGAGAGCATGTCAGATTGCTGATAAATATAGGACGCCTTCTCCACCTTCCGTCCGCCACATCGCCGGAGTCCCAAGTCCCCACTCGAGCCCAGTCGGAAAATAGCCAATGTGGTCATAGCAAAGAACCTCAACCTCTCCCCTCGGCAGGTGCAGACCCAAGCTCTAGAGGTATCTTCACAAAAATAACGTGAAACGTGAGGTGACTACTTTGTAAGCTGACATGTCTCGGCAGCTGATTCGAGGAAGGCGCATCTTCACGCGTACCGCAGTGCATACTGCACCAAAGCGATTCCTATTCATTGCTCTTTTGGCTTCTGACCCTGACATAAGCCTAACGCCTCACCTGGTAAGAACCGACGTTTCCTCGGGGGGGGTTTTTTTTTGTGGGGAGGTTCTTGCTGACTGTTGCCCAGAATAATCAGTTCTTCATCTCGCACTACCACCAATATGAAGATGGATTCCCGAACCTCGAGGAATACCAAGGCTTGGATGATGATCAAGCTTCGTTATCTTCAGTCGTGCGGCCGTCGTCGTCAATGACGCTTGGGTCGCCGAAAGCAATAGCCAAGTCGCCTCTCTTTCCTCAGGATGTAGGCTTTCAGTCTACCTTTTCCGTTTCCTAGTCCAGGCAGGCAATACTAACACTCTGGTATTTTCAAGGACCTTGAACACATATCGAAGCTCCTGGGCGACGTTCGCATCAGCTCCGAAGTCTTTGCATACATGCAGAACTTGATTGCGTTCCTGCGTCTGCACCGAGCGGTAAGCGGTGGTATATCAGCACTGGCGACCAAGCACTTTGAGTTGCTGGTGCGGTAAGTTCCCGAGCTGCCTGCCCAAGGTGGTCACGAGCTTACATCAGGCAGTGCTCTCGCGCCACTGCACGGGCTGAATTATGTGCCGCCATCTCTTGTTGCCCTTGCGGCACGAAAGATCTACCCACACCGTATTCTATTAACAGCTCCCGAAAACGAACGCAGCATGCAGTGGGGCAGCTCGTTGGAGGCTGTGAGGGAAGTATTGGACGGCGTGACCGTGGACGATGTGATCGAAGATGTGCTCCAACAGGTCGAAGTGCCGTTGTAGGGCATTGCCCAGTTGGGACCGACAGCTGAGACAGAGTACTGAAACAAGAGCTTTTGGAAAACAGCGAGGCCAACCACCCCAACAAATATGGCTGTCAGCAGCGTATATCATGAGTCGCACTATCAAATACTGGTCAGCTGATCGACGGCGCCTGCCATCCAAGGGTCTCGGCCCTAACTGGAATTCCTGCAAGCTCCGCTCAACTGCCGCGACTAGAAGTTATTTGTGAATTTCTATCGGACCGCTTACCGTATGTGGAAAATCGTGATCATGCACGCGGTGAGCATTTCAGCTGCAGTCGCTCGTGACCATTCCCGGAAGGGAATAGATACACGTTCCCCAGCGTGGCTGAAGGACCCCTCGCGACCTGAACTGGCTGTCAGAAAAAAAAAGACCCAACGCGGTGGTCACCGAAGGCGCCACAGGGCGCGGCGTCACGAGAAGAGGGCTGAAGAGGTCGGCTAAACCCGATCGCATGCCCTGTTCATACCGACAATTCTGAGGCGAACGTCGCTCGTGGATCGGATCGGCTCGTGGTCTCCGGCACACCTCTCCCTGCGTCATCCACCAACGGTGAGCTCACTTCGCTGCCCGGGTTTCCAATGGCGACCTGGCACTTGGTCTGTAGACCCTGAGATCGATGATGGAAAATTTCCGACAGCTGTTCGAGGCCTGCTGCGTCATTGCGGACTCTTGCCCTTCTATTTCGCTTGCTGGCACTGGATCGACGTCGCGTGGCATCCCTGATATTTTCCGTGCACAACTCACGCAACGCACCAGCTCGGCGCAATACGACCTGCTCTGGACGTACATCTTTTTCCTCTCCCTCCCAATCACAGAGTGAGGCTTGCCTAGTGGCAGGGATAGTGCTGCATGGCTTCATCATAGCGACCGGCCACTGCGCGCTAGCGCCCGCACGCGACGGTTGATCGCAGAATCCAGACTCTTCCACACCGTCGTCAGTCTTCACGGTCCGAGGAGGCGGAAGTACATACGGAGAGGACATGGTGGGTCACGAGGCTGGCACTGTGAAGACGCAGGAAAAAGCAAGAACAGCAAAGAGCGGTGGAGCTGATGCGAGTCTTCGGGGCGGGCCGTTTGTCTGATCGCATAGGGCCTATTGAGGGCTCTGGCCACCGCGCAGGAAAACGGCGATGCGTGACGTCAAGGCCATAGCTCCCAGCGCGCGTGTTCGAGCCAGAGATCGAAAAATGCACAGCAAAACGGAAACATTCCAGAGCGCGGCTAGAAAACGCGTCGAGTAGTGAGCCGAGCAACGTTGGATGGGCACCGACCGATCTGCCGTGAATCGCGTCAATCCGAGCAGTGGCCGTGGTGCGGCCTGACGGGCAGCGCGCGTGCGCGGGTAAGCGAGACTTTTTTTTTTTCTGGTGTTGATGCTGTTGCGTGCTTAGGGCTCACGAGGTGTGGCAGTGATGGCGTTGCGGTCTGCAGGGCGGCAGTGTAGGGGCTGAAGAGGGCTGAAGAGGGCTTGTCGCTAGGCAGGTGCGGCTCTGCGGCGGCTGAAACGGCAGGCCAGGCGCAGTCGCAGGCAGCTGGACGGCAGGGCAGGGGGCAGTGTAAGTCGTCCAGCCGGGGCCTGAGGCCGGAACGGACGAGGGCATCGTACGGTTGGCGGGGCGACTTCCATCGCCGGGCGCTGCCAACGCAGCCCGCGCGCGCAGAACCGGGCATGCCGCGCCCAACGTCATTCGCCGGTCACTGATCGCTGCGCCTGCTCTGATCAGTCGCTCAGCCGTTGCTGCCCGCCGCGCGATTGGGCGCGTCGGTGGAGCCGCTGGAGCAACCCCAGGCCGGCGCTAGGGCTCCGTTCCAGGCACCTGGCTGACTTGCATGTCACACTGACTCTCTCCCAGCCAACCCTTAATTCTCGAGCACCGCCAACCCTATTTACATGCGCCTACCTGCCTAGACTCGTGTCGTTCCATCGCACTCCGCTGCTCACCACCACCACCACCACCACACTTCGCCATGGAGGCCCTACTATCCGTTTCCTTCGACAACATCACCTCCAAGGAGACGTCCAAGGTCCGCAAAGGCCTGCGCCAGATTGAGGGCCTGCTGGCACAAATATGCCTGAGCCGGAAGCCGGACCCCGCCGCCGCCGCCAAACACAAGCGCAATGGCTCCGCGTCCAAGAAAAGCCCGTCTGAACCCAAGGAGCTCGGCGCACTGCACAGCGATCCGGCCTTCAGAGAGTTCTTCCGTTTGCAAGATGGTTTCGAGTGGAATGGTGAGTTCGCCTGTCCCTACCCCACCTGCCACCGGGTGACCAGCCGCTAACAAGCTCCGCAGTCGCAACACGGCTCATCGCATGTCTCGAGAGATTAATGGGCATGGGTGCAAGCGGACAGGGCGACATGCTCATCCTCTCCGTGCTTGACCTCCTGCAAGGCACCCTTCTCCTGCACCCCGCTTCGCGTGCATTGTTCGGCCGCGAAATCTACATGAACGTAAGTGTCACATGTTGCATCTGCCAATCCACCGAACTGGGTAACTAACAACATTGCAGCTCTTGCTCGACCTTCTTGACTGCGGCGAATGCCCTTCGATCCAGTCGCGTTCCCTTCTCGTGCTTGTCACCGCACTCCTGGACACGCCGTCCAACACGCGGACGTTCGAGTCCATCGACGGCCTCCTTACCGTCACCTCCCTCTTCAAGTCGCGCAGCACCGGAAAGGCCGTCAAGCTGCAATTAATGGAGCTGTTCTACTTCTACCTCATGCACGAGACGCCCACCATCCCGGCCGGCGCAAAAGGAAACTCCCTCGGCGCCGAACGGAGCTCCAGCGACCGCAAGGTGCGGGATCGCAGGTTGAGCGATCCCGGTCAAAAGACGAAGTCGGTATCGGAGAAGCAGGCGCTTCTCGGCAGGTACATTGGCAACGTCGACGACCTGGTGCAGGACCTTCGCGACTGCACGCCTTTCAGCACGGGCATCAGTGTCGCTGCTTAAGCGACTCGTCTACCTCTTGCCCTCGTACAACGCACGCTACCGCGCGCGTTCACCAGAGACTTTTACTCCTTCTCCAGTCCCCCGCGGACACCGTTTATTCTCTTTACCTTTTCCTCTGTTTCTAGCATGTCTTATATTGTTTTTTTGTTTGGACTTCAGCGAGCGACGGCGTTTGGAATATTGGCACGTTGGGCGTGCACTCGGACAGGCGTTACTTGTGGGAATACGGCGCATCATTAGCATCGACTTTTTAAGTGTCGAGCACCTTGGGTTTTGTGATACCGGCATCCGACAGGATTATATTCATTTTTTCGGTTCTCTACAATAGTGCAGAAGGCCCTTTGAGGCAAGTAGTGTGTGAGAATGGTAATCTTAAACCACCTCAAATCCGGTTCCATAACGTTGAACAATGGATTGTGATCTCAATATCGCCGTCATCATCAGGGACGAAGGATGGAGGCAGGAAGGCATCCTTCAAACTCGGTCATGTCTTAGGCTGAGCGAGCTCTTGTTTGGCTCACATTTCCTTATCGGTAACTTCTCGGACTGCTCGGTACTACCATCTCTAACTGCATGTTGCACATGGCATCAGAGGAAAGACAAGTCACTGCAGCTGTCTCACAGCTCCGCAGTGGCAGCCTTCAGCCCCGCCGGCGCGTAACGCCGCCGTCCTTCTCCTCAGCTCGTCTGGATAGCGTGTGACTAGCATCGGTGCCGCCGTCCGGCGTCAAGGATGTCATCTTTCTTCTCGGTCCGATCGGGTGCAGTCAAACGAGGGGATAGGTCACATTGCGAGAGGCGCGCGTTTTAGACACAGCTCTGATGATGGGTCCAATACACCACCAGCCTCAATCAGCAGGAACTCCTCAGCCTCACCAAAAGGCGTCCCATGGCCGATTTGTCATTGTTAATGCACTGCCACGAGGCGAGGAGGACGACGAGGGGGGCGTAGGCAGCTGCTAGGTTCGAGTCTTTGGGCCGGGGTCATACGGACCGGTGCGGTTCGGATCCTGCCGTACGCTACAATCATAGCCCAGGCCTCTCTCGCGTGCACGTCCGATTTTCCTCTTTTTCCCCTCCCCTCTCCAGCTCCAGCTGCTCCCGCGCGCCTCCAACAAACTCGCCCCCAACTACAGACTACAAAGAAGGCGTTCTTTCGCTTTTTCGGGGCGCTTGTCCGGCCGGTGAGTTGCGCCGGGTTGTTGTTGGGATTGCCGCCCAAGGCACAAAAAAAGAACCCATCCAACAACAACAACAACAGCGTCTTTTTTTTTTGGATTTTATTGCTGCCTTTCGCTTTCGGGCGTCGCTGCATGATGCTGCTTTTAGAGTCGCACCCCGTTTTCCCGCTTCAGCTTCCTGCCCCGGGGTAGCCCGACGCCAACCAAAAAAACACTTGCGACAAACGGGGAAAGGCGGGGACATTTTTTGCCCGGAAGCGCCGCGGTAGGCATGTACGGGCGGTAGCGCGAGCGACACATGTTCTCGCCCCTGCTTGGGGGTGGGCACGGGGGGGCCGCCAACGCCCCGTCTGCAGAGCTGGCTTGCTGCAAGGCGCCCTACCCTTGGAGGGCTCTTTGACACCTTTTTACGGGCGATATATACCCCTGCCTTACCGGTCAGGCGCCAGCAAACGATAGGGCTCGCTAAGGGAGAGGGAGGGGAGGAGCAGTCCCGCTGAGGTGCGATGCGCTGCCGCGCAGCCGCCGCGCGCATGCGGTTGTTTGCCGCTTCGATGTTACTCGCCCAGCCACTTTCTACAAAAATAATGCTGGCTGGGCGGGCATAATCCGTCCGGATCCGGACATGGTTTCGGTAGCGCGACGTCGGCGGTTGCATGTACCTTGCATTGCCGACTGCAGCGTACAGTGTTTCACGTAAACGAGGCTGCACCAGTCGGAGGGGTCAGGCTATCCGTTTTACCGAGTACGGGGGGTGGGTTAGGAAGTGTCTTATTAATAAGGACACACGGGCCCGATAGATATGATGATAGCGATGCGGATGATGATGATGGTGGTGGTGAGGGTTATGACGACGATGGGATAAACTAAGTTGGGCGAGGTTGGATAAAAAGAGTGCACTTGCGCTCTTAACTCGGCTTCCCGCCAGAGTACAACCTTACCATGCAGGGCAGTTGGTGCGAGCGTCATCGCTTCTCCCGACTCGCGTTTACCACCCTCACACACGCCACTTTCTCTCTCTCACGGCATGTTCAGCGCTCAGGAACCGGTCCGATTGCTTGCAGATCTCGAGCGAATGGGCGCGGCGTCCAGACGGTGCCGGAGATGCCCTTTTTTTTTTTACACCCTCTCTCTCAGCGGGCCACGCGAGAACACGGCGGAGGCTAGCCAAGTTCATGAATCGCGCGGATCGAATGGGACGATGGATGGAATGGGGCGGCGGGGGAGAAGGGGAGGGATTCACAGGGTACACAACAGTAATTAAGTGGGCGTCAGGCGCATTGGCCCATCGAACCCGGTGGTCCGGACTCTGGGACGTCTCATGGGTATGGCAAAGGCGCGCGCCTCCCCGGGGCGTGCAGCGGCGGAGTGGGGGGGGTGGGAGGGGAGGGAGGCCCGACGACATTCGAGAGGGCGAAAAGCGAGAGGGCCCGCCGCCGCCTTTGGTGATGCGATGGGCCCCACTCCGGCTTGGAGTGTGGGGCGGGGCGCGCGCACGCCAGGAGCTGAGGGACGGCTGGGACGACAAAGGGGTCCAGCTGCGCGCGCGAGTTTCGGTGCCCTCTCGCGGGCGGGCGGGTGGTTCGGGAGGTTCTAGGCTTTCGGCGTGGTTTGGGTTGCGTCGGAGGCTTGCGGGCTTTTTGTGCGCGGATGAGGTAGCACGAGCTGGCGAACAGGCGAAACAGGTTTGTTTACACAACCTCTTGGACCATGCTTGTGCCGCCTTCCCCACAACAGGCCGAGATGTGCAAGGCCGGGTGATCCTTGGGCCGGGCCACAACGTCACCCAGAGGGAAGCCGTCTGGTGTTTCCAATGTTGCTAACAAAAGCAACGTCGTATGACGTACCCGGTATTGCCGGCGGGCTTGGCCATCTCGATTGTGTCGCGACGCGAGCTGCGACGCGCTGACGCGTCAGTGCCACCTGCCACCCACAGAGCAGATCCACGCCTTGGCATTGCACCTCGCCGCCCTCCCGAATACGGCTGCCGATCCTCACGTCGAGATCTGGAGAGACCGCAGATGCTCGATCGCCGCCGTCATATGCAGCCACGCCTTCACCCCTGCCGCTGCACTGTTTTGCTGGACATGCAGGGGGTGCTGCCATGTGGACTCGTGCCATTGAGCGCATGCAGGGTCTATTATTGCCAAGTGCGTTGGTGCCATTGATCACGGGCGTGTGTGTAGGTATGTGGTATCGCAGCTTCATGTGATGATGAGCGTCTGCCTGCTCTAGACTCTGAAACACCTGGGCGCACGGTCGTCTCCACGGCTAGCTTCAACGGCTCCAGCTTTGTTGCAACATTTCCCGGCCGGCACGTACGTTGGAAGTGCCTTGGCCGATGATCGCGTCGCATGATGCCTGCTGAGACATCAACACCGGGGTCAAGCTTGAGGCTCGTTTACAAGGGTCCCTTCCCCAACGCCCGAGTACAAATGTTGAACGTCCCCCCTCCCTACGCGGACGCTACTCCATAACTCCCGGATCGCCCCGCGACCGACCAACCACCTCCTTTACTCACCGACCAACGTCAGAGGGGGAGCGGAGCGGAGGGAGCTTGAACCCGCCGGGCACCAGCCGCTGGAACACGCCCGCCGGATCGTACTTGGCAGACGCCGTGCGCATTCTGGCCACGTTCTCCGGCCCGTAGCTCGCCAGCACGTCCTGCGTCCGCCACGCGTAGTTCAGGTACAGCCACTCGTTGGCCTTGTCCACGCTACGAGAATACGCGACGACGTCATCGATGAGCCGCCCGTTGGCCTCGATGAACCGCGCGTCATTGGCCGCCTCGTCCCATTGCACCAAGGTCAACATGACTGCGACAGAATCAGTCCACCGCCGTCTTCGAGAACCGAACATGACTTACTGACGAGATTTGATGATGCCCGCTCCAGGCCGAGAACGTTGCCGCCCCTCTCGATCGAGTGTTGAGTGTAGACCTTGGGCACCGGGTGGTACTGGTTCCCAAAGTTCCATTTGCCGGACGTGCCGTTGAGTTTTCTGGCGGTGAGCGTGAAGAGCTCCATGGCTTTGCTCAGCACCTGCTCGTCGTTCTGAAACGTACATGTCATCATCAGCTGGCGCCATCCGTTTTCGATGGGCACCTCGGCTACGAGGTCCGACATGTTGGTGATGCGAGTGGTGTCGAATATTTTTCCAGGGATTGCATAGTACTCGTCGTAGATGGGTGGCCGTGCCACGGGTTTGGTGTAGACATGGCCGTCAAAAATGGCCACGTCTCCCGCATCTTCCGAGTTGAATGAGGTGAACATGATGGTAGACGCATTTTGGTCGCTCTCAATGCTGTCCGTGAAGTGCGTGAAGGCTTTGGCGTGCTGCGACATGGTGCTGCTGGGGTATTGGATAAGGCCTCCCCAAAGCTCTCCGTGATTGTCAAACACTTCCATGTCCACCCTCGTAACGACGCCAAAATTGTTGGACCCGCCCTTCAAAACCTGGAATAGGTCTCGATTATGCTGACTGTTGGCGTTGACAATGTCTCCGTTGGCGAGAACAACCTGCGATGGTGCATCAATTGACCGTTTTCTTGAAGACTGGGAAAAGAAGGCTAAGGAGCAGAAGTCTGGGGCGTTTTCCGTACCTCGAAATTGGCTACACTGTCACACACGAAGCCCTTACGAGCATTGAAGTAAGAAAGGCCGCTCCCAAGGACGAGCCCGCCCACACCTGGCTTGTTGCACCGACCGCCGGGTGTAGACACGTTGAGCGCATCAAGAGTAGCGTAAACAGACTCCCACCTGGCACCGACCTGAATGGCAGCAGTCGAGTTTTCGGCGTGGAATGTCGTCGAGTTCATGTAGCTCAGGTCGATGGTGACGCCATCGTCGATGTTCGCAGCTCCAGCCCAGGTAGTGTGGCCACCGCTGCGCACAGCGAATCGGCACTCTTGGCTTTCGCTTGCGGTGACGAGAGTCGCGACGATTTTGGAGACTTCATCAGTGGTGAGGGGTTGAATGAGGCACCACGGATGAAGATGCTCCAGGTTGGACCAGTACGAATCGATGCTTGCTTCGTACCTCTCTTCTCCGGCATATTCAACCCTGGAGCCGAACCCGGCTGCTTCAAGTGCACCGCACTTTCACCGAGCTTAGCTCATGATGGCTGTTGGCATCACAGCCGATTTACTTACGCAATACGTAGAAGCGGGGTAGGTAGACGAGACGTTGGGGGCCGTGTAAGCGTATTCTGAGGCGTAATGTCGACCAGCATAAACGCCGAGTGTTCTGATCAAGAGAACGAAGAGTACCGGGGCCAATTGCATTTTGCGCCGATAAGTCAGTGAGAGCCTTCGAAGCTGTAGATGTGCTCCCCAGAAATCGGCCGAACCGGGTCCATATACATGTCAAATGGACGCACAAAGGATCACACAATAAAGTGGGTCGCAAATGCGGAGGATTTGCGCTAAGTTCCCCAGTTTTCGTTGTACGACCATAAGCAGATCAACTCCGCAGCTTTGACACATGGGTGAAGGGGTTTCTTTTGAAGAGCTTCATGTGCCCTATATCCATTTACAATTCCGGAGTCTCAAGACATGTTGGTTTTCAAAAGTGAAAACGGTGAAAAGCCGCAGACAGAGTCTTCCGCGATAAGTATTCGGTAAAGTCTGTCGCACTCTGCCGCTCAGAGAGACGTCACCGGATTGTCGATACGCGTAAATGCAGTAGCTGCGTTTCTCGGGTGCTTGGCGGGGGGAAAAGCGGACGAACCGGGTACAGGACCCAAGGGACCGTTTTTACCGTCTTGGCTCAGGACGTCTTCCCCACAGAATCTTGTACTTCCGTCACGCTATGATTAGCGAGGAAGAGCATCCTGGTGGAGCCAATCCCGTCAGCCTAGTATTGCCTCTTCCGTACCTAGGGCCGGTCGAGTATTTTGTGTCCAAATTCCAGCTCGAGATAAAATGAAGAGGATTAGTGATTCGGCGTCGCTTACGCCTATCGAACCCCTCGTATAAGAAGATAAAGGACGTAATTTCTGGTTATTCCTTAGTCTTGTTAGTCTTCGGGGCTTGCGGTAACCAATTTCTACAGACTTTAGGAGGTCCTTGGCCATTTGCTAATCTTGTTGTCACTTCCAATCAATCCTATTCTGTCTCAACCATGTGATATTAGTGTGCGACCCTGTACGTTGACGCTGCACACAAAAACAAAAGAAAACCCCAAATCAGAGCCCCATCTACTATTGCGCCGCCAACGAGCAAACGAGCCGCCCGCTAAAATGCAAGGACAAGCGGCACCAAGACAAACGCACCATCGAAGACAGTTAACAACAACAAGCCCTCCTGTACCACCCATCCCACACCTCATGCACAACAAAAACGTCGACGTACATCCTCAATCCCCCCCAGTCAAACACATATCAAACCCCACTATCCACCTGCCCCACCACATTCCCCCTCGACCAAGCATCCCACCCCGCACACACACCCCTCACCCCCTCCAACCCCCCCGCACCACCACTCCTCCCCACCACCCCAGCAATCTCCCCCGCCCTCTCCACCAGGCTCGCGAACATGCCCGCAGACAGGTGCCACGAGATGTGGCAGTGCAGCGGCCACACCCCCGGGTTGTCCAGCGCGAACTGGATGACGAGGTGGCCGTCGGGCGGGAGCTGGTAGACGTCGCGGCGCGGGGGGTTCTGTGGATTGTCGACGGTGTGTCCGTCCCACGTCCCCGGCCCGGATGCGAGGATCTGCGCGTTGTGGCCGTGCAGGTGCATCGGGTGCGACATGCTGGAGTTGTTGTGCATGACGACGCGCGCGGCGGACGTGGTACTGGTGGCGGTGCCGCTGCCGCCGACGTTGTAGACGTTCCATTCGGGGCGGAAGGAGGAGGTGCTGCTGGTGGTGGTGTTGCCGCTGGCGACGAGGGCGAGGACGGGGGCGTTGTAGTCGCCGTGGAAGCCGCGGTCGTTGACGGTCCAGACGGGGTGGCCGGTGGCGTTGACGGTGAAGCTGAAGTCGGTTTCGAGGGTGGTGGAGGGGTGCGGGTCGGCGGGGATGGGGTACAGGGGGACGGTTTGGTCGAGGGGGTCGTTGTCGCAGGTGCCGGGGAGGGGCCAGGCGGTGGTGTTGGGGCGGGTGTTGGTGTTGTTGGCGCCGTCGTAGTAGATGGCGGCGAGGGCGGTGGGTTGCTTTGAGAAGGCGCACGAGTCGGAGCTGGCTATGGTGCTGCGCATCCAGTAGGCGCCGTTGGTGGACATGTTTGCGGTGACGAGGACGTCGCTTCGTTGGCCGGCCTGTGGGGGAGTTGGTGGATGAGTGATGCAGGTTGGGAAAAGGGTGCTTTGGGACATACCGCGAGGGTGACGACGTTCGTCTGGTAGGGCTCGATGGCGACAAAGTCGTTTGCGATGACGGTCATCTCGTGGCCATCGATGCTGAAGTGCTGGAGAGAGGCAGCGCCGCCGTTGATGAGCCGAAGACGGTGTGTGGCACCTTTGGTGAAGTTGAACTTGGCAAGGCCGGCGTTGGCGACACAAGGGGTTCCATCGGTGACGAGAGAGCAGTCGTAGTCCATCTTGCCGTTGATCATGTTGTTGTCGGCGAGCGGGCTCCAGCGACTGGGGTCTGTGCCGACGACTGTGGAGGTGTCAGTTTCCAAAACCGCCGAACATGGAACAAGCAGACGCACCGCCATCGATGAGTGTCAAGTAATCCTCGTGATACCAGTCGCTCAACAGAACGGGGCCGAGGTCGATATCGTAGTCGAGGGCACTTGGGCCATGGACGACTACAGGACCAACCAGGCCGCCTACATTCTGGCCCGAGTAGTGGGAATGATACCATCCCGTTCCATAAAGATCCGCCCTGAACGAGTATACGAACGTGTCGTTGGGTGCTATCGGACAACTCGAAACAGAGGGAACGCCGTCCATCTGAGGAGTGCCCTTTTGCGTAAAGCCGTGCATGTGGATCTGCGTCCCTTCCTCCGGACCGCTGATTTGATTATGTACAGTTACTGTGGCCATCAGTATCGTGCTTGCTTTGGGTGCGCCTGTGGGGAGCTAACATTCGATCATATCTCCCCAGTTGGCTTCAATAAGTGGGCCGGGGAACTGTCCGTTTACGAGTAGGACATCTTTCTTGTAGCCGTCCGGGGACAACGGGTGTCGCTCGATCGTGAAGTCGTACTTGACCGTCACTCCTGTATCGGGAGCTCTAGAAGTAGCGTGAGCTTACGCGTTTCGGATGGCGGGACTGCGCCAAGGCTTACTCTGTGTAGGGATTTGCATTTGTACAAGTCTTGCCCGCCCATGGAACTCCGTTGCCCTGTGGGACTATGTCAGCACGTGGGCGACGGCTCATGTCGAGAGGCGCTTACTCTATCTATGTACTTTGCGAGCTTCGGTGCATCGAATGTGCCCCACTTGGACACACTAAATGAATTAGCCGGATGTCAATGCGGAACGGGACAGCCACTTACCCATTAGTTTGCTCTTGAGTCAACCCGGCAGTGAAGGCAATGACACCAGTGAAGATCTTGGAAACGAAGGAAGACATTGTGAAGAAGGAGATCCAAGCGAGGGTAACGCTCCAGTGACAAAGGAAATCTATGGCAAAGAAGAGTTGAAGAATGAGATGGGGTACATTCGAAGGCGACGGAAGAAGGTTTTATACAATCCAATCTTCTCCGCTGTAGGTGACTGAGCCCCGATAGGTCCCCGGGAGTCTGAAAATAAGCACCATGTGCGGGATTGGTTGGGGGTGGCTGACACGGCCAAGTGCGGGTCGTGGTGGCTCATCTAGCCCCAAGCTCTTGGCTCGGTATCGGACCGCGAGAAAAGCTCAGAAGTTCCCGCAAGAGGACCGCTTGATGCTTCTTGGCAAAGGGGTGGATAGTAGATCTGGACTGCGCCGCCGGCAGGACAAATCAGCATCTACCCAAAGGTGGCCTACAAGATTCAGACATCATCAAAAAGCGTATACCACAGCAAAAGGGCAGTGGAAAGTCAGCTGTAGATAGTCTCCAACCTGCTGAATACTCTCGAGAGTGCTGTAAGATCCCATATCGACTGGTTTGGGGCTGTTTGGCGACTTGGGTCAACAATGGGTTGTGTGAAGTTTTGCCACCGCGCAGTATTCGCGCTGAGAGCCAACCACGCAATCGCACCCGGAAACATTCTGGCTGTGCTGGCTGACTGCATGTATATGGTGGCTGTGATTCTTGGATTAGTGCAACAATACATGCCGCCCGGTTCCTGGTCTCGGTGTCCTTTGATCTACATTCCGTCAACTCATGGTATGGCTCGTAACAATCTTCCGAAGATAGGGCTTTCAGAGATGTCAAGTCCCTGGCGCTGACGGAACGATGGGGAGTCGACTCAGCCCGTTCCGCTTTCCAAGAAGGAGCAAAAGTGGGCGATCTCGGGATAGACTGCGCATATTCGATGCTATAATTATCTTGGGCTTGTGAAGCCAAGCCTGATAGGTTGACATGGCGTAGACAGCGATATCTTTGCCCCAACAGATACTGCTGGCTGGCTTTGTTTCAGAGAGTGACACCACGGGCGGTAGGGCTGACGGCCAATCACATCCTTGGTGCGACACTAAAGTGTGGCGCATATCGAGCGTGTCCGGGTTTCCGTGGAGTGGTCAAGCTAACGCGTCATCGATGTGCGTGAAATTTTATTCATAAGCATGTCAGGCCATGATGTGGCGCAAGGCTAAGAATACCCTCCGAATGCAATTCTTCTACTCAGGATGTATCACTGCATTTTCTCAGCTGGGGGAAAGGCGCCATATTTCTGCGCATAGGATACCCAGAAAGTTCACCTGCAGACGAGGCCGAGTATCCAATTGGCTACACGGCTCTATCTCAATCCTCCACCAGTGTCTTGGTGTGTACCGAGGAGAAGATAACAAGGCTTGATCTTTGATTGAAGCTCCATTTGACAACATAGCAGGAGAGAGGACCTCACATTGCTACACAAGAAACCATACCGCTAGTCAGTGCTCCATGCACTCTAGATGTTTGCGAACTGTTATCAAAGTGTAGATGCACACTACAACCGACTGGATTGGATCGGGTGGCCGCGAGAAAACATGTTTGGTGACGGCCTTCACTCTTTCACTTGGAGATAACGCGCACTGGTTTCTGTGAGTCCCATTTCAAACACTCCCTGCTTTTGAAAGCGAAAACTAAAGCGTGCAGCCGGTGAAATACCCGCAAGCCAGCGCTTCGATGACCCAGTAACACTGTAAATCAGGATTTGCTCTGCTTGAATGGGACACTTAACCATCGTGACCGAAGGCCGAGTTCTCACAATAGTTATTGGCAGTCAATACTTCACCGATCCTTACCTGGCAACATATTTGCTCGGAGTTTGAAACCGGAGATAGGAGGTGGTGGTGTACGGACCAGATCTTCCCGAATCCCCACACATTGAGCTCGAACGAACACCACTGGATGTGAGGGATTTTCTGTCCATTTGCTCATATCGTTACAGTAGCATTTTTTCCGCGTTCCCGGCCGTGCCAATAAGTGACGACGAAGTCAGTGCCGAAATCGGACGGCAACACTCCGAACAGCCTAGAGACGTCTCCCCCACGTGGTCATGATCAAGCCTCACCGAATGGGGTTTTGCGGGGCAGGAACGGCTGACAGGGGGAGCTCGCTCGAGAACAGACCGAAAGACGGACAGCGCATGGCAAAATTGTTGCACAAAATCACACTCAATATATGCTGAAAGCGTCGCGTCCACCGGTCCGAGCGCTCACTCTACCGGACCGAACCGACCGTGTCCAGGCATGGTACCCACATAGGACAAGGTCGGGCTGCAGCTGCCGGGGTGGTTGCGCGTTCGCCAAGGCGTGGGAGCCGGGAGATATATGAAAGAGGATATTTGACCTGTAGATCTTCGGCATCTCTCCACGTTGCTTCCACCTGGCGGGGATTCGACGTTTCAAAAGCCCTCCAATCGGTGCGATTGACCCTGGCCAGGCTGTGTAACTGTTGTTGCATGCGGCAGGTCGCTAAACACACAATCATCCGTTCAATCTAAGACTGGGAATGGACGCGTACATGTCTTCATGAAGGGTCTGTACATACATATATCAGATAGCAGCGCCGCACTCGCATACCAACAAACCCGTCGTTCTTTCTTCACGCCGTTCATCATGTTGGCCGCTTTGTCAGTTGGTCTTCTCGTCTCCATCTGCAGCCAGGGCGCGCTGGCTGCCTTTGGCCTCACGGACAATGGCGACAGCTATACCATCGATGCGGGGTCGGCCAACTCGCTGGTCGTCACGGTTGATAGTGCCAGCTGCGACATCACGTCGATCGTATACTACGGCCAGGAGTACCAGTATTCCGCACAGGGGTCGCACATCGGGTCCGGTCTTGGGTCCGCAGACGTCACTGCAGAGACGATTGATGGTAGGCGCTTCTCCCTCAGCGTCACTCAGTCCGCGCTGACGACGGGCCAGATGTGATCAAGGTGACTTGCACGACGGACACGCTCATCCACTACTACGTGTTCAAGTCAGGGGACAGCGCCATCTACATGGCGACGTACACCAGCGCGGAGCCCGAGATTGGCGAGCTGCGGTACATCGGGCGGCTGGACTCGTCGGTGCTGCCGTACGAGTACCCGTTCGGCGACGTGTCGACGACGGCGGACAGCAGCTCGACGGTCGAAGGGTCGGACGTGTTCGTGGTCGACGGCGAGACGCGCAGCAAGTTCTACTCGAGCGAGCGCTTCATCGACGACGACGTGCACTGCGTGTACAGCGACGCGACGCACGCGTGCATGCTGATGCCGCAGTACGAGACGTCGTCGGGCGGGCCCTTCCACCGCGACATCAACTCCAACAACGGCGGCGACATGACGGCGCTGTACTGGTACATGAACAGCGGCCACGTGCAGACCGAGTCGTTCCGCCAGGGGCTCCACGGGCCCTACGCCATGTACTGGTCGCGCTCGGGCATCCCGACCCTGGCCAGCGTCGACTTCTCCTTCATGGCCGACCTGGACCTCGAGGGCTACGTCGCCGACAGCGCCCGCGGCACCGTCACGGGCACCGCCTCGGGCGTCGACGGCGACACGTACCAGACGGTGCTGCACTGGTACAACGACGACGCCCAGTACTGGGCCTACGCCTCGTCGTCGGGCGCCTTCACCTCGCCCGCCATGAAGCCGGGCACCTACACCATGGTCCTGTACCAGACGGAGCTCAACGTCGCCACCTCGACCGTCACCGTCACCGCCGGCGCCGCCACCGCGGCCGACATCGCCAGCGCCTGGGCCGCCGGCTCCGAGTCGCTCTTCCTCATCGGCGCGTGGGACGGCAAGCCGGACGGCTTCCTCAACGCCGAGAACCAGCTGCGCATGCACCCCAGCGACGCCCGCATGGCCGACTGGGGCCCCGTCACCTACACCGTCGGCTCCTCGGCCGCCAGCAGCGTGCCCATGGCCCTGTTCAAGGGACTCAACGACCCGCTGACCATCACCCTCGCCCTCGACGCCGACGCCGCCGCCGGCGCCGCCACCCTGCGCGTCGGCACCACCCTCGCCTTCGCCGGCGGCCGCCCCTCCATCACCGTCAACGACCACTCCGACTCGGCCGCCGCCCCGACCCAGATCAACTCGCGCGGCGTCACCCGCGGCGCCTATCGCGGCTACGGCGAGATCTACGACTTTGACATCCCCGACGGCACCTTGTCCACCGACAATACCATCACCATTTCCGTCATCTCCGGGAGCAGCGGGGACAGCTTTTTGACGCCCAATTTCGTGAGTGCATTCTTGTTTTTTGTCTCCCGCTTTTCGGGAGCGTTGTGGCTTGGAAGGCTAACGCTTGAGTAGATCCTCGATGCCATTGAGCTTTTCAGGTAGAGTTTCGGGGTTTGTTGATGAATCAATCAGTCTGAACATGACAGCCCAGTGAGGCTCGGTGGTTGGTCATACATTCGCTTGTAACGTTCTCAAGGCTTCCATAATCCAGAGTTTTCGTGTGAATCACTGTTTACGTGAAGAGCAAAACGACCTTTGGATTTGAGCAAAACTAAATCAGAGATCATGGAAGCATCCGCCAGTGATCTCCGTCCCTCGTCAGTGATCCGCCTTGAGCTTGTTCTCCCCTGAATCGGTATGTATCGACAACCCGACAAGGTCGAAGAGCCCGTAGTATCGGGTGAACCGTCTACTTTTGCCAGATGTGTGGATTCGCGGCTTGTCGGTTGGCTCACCCTCGCTTCAAACAAAGCGGATAGCCAACCGTTGAGCTAGACCATATTCCCGGCACCTTTCGTCTTTCAAAGGTTCGTTATTGCTGCAGACAAAGCAAACAACTCGCAACAAGCGCGCACATCCACCACACGGACGTGACTTGACTGATTGCGGTGTGCTATACATCCTCGTCAGCCATTCAACCCTTATGCCATCCGGCACCCTGGGCTGCCTGTTTCGTTTCCACCTTCCTCCGTCCAGCCGAACTCAGGCAGCGCATTAGGTGCTTTATGCCAATGGACGGTTTCGTCCAGAAAGATCAGTTGTTCTGGAATGAAGGTCCTACATATATATGCTAAGCGCTGATGGCCATTGCGAAGGACACCAGCCTCAATCCTCAGAATTCTCCACCGGACGTTCCAAAAAACCTCAACAAATACCATCAGCATGCCCAACCTCGGTGTTCTCTTTGGTAACCCCAAGAGTGGTTGCATTGTCATGTAAGGATCGGGAAGGGCATCTCACCCGCTCAATGCTGAGAGTCCTTTGGACGGAGCACTTGCATGGTTTTCATTATGGGGATGAAAGCAGCGTCGCGAAGGAAAACCGAGCTGGCGAGATACATATCTAGGGATCGAATCGAAAGGATGAGTCTCAAACATGAAGGTTTGATAGATGCAGCCTCGTATTAGAAGTGTTGCACATACCTCTAGCGTGGATGCCGAGAAGGAAAGAATGAGGGGCAGTATCGATTCCTAAACAAAAACACCCTGTCCCATCTTTGCCGACTGGTAGTGACCAGACCGACTGTTCTCCGAGGACTCAACCATCGCAACCATAACATCAAAATGCACACAGAACAGAGATCGTAAGGAACGTTTTTTATATCATAGGTACAATTGCCTGTGCAATATCAACATTTTCCCCGCATCCGAGCTGGTATCTATATCTCTCAGGTGCTTTCCCTGCCCACCTCCCTCCCCCATCCGTAGTCGTGGTTGTACTCTAAAAGCCAAAGAGCGTGTCTCATAATGCCATCGTTATGATCGTCGTCGGGATATCAATAAAAAGGAGAGTTCCCAAATGCCCCCGCTTTGCTCAACCCCGTCCAAACTCCTCTAAAACGACAAAAAACCCACAACATTACGCAGAATCCGCGAAAAGGAAAAAAACATAGACGAGAAAAAACCCCTCAAAAAAAAAACCAGGAAAGAAAAAAAAAAACGGACAAACCAACACGCTTAGTTCGACGCCCTCGCCCGCATCTCATACGGCAGCGCGAACCACAGCGCACCGGCAACGATCCAGCAGGCGCTCGCGACCCACACGGGCGCGCTGCTGGCGCTGTCCTCGCAAAACGCCACGACGAGCGCTCCGACGAGGCCGGCCGCGCGGGCGGCGGCGCCGACGACGCCCATGCCGGTGCCGCGGATGGGCGCGGCGAAGGTCTCCGACACGTACATGAACATGAGGCTGACGACGGCGTTCTGGGCGAACGCGAGCACGCACTGCCAGGCGATGACGTCGCCCTTGGTGCGGGCCGAGGCGTAAGCAAAGGACAGCACGCCGGCGAGCAGGGTGGCGGCGGCGCCCGTCTTCTTGCGGCCGAGGCGCTCCGTCTCGACGAGGAAGCCGGCGACGATGGGGCCGGGGATGGCGCAGAGGGCGGTGAAGACGTGCGTCTGGAAGGTGAGGCTGGTGCTGAAGGCGGCGGTGGCGGGGTGGCGCGCCGCGAGCCAGCGGGCGACGAAGGCGGCGTGCAGCGGGAAGGCGAGGCCGATGAGCGACCAGATGACGATGAGGACCGTGGTGCTGGTGCGCAGGTTGCGGGTGCAGAAGACGTTGCGCAGCCACGAGGGCCGGAACGGCTGCAGGCAGAGGCGCGCCTTGGAGCTGTTGGCGGCCGTGGCGCGCAGCGTCGGCGGGCCGTGGATCTTCTCGATGTGCTGGAAGGCGTCGAGCGTGAGCCACGTCTGGCGGCCGTTGTGCTGCGCGATGGCCGACACGGTGGCCACGACGTCGGCGTCGCGGTTCTGGCCCAGCAGGAACTTGGGCGTCTCGTGCAGGGTGAAGAAGTAGCGGAGGATGCAGAAGAAGACGGTGATGGCGCCGAGGGTCCACCAGGCGTAGCGCCAGCCCATGTTGTTCACGTAGTGGCACGTCTCGGTCGTGGCGTCGGCGGCGCACGAGTACTTGGACATCAGAGGCCTGCGGGTCCGGGTGGTTAGCTGGCGGGCGAGAGGACGAGGGCGGGATGCAGCAAGGCTTACCAAGAGACAAGAGCGGCGACCAGCTTGCCCAGGCCCGAGTAGGCGCCCTGCATGGTCAACAGGTACTGGTGCGAGGCGGGGATGATCTCCAGGAAGATGGAGCTGTCGACGGCCTGGTTGCCTCCGGCGGCAATGCTCATGAAGGTGGCGACGACGCAGAGGCCGGAGAAGGTGGGCATGCCGGCGCCAACGAGGCCGGCGACGCACATGAGGGCGAGCGAGAAGTTGAAGACGGTCTTGCGGCCGATGAAGTCGGAGACCATGGGCAGCACCGAGGCGCCGACGGTGAGGCCGACATACTGGCACACGGTGAGGAAGGCGGCGTTGCTGGTGTAGAACTTGGCCTCGTTCTGCACGGCGGGCTGGATGAAGGCGAAGGAGAACATCCAAAACTGGGTGGAGCTGTCAGCGGAGCACTAGCCCGAAGCGGAAGGAGTCGACATACGCTATCAAGGAACCAGCCGAGACCGGTCACGACGGTGAGGAACCACTGGTACCGGCCCATGCCCATGTCCAAGAGGGCCTCGTTCAGCAGCTTGGCCTTGGCGTCGTACACGTCGTCGCCGCCGGGCTGCATGTAGGTGGTGTCGATGATGGCGCCGAAGCTGTTCCGGTACCGGTCGGCATCGCGCTCGTTGGCCTGGTAGTGCACCACGGGCGGCACGTGCGTGTGCCCGCTGGAGGTCGTCGACGCGCTGCGCACGCTGCGGGCGTCGTAGCCGGGGAGGTCTTTCTCGGACCAGGCCGAATCCATTGTGGGCGGTCCTCTCTCTCTCTTAGTAGTCGCACGGGAAGGCGGGCCGGGCTGTTGCAGGCTGCGGGCTGCGGGCTGCGGGCTGCGTCTGGTTGTCGAGGTGCTGTTGGTTCCGCAACAAAACGAGGGAACTGGCTAGACTTCCAGGCACAGCGAGGCGGCCACAGCTGTTCTACTTAAGCCGGGCACGTTCCCCACCCGTCAGTCGAGCATTGAGAATTTTCGGGCTCTTGACAGTGGAGTCGTGGGATAGCCCGAGCGCGGCGCGACGCAAAGGCCCGAGGATCTCCGCAACTAGGGCCACCTCCGCCTTGAGAGCCGCCTACAGCCAACAGTTGTCCAATACCGCCTTTTTGTCTCCATCGCCCTAGCCCGAACCAGCCTCCAGCCTGGCAGCTATTGGAACGTGTGGGCTCCGCGTCACCACCTGAGTTGTCACCTCCGGACCGGCTAACCCAGAGCCCAGACACACCGAGCCCGCTGCCTGTCTGCCTATCGAGCCTGCCCAGATGACCTGCATGTCCGTCACCCGTCGTCGCACAATTGCCCCAACGAGCTCCCGTTCATGCCGAGGCGCGCTGGGGAACCCGCGGGAGCAGCCGCCGAACGCCTGCGCGTCTGCGCGCCCGCTCGCCCGCCGAACCGCTGCTCTCACCACCCTCACCACCCTCACCCCATCGTCGTCCGCTTGGCCCCCAACGCCGCGGCTGAAGCCGCGCTTCGTCTCTTCAGCCCCAGAATCGATAATCTTCACGTCGAGACAACCTTCGAGGCGTTGCCGCGCGCTATTGCTGATCGCCCCTCCGGCACGGTGGTTCTTTCGGCCTCTGCTCGTGAGCACGTTCACCGCTACTCGCGAAGCACGCGGGCTGTGTTGGGTCCCTGGACGCACGCACCGCGAGCTTCGCCACCCACGCGTTGGTCTTTACGACGCGGGTATTTTTAGTCCTTCAGCTGCGCCATCCTTTTGCCTCTTTTCTTAAAAGCGTGCGCAGCTGCTGTCCACAGCGCCGCGTGTTGACCCCGCCGCGCCCTCGATGAGCTGGCGAGGCCAGGCCAGCCAACAGCCAGTCAGCCACTTCACTGCCGCCGGGCTCCGTCGCTCCCGAGGCCTGTGCTCGGGACACGCGAGCGGCTCTGCCCGGGCTGACAAAGAGAGACTGCCACCTGCCCACCAGCATCCTGCGTATCCGGACCGGTCAGCCCGTGGTGTTTGCGCATTCGGCCGTCGGGACGCGACAGCGCTGTTGCCGCAGCAGGTTCGGCTACACGGATTCCGTGTCATCGTATGACGTATGATGACTTTTCTCCGCAGTAAGCATCACCGGAGGACGGGCACCCGGCGGTCCTGGCGCGGACATCAAACCGGGCGAGCAAGTGATGATGATGATGGTTTGTCCCTCACGCGAAAAATGGGCTCACGGGCTGCCCCAAATCGTTTGACGCGAAGGAGTCGTATCAGGCCTTGGTTGATCAGCGCAGATGTTTGCGACATTTACTGCTCGGAGCCAGGCTGTGGAAGAAGAGTCATGATCAGCATGCTGCAATCAGAAGACTGGGGACCGGACGCTCTTTCCGTGTTTTCACAGGCAACCCGACGCGACCTGCAGATGGGGCAGTCGGCCTCTCGCGCCGGTCGCGCGGTTTTTAGAGCCCATCGGTGCAGCGTTGTGAAGGTGCGAAAAATAATGGCAGTGGTTTGGACATGCGATATGTGGAGGTCAGATGTCGTGCCCAATCTGGGCAGGCTCGCGGCTCAGGCCGCCCGGCCAGCACCAGGGATCCAGGCAACCAATTGACACGCGACAGACGCCCCACCAACACCGTCGCTCTGCGTACCTGAGTGGCCCGACGCTTCTCGCCCCCAAGCCTTGGTGCCCAGCTCAGTCCCACGACGACGAGCTCTTCACGTCTGCGCCGTCGCTGGGCAACTGCCTCGGGAAGACGTGTATCTGTCGTGTATGTGCGCGATACTCAGTGGCGACGGAGGCGCTGAAGATCTCTCAACGTCATGATGCTCACCCCTACATTGCGATAGACTCAGCATGGTGCAAGCAGATGTTTCGCAAGTCGACTGTGTATTGTTCAGGCCGGCAGAGAAGGTTGGGGCTAATCGGAGCTAATCGCCATCCCAGCCACAGCGATACTGACTTATTGCAGTCCGTTGACGCTAGCAGATAAGCAATCCGTGCTATCACAACTGGCGTCATTAATGCGTAAACGTACCGCACTGTTGCTTGCTTATATCCATTCCTCTGCAAAGGGCCCTTTACGGGCAGGCTCGGTTTGATCAACAGGGAAGCGTGGGCGCAATCGCATCATGGCAGTTTGAAACGTGGACGAACGCAACTGTACGACAGAACTGCGCACAGCCGAAGCGAAGAGCTTCTACCCCATCGACCATGTCGCAAAACGAAATAGGCCGGCTTTTCCAGTACTGCTGGAGTACCAGCGCACAAGCAGACGTTTCCAGGTTTCGCCGAGGCGCAGCAGGATTCAGCTGCGAGCTGGCAGCCGAGGCCGAATTTCAAACGTAACACAACTTCTGTCACCACAGCTCTGACCACATCACATCCACGCCCACCATGGCCCCCAAGCAGCACCGGCGGCTGTTGGTGCCCTGGATCTACGATATCGGATGCTTCATCTTCACCCTTTGCCTGGACATCTTCTTCCGCGAGGTCTACCCGCGAAATGCCTGGCGTGTTCCCGCGCGCGGGCCCGTCATCATCATCGCCGCGCCCCACGCCAACCAGTTCGTCGACTCGGCCCTGCTGATGCGCATCCTCAAGCACCATGCCGGCCGTCGTGTTTCCTTCCTCATCGCTGACAAGTCGATGCGAGAGCCGTACATTGGAGCCCTCGCCAGTCGCATGGGCGCCCTGCCCGTCGTAAGGGCCATGGACCACATCAAGCCGGGCCCCGGCAAGATCTACTTGCCCGATCCGGAAGGAGACCCGACCCTGGTGCGCGGCCAGGACGTAGACTTCACCTCGTCCCAATTCATGGTCGGCGGCAGCATCATCCTACCCAAGGTCGGCGGCGAGAGTCCGGAGCAGCAGTCCATCGCCGAGATCCTCTCCGCCGATACGCTGCGCCTGCGGGCCCCGTTCAAGGCCTTCGAACCTGACCACCCGCTTCACAAGGCCCTGCGCCGCCGCGGCGAGGCCGAGGCCGAGGAGGGTGGCACCGCGTACAAGGTGTCACCGCACATTGACCAGCACCAAATGTTCGATGCCGTCTACAGCGAGCTCGTCGCCGGCGGCTGCATTGGCATCTTCCCTGAAGGCGGCTCGCACGACCGGCCCTCGCTCCTCCCCTTGAAAGCCGGCGCCGCCATCATCGCCCTCGGCACCCTCGCCCGCGACCCAGGCTGTGGCCTCACGATCCTCCCCTGCGGCATGAACTACTTCCACCCCAACAAGTTCCGCTCCCGCGCCGTCGTCGAGTTCGGCGGCCCCATCCGCGTGCACCCAGACCAAATCGCCGCCTTCGCCTCGGGCGGTGACGCCAAGCGCACGGCGGTCAGCTCCCTGCTGGCCACCATCGAGGCCTCCCTGGCAGCCGTGACCCAGCAAGCGCCCGACCACGAGACCCTGATGCTCGTGCAAGCAACACGCCGCCTCTACAAGCCCCTCCGCGCCAAGCTCCCCCTCTCCACCACCGTCGAGCTCAACCGCCGCCTGCTCGAGGGCTACGCGCGCTTCCGCGACGCGCCCCTCGTCCAACACCTCACGCGCTCCGTCGCCGCCTACAACCGGCAGCTGCGCGCCCTCGGCGTCAAGGACCACCAGGTCGAATGGGGCGACGTCGGGCGGCGGCCCTGGCTGTACGTCCTCGCGACGCTGCTCCAGCGCGTCGCGTTCGTGCTCGCCCTCGTCGCCGGCACGCTGCCGTCGCTCGCCCTCTTCTGGCCCGTCTTCGTCACCACCAAGGTCATCTCCGTCAAGAAGCAGCGCAAGGCCCTCGCCAACTCGTCCGTCAAGCTCGAGGCCCGCGACGTGGTCGGCACGTGGAAGATGCTCGTCGCCCTCGGCCTCGCCCCCGCCCTGTACGTGTGGTACACGGCCGTCGTGTCCGTCTGGCTCGTCCTGTGCCGGACCGACGCCGAGGTGTGCGCCGCGCGCGCGCCGCCCTGGGCCCGCGCCACGACGTGGGTGCCCGCTTGGCTGCCGCTCAAGGTGTTTGTCCCGGCCTTTTTCGCGCTGATGGTCGCGGTGACGTTTGCGGGGCTGCGCATCGGCGAGGTGGGCATGGATGTCGTCAAGAGCCTGCCGCCGCTGCTGGTGGCGCTGAATCCGTGGAGCAAGGGCGCGTTGGTGAGGTTGAGGGAGAGGAGGAGGAAGGTCGCGAAGGAGGTTTTGGATGTGGTGGAGAGGTTCGGGCCTGAGGTTTTTGAGGATTTCGAGGAGCAGAGGCTGTTGTTGGTGAGGAAGGAGGAGGATGGGGACGTGGAGGATGGAGAGGAGGGGGGGATCAGATACGATGATGAGACGGTGGAGTCGGAGATGAAGAAGGATGTGTGAAAATGTATGGATGTGGGGCCGATGGGGTTTGGTGTAGGGCGTAGTTTACCTAGATGCTGTTACACTGCTTGAAAGCTGCTCATAACGGTTGGGTCTTCTGTAATATGTGGCCCTTCTAGCTATTGAATAATCCGAAAAGCCAAACGGAAAATAAAATGGTCCCACTCGTGGCGAAGGCCTTCAGTTGTTTCTGTGCAAACCTTCTCAAATCATACCAGACATGCCAAGCCCCGGGCTAGCCCCTGGCTCCGACACTCCCAGATCCCTTTCGCGCTTGCAAATGCACTCCAATAGACACCTGTATCTATTTATTTGAATACGATAAGCTACGCACTCAAATCATGAGAAAGAAGCCATGAGAATATCCTTCATTTTTGTCTACAACTCGCACCTCGCTCCCAGCACTTGCCCCGCTTCCCCCTTCCACCGCCACCTACTTACTTACTCTTCAACGTCCTCTGCTTCTCCGCATCCTTAATGATCTTCTCCTTGATGAACAACCCCTTCCTCCTCCTGACGCCCTCCATGTACCTCTTCGCGACATTCTCCCTGTCCGCCAGCTCGCCCAGATCCTCAATCTCCTCCTCCGTCCACGGCACCCAAAACGGGTCCTCATCCAGCATCTCGTACCCGACGAAGACGAGCTGGGGCTGGGCGGCGCCGCTCGTGCGCTTGCGCATCTCCTCGGAGAAGCCGAAGCTCTCGGCGACGGGCAGCAGGGCGGTGATGGAGAAGAAGGGGGTGCCCTCCTTCATGGCCTCGGACACGATGCGGCCGCGGCGGCGGGTGACGACGCCGTAGACGCGGCCGAGGACCTCGGTGCTGCACTGGATCTCGCAGCTGTACATGGCGAGCAGCATGCGCGGCGACCAGTCGAGCAGGCCGGCGTGCACGCCGCCGCGCACCGCCTTGATGACCTCGCCCGTGAGGCGGCCCAGCGCGGAGCGGTCCGCGGCGACGGCGCCGTCGATGTCGACGGCTTCGACGTGCACGGCGATGCCTTGGACCGGCTCGTTGCAGAGCGGGCCTTGGTAGGTCGCGAGCTGGAAGGCGTACGTGATCTTGTCGGTGAAGTCGTGCGGGGTGAGCGTCTCCGAGGTGGAGGAGGGGTTGATGGCTGAGTGCTGTTCCGGGTCGGTGGAGAGGCTGTTGGTGTTCTTCGTTAACTCTTTCTCCCGTCATTCTACATACTTGGTTGTCTCCGACCTCTTCTTGAGCAAAAGAGAAGAAAGAAAGAACGAAGACTGGGAAACACTTACAGATGCGGCAGAACCCTCTGCCCAGTCTCATCGATCAGCAGATTCGGACCCGTACGTCTAGGACCGAACGCCGCAATCTTCTCGGCCACGCCGGCCCAGACTTCGCTCTCGCCCTTGGCTTCCGCGAATGCATCGTGCAATTGCTTCTGGAAGTCCTTGATGGTGAGGACGTTGCCGCCTTCGGTGACGTCGACATCCGCCTCGAGTCCTTTCTCACCCTCCTCCTCTCCTTCTTCTCCTCTTCCATCCTCTCCATCAGTGACGGCGTCCACCCCTCCCTTCTTCTCCTCTTCCTCGGCGCGACGCTGAGCATACAACCGCTTGATCGCCCCCGCATTTTTCGTCAAGAAGTCCGTAACGGCCGCAGGCAAGGGCCTCACCCTCAACCTGACGGTAACGTGCTTGCTCGGCGCGACAGCGACGACAGTGCCCCTCGGCAGGTCCTTGTTCTGCGGCGGATTCATCTCCGCGGCAGCGACGATGCTCTCGCGGTACGGCACGATGGGGGCGCCGGCCTGGATCTCGCAGCGGGCGAAGCGCTCGCGCAGGTCCTTGAGGCAGCGCTCGAGATGCAGCTCGCCGGCGGTAAGGATGACGTGCTCGCCGCTCTCCAGCACCTCGTACTGCACGCACGGGTCGCTCTGGACGAGCAGCTTCAGGCCCGCCACCATCTTGCCCAGGTCGCCCGGGTTCTCGGGCTCCAGCGCGACGCGCACGATGGGGTGCGAGCCGAGGTTGACGCCGGCCAGGTTGACGCCGCCCTCGAGCTGGCTGCAGATGGTGCCGCTCTTCAGCACGTGTCCGGCCAGCCCGCCGATGCCGAAGACGCAGCCCGCCGGCACCGTCGACAGCGGCTCGAGGCCGCGCCCCATGAGCAGGTACAGCGCCGTGATGGTGACCTTCTGCGGCTCCGGGCTGGCGTGCGGCGCCGCCGGTGTGTACTTGGGCGGCAGCACGTAGATCTCGTCGCCGACGTTGAGCGTGCCTGAGTAGATGCGCGCGAAACCGATGAGGTGCTCGGGGTCGGATTCTTGCTGCTTCGACTCTTCTCCTCCCTCTGCGTCCTGCGGCCCTTCTTCGCTGATGACGGTCGTGGCGCCGAAGGCTTGGGTCATGTTGGCTACGTCGTCGCCGGCGCCGTTCTGGAGAGCCTGTGCGCGTGCGAACTCAGCACGCTTTTTCCGTGCGAGCTCCCGGGCTTCTTCTGCGCTGAGACTGCCGCCTCCGCGACGCTTGTTCTCCGGCAGTTCACTCTCCGGTACGGAGACCATCTTGCTGATATACGCAACAACGGGTGCCTCCTTCTCTTTCTTGAAATTGGCCATGGCGTCCTGAATCTTGGGATCAACGTGCTCTGCTCCGGGCGATTGTTTGACGAGCTCCTTCATCCGTGCTGCCTGAGCAGCCGGGGGCGATGGGAGATGCTCGATGACGGAGACAAGGACAGCGGTCGAAAGCGGTAACCAGGCTGCGAAGAGAGCCATGAGGAGCGTTCGGGGATCTCGGGAGCGCAAGATGTGAGGAGGGAGGCTAAGGTTCAGGCCTTTGGTGATCTTCTCTAACATGGCGGGATCTCTGCATGTAACGGGGGACATAAGCTTCTGATTTCACTACGGGAACCTATACAACGAGCACGGGTGAGAAAGGAGAAAAGGAGATCCACGCACCCCTTCCCTGTGTTGCCGCCTGTTGTGGCCTCATAGACTGCCCATATTTGCTCCAGGACCAGTTGCACGAAGATAGGCTTGAGCGCTCTTCCCTTCAAGTGTTTCGAGCCTAGGACCTTCTTTGTTTTGGGGTCGAGATAGAAATCACCCCAAAGGACCTTCTCTAGCGCTGTGCGTTTGATTCCGAGCTTCCGCTCATACAGCGCAGCGAATTGCTTGACCGTGAATGCCCAGCCATCAATGGCACTGCTGAAGATGACGTTGTTCTTCTCCGGTGCGAAATAGATGTCTTCGTCATCCTTTTCTTCGTAATCGGCGGCGATGTCGCTGGGCAGATCATCGCCATCGACCGTGTCGGTACGCTCCTTTGCCTTGGCGCTGATGCGCTCATCCATCTTCTCTCTCCACTTTAAATCGTCTTCCATGCGCTCACCTTGGAAAAAGCTGCCCATGACAGCATTGACCTGTTCTAGCAACTTACTCAGATGGGTGTACGCTTCGCCAGGGCTCATCTTGAGCTCCGTGATCAGGCGGTCCATCTTGTTGATTACGAGAAGAGGCCTCAGCTTCTCGACCCACGTCTGGCGCAGGACTGTCACGGTCTGGCTGCACACTCCTTCGACCGCGTCTACCAAAACCACTGCGCCGTCGCAAAGCCTCGAGGCTGTCGACACTTCGCTGCTGAAATCGATGTGGCCGGGCGAGTCTATGAGGTTGATCAAATTCTCCTGGCGCACCGGCTCGGCGTCGGGAGCGGAGCGGCGCATCAGCGAAAAATAGAGGGAGATGGCCGACGACTCCATGGTGATGCCGCGCAGCTGCTCGTCCGGGCGCGAATCCAGATAGCGGATCTTGCCGGCGAGCTTGGGGGATATAATGCCATTGGTGGCGATCAGAGCGTCTGTGAGCGAGGTCTTGCCGTGGTCCTTCAAACCTCAGCCGTATCAGCGGGCTGGTCGGGCACGTTCTAGGAGGCGCGGGGGTGGTGAAAGCGGGCAAGTGCAACGTACGACGTGGGCGAGGATGCAAATCTAGGGAGGCAGTGTCAGTAAGCGTGCTGGAAATGGGGCATGGAGAGGCGCACGTTGCGGATTCCATCGTGGGCCTGTTGCAGCTCCACGAGCTTCTCTGCGCCGACGACAGGCATGGTGCTGCGGGTGCCAGTTTCTGCGGGAATCGATCAGGCGTGCGCGGGTATGTGGACGGGAGCGCACGCGAAGGCGGAGTTTTGAAGACGGCGGGGAGAAATGTCGTTGCGCCCCGCTTGGTGGTGTGGCGGACGATGATGGCTCATGATGCGTCAGTGCGCGATGCCGTCACTAAGTTAGGTCCCTGTCCGTCTCATGCAGACTCGCTAGCTCGCTTTCTCGGTCAAGCCCCCTAACTAACAAGATAATGCAGCCCTTGACTTTGTGACCACGGCCCCGCCCAACGCCGTTGCCAAAGACTACGCCTTCCCGCTGCCCGCTGCCCGCGCCTCGCGCTGCGACTCCAGGCCAGATCGCGCAGCGCCCCGTGAAAGTGCGCCGCTCATGCCTTCCGTCGCACCCCTGGCACCATCTCCGCATTCGACAAGCTTCAAACATACTCAGGCTCCGTGACAACGCAGCGAACCGATGCCCCCGTAGCCGCCTGCGCTTCCACCGAAACCACATATCCGCGCCGTCACTACTCCGTCCGCACCTCGTCTTCTGAACGCCCGCAATGGCCGACGTAGCCCCCGCTACCGCGCCCCAGAACATCCCTTCGCACGCCGCCGCTCCCATGCGGATCAGGACCGGTACACCACCGCCGCCCGACGAGGCGACGCGGAAAGGAGACCTGGGCCTGGGCGTTTTCTCGCCCGTCAACCAGAATGGCAGCTTCGAGTTCGACCGCGTGCTCAAGTCGGGAGAGCTGCTGAAGCGCACGAGGAAGACCAAGGTTCGCACAATTTCACGCGCGCGAGCGAAATGATCCATGCCGCGGACGCTAACGAACGCATCATAGACCTGGAAGACCGTCTACCTGGTGCTGCGCCCTCACACCCTCTCCATCTACAAGGACCGCGACGAGACGCGCCTTCGTCACCAACTCTCCCTGAACGAAATTACCGCCGTCGCACGCCAGCGCGACGCATCCAAGAAGGCCAAGCACGTCTTCGGGCTTTTCTCCCCCTCGCGAAACTATCACCTCGCCGCGCTGTCCGATAAAGATGCCCAAGACTGGGTGGAGCTCATCCGGCGCGAGTCGCGCATCGACGAGGAAGAAGAGGAGATGATACTTGCAAGCCCGAACGGAAGCGGGAAAGGCAAGACATTCGGCAGCCGCAATCGCAGCTCAGAAAGGAAGATACGCGAGCAGCTACTGTCGAGCTCGTCAGAGGGCGAAGGCCTCGCGCGACCTCCGAGCTCGATGCGCCCGGAAGATCTGCACAGCGCGAGACGCACGTCGCACACTTTCCAATACTCGGGCAACGAGCAGGCCTCCTTTTCCGACTACTCCGATACGCCGGTTCCGACTGGATTTCGCGAGTCCACACTGTCCTTTTCCCAGCCGAATGACGGCAATGCTGGCTACGAGAGCTCCCTTAGCGGACGCCCGAGCCTGGGCCGAAATGTGAGCCAGGTGAGCAACGCTGGTGCCAACCCCGAAACCGGCAGTACGGGCAAGAAACCGGACAACGAACGCGTGGTTTTCCAAGGATGGCTATACATTCTCAAGTCGAAGGGTGGCGTGAGGCAGTGGAAGAAGCTCTGGGGAGTGTTGCGCCCCAAGTCACTCGGCCTGTACAAGAATGAAGATGTAAGTTTCCCCCTTCACCGTCAACTTTCTTCGTGAAGCCGCATGATCCTAAATCAGACCAGGAATATTCCGCCAATCTCATCATCCCCTTCTCCAACATCCTCAACGCTGTCGAAATTGATCCCATGTCCAAGACGAAACGCTTCTGCATGCAGCTCATCACTGACCAACGCAACTACCGCTTCTGCGCCCCCAACGAGGAGGACATGACGCAATGGCTCGGCGCTTTCAAGAGCCTGCTTGCCAGGCGCAAGGAGGCAGAAATGGTCCGCCGTGGCGGCGACGCTCAAGCCCCAGCGCCAGTGCCCGGTGGCCCAGTTTCCGGATCGAGAGTCGTGTCTGGTTCAAGTGCTACCAGCGGCCTGCGGGCCACGTTGCCCGCGCGGTAATAATCCAGCACACTTGGACACGGAAGAAAGAAAGAAAAGAAAAAGAACCAAAAGAAAAAGGAAAAAAAACCATGTAGCATGTTCTCATGAAGGATGCATACGCCTGTACTACCACCGAACAACCCCCAACCCCCCAATACAGTGACCAAGGGCGCATTTGAAATGGCAGCCGGTCACAAAACAGCAGCCCACTACTTAACGGATTAAGCAAACCGCCCCGGTGACTGACCGCCCCCTTTTCCAAAGCGTCTTTTGCTTTTGAACGGGGTGGGAAATATGTTATATTGCTCTGTAATGCTGCTGCTTCTGTCTTTTCCTTTGAACTCACTTCTTGTTCTTCTTTTTCCTATCAGAAGCAGCAAAAGCACAAAATATGATTTCACGATGGACTACTGATTGATTGATTTGAATAATTGATTGATTTGAATCGGGAGAGATTTGGGTAAACAGAATTGGATCGCGGAAAGTGTTAGATCACATCTCATGATGAGAGAGCACACTCTTCCCCCTTCCTTTTGTTTACTAGCCTTCTCCTACTTCCTTTTTTTTTCTCTGTCCTTTACGAAGAAAACAAAGAAGAATTTCGACACCATACATATCTTGTAATACGGGGTAATTAATGCGAAGGAACTCGGGAATGTTCTCCTCATCCGCTCTTCGGGGCGAAGGGGCGAGAAATAGCCCTTGGATGTTTCAGCCGTACAGCTTTTGTAATCAAACTTTCTTGTAAATGATAGATTAGAATTTAGCTCATTTCGTGCCGCAGCCCGCCTACCTGCCTGGCCCCTTTGCGCGCTAGGGAATTGAAATGCATATATCCGCTGTGCGTGATCGATCGATCGACTGGTTTTGTCTGGGCAAGACTTGGACATGCAGGAGAGAGGGGTAGAGCGAGAGCGAAAGAGAGAGAGAGAGAGAGAGACAAAAAAAAACTGGCGCGCGGCAAGAGAAAGATGGAAGCAAGCAAACAAGCCAGTCACCCAGCCAGCCAGCCATTCGCGTGCAAAAAAAAAAAAGGTAAATAAATAGACGTGAAACCATACGAAAATAAAGTGGGTTACGTCTGATGTTTTGCATACGTATTCCTAATTTCTTACTTTAATTGGCTTGGGCTTTGGGATGGTCAGATAGCTAGAGACAAGCGCGAGAATGTCAGGTGGTGGCTGGCCCTTCCATTCGTTGGTAGCATATGGTAGAATGCGCCACTGGCGCGTAAGGTACAGGATGAGCTAAGGGTCGTTGGACCAACGCGTTCAGTGACATCGTCTGGATGGCGGCCATTAAGGAAAACAAAAACAAAACGAAAACAAGAGTGTGCCTGACACCAAGGTTCGTTGCCAGCTCGCTCACCCGAGGAAAGTCGGTCCGCTTCGATTTTTGGTTCATGGGGGCGACTTGGATTGGAAAAGGTACCCGAGGCCTAAAATTCATCTACCATTCATGTCCCTTGTCAAAGACGACCTCTCTTGGCCTCGGGTAGTAGGTAATAGCCTGTCAATTAAGTCTCAATAAAGCGGGTCACATCGCGTGTTTACGGAGCATTGATTGGATGGAAATTGGGAAATTATCATGTCCATAATTTTCTCATTTCATCGAAATAAGTACCTTGCCTGATGGCAAGAATTGATGGGGGGGTAATCAATCTTCAAGTGGGTAAAGTAAGTCCGTATCAATGCCAGACTCGGGATTGGCATAAGTCGCAACCGATAAAAAGAAACCATCTCCGGCCGAGGCCAAAAGGAAAATTCTTGTCACCCATCAAGCCACCCAGTACTCAGTTTAGTACCTGGGAGGGTAGCCACCTTGGCCCGGCGGCGGGCCCTGCGGCGGACGGCCGTAACCGCCCTGGCCAGGCGGAGGAGCACCGTACTGGCCGGGAGGCGGGCCACCATAGCCGCCCTGCGGAGGGTAGCCCTGAGGAGGCTGACCGTACTGGCCCTATCGTGATCTGTTAGCGGATATCATGCTGGATACTCGTCAAATCTACTCACAGGAGGCGGGCCACCGTAGCCTTGGGGAGGACCGCCATACTGCCCACCGGGAGGACCTCCATAGCCGCCTGGTGGATGACCACCACTGCTCTTCTCATCCTTGCGGTCGTAGGAGTTGTCAATAGCACCAAGCAGGAGCTTCACAAGCCAAAGCTCAGGAGTCAGGTCGACAGGAGGGTTGGACCTAGCCATCTCCGCTGACTCGTTCTCGTAGTTGGATGTGCAGTCAACCAGCGAACCAACCTGGGGATCCTGGTCAAGCTTCGACAAGAATTCACGGGCCTTCTCGTCGTTGCCAACCTGAGCGAACTGGAACTGAACCGCACCCGGCCCATACTGGGGCATACGGCTGAGCTCGGAGGTCACATTCCTGATGGCCTCGAAAACGGCGTTCTGGGGTTCGCCAGCAGGCTGGCCGTCAGTGATGGTAATGACGAGCACAGGTTTGCGAAGTTGGCCACCACGCGCGTTGCGGACAATCTCATCCAGGACACGCTCCTTCAAGTGCGAACCCATGGGAGTGAGGCCCTTGAACTGAATCTGAGACATGAGCTGCTCGATCTGCTGCTCAGTCTTGATGTGCTCGGTAACCTGCGGCGGAGGGAGAGAGTTCATGAAGCGGACAGAAATTCCATCATCGTCGAACAGCGTAGCAGCATAAGAAACGCGCTCCAGGATGAGCCTCAGGTCCTTGATGCGCTCGCCGTTCTCTTCGAACTGCATGGAGCCGGAGTCGTCGATGTAGAGGATGATATCGAACAAGCCGAGTTTGACAACATCGTTGCCAATCTCCTGGGGCAGGCGCCAGCGCTGGCAAAGCTGGGCAATCTGCTGGGGAGCACGTTGAGCAATCTGTTCGAGAGCAGGCGAGTTGGGCGGGTAGAAGTTTTGGAGGTTGTTCTCCTGGACGGCGCTCATGAGGGTCTGCTTGTAGCCCTGAATCTGCGCGGGGTTCGGCGGGCCTTGCGGAGGCATACCACCCTGAGGAGGGGCGCCGTACTGAGGCTGACCGGGAGGGGGACCGCCCTAAAACAACAATCCATCAGCAAATATACTTCAATTGGTTCAAATATGTATGCGCCCGACGAACATATCCACCATAGCCCGGGCCCTGGTTGTATTGTGGTTGTCCGTATGCTGGAGAAGCCATCTGCTGGCCGTATGGTTGTTGCCCGTATGGTTGTTGTTGTTGCTGCTGCTGCTGTCCGAATGGCTGCTGAGGTTGTCCGTATGGTTGCGGGGACTGCCCATATTGTTGTGGGGGTTGGCCATATTGTTGTGGGGGTTGGCCATAAGGTTGCGGTGGCTGTCCGTAGGATTGCGGGGGTGGCTGTTGCTGTCCATAGCCCGGCTGCGGTGTGGGCGCGTTGCCAGTAGCAGCAGATGCAAGTCCAGGGCGGCTAGATGGCGGGGGAGGAGGGGGTGGCCGGTTGTAGCCGCCTTGTTGCTGACCAAACGGCGTTGGCGGCTGCTGGCCGAAAGGAGATTGAGGCGGAGGTTGGGTGTAAGGTGAAGCTGGGGGCGGAGAGCCGTAGCCTTGATAGGGCTGGGCGGGGGACTGTGGCGTGTAGGCGTTAGGATTGTATCCAGGCTGCGGCGGCTGCTGTGGGTACGGCGGGTGCTGCGGCGCGCCGTAGGCACCTCGGTATGCCTGGTAGGACATGGCGCGATGGATCTTTGAGGACAGCGGCAGGCGTCACCGAAGGGGAGGTCCAAGGGACGATGGTAAGACGTGGAGGGTGTCCGGCGGTAGCGAGGTGTGCGGAATGTTTTGGTGGATGAGTCGCAACCAGGGCTCCGGGCCGAGCGATGACGAAGGCAGGCTTGGAGGGGCAACGAAAAAAAGCTCACGGGACGCTTACTTGAGGAGGAGCACCGCCGGGGGCGCCGGGGTTGTAGGGTTGGTACGACTGCGCGCCGGGCTTGCGACTGGGTTAGCATGCGCGTCGCACAAGGCGCAGCGTTTCGGGCAGGAACGCAGTGGCAACTCACGTATGCGCCAGGCTGCTGGCCGCCGGGCGGACCATAGTTGGCGGGTGGCGGGCCTCCAGGCGCAGGGCCGGCAGCGGCGAGCTTGGATGCGAGCTGAAAGGCAGAATTCGCGTCAGCCTGATGGTATGACCTCACAGCGGGGTAACGAGGGGCAGCTATCGCGAGCTTCCCTCGGGCGCACGCCGCGCGCGCTGGGCGGGACTGCACTTACACCCATCTTCGAATGGTAGAGCTGGTGTGGGGGCGGGGAGTGCGAGGCAATTGAGAGGGCGTCGGGTTCTAGAAGGCGTGTGCAGGTGGAAGTAGGCAATATATGTTGCGTGGGGAGGGTTTGCTGATGCTGACGCCCGTGTGCCCGAGCTGAGCCCCTCGCCCTGCCCAAAGCGGCCAAGGCGTCGCCCTGCGCGTCAGTGCCGCCTGCCTTACACTGCGCCACACTCCTCAGTATTGCAGCTGCGTTTGTGCGTGACGTGCGCTGCTGCAGCTTCACATGCCGCGCCGCAGCCGCACAGCCAGCGTCGCTTCGCTCTTGCCTGCTCTTGCCTGCTCTTGCTGCCCGTGACCAGCCAATCGCTCCCGGCTCCCAACGCAGCACCATCCTGCCAGCATGCGCGGTATTTCCCCACATGGTGGAGCTCCCAAGCCACTACACGCGCACCTTGCGGCTATCCGGCAAGCTCGGCTCCCACAAAACATCGCAAGGCATACCTGGCCTGAACAATCTCCACAACGTCTGTGTCTTGCACAGCAGTCGATGCAAACAAAGCTCCAGCGGGTTACAAAAATGAGATGGCCCATGCCGAGACTTTTCTTCACGATGAGGGCCAGCCTCAGTCTGCTCCCAGCATCTTGAATCCAGCAGCTCGTTTCGATGTTGTACTTTGATGCTGTCGTGCTTGCTCATGGAGGACATATTTGAGGGTCTGTGCCCACGACGACGGAAACGTGCGGGAAGGCTACAGGGTGATGATCCTTGCCATTGTGGTGTGGCTTTGCTTCGGGTTGACTCGTTTGGGACATTGAATAACGGTGCCTTGAGGCAGAGAGAACTACTAGTGTGCGTTGAGAAACCCCAAAGAAGCTGACCGTCGAGAAGTAAGGGAGGCTAGTTGGAAAGCGCGCCCGTTATCATACTCCATCCCCATGGCTCGCCCGGTTCTCAACAACACCTCCATTCGTGAGCAAGAAGCTTCTCGATGGTATTGCTGATGTCCCCACCAGTCAGCGTTCCGTCCCACCGTTTTTGCGCCACTGGCTTGACCGCAACCTCTTCGATATACTCATTGATCTCTTCTTGTAGGTTCATACTCATCGCACCATTCGTAGGGTCGCTCCCATCGTGCTGCACGCGTCAGTTTTGACTGGACTTCCACAGCAGCAACACAACTTACGTCAAGCGCTCTCCAGACAACAGGCCTGTAGCCGGGAAACATAGCTTGAAAGTGGATCCTGCCCTCGCGCTCAAACGCCACGACCCCTGCAGCGCCGGGCCACAGACCGCGCACGTCCCTTTCATCCACGTCCACATTCCGCGCACCGTTCGGCTCTCTGTCGGCCACAAGGCTGATGTACACCTCCCACCTGTACGTCTTCAGCTGGCAGATAAACTTGAAGCGTGCGAGATGCCTGGCGCCATCTCCGAGAGCGGCCAGCCAGGCTTTGAAGAGGCCCAGCTGTCCCTTTCCGTACGGAGCCTTCCTGACGTCGAATTCCCAGCGGACTTCGGCGAGGTGGTGCGCCAAGGCCTCGCTCCGAATCTGCTTGTTGATGAAACAGGTGACAGGTAGAGGGAGCGGGCTGTGTCGGGCGTATTGCGTGTAGGATGGCTTGGTCGTGAAGTCATAGATCTTATCGCGGAGCTCGCGCGGCAGGGACAAAAGGTTGCTCGGTAGAGAGTGAACGATGCCGCCGGTGAATGGATCCATCGTCAAACTCACGGTAATCACATAGTATACAAGGAGTGGCTTGAGTTGTTCGGCGGAAGGAGTTGATGTTGATAAGCCACCCTATCGCTTCGTGTTCGAAAGTCGCGGCCTTGGACAAGCCGCACTGAAAGTCGTTGCCGCATGTCCAGCGCAACAAAAGAAAACACGGCTGTGTTGTCTTTTCTAGGGTAGGTGTTGATGTCCCACCCGAATCACCTCTTACCCTCCTATCCTATTTTGCTACATTAATTGTTCAGAGGTAGAGGGTCAGCCACCACCCTGGCCTCTGCGTTTACAGCCCGAAACTTGCTCATTATGGCGAAGTTACTGGTGGCTGTACCGCTGATATCTGTGACTTCTTGAGCTTTGTGAAAGATGGACGGCATGCGCCAGATGAGGCGGGACGTGAGCATGGAGAGGGATTCGTCACGCATCTGAGTACTGGCGAAGAAGTGACCAGGGAGCGCCTGGAAGTCTGTGATGGCCCAGGAGTAGCAGATATTCCGGACCAGATGCTGCTAGATCATGTTGCGCACTTTGTTTGGCAGGAAGGTCGAAAACCTGTACGCAAGGTTGAGTTGTAGTAGCCGATTCCATATTGCTCTTTCTGCATCCTTGTCAGAATACTCAGAGGGAAACATTGGTCAACAAAAAGGGCCCAAGGACTGGTTTCTGAATGCCGTTGGGGGTGCAAGGCAAAAACAAGAAAGTAAGAAAATGCGGGACAGAACATGTCAGAAAGTGCATGTGCTAATAGTCTGCATTTGATTACTGCGGTGTAGTATAAAAAGATGCGGGAAAATTCCATTTGTAAGTACCTGTTGACTTGAAAGGGAACGGGAAAGTGAAAATGGAGACAGTGCTGGAAATGAGGCTCAGGTGGTTCGAGCACCATGGAAAGTCAAAGGGTGGTACACGGGAACGGTGCCAATTTGCGTCGCGGGGCAATTTGTGAGTGTTCTGCAACGCTGGACCCATGCTCGCATGGTCACTCGATTCGCTTACCTAAAGACCAGCTTGCCAACCTACGGACCTCCACCAACACACAAAAATACCACAACTCCAAGCGCTATGAAGATCTCAACCGCGCTTCCTCTCACAATTGCAAGCGCGCTCTGGACTCTTTCTGCCGCCTACGTCGTGTTCATCATCTACTCCCTCATCAAGGCTGCCATCACATCCAGGAAGAACGCATCCGCCAGATCCTCCATGGCCGTGCGTTATCCTAAAGCCGTCTAGATCTCTCGCCATGGAAATGTCATCTATTCTGTAAGGCCTTTGATGATCCTCCTCTGCAAAGAACTGTCGTCACCTTATCTTACCTATAGCACAGAACCGGAGGCATGAACGATTGAAAGCTTCCTGACATCGGTGGATGAGCGGGATAGAACACGTCGGCGGATGCGAACGGCTGGCACGCTGGGTTGTGGCTTATAGAGCTCTATAGATGCTCAATCCAGTAGCTCACACTTTTGCATGAACTGATGATGATGGCATTCGTGGCCTTTGCTCTCTGTGTGGTCGTACAGTTGATGAGGTAGCACGACAAGTTGGAACAATGAGACTGAACATGCCATCAGGAACAGCGGCACGAACCAGAGCTTGATCCCGTCACCCAGCGGAGCCTACGCGATGCTGACAACCTCTCAGACTTGAATCGAAAGTAAAGCAATTGCGGGCCAAGATGCTCTTGGACTGCGTCGAAGCTAGCACGGTGCGCGTTGCGTAGATTCTGGAAATTGCTACAGGAAAATCGACCTGCTCTGCGCCAGAATGCGCGTGCAAGAACGATAGCAAGCCCGTTGACCCCGCACAAACAAGGCATGTCTGCCATAACGCTTGCCATGTATCAAACACTCGGACAGAATTCGTCGAAGTGAGCCAGTTTCGGTGGGTGAAGCCTTCTTCAGAACAGAATTGCCCAATTCTCACCTGCTCAGATTTCACCTTAGCTCACCAAACCTTCTTCGTGCCTGTCAAGGTCAGCAACTACAGTATCACGTGGCGACCATCGCTATAAGACGTCTTCTCTCTTGCGCCACACCACTCCTTCAACTTCCTCTTCCTCTTCTGCCTCTTCTCTGAACCCATTCCCAACGCAATGGCGCCCGCCAATGCCTCTTCGACCAACTCGTCCGGCTCTGAGACGTCAACCATCACAGACGATGGTCCGAAGGAGATCATCCTTCCAGTCTGGGGTATCATCGTGCCGCCCGTGGCCCAGGACTGGATCAACGCCGGATTCCGCGTCACGTTCGCGCCCAATCCCGCCACCGTGAAGACTTGGATGGTCACCGAGAATGGACTCGTTCAAGGTAGGCGCTCCATTCGCCTCTAGGATCCCCAAAACATCCGAACATGCTGATACATTTCGCTAGTCATGTTCAATACTGGTCCCGACACCGATCCTCGCGCCGCTGAGCAGAACCCCGTCAGAACGAATGTGGATACAATCCGTAAGTGCTGGAAGACGACAGCAACCCCCCTCCACGCCGTCATTCCTGATTCTCTCCAGAGCCCTCGACTACTACCCGTCCGCCACAGACGACAGCCTCATCCCAGTCTGCCCTGTGAACCCCCAGGCACCGCCTCCGTCTTCTCCGACCCCACGAAATCTCTCCCACGAACGACGCCACTCCCGCCAACCCCTTCGACGAGAAACGACAACGACACCAAGCACACCGCCGCCGCCACCAGCGGTTCCCCCCTCCAACCCCCAACACTTCACCTGCAACCCCCATCCCACGCGGCGCCTGCATGCGTGCGCCAAAGTCCCCACCACCTTCGCCCGACAACGCCTTCGCGACCACGAACCTCAAGCCCGCCGCTCCCACCTCCACGCGCCCCCGACGTCCGTCGCCCGCTCGAGCTCAGCGCAAGCACATGATGGACCCCTACGGGACGACAGCTACCCGCCTCCCAGCCCGATTTCCTCGCTTAGCAACTAGAACCCGCACGCACGAGGTCCCCGAAATGCAAGTCAATCTAGACCACCCGGTGGGTCCTCCGTTCGACCGCCGTTGGCGAAGCGCTGCGAGAACGAAGATGGGGAGGGGGAGTTGCGCCTTCTTCTCGTTTTGACGCGTGGTGCAACGCGGTTGAGTGAAAGATCTAGGGTGGACAAAGTCACAGAGGAAGAAAGGAGAAGAAAGAGAGGATGGTAAGACATTGGAAGGGGTTTGAAGATGGGTTGGTTTGACATGTGCGGGGTCCAGTGATGGCAAGTAGGAGTAGAGCCGGTGCGTTTGGAGAGAGCAGGCACTCCTCTCTTCTTCAATGAACGACGGGGTCACTGCGAGAAGAAACAAAAGAAGACCACTGACCAGTGAGAGAGCGGGCAGGGATTGAGCGGGCTGATATCTCTTTTCTTCTTATGATGAGCTTCTTTACCTTTCCTTGAAACGAGCAACGGGGGCTACTGGTTACGGAGACTGGATTCAGAGAGTCGAATTTGAGCTCTTCTTTCTTTTCTCAAGAGCGTCAAACAGCGTACTCGGGCCTGGGCAGCCACTTCACTTGATGGCCGCTATGAATTTGGACCCCCCCTGGGAAAACAACCTTTTCTCCGTCGCTCACTTAAATTTATATGCAAAATGGTAGGCAAACTCGGAGAACTCGCTGGCATCCTACACCTATATTACTACCCACCGTTCTTACCACTCACCACGGTGCCTTACCACCTACTAGCTACTAGCCTTACCGGCTAAGATGCGTCCTCGTAGGTAACGATTACTTAAGGTATAAGGTGCTTATCCGCCAGCCCGCGCGCGCCGGGGGTGGGTGGTGGTAGGTAAGGCTGGTGGCCGGTAGCCGGTAGCCGGTAGCCGGTGAGGCTAGTGGACGGGATACTAGCGAGTTCTCCGAGTTTGCCTACTACTATTTTGCATATAAATTTAAGGTGAGCGACGGAGAAAAAGTAGCTTTCCCAAGGGGGGGGTCAAATTTATGGCGGCCCACTTAATTGGCTGGAAATAAGTTATTCGAGGTAGCCACACTGCTCGACCATAGCCAATCTGAAAAAAAATAAAAAATTTCCCATTCTTCAAAACAAGAAAGCTGTCTCTAGTCCGACGTCAAGACGTGACCCGAAGAAATGCTTGGGGATCTCGCGACTCACGCCACCGCCGGCGCCACCACCACAGGCCCGAAGTCTCACGACCAGACGCACCAACGTAGATGCAGAGGTGACTCACGTTTCGCGCACGCCGCAAACTCGGATGTCCGAACACGCCCTCATCATCATCATCGTCGTCGTCGGCACTGTTGTCGCCGTCGTCGCCTGCATCTCAGCAGCCCGCAGGGGTGTGTGCGCTGCGGCGAGACGCCACGTGACGACACCACCTACTGACTGTAACCTTGAACGGAGGATGATGACCAACCGTCAGCACAATTTGGGTGTTCGTATATCTTTACCCGAAAAGGCCACGGCACGTTTTCTCTCCCGCGCTCTCTCTTGTGGTGCCGGAGAATATCCCGCATTCGCATCTGTGTGTCGTGGCCCTGTTTCCAGCATGGCCCACGAGTAAGTACACAAGGCATATCACACGTACGGACGTACCTCCAATAGTATTGTAGCCCTATGCTGGATTGCTGGTCGCTTGGTTCCGCGTGGCCCCCACACCCCCCCCAAGCTTGGTCAAACCTACACCTACAAACCTTGGCATGCAAGTTGACCGAACCCCATCACCGCCACCCTCTGCCAAGTGGAAAGACCGTGCTGCGCGAGATAAACCCACAAAACCAAGCGCAAACGGCGGAGGGTCGGGGAGGAAAGGGATAGGAGGAAGGAGGAAGCGACGATCACCAGGACGTCACACCCCGGATCGTGTTACACATTGTTTTCTTGGGGAATGGACAAGGACATACGTCAACAATGCGGGGAAAGGAGATTGTGAGAGGGAAATGCGCGGCAGCCCGCTTGCCTTCCCCGCCAAGTTTTTCTTTTAGCTGCTGCAAAGGTGACGAGTGTGCGTGCGCGTGAGTTACGTCGTAGCAGCAGCCTACCTGACTCTGTGCTTTCCCCGGCTAACCCCTCCGGTGGTAGCTTCCGACGCTGGTTGGGGGGGGACGGATGCGCGCGTGCGCGAACGACGTGTACATCGTCCATTCTCCTTTTCCTTGCTTGCTTCCTTCGCACCTGCCAACGTCGCGGCTGTGCCACAGCGACTCCGCGGCGCATAAGGCGTATGAAGAAAAACTTAAATATAGTCTCGGATAGCGAAAGGCCATGTCGCCGGCGGCCCAAGACGAGGCATTAAGTTGCCGAGAAGATGAACCGAGGCTTAAATCCGAGGGAAGAGGATGCAGCAAAGACCTACCTAGCTGCCAAGCGAAAGGCAGATGGTGAATTAGGAAAATGATGGAAAATATCACGAGAGACGCCACGTCCAGGTGCTCTTGGCGTTCATGATTGCTTCTCGGCTTCAAGAAAGCCGTGAGCTAGGCTAGCAGAGATACCGCTTCTTTCGATTTTTTCCCAACAGCCCCCGTTTGTATGCTCTTTAGCGATGCGGCAGCATGTTGCGGGCGTGCGTAGGATTTCGAGAGCGCGGGCGGTGCGAACTCCGGATGCAATCCTTCTCTTCATGGCGCAGACGGTAGTGTGCTTCATGAACGCGGGCGGCGGGCACGCGACCGGTTATGTGTTTTGCCTTTTAACTTCGTGTCGCGGAGATAGCGTTCGGCGCGCGGCTGGAACGCGGAGGGTGCGGGGATAATCGCTGCGGGCACGGCGAGCTGGTAGGGCTCTGTCAGGGTCAGTCTTGGCCGGCGCGACGGAGGAGCCGAAGGATCTGTTCGCGTGCCGTGCTATGCGGCGAGACGGGGCGAGACGGGGTAGAAGCTGCGTAGAACGACCCTCTTGACCGCGGGCCGGCAATTGTCTTATGCCAAGTCGGCCAAGATGAGGCGTTGCTAGGCGGCAGGCTCCTGCAAGCCATGAGTAGGTTGGTCGTCCCGCCGGCGTGGGTAAGTCAGCATTGGGCAACGACGATGGTGGCGGCAAGTTGCGTCGGAGACGAGCGACAGCTAAGCTGCCTCACCTCTCCCGAGGCAGACATCAGTTGAGATGAGCTGCGATGCGGCGCTGCGGCGGAGTGACTCGGCCAGCGAGCAGGGAAAAAATCCGACTGGCATCCTGGCCTGGCTCGAATCAGGGCTTTTGCGGCTGGCGCTGCGGGAACGGGCCGTGGCAATTGTGTCGCTCACCTCTGTGTTTTGCCGCTCAGGGCTTGTCAGGCACGCAGCGCCCAGCTGCCAGCCGCAGCCCCGAGGGATGCTGGGCGCGGCTTATCTCGACCTCGACGCTCGCTGTATTGACTTGTCAGTTGTCTGCATGCAGGCGACGAGATGACGCGTTCGCGACGAGCGACTAGCTGCTGGAAAGGGAAGGCAGCGAGAAATGGATTAGGAATGACTGGGTTCTCATTCGATGGGGCTATCACCGCGTCGTAAGATGGCTCACGCTGATGGAGACAAGACCGGGGCCTTGCATGAGATTATTACTTGAGGAGTCTGACAGTGCACATACACAGTAGACCCGCAGACCCTCCTGGCTGCAGTGAGAGCGGCGCGTGCTGCGGTCGGGAACAGATGTACTGGTCGAGGCAAAAACAGAGAGCCGAACCGGTCCAAGGGAAGTGCTGGCGGACGCGTACGTGCAGCGAGGCATTATTGTCCAGCACCGCCTGAGACATTATTCTTCTGGCTCTGCACTCTGCGGTGAAGTCCCCTGGCAGCTCCCTTTCCACGCATGCGGCGCGTCGTGCGTGGAAGGCGGCAGAATGGCCCACACGGCTCGGGCGTGCAGCAGGTACGCAATCCCAAAGCAGCGCGCCCTGCGATAGCCGCCAGCGGCCACAAAAAAGAACGGGTAACAGCTAGCTGGCTCTCGCGAGACGCGGTCGGCAGATGTGCTGACAGCCGACGTACGAGTGCGGCGCTCGCACCAGGGCGTGCCAAGGCGCAGCGAAGGGTTCGCGATGCAGGGATGTGGGTGCGAGGCGGTGTCGTCGGGTCATTGGGCTGCCCGGTGCCGTGACTGACGACATGGCCAGGACTGACCAGGACTGCACTGCGCTTGGAGCAGGAGGGAGGGGCTCCCTCGCCCCAGAGCCAGACTCTTCACCGCGCGAGTCGTGGGTCCTGCGTCGGCCGATAGCCTGCGCGGCCCCAACACGCCTGCGTGGGCACCCGCCGCCGTCGGTCAGCCGACGGCGCTCGCAGCCTCCCTCGCAGCCTGCCTCGCTCCATGTCTGGCATCGAACTGGCGGCATTCCATTCGCTGCGCCCGTCTCTCCGCGATCTCGCCCCGTCTGCGCCTCCGCCATCTCTCCTCCACACGCTACCCCGTGGGAAAGCCTGTTCTCTCCGGATCGTTTTCGTCGCGTTTTCGTCGCGTGCCCGGGATGCGCACCCTTTACGGCAGCAGAGGCTCTGGCTCAGAGCCGCTCAACCAACGCCCGGTGGAGCCCGCTAGCCGGAGATTCAGCCCCCCCCACGGGACATCTTCAGAGATCATGGGTGCAATGCCGTCAAGGCATCCAATGACACGCGCCGCGGTGGAGATCGCTGCCGTGTCATCGTGGCCACAAGGCCCGCCCGCTCTGGGAACTTCCACCTCGCCCGCGCCCTTGACGTCTTTCGTTCACTACTCAGGATCTCCGGCGCCCTCGTTTAGGGAAAGCTTCCCGCCCGCGGTGCAGCGCAGCGGCAAGATCCCTCCAGCTGCTCACGCACCGACTCCGGGCCACCGCCAGCCCGGCAGTCATCCTCGCTCACGACATGCGATACCGGCAGCTGCGACGGTGGCTGCCAGGACGGTGGTGCGTCGGCTGTCATTAATAATTGGGACCCGGCCGTTGGCACGCTGCAGAGGCTTGTCCGTAATCGTCCTGAGCTTAACCGGCTTGTCCGAGCTTGGCATGCGCTGCTGGCTGCGGCCCGATTTTCACACTCCACCAGCGGATCCCATTGCTTGCAGAACCCAGCGGATTTACCGTACATGACATGGGTGCGCAACCCCCCCCCCGAAAAGCCACCGCCGGTCCCGACTGCCGCACCACCTCCGGGCACGGGTCTGGGAGCTGGCCGCCGGCTGCCAGCCAGGATGCTGCTCGCCGCCCGCCGCCGCACCTGCAGAAGCCCGACAGCGTTATCGATCCGGCCATCCTCCCGTGAGGCCCGTGTTGTTGGCCAGCAGTCATACGGCACACCTCCCCAGACTGTGGGGCCCAACAGCCTGTGCTCGGTTTTTTGGCAGCCCGCCACTATGCTATAAATCTGCTCCCGCCTGCGCCAAAGGGCCCGCCTGTGCCCGTCCCCTCGCCCTCACTACCAACCATCCCCTCCTCAGCCTTCCACAATGGGTGCCAAAGGACTTTTCGGCTGCACTGGCCACGCCATCGAGAGGCTCCAGCTTGCCTTGATCGTGGCCCCCTCCTTCATCCTCTTCGGTTACAACCAGGCCGGTCTCGGTGGCCTCCTCACCGAAGCCGACTGGGTGAAGACCTTCCCGGAAATTGACACCGTCAACACCGAGGGCGCTGAGAAAAGCCACAACTCCACCATCCAAGGCTTGGTCGTCGCCACCTTCGTCATCGGTGCCCTCATCGGTTCCCTCTCATGCTCCTACACCGGCGACAAGTACGGCCGCCGTGCCGTGGTCATGGCCGGCGCCATATGCACTCTCATCGGTGAAGTGTTGGAATGCTCCTCCTTCGGCCTGCCCCAATTCATTGTCGGACGCATCATTGTGGGACTCGGTATCGGTCAGCTCAGTGCCACTGTGCCCGTGTGGCAGAGCGAGACTTCCGGCGCGAAGAACAGAGGCCAGCACGTTGTCCTCGACGGCCTCTTCATCTGCGTTGGTTATGTGCTCGAGTCGTGGATCGACCTTGGCTTCTTCGAGCTTCCTGAAGGCCAGGTTACCTGGCGCCCTCCGATTGCCATTGCCATTGTCTTCTCGCTCATCCTCATCGGATCCGTCTACCTTTTCCCCGAGTCCCCCAGATGGCTTGTCCGCAAGGCTCGCAACGACGAGGCTCGCTCCGCCATTGCTCTTTTCCGCGGCCACGAGGAAGACGCCATTGAAGTCCAGGCTGAGTTGGCAGGCATTGAGCTTTCGCTCGAGGAAACCTCCAAGAGCGGTGCCAAGCTGAAGGACATGCTCAAGATGGGCGAAGACAAGCTTCTGTACCGCTTCGGTCTCTGCATTCTGCTCCAGTTCTACCAGCAGATGTCCGGCTCCAACCTCATCTCTGTCTACACCAGCATCCTTTTCCAACAGAACCTCGGCCTGAGCCCTGAACTGTCGCGTGTCTTGTCCGGCGGCGCGCTGACCTGGAAGTTCCTGTCTTCTTTCGTCGCTTTCTTCACCATCGACCGCTTCGGTCGTCGCGCTGTCTTCATGTTCAGCGGTGCCGGCATGTCGCTGTGCATGATCGCTCTCGCCATCACCACCTCCATGACGGACAGCCACGGCGCCCAGGTCGCCGCCGGCTGCTTCATCTACATGTTCAACTTCTTCGTCCCCATTGGTTTCCTGGGCGCCAACTTCCTATACTGCACGGAAGTCGCACCTCTACGCCTCCGTGTCGCCATGTCTTCCATCTCCACTGCCAATCACTGGCTTTGGTAAGTCACACCCCCCATTTCCATAGTATTCACAAAAAGGATCAGGATCAACTAACGCTTCCTTCTCCAACAGGAACTTCGTCGTCATCATGGTCACGCCCGTCGCGCTCGCCAACATCGCATGGCGCTACTACATCGTCTACGCCGCCGTCGCCTTCTGCATCCCGCTCTCCGTCTACTTCTTCTACCCGGAGACTATGGGCCGCAACTTGGAGGAACTGGACATGATGTTCCGCGAGAGCCCGTCGGTGATGGGAACGGTGAACTTCGCCAAGACGCGGCCGATCGCCATGCCGCAGGAGTTCGCGGTCGATCACACCAAGGGCGGCGCGGAGCACGAGAGCGACTTGGAGGCGAAGGAGAAAGACCTGGTATGATAATGCAGAGGAGCATGTTTGTTGGTCGCGAGACACGAAAAAAGTCTTGTTATGGTTTTCCTTTTCTATTTGCGTTTAATACCTCCTGAACGAAGCGACGTGCATATATGGCATTTGGAGGCCTATTCTTTTATTATTTTCCTACCCGCCGAAGAGGTTCGTGGTCGTTTCTGTCAATAGCAGCGATCGGCGAGGTCTCTGCGTTCCTTATTTCTGAGTCGAAGTCTTTTCTTCGGCATGGAACGCGTGGGTGGCGTGATGACGCCGCTTCACATCAACAGGGTCGCTTGTTGATGGCAGGGTTGAGAGGGAATGAAAGTATTGTTCATGAACATTTATGCTAGAGCGACGTGAGACAAAAATGACTATTCACATTTGGTTACTGAATCGCTTAATCGCGCAAATATTTGATTTTTGTTGTGTTCAATATTGCTTTGTTTAGGATGGTAGGTTTGTTTGAAAGTTGGGCTGTGGGGGTTGCGGTCGAAGAAATCATGCGATCGGCTTTGAGGATCTCACAGCGCGGGGCACAGGATGCCAAAGCTCGTAGACATATCGAATTCCGAAACAGCACTTTTGAGACAGAAGTCGGCAAACCTTCCGCCGTATCGCTGAGTCTGTTCACACCCCGTCATGGAGTTGTTGTTGCATTATAGAAGTGCAAATATGGTGAGCTGAAACGAACCCCACGGGGCCACGATACTTGACATGGTGGTGAGCTTGTCTCGAGGCGGTGCAACCCAGTTATCAGACCTTATTCACGTCGAGCACGAGCGCTTACGCTGATACCTATGGCCCCGAACTCGTTTACGATGTGAGTCTACCCGTCCACAGTTCGTGGCGAGGGATTCTGAGGTGAAACAGGTTGACGTATGCTGATAGGGACCGTCCGGTCAGGCAACCAGGAACAACAGCGTGCATCGCAAAAGAGGGGGGGG